ACATGAAATCGAAATCGACGACGCCTTTGTGTTTCATAGTGCTGACAATCTGGGTTCCATAAGTTTGCACCTGGATGAGAATAGAGTGGCAAATGCCATATGTCTGACAGCATATGATGGAGGGATTTTCTGTGACAAACTTGCCATCGATCAAACTGGAACAGTCAAAGTATTGAATACAATCACACCAATAACGAGCCAACAAATCAAGGAAAAGTGTGCTATCAAGCCTTCGGAGCATTATCCACTGAGTAAGGACATTCCAGCTGTTGCATCAGGTCTAGATGTTTCATGGAATGCAGATGGCACCCCAAACCAACTGGTGTTTGGTTGTTTGGGACAACTCCCAAATGAAGGTGGATTTTTCACGGTCTTCTTTGATGGCAGGGTGTCCCCTGTTGTCGAAGCAATGGAGGGTGGATATCCTGGCTCTCTATTATTTGTCCGAAGCCCCTTGGCAGTATCCAGCACAGGGACCACACAGCCAGTACCCACTAGTCTTGGGAATACACAGTCGCGCCACGAGGAACCAATTATCTCCATTGAAGTTGGAGGCGAAGATGTTTTTGATGTGACAGAAGACAATGCTCCCGTCGTGTTTGCGCTCGCTGTTGTCGCACTATTGGTTGCTGCTGCACTGTGGGTTACAAGGAAACCACTGAGAAGATGGGTGGGTATTGTTCGGCGCGGTTCATCATTCCAGTCGCTCCACTATGACAATAGCGATTATGATTTCCATGCCGTGTCAACAAACGAGCATCCACCGGGAGGACTAGTGTATATGGAACTCACGTCCACGTCAACTTCGTGAGTGGGCTGAAAACCCCAGCAACCAATCTTTTTACGCCATTGGTGGAATCGTAGGGGAGGGTAATGTCGTCCACGTCCACGCTGGGTGATTTTATTGTCATTTCTCGAACAATTCACTTTCCATCCCACCAAATGGCAACATTCCTTCCGTCAAATGGAAGGATCTCGGTTTGAAAGCGCTGATCCTTGTCGGCTAGATATTTGCAAAATTGCCCATGGGATCGCACTGGAACCATTTCTCCAGCCTCGTTTTCCACCTGGCGCGATCGAAATAGATTGGGAAAGACGCAACACGGGACCACGCAGAATGGCTTACTGTATTGCAAGGCCGCATCCACAATGGCTTCAGTTGCCCCGTCCGCATGTAATCCTAGAATTAATGTAGCATTTTGTATCGCACTTTGCAATTCTGGATTGGAAGTTATCGTGTATTCGTCAAAGGTGGTTACCAACTGTTGAAATCGATTGGCTAGCTTGTCTTGGACAACATTAGGATTCTCCTTGCGTTGATCGTCCAATCTCTTTTGCCACTTGTTGGGGATCTTGGGATAGACCAGGGTATCGAAGCAGTGGGGAACATCGGCCAGTCGAGGATCCACCATGACCACCTTTTGCAAGTGACACATGGTCAAACGTGCGGCAACCTCTCCCTTGCCTCCAGCAACGTCCAAGACAACGGGACTAGACGAAATGGGATCTTCATCGCTAACCACTGTCTTCAAATGAAATCTGTCGATCAACCACTTGACAAAGATCTTGTTCTTGTGCTGATTTCGGGCTCCATGACGCTTTCGTTGAGGATTCTTCAGCTTTCGCATTTGTCGAACACTGATGGTGGGCTTGGTATTTTCTATTTCTTTTTCATGTTCCTGGTCTTCTTCCTTTCCATTGCTGTCTCGATCTGCTGGAGTGTTGGAAAGTTCAATTTCATCGTTACTAGACGGCGGATCAGTTGTCCAATCTGTCACTTTGTCCTCTATTGTCTCAGGTTGCTCCGACATTATTCTTGTCGTCGAATCTATTTTTGTTTTGAGTTTCAAAATTGTGGACCTTGGAGAGCCCGACACACGACAGACATCGGAAGTCAAAAGCTGACAAAACAGCTGCGTGGTGGAAGGTTCCAAACATATGATATCATATATTGCATATCTTACCAGTATAACCATGGCTGATGCAGTTGCTGCCATGGCCCAAAGTGCCAGTAATGGTTCTCAAAAGAATGGGTTCTCTTCAACAGCGGCATTAGTTTCCTATTTGCGGTCTGAAGCGGATCAGGCCGAGAAGAAGGCGAAACAATTGAGGGAACAAGCAAGCAACTTGGCAAGACAGTTTGGGATTACAGAAGCTGATCAAAGTGCTTATGGTGAGTAATGTTGCTGCTTGAATGTATGGTTATTTTGCAATTTCTTGCGCGAGTTACACTCACCATTATCCCTCTCAACTATTCATCTCGCCACGACCAACGACAACGACAACGACAAACTACAACACTAACTAACCATTTGGCACGCATCAGAATACCCTTCTCACATGGCTCCTTTGGACGAAAATGGCGTCCCCAAGTACAAGGGAAAGAAACGAGGTCGCAAACCAAAGGTCCGAAAGCGCAAGGTCAATCCCAATCGACGCAAGCGTCAGCATACTGCCTATACTTTATTTGTTCAGGAGACCTATCCAATCATCAAATCGGCGTATCCGGATTATGCTTCCAAAGATGTCATTAGTATTGTTGCCAAGCAGTGGAAGAATGAACTCAGCGAAGGCGAAAAGGGTCAATGGAGAGCTCGTGCCTTGGAAACGCATGGGCAAGACGAGGAGGATGAAACTGCTGAAGCTGCTTCCACCAACGCGGCTGCGCCTCCACCAGCCCCCATCAATGCGCAGCATGACGAAGCTGTAGTTGCAGCTGCTGCCGCAGCGGCGGCCGAAGACGACGACGACGATGATGATGAAGCACTCATGCATGAAGAGGACGAAGATGACATGGAAGACGACGGTGTCGAGGTGGAAGAAGAAGCGGAGACCGAAGACGAATCATCAGCAGGTCATGCTCGGCGGAGCAAACGTGGTCGAAAGAAATAGAACTATCGGATTGAGTTTGTGATTGAAACACTTTTACCTATGATGAACTCATAATACAATATTAAATAGTGAATGACAAACGTTATGGGATGCAGGGTTTTTAAGACGACGGCCCGTAACCTCCACCGCCCGGAGTCTCGATTCTCAACCTTTCTCCCAGCATCAGTTGGCCACTGCACCTTCCACCAAGGTTGACCAGAGTTCCATTCTGCTTGACAACTAGATTGCGGCCTCGTTCTCCAGGATCGCCACCGGCCATTCCATACGGTTGGAGAGCTCTCCGTTCACTCAAGATGCTCATGACCAACGGTCTGAGTGGCTCCAACTCTCGGATGACACCGTTGCCTCCAGCGTGTTTGCCCTTTCCACCGCTGTCTTGTCGAATCGAAAACTCACGCAGCAACACAGGGTACCGACGCTCCAAAATCTCAGGGTCAGTGATTCGGGTGTTGGTACAATGGGTGTGAATACCAGACTTGCCAACCCAAGTTGGACCTGCACCACTGCCTCCTGCAATAGTTTCGTAGTAACCAAATTCCTTGTCTCCAAACGTAAGATTGTTCATACAGCCTTGGCTTGCGGCACAGGCGGAAAAGGCGAGAAGCACTACATCGACGACTCGTTGCGAAGTCAAAACGTTTCCACCAACAACACCAGCATCCTCTGACGGGTTCAACAATGAGAACTTGGGGATGATGAACTTGATTGGAGCAAGGCAGCCCTGATTGAGCGGGATATCATCTCCTACAAGAGAGCGAAGGGCGTAAATGACCGCGCTATATGTGACTGCAGGAGGTGCGTTGTGGTTTCCGTCAACTTGCGGCCCAGTTCCGGTAAAGTCAAATACAGCGCTTCCAGTGTCTGGGTCGATCTCAATGGTCAAGCATATTGGAGTGCCATCATCCATAAAGTCTGTTGCAGACACTTTTTTATCGTGAGTCGTCGCAAATTGTTTCAACATCAGCCTTACAGCTCCTTCAGCGTTTTCTTGGATATAGTTCATGTAGGCTGCAACAACTTCGAGCCCATGTTCTTTCACAAGGTCCTGAAGGAGGAGAATTCCAGAATTGTTGGCTGCCACTTGCGCTCGCAAGTCGCTGATGTTGTCGCGTAGGTTTCGTGTTCCAGAATTTCCCGGAATCTACAAAGAGAAGTGACGGAGCATAACAGTAAGTCAATGCAGTGCAATTGAGGCTGCATGGGAAGAATATAACACTCACCTTTCCAGGGGACATGAGAATCTCTGTAATGCCAGCTTCCTGAAATTTGCCTTGTTCAACTAGCTTGAACGCAATAATCATTGCACCCTCTTCTTCTAATGACTTTGAATGTGGGGGCATGGATCCTGGAGTTGGAGCAACAGTGAGCTTGGACTTTCTGGATAATAATTTGCCGAATAAATACACTTACCAGGTGAGATTCCACCAATATCAGCATGATGGCCACGGCTGGCCACAAAAAAGATGATCTCCCCCTCGTGGAAAACCGGAGTTATGACTGTAATATCGGGTAAATGTGATCCGCCAGCCTTTTGAGGATGGTTCGAGAGCAAAACGTCCCCCTCTTGGATACCACCATTCGTTTCCCAATACTCGACTTGAAACCGAACTGCTGCTTGCATGGCTCCAAGGTGCACAGGAATGTGAGGCGCATTAGCAACAAGACCGCCATCCTTTGTAAATAGAGCGCAAGAGAAATCTAGGCGTTCCTTCATATTCACAGAAATCGCAGTCCTTTGGAGTGTTCTGTTCAGGAGGTGGGTAAAGCAGTGTGAGACTGTGAAACATGGGGAATTTATCGAATCACTCTTAAAGCTTGCTTACCGGCCCATTTGTTCCGCAATTCCCATGAAGCGGTGAGAGAAAACAGAAAGCTTCACTGGGTCAGCTTTGATAACAGCGTCAGCACTCAAATGATGTTCCTCTGAGTGTCCAATCTTAATCCTCAAGTCGCCATAAGCTGTTACGAATGCCCTACAATTGATCTCCACAACGACTGTGGAAATTGGTTGAACAATAATACACGGTCCTGGAATTTCGTGACCAGGATTCAGGTCTTCAACCTTGTAGACTGTGCACGGAGATTGATCTGTAAGATTTTCACTCCAATGACAAAATGGCGCGATGTATGATCAACAACACACTTACCAGGCACTTCTTCCCAGCCATTATCAAAGAAAGCACGTGAAGTTCCCAAGCTGGGCGTCGGGATGCCACAAGATGCAGTTGGTGGTTCGGGTTCCAACATCTTCCCGGCAACGACAGCCCGTACTCGATAGTCGTCAACACAAATATCCCTATCCTTCAAGGTAAACCCAAATTCTCGTCTATAGATGGCCTCAAACGCCTCGCTAAAGGTCATATTTTCGCTCTGCTTTATCATGATGGCCGTGTCTGTACCATCATATCGCATGTTTATAAACTCTTCAGTCGAGATGTTTCCCTCCTTGTATCCTTGTGCCGTCAATGCTTTGGTGGCACGTTCTCGTAGCATGGCTAGTCGCTCTTTTCCAATATCCGACATACCTCCGTCATATACCTCTGCAGTTGGTATCTGTTCTTCGTGCACGGCATCTGCGAGAGAGAGACCGTATGCACTCAAAACTCCACTGTACCGATGGACATAAACTTCTGACATCCCTAGTGCCTTTGCAATGTTACAGGCGTGTTGAGCACCGGCTCCCCCAAAACAAGCCAGGGTATGACTCGTAATATCAAATCCCTTCATTTGCGTCAGATTTCGAATCGGTCGACACATTGCTTCATTTGCAACTTGCAAGAAACCAAAAGCTAATTCTTCTGGGGATCGCCCACCAGCTTCAGGGAGACGCTCGAGTTCTTCAAAAGCTTTCCGTGCACCGTCGACGTCTAGAGGTTCATTTTCTTCAGGACCAAAGATGTGAGGGAATTGACTTGGGATGATCCTTCCCAATACGACGTTGGCATCCGTGACTGCGAGCATTCCATTCTTGCGGTAGCAAACAGGTCCTACAGCGATTGAGACAAGGTACGAATTTGAGAGTTTTCAGGAGCCAAACGAAATAGAAAGCAATCAAGTAAATAGTACATACCTGGGTGAGCTCCAGCACTGTCGGGTCCAACGACAAACATGCCTCTTCTCAAATGGAGGCATGACCCACCACCTGCAGCAACTGTATGAATGTCTAGCTGTGGAGCTTGAATTGCTACGCCGGCCGTGATTGTCTCAAAGACGTGATCGAAACTTCCGTCAAATCTCGACACATCTGTGGATGTCCCACCCATCTGAAAGTAGTAGCAAAAGGAACGAAACGCATTGAGTCGGACACATATTACTCGGTCGGAGTAAGAAGTATACCTTGTTCACTTACGTCGAATCCAATGACTGGAGGACTATTGGGACTGTTGAAAGCCGTCTTGGCATACCCCACAACTCCACCAGCCGGACCAGAAAGAATTGCCTGGTGACCACCAAAATCATTGATTGGTGCCAGTCCACCGTCAGATTTCATAAACTGCAGAGGGACATTGGTAAGGTTCGCGTCAAATCCTTTCGTGAAACCGTTCAAGTATTCGGTAATTTTGGGAGTCAGATACGCTGCCGCACACGACGTGTGTCCTCGAGGTACCATCTTGACCATGGACATGACCTCGTGCGACATGGAAATTTCAGAGAAGCATGCCATTTCTTTTGCAATCTTTCCGACCATACGCTCATGCTCCTCGTAGGTATATCCATGTAAAAAGACAATGGCAAGCGACGCAATGCCACTATCTCGAATAGCTTCCAGCTGTTTCTTGACGACGTCAAGATCGGGTTTCTTCTCGATTAGCACTCCCTCTTTGGTAATACCTACTTTTCTCTCCAAAGTAGCAGCCATTTCGGCTGGGCAAAACTTTTCAAGGAAAACTCGTTCGTCGACTTCGACGACGGTATGGTACAAAAGACTTGGGGTCTTACAGCTTAGATCAAAGATATCCGGTCGTGCTTGATTTCCAATTTCAAGTAAATCTTTGAAACCCTTGGTTGTAATCAATGCCATCTTCGACCCTCGTCGTTCTAATAGTGCATTCGTTGCAACGGTGGCTATCAATGATTGAAAGTAAACGTATTATTTGGGTAAGATTGCATTGCTGTCATTTCTCAAAGAAACCAAAAATTACACTGTCGTCGTCGTCGTCGTCGTCGTCGAAAAACTTACTTCCCATCCGAATACTTCCAATATTCGATGTACAGACCAACCTTCCTCTGGTGTAGTCGATACCACTGCTGACATCATTCTTTTCCAAGACCCGCCTGATTCCTTCGGTGGGGGCATCCAAATAGTGCTGTGGATCTTCACTGAGAAGCTTCGACACGACAATCTCACCCGACGGCAACGTTGCGACGACATCTGTGAATGTGCCACCTCTATCGATCGCAAAATGGTACTTTCCATCGCTGGGGACCATGTCGGGAGTTAGGGGACCGCTTGTCATATTTCTTTTGTATTGCTTTCACTCTTTCCGACACGAATTTTTTTTATGACACACGATACAAACTAACATCATCGGTGCGACGTCGAGATTTTCGAGTTGACAGATTTCGAACCTCGCAGTCCAAAGATTTGGAACCTCGTGGTTTTGTGACCTCGCGATGAGGAGGTCGTAACGGCTTCTTTCTGGACCTCTTAGTCGACTCACTAGATTGAGAGTTGTTTTTGGTCCAACGAGTCGTCGATAGAGACGAAATCAGAACATCAACTGCTCTCCACCAAAGAAGCCAGTAAAGTCACCATGGTTCATTCAACAGTCCTACCATCAATGTTCCAATCCTTCTCATATTCGAGATGTAGAGTTAAACTGTTTGACAATGCTTCCTTTTTTTCAACCACCACCAGAAATACCGTCTCTCTAAAGAAATTGATTCAACCATTTCTTGTGAAATGCCATCCAGACATGGCCCAGCAGCAAGGCTTGCCCAAGACGGCCCAAAAGGTGAATTTGATAGCCATTCAAAGTTTAAATTCCTACGTAGATGGAGCTACGACATTGGAGAAAGGAGGAACCTATCCGTTTTCTTCTTATGAATCTGGCTTGATGGATATTGAATTTGTCATGTCCTTTCGCAAGACGGGAACCAAATCGGCCAATCCCACTACCAGTCGGCGCAAAGTCGAATTGCAAGTGCCACCGCCAACCATGGATCCCAAACGAGTAACACCGCATGTGCAACGGCAGGTCGTGAAACTACTTCGGATGGCTGATTTGCCCGTTCCATTGTTGGATTACGACGAAGAAGGCGAAGAAGCAGCAGAGGCCCAACGACAAATGACGGATCCCAATCGACAAGGAGGAATATCGGAAGCGTACATGGGAAATCAAGTATTACGACAACAGCAATCTAGCCGCAAGACAGCATGGGATCGATCACGAGACCGTTTCCATGCACGATTGAATTGGAAAAAGTATGATCAGATTTACAAGCAAGCGTTACATGATGCCCAAGCACATCAAATGACCAAGGACATGATACGGTGAGTTTCCATGTGCTTAGTCTACTTGCCTTACTGAAAGTATGCAACCCAGGTTTCTCACATGGCCGATCATTGTAGAAACAATCCTCGAGCACGAAGACTACTACTCTCCAAGATTCTCTCCAATATCCAATTCACTGACAATGTAATACCCCTGGAACGATTAGTAGCCTACCGACGCCTATTGCGCTTGATCGACGAAAATTTTGATGAACTAAGCATTGAAGACTTTGGCAAGTATTGGGAAGAACTATCCATTGTCATTACCGAGGCTCGACCCTACAACACTTCGTCTTCGGCCATGAAGAAACGGCGACGACGCAATCTAGAGACGGGATATAGTTTCACCATTCACCACGATGACAGCGTCACGGTGACAGTGCCTGTCGACTTTCAAAATGATGAGTTGGTGCAGGAGTTGCAGCGCAACGTTGGAGATTTCTATCAATGGACACTCCAAGATAACAGTGTTGAAAGCATATTTGAATAAACGTAAGGCTGTTTACGATATGATAGTATTTTGTGATAGGATAACGGTAGGATGCGGGGTCAAATAATGTGCAAAGAAGGTTTTTATTAATGCGATTGATTGAGTTATTGATCATCGATCAGTTCTATGACATGTTAACTCCAAGCCACAGTTCATACCACCAAGCAATTGCTTCACTCCAACACATGCCATTCTACAATCGACAGCACCTACTCTATAGCTTAGTTTTCATTTCGTATTTTACTTTATTGCTTTAATTTTTTAAAGAGGAATGAATCTTGTTTGGTGGGCAGCAGAGACACCAGGACGTCCGTGTCTGACTGGCTTGTACGTGACGGCGAATTCACCCAAGTACATACCAACCATCTCTGGCTTCATTTCAACACCACAGAACATCTTTCCGTTGTAGATACCGACAATTGATCCAATCATTTCTGGAACAATGATCATGTTTCGGAGGTGGGTCTTGATACCACGGGGCTTTTCGCCTGGTGGGGCCTCCTTCTTGGCTTGTCTCAATCTCTTGATCAATGCCATGGGCTTTCTCTTGAGACCACGGGACATGCGGCGACGGGCACGGCAAGTAACAATGTCCATCAATTCATCATTTGTCAAGTCTAGAAGAGCTTCCAACTCAATTCCACGAAAGGTGAATTTGCGGAATTGACGCTTCTTTCGGAGTTCGGCAACTTTTTCGGCATCCATGATTGCTATATAGACTAGAAACAACAACAAAATTTTTGTCAGAAGACTATCCTCAAGAAAATTGTGTGTGTGTGCAATGCGAGTCTACAATTGTCCAATGTGCTTCCAACAGTGCAAGCAGCAGAGGGACACCCAAAACTCTCCACCGGATGATCCAATTCTGGATGCGCACAGCCTCTACAAAGGAGACTATCCTCTTATCAAGGGTGTACTAAATCATCCGATTGCTATCCTCGCCATAAACACCCATTGTCATGTTCCTTCATCCAACTTGGTTCACTCACATTGGTTTCGTAGTGGTATTCGAAATACAACAGATCGATGTTGTCTTGAGCGACAGACAGGGAGAACGAAGTAAGGACGACAGTTTTTAGTAGGTGGTAACGATGAGTAAGTACAGCAATAGTTTCTTCATCAAAGTGTAAGTCACGGTCAAACCAGTCCTGTCCGATTGCGCACATCGCGCGCATAGGCCAGTCAAAAAAAGGAAGAGAAAAAAGGAATCGATAACCACTACAAAAAACATAACTATCTATCACAGAAATACCAGATACCCTCCTACGCAAGATAGAATACCATGTCACAACGAAAAGGTGGTGGTGGAGGTGGAGGCGGCGGCGTTGGCTTCAAGTCTCTTGGGCTGAGCGATATCGTTTTCAAAGGTGTCGTCCGAATGGGATTCCGAAATCCAACCCCAGTCCAACGAAAAGCCCTTCCTGTGGTGCTATCAGGAGCAGATGCTTGCGTCATGGCACGGACGGGTTCGGGAAAAACTTGTGCCTTTTTGATTCCATTGCTGGAAACACTGCTGGCCAATCCACCTACCGCCCAACGACAATCCGGAACCCGTGGAATTGTGCTGAGTCCTACCCGCGAACTGTCTCTTCAAACCCTTAAGGTACTCAAGAAACTATCTCATTTTACTGAACTTCGGTCCATTGGTATTCATGGTGGAGAGGGAATGGAACAACAATTCAATCAATTGAGCAGTAAACCAGATGTAATTGTGGCAACTCCTGGTAGATTGGCCCATCATTTGGAAGAGATTCCTGATTTCGATTTGAAGGACTGTCAAATTTGTATCTTGGACGAAGCCGATCGATTGCTGGAAATGGGTTTCGCCATGCAATTGCGACAAATTGCCAAATCTTTGCCGCAAGATCGGTGCCAAAAAGTCATGTTGAGTGCGACCATGCCCAAGATGCTCATCGAATTTACGAAGGGTGGCTTTTGTACTGATCCACAAGTGGTTCGGCTGGATTCCGAAGCCAATGTCAGTGAAGACTTGCGGGTGGGATTCGTGACTTGTCGTAGTTTGGAAAAAGATGCTGTCCTTCTACAGTTTTTGGATGCCATTGAAGCCGATACCAACAAGCATGAAGGAACACGCACTGGGCTGACACTGGTCTTTTGTGCGACAAGGCATCACGTTGAGTACGTTGCAACATTGATCCAATCCAGTGGCAAAGATGCGACCATGATTTACGGTACAATGGATGCTGAAGCAAGAAACAAAAATCTAGCCGCCTTTCGAAACGGATCCAAACCCATCATGGTGGTAACTGACGTCGCTGCCAGAGGAGTTGATATCCCATTTTTGGATCATGTGATCCACTACCATTTCCCACCATCCCCAAAGCTGTTTATCCATCGTTCTGGACGTGCTGCTCGTGCTGGACGCATTGGATTTTGCTGGGGTTTGGTAGAACCAGATGAATTGCCCTACATGGTAGACTTGCACCTCTTTTTGGGACGCAAGCTCAAATGCTTGGAAGGATTTACGGAAAGTGGCAAAGCCGAAGAAATTGAGCCGTATTCTCTGGATGAAATGACACCCGACATGGTGCACTATGGTTCTGTTCCAGAGTCCATCTTGACGATGGAAGTGGAAAATGTGCGAAGAATATTGGACACGCACGGCGAAGCCGAAGTTATGAGATCCTTGACAAGAACATGCGCCAATGCAATGAAGCAATACAGAAGAACACGACCAGAAGCAAGTGGACAAGGTGCGCGACGTGCCAAAGCCATTTTAGAAGGAGCGAAGCAAGAAACAGGCCAACGTGTTGGCAATACCGCAATCCCGCCACATCCACTGTTGCAGGGTCTTGTCATGGAACAATACGAAAAAGACAAGAAAGCCGGAAAGATTGGAATTCTGAACGACCTGGAAAACGTCCGTCAGCGCCAAGACTTTTTGAAGGCTATGGCGGAATTTCGACCGAAAGAAACTGTCTTTGAAGCCTTTGCTACTGGTGGAGGCAAAGATTCGGGCGTTCTGAGTCAAGTGGACAAGGGCCGAACGACGGCAGGTAGCAAGAAGCATGATTCTAGTTTTGCATTGACGGCCATGAAGAATATGCGCCGACAAATGAGAATGGCCCGCAACAAGGGATCAGCGTTGGTTATTGCTGGTACGGATGTGGCCATGGAACGAAATGAGGATGTCGAAGAAACATCGGAAATGCCAGTCGAAGAACCTGTCGGAGTCAAGACTGTAACGAAAAAGGTAACTCCGCAAGTAGAGGGCAAGCGGCGTCTGTCCAAAGCAGAGCGAAAGCGTCTCAAGAAGAATCCCAATGCCAAAGCACACACTACTTCGACTACAACAATTAGTAGCAAGAAGAAGGAGGCCATTCGTGATTTCCGAGATCCCACCTTTTTTATTGAAAACAATGCCGTCACAAATCCAGAAGAAGCCGCGCGGCAGCGACAAGTGGAGGCTGCCATGCAACCTAGTGCTGCCAACATCAAGGGAATCCAAGGTAATGCTTTGAGAATAGAAGAAACCATGCTTGACATTGTGGGTGATGAAAATGATCAACTTGTTCAGAAGCAAAGAATGATGCGATGGGACAAATCGAAACGAAAATATATGCAAACAACTGTTGGTGCTGAGTTGAGTGGAGAGAGCCGTAGCAAGAAAATGAAATTGGAGAGTGGACAGATTGTGAAGAGGGATAAATTGAAGCTTGGGGAACTCTACGAGAAGTGGCAAAAGAAGACGAATCGTTCCATTGGTCGGGATGGCATCTTTGATACCCCAACAAATGATGATGATGGTGACTATGACGATTCCCCCAAAGGAAGGAATCAAATGGGCAAGAAAAAGAAAAAAGGTGGTTCTGCAGACAGTGATAGAGTATCGGCTCGTGACATCAAGAATACTCGTGAGCGCAAGCAAGATATGAAGATGAAGAATTTGAACAAATCGGACCGAAGGCGATTGGAACGAAATGGACAAGACACTGGCACAGCAGGAGGGCAGCAAAAGAAGGGCTACCAAGGGAAGAAGGGAGCGAGTGGAAGGTGGAAAAAGTAAATTTGAAGCGAAATGTTATGCTATTCCTAATGCTAATGAGCAAGCAGTATAATACATAAAGCTATCTTCTCATTCCAGTTGCATCTTTAGATTGAGAAGGCACTCTTTCCTCTCATCTTGGCAGAGTCACCGTATGATGGGAGTCCAGTATCAACAAACTCGACATCACTGAATTGCTTCGCCTTGGCGGCTTCCTCCTTGGCAGCCTCCGCTCTGGCCTTTGCCTCGGATTGCGCCTTTTTGGTTGCAGCCTTTTCCTTATCGGCTGCTGCCTTTGCCACGGCCTTTTCCTTGGCAGCTATCTCTCGTTCTGCCTTTTTCTCCGCATCTGAAGCAGCCTTTGCAGCAGCTGCTGCTTCTTTGTCTGCCTTCTTTTGAGCCTCAATTGCCTTCTTCTCTTCATCAGTCAACTTTGGCGACACGGTCATTCGCTCTGTGGCTGCCTTGGGCACCTTCTTGACCACAGTTCCAGTCAGGAGATTCTCTTCTTGTGACAACTCGTCAACGCTTGACTTCTTGACGTCAGAGATGGCGTCGTAGGATGACGGAAGTGAGAACTCCATGGTCTTGATTGTTTCAGCAACTTGCAAAGAGGATCCACCAAATACATCTTGAGCCTCAACGTTGCTGGGGGTAGCAAGATTGAAGGCAAAAATTGTTGCCGCGACACCGAAAGCCTTGATGGAATTTCCAAGGTGATTGTTGGATTCTTTCGCAGCTTCCAAAGCAAATGATGAGGCGGTATATCCATACCTGGAGGCAGGCGCGAAAGCTACCGCTTCGGCAAATAACAGGTATGTCACAGCACTTTGGAGAAGGAGTTTCATAGTCGTGGGTGTTCAGCTGCGTGTCAAAAAAGTGCGAGTCAATTATCATGGTCCGCAAGATACTTCAAATTGAAAATCACATGACACATGTGACACAGCTGACGTCGGCAGTCTGTCCGCGTCCGTACACGTACGATGCCGGTCCGATTATTGATCGCTGATCTGTCACGACCTTCGGATCCAAAATCCACGAAGCCAACTCATTCGTATTCTCATCACTCCCATACTTTTATACACAAGAAATGAAGGTTGCTGCCATGTTCTCTACTGCATTCATCGCCAGTGCATCTGCTTTTGCCCCCAAGACCAATGTCGCTTTTCGTCATGTCACCCAAAGATCTTTCTCTCGCGCCACTGCTGCGTTGATGGCCAATCCTAAAGTCTACTTTGATATGGAAGTTGGTGGAGAAGACGTCGGTCGTATCACCTTTGAACTTCGTGCCGATGTTGCTCCCAAGACGGCCGAGAACTTCGTAAGTCAGCTATGGACTTTTTGTCTATCAAAATGAGAATGCTTTGAACGCTTTTTATTTAGCTCACATTTAGCTTACATCTGTTCCAATTCAACTGCCTGCTCTGCTGTAGCGTGCTCTATGTACCGGAGAGAAGGGATACGGATACGCTGGATCCACTTTCCACCGTGTCATCCCTCAATTCATGTGCCAAGGTGGAGACTTCACCAACCACAATGGTACTGGAGGAAAGTCGATCTACGGAGAAAAGTTCGAGGACGAAAACTTTGACCTGGTTCACGAAGGAAAGGGAATCCTCTCTATGGCTAACGCCGGACCAGATACCAATGGCTCGCAATTCTTTATCTGCACAGTTGACACACCCTGGTTGGATGGCCGTCACGTTGTTTTTGGCAAGGTTGTCGATGGTTTGGATGTTGTTGACAAGATCGAACAAGTTGGATCCCAAAGTGGAATGACTGATAAGCCAGTCGTCGTCAAGGACTCCGGAGAAATCGAAGAATAAACATGTTGTAACATAACATGATAAGCGCTTCTAGAGTTATTAAAATATTGTCTCTTCTCAATTTTGTCGAAGTGTGGTCAAATGATTTAAATCAGCGAAAGGACTATATTATGCCCCCCCCAATGCCCACAAAATACACTGTAGTGCACCCCACACCCCACCGGTTTCGTTCATTCATCCTTTGCAAACAAAGAGATTTTCGAACTTGGATGGCATGTTGGAGAAACCATTGGAAACAGAATAGATTACAGAATGAGCGATACACTGCGGCAAGATGTCTGCAGAGCAATCGATTCTTTGCCGACCGATTGCTCCCTCGATGATTCCAAAGAAAAGCTTGACCCTCTCTTTCAATCGGCTGTGGAGAGAATTCACTCTCATTTCGAATCCAAGATATCACCTTTATTGATAGCTTGTGACAGAGGCAATTCTTCATGCCTTCAATATCTGGCTCAGAAACAGAAGGAGGATAAACAATTTGGGGCTTTCATTGGCCAACCCTTGGATCCCTGCTCGGATGAGGATTTGAACACTGCCATTCATCATGCCGCTATTGCGGGGTGTGTAGACGCCACTGCAGTGTTCAAATCACTTGGATATTCGATAAATTCATTGGCTTCCATTAGAAATGCACACAACGATACACCGATGATGATGGCTGCGGCAAATGGACGTCTCGACTTTCTAAAGAATTTTTATCAATTGCAATTGGCAGAACAACAACGTGATGACGAAACTATCGAAAGCATAATACTTGCCAAGAACAATTCAGAAGACTCCTGTTTATCTCTTGCAACTTGTCATGGTCATTCGGATGTGGTGGAATTTCTCCTGACAATAACACCAGTCGAAACTGAGGTACTGGATCTATGCAAAACGAGGCTGGAAAGCATGTTCTCCACCTTGAAACGAACCCCAAACTTGACGCAACAACACCTTGACAGGCTCAACATCGTCCGGAAATGTGTTGAAATGATCGAAAAGAAGCTCGCTGAACAGGCCGAGGATGCAGCAAGGCAACTCGTTGTAGAAGAAAATGACAAAGTCGAGGCCAAGAAATCAAAGGGTAAGAGGAGGAAAAGTAAGAAAAAGACAGTCCATACGACAAGGGATCAAGCACAGTCGTCACCCCAGCATGAGGAACTTGAAGAAAAAGAAGAAGCATGTGAGGAGCTGCAAGAAGGAAAAGAAGCAGAAGATGATGCACTGCAACTGAAAACGCTTTCTGACGGGACGATAGCTGTATCCGTGCAAGGTCAAGTGGAAGAAAACAAACCAGTTCCAATCTTGCCTACGAGAGTAAGGAAAGATTCAATCGATGAAATGTTTCAGAAGCACTTGAAAGGAAAATCACCAGAAAATGATGCTGTGATGGATGCGCTATGTCTAGAAGCTTCGATGTTACTCTATACTCCGCATGGTATGGCGCTGAATCTTTCACCTTCACAACTAGATGCAATTCAAGGTATACTGGAGAGACAGCTTGTTGCAGTTCGAGAAGCTCGGAACATTCAGGATAGATCACATGGCAATACAGTGATACGGTAGGTCCATAAAACTAATACGCATAGCTCAAGTCAACTTTCAAAATTGTGTTTATTAAATTGTGTTTATGATATGCAAAATCGAGCCAGTCAACCCTCCGAAATAATATTCGGTGTAACAACCTGAGGGTCCTGAGCTAAACCAATGTTCGAGGAACGAATGGGACGAGGTTTTAGGAAGCTAGCAGCAGACGAGTCGCTTGCCACCGACAACCTGCGAGAGGTTTGGTTGCCCTCGCCAAAGGACGGTGTTCTTTGATTCGGTCTATGGTCATAGGTCAACATAGGTGGTCGAGGTGGCTCAAATTGTGATGATGTCTTCATCACTGATAAACTTGAGGGCGATACACCGGTCAATGTACTGTGTGGTGATGGTACTGTGAATGAATCACGTCTCATAGGTTGCGCAAGCGGACTTTGGGAAGGCGCAGCAAAAGAAGCCCCCATGGACTGTTTGAGACAAACCCAATCTTTTGCAAGCAAGAGAGCAAGCTCTCCGCCAGTTCTCCGGTTGTCTTTCGAATATGCCCGGAAGCTATTCTTCACAATCTCAACCATATCATTTTCTTGAGGAGATCTCCGACTGGCTGGTCTTAAGAGGGTCAGCCTCATGGACATGAAATGAGGCAGCATTGTGGATCCTGTTGATATGTCCCCCGCGGGGTTTTCGTGAAGTGGCATGTGCTCTCCGAGAAGAGATACGATGCTCCTTTCCTCCTCTTCAGCAGAAGTAGTTCCGGGTCGAGAGCTCGCCATCGACAGTTGAGATGAGCTCTCATGGAGCGTGCCAAGAATAGTGGACGGTGGTCTGGTGGTGCCTGTTGCCACATTCGACTCTTTTGTGTCAATGATAAGCTTCCATTTCGGTTCGGGGCAGAGTCTGACGAGCTCGGTAGCACACTGTTGCGCAAGTCGCCAGTCTTCATTCAGAACTACTGTACTGTACAGCACAACAACAATTAGACCAACCATTGGAGTCTTCAATGGTATACCAAGAGCAGTTTTCAATCCATAGATCTTGGCACCCCCAGTCCTTTCAAACACTTTGGGATCGCATTCATCTAGATATGATGCCCAAGATGCCTTGCCAGAAGAGTACACGTTGCCAGGGAGTCCATGCCCGGGCTCAAAGGAAAAGTTTTCACTGTAGACGCCAAATTCGTTGAGAGCATATGCAAGTGAACTATCAATGTCCCCACGAGTGCTATAACCAGCATGAAACAATCGAAGCTTTTCCATATCCACTGCTTTGGATGGCCCATCGGAGTCACGAGGCAAAAAGCTCGGGACCCAGACATCAACATGTTGAAATGGGCTGTTGCTGGTCTCCATGTAATGTGTCACAGCTTCCAGAAAAGGACCACATGACGATGGACTCGGAGAAGAAGTTGAATTTCTTTCACTTGATACTGATTCTGTAGAGTGGCTCGTCATGCTGACTGGTTGCGGTGCTTCCTCTTGATCCATCAAATCACTCAATACGGCATCAAAGTCTTCACTGAAAGATCGAGCACGATCAGTTGGTTGGCTTTGTAGCAGCGGAGACATGTTTGATTCAAGACTCGTGTTGAGGGTTGGGAAGAAGTCCTCCGCCTTACCCCCCGGGAACGGACCGTCTTCTTCACTCACTGAGAGTAGACGCCGTCTCTTTTGCCTGTTGTTGTCGGGTAGAAAAGGTTCCATGCTTGTGTTTGATGTAACCGCATCGGCCTTGATTCCAGAAATGAAGACGCTTGGATTTGCACGTGCGCCTCCATCAGTTTGTAGGGCAATTCCCATCTGTCTTCGCCTGACTTTTCTTGCATTTTCTTCCACGCGTGATGCTCGGCGATCCATTTCTTCGAGACCGGCCACCCAGTTCGTGCTGTCGAGGAATGGATAGCCCACTTGGACGCATAGATTTGAAAAGTGCGTTCTCCACTGCTTGACGATATTGAAACGTAGCTCTAGTTGTGTCGCTTTGGAAGGGATGGACATCAAGAACTTCTCTTGCAACGCAGACAAAACCGCACAGTCACTTCGAATAGAAGAAGACTCGGGCCGGCTCAGCACAAATGATCGAGTACTCAACTTTGCGTTCTTCATTTTCTTGGTAAGGCGACTCGATTTACAGAGAAGAATATCTCCGAGGAACTCGTTCAACTTGATGCCATGTGGTAAGGGTAGTCGACCTTTGTCAAAAGAAGAGACAAGGAAATCAACGTAAGCAATCTCCTCTTCCGTCCATCGACCGGTTCTTTGCTGTTCTTGATCGGATATTTTTGTGCCAGAACTGGAACCCCGCGAGTTTGCTAGCACCATGTAAGTAGACTCGGCATAGAAGTCAGACATTTCATCCCGTCCATGGTTTCTGCCCTGATGATTCCCTTTCGCACTCGCTTTCTTCAGCTCAATCGCTTTTTCCAACGAAACAAAAGAGATTGGCAACAATTCAATCCCATTCACGGTGGAAGAACGGCACACCGGACATTGGACAGTCTTAGATCGTACAGGGGCAGGAAACAAGCTGTACTGTTGTGTTTCTTGACTCTGAACGTCCAACACCAAACACATCGGAGCACATCTCTGTGGTTGGTTCCAGTTGAAAGACGGAGGAAGTTAGAGTAGAGAAGCGTGTCAGTGTACTATGAAAATGAAAATTTGATCGCGCGTTAACAAACACGTATCCACAAGGCTCCCATAATCTTAAGTAATTGGGGACAGTACATTCGGTCGATAAATAAAGTGCACAGAAAAAGGCCGAACACCAAAACTCCCGAAAACGACGCGAACTTTGCAACCAACAACCAACAACAACAACACCAACACGAGACTCCGATTGAACTCACTGCATGTATTGTACATCCACAACCCAAAATCCGGATATCATTCCCTTCGTAGTTGCAAATGCTGCATACATTTGAGTTGCACTTTGGCATTACTGTTTGATCCATGGTGTTTGAAGTAGATCTGGATGGAGCCCGTCTCCAATTGCCGATTTTTGTTCCTGCAAATGTGCGACGATTTGGAATGCAATCTGCTTTCCTACGTGGATTTGTGTACCAGGACAAGAATTCTCAATTCTTTTTCGCAAATGGTTTTGATTGGACCATATTTTTATAATTGGCACCGGACAGACGGTACACCAGGTACGCCAAAATTTCGAGTTTTTCATGTCGTCATCATCGACGATCGACGTTTGAACGCGTACAGTGTGGAGTGCACATGACGTGCTTGATGAGAGACACTGGTTGAGGATGTGAGGACCGATCAGAACACTTCTGCATGCAAATACACTGACAGTCAAAGAGAGATAGGAGAATCGACGGAGATTGTGCGCTCAACGCATTGTTGAATGAGCCAACACAAAATGCGCTACGGTAGGTTTCAGAACACGGTATCATAGGAACCACGTCTAGCAACAATCTACCATAGTATACTTACTACCAGGCACATACACCACTGGTGCTCTTATCAAAGCGGCAGTTTTTAGTCTGTGTATAAAACTGAAGTAAAAAGTGAAGGAAAACCTCAGAAGCTGGACTCCCCCGCATCGCAAATAGATCTTTCCTTTATGAATTATTGAAGGTTCTATCGGTAGCTTCCGACTACTGCATTACCACAATATTTTCCTTCATTAATTACCACTCCAATCGATGTCTGATTCCTTGACGTCTTCAAATGCAAAGCATTGGAGATCCGCGAGGAGTGCCTCTTTGGAGACCACTGGCGACAAATGTACCTTGCCATCCCTCATGTAGTCCAAACAAAAGCGAAAGCGCTCGCTATCACGTTCAATGAACATTGCCGCCTCTGGATTTTCTTGCCATGTTTTTGAAGCCATTCGGGCCAACATGGTATCTGGGAACTTGTCCAGAGTTGCGCGGGAGACTTTGTAGATTTTGCCTCCCACATTAAAGGTTGCAGTTTCTGTTGTTTCTTGGGTTGTCATGTTCTTGGTCCTATATCAATCAGGGTCTTGTGAAAGCAATGTCACTCTCCAAAATGAGAAAGTTTTGTGGCGCATACGCTTACTGGAACGTGTGCTCATAGTTTTCACTCCGCCGGAATGAAAAGACCGTGTTGAAGTCCACGCTTCTCAATGCACCAGTGCCAGGTACTGTACTTTGAAGATTTCGATATCGTGCCTACGACAAGTATGTTAACATCCAGCTTGCAACCAGAAACTAGTTTTACTATACTACTAGTACACATCTACTACATTACCATACAGCATCCACCGGCATTGTCGGCAAAGAAATCTGAAAACTGAGCCGATTCCACACCTTGCTTGACAATGCTCACTGGGAGCATTGGCCGCTTCATGGATTTGAAATAGCTATCCGCATGATGTACCGCAAGCGATTTCATGCTTGGATTTGCCTTTGTTCCTACCCAAATATAAACATGAAAGCCTGTATCCAGTAGCAGTACTTCATCTTCCTGAAGATACGACTGTTTCAACTTGGGAAGTTTCATATTGGTTGGACCAGTTGCTGTAGGTTGTGCCCGACCAATTCTGTCAAATGTTTCACCGAGAGTATCAGGTGCTTTGTAAAGAACAGGGACAAATGCTTTCCCTTTGTCGTCTTTGTTGTCTGCACTCTGAATATTCACAGTGCGTTTGATTGGCCCTAGAACGCTGACTTTGGTTTGAATGTGCTTCCAAAAAGCCTCTGCTTCTTCGGGGCCATCGTTCATACCCTCATCCAGTACTTCTACACTACCTTTTGAGCAAAGAACTTCAGCGACTTGGTTTCCTTTTGTTTTCTCATCCTTGTTTGCTTGCTTTCCGACCCACATCCAAACTCCATCGTCGCCAGCCGATAAGATAAACACATCGCCGGAGTTGATATAGTCTCTTCGCAGCGGGACCTGTATCAGGCGAAGAGTATTCGATTTCAAAGACCCTTTAATGTGGAACAATTGCGGTTCCTCTTCTGTGGGTTCAACGTGACGAAATCCACTTTCGATTCCTCCTTCCCAGTAGGTGATGTGACCAAAGTAGCCCAAGAATAGTTCGCTTTCGTTGCCTTGGGTTTCACGGTGCTGAATCGCAGCTCCTCCTAGAGAATCATCGAGTTCCACCATTTTGTACGCACTTGTTCCATACTCGTCCTGGCTGCTTTCTTCTCCAATCCAAATATGGATGTCGTGCTCCAGTTTGTCATAGGCAGGATCCGGTTTGTATGTATTCAAGACGATATATGAGTCTCCTTTGTGAAACTTTCCATACTTCCGCTCGGGCCATTCTAAAGTTTAGAAGCCATCAGAGTCTATTTTGTTAGAGGATGCTGAACTTTCAATATCCGACAGGGAAAAAATATCTTGCCTTTGACCTGAAACTTTTCGATCCGCCAGACTTTGAGGACCACAGAATTGCCGAGACCGTCCCACGCTTTCTCTTTGCCTGCGGCCGCAGCTTTAATTTTCTTCTCTAAATCCGACCCGAAAAGAGCCAAGTTGCTATCCTTCCAGTTGATTTTGTCTTCAGGTTTTGTCAGCATGGTCTAAGGTGTCGCGGTGTCATTGGTTTTAAAAAAAAGGATTCAAAATTTTAGGGTGTGACCGACTCCAAGGAGTCATTTCAATAGAGCCAGTCGGGCCACAAGAAGTAACTGAAACTAATCAATACGAACACGAAAAACGATCACAACTGGCCGTAATACTTCAATATCGATCGATAAATGTAAAACCAGACTTGCAGTAATTACTATTTTATGCTTCTATTACATTATCATACAGGAGCATCCACCAGTATTTTCCACAAAGAAATCTGAAAATTGAGCAGATTCCCTGTCTTGCTTGACGATGCTCACAGGGAGCATTGGCCGCTTCTTGGATTTGAAATAGCTGTCTGCATGAAGCACGGCGACTGATTTTCTGCTTGGATCTGCTTTTGTTCCCAACCAAACAAAAACACGAAAGCCTGTATCAAGTAGTAGCACTTCATCTTCCTCGAGCAACGACTTGTTCAACTTTGGAAGTTTCACTTTTGTTGGACCAGTTGCTGTAGGCTTCGCTTGACAAATTTTGGCAAATCCTTTACCGAGAGTTTCAGGCGCTTTGAACAAAGTAGGCACAAAGGCTTTCCCTTTGTCATCCTTGTTATCTGCACTCTGAATGCTCACTGTGCGTTTGGCAGACCCTGTGGTGCTGACTTCGGTTTGAATATGCTTCCAAAAAGTCTCTGCTTCTTTGGGGCCATCGTTCACACCCTCATCTAGTACTTCTACACTACCTTTTGAGCACATAACTTCAGCTACCTGTGTGCCTTTTGCTTTTTCATCATTGTTAGCTTCCTTTCCGACCCACATCCAAACTTGATCGTCTCCAGCGGATAGAATGAACACATCGCCGGAGTTGATACAGTCTCTTCGTAGCGGGACCTGTGTAAGGCGAAGACTATGCGACTTTTCAGACCCTTTAATGCGAAACAAATGAGGTTCATCTTTCGTGGGCTCAACGTGACGGAATCCACTTTCGATTCCTCCTTCCCAGTAGGTGATGTGACCAAAGTAGCTCAAGAAAAGGTCGCTTTCTTTGCCTTGGATTTCACGATGCTGGGTGGCAGTTCCTCCTAGAAAGTCGTCAAGTTCCACCATTTTATATGCACTTGTTCCATACTCGTCCTGACTACTTTCTTCGCCAATCCAAATATGGATGTCATGCTCTAGTTTCTCAGAGGCAGAGTCCGGTTTGGATGTATTCAAGATGATATATGAGTCTCCTTTGTGAAACTTTCCATACTTTTTCTTTGGCCATTCTAAAGTTCAGAAATCGATATACTGTGTTAGCGAATACTAGGTTTTCAATATGATAAGACGAGGAAATGTGTTAAAACATGCCTTTGACTTGGAACTTTTCAATCCGCCAGACTTTGAGAACCTCAGAGTTACCGAGACCTTCCCAGGCTTCCTCTTTTTCTGCAGCCGAAGCTTTGATTTTCTTCTCTAAATCGGACCCGAAAAGAGCCAAGTTGCTATCCTTCCAATTGATTTTGTTTTGCGTTGTTGTCATCCTCTTTCAGTTGTCTATATTGTGAGATTATTGTGAGACTACGATTTTTCAGGTGGGACTCAAAGAGCAGTCCCAAAGGATCAGACGCAGACGCCCTATTCTGATGCCATCCTTCTGATCGGACACGCCAGGTCTTGGACAAGACAACGTGACTCTATTCCTTCTTGGTTCATGGGAAATAATGTACATATAGCTCTCCGAATCCAGACATCAAAGTAACTACATTATGCGTATGCTGTCTCCAGTAATAGAATGAACCATTGGACTAGAGAAGTGTGAGAAAAATTCCTCTGCTGGACTGCAAATGCTGCTGCCCAGGAGTGCGGCAAGCTCATATAGCATAGCCTTCACAGTATTTCTTCGTCGCTCGACCTCAGCTGCTCCCTGACTATTTGCTCTCCAATGTCAACGAAGAATGAGAAATTGTTTGTTGCCACCGATTCAAGCTCCTTCCTGCATTATTGCTCTTGAGAAGTGTTCACTCGGGACTCGCAGTCATTAGAATTGAGTCGTCAGTCAGTCACCACGCACATCAACAATAACAGCGAAAATTTAATAGTCACAATGACACAATCCACAACCCCAACGCAACTGACAACTTTGGCCATGAAGCTATGAAACGAAAAATGATTCGAGCGGTTCTCTTCACCGGAATTGCGCTCCTATTATTGACATATACTACGCTTACCCTTTCAACTCTTATTGGAACCCAACTACAACTACCCACAACACCACTAGATATCGACAACCACACGAGTTTGCATGTGAATCATCAAGTTCGCGAAGTTAGGAACACAAAGATTGTGGGATTCTGTAACTACAACTACCGTTCTGTGGGAAAGAAATGGTATAAGCGACTGACACGGCTTGGATACACCACCCATGTGCTCGTCGCCACCGACTTGAATATGAAAGCCCATCTCGAGTCATCTCAAGAAACCTACCGTTTTGATGTAGCTCTTGCGGAACCCATACCGCTCAAACTAGACGGCAAACGAAAGACGAAACGAGATCGAGCAGAACTGGAACTCTTATTTGCAGTTCGCTGGAAATATCTATTGAGTCAGCTTGAAAAAGGAATCCATGTTCTTCTAACTGATGTTGATAATATATTTTCTAAATTTCTAAACTTGAAGGACAGAGTGGAAGACTTTGATCCTTCAGTAGACATCTGGTTTGCATATGCAACCAAGTATCCAAACAAGGTGTTCGCGCAACAAGGATTCACTGTCTGTGGAGGCATGTCATGGTGGAGAGCCAGCAAACCAGCCATTGAATTTGCTCGTTTGATCCATGAATCCTGCGGCATCATGTGTGATGACCAAAGATTACTCAACAATCTGTTGCTACAAGCCAATATAACTTGGGATTGGACGCCAGCGGTACTGAACAGTCGCGTTCAGGACGGTGACGAGAGGTTCGCTGGATTGCTAACTCTGGGTCTCAAAGGCGAGTCTGCAAAAACCGGGTACAAGGCACACATTTGGGACCGTGATTTCGCCTTCCGGGGACATCTGCAACCCAACGAATGTCCAAAGGACAATTGGATTTCAATGCCCATTGTCGATGCGAAGAGCAGACACCAAAATTGGATTGCAAAATTTGATTCCTTTGACACTTGGGACCGGCAGTGTGGTAAGAAGAGCTAGCACTGCTACTTATCTTGTAATGTGGTTTGCTTTAAATCAAGCTCCCACTACATGCATCTGTTTGAGATCTGAAATATCTCGCTCATTGCAACACTTGCAAACGGAGTCCCATCATTATTGTATCTCATATAGTAGGCTCGGTACAATCCATCTGCTAGGAGGCGCTCCGTGCTAATGACAAAGTCGTTCGTCTTGGGATATGCTTCGCAAAGTTTGGTACCGCATGACCACGACCATTCTTCGTAATCGTCCAGCAGAATGGTAGTGCTCATGGGATAAATCGCAATCCAGTCACTCTCTCGCGTGTTGCAGACGTCGAATTCAAGCAAGATTCCGTCGTCACCAGCGACATAACACAACTTATCCACAGACAATATATTTTTGTTGCATTGAGTTGGCTGTAGGGTCGCTGGGACAGAGGGAGCTGGAGAAGGCATTGCCGTCATGACGGTAGGTGCCAAAGTTGATGCTGGCGGGGCCACAGGCGTAAGAACTAGAGATGCCATTGAGTTTCGTTGTTTCCCTTGCTGTTCAGATTTATATCCAATCACAAAGCATAAACCAGTTAGACCGATCAATAGCATGAGGACGGCATAGGCCACCTGAATCGGAATTTCTATTTCCATGCACAAAAGGTCCCAGACTCCTGGAGACTTTCTACGGGATTTCTTTCTGCTGCGCTTGGAAACGACAGATGCATCTGATCCTTTGCCCATCTTTGCTTGAGGTTCATCCCTGAATGGCTCGTTCTCTTCTTCATCATCAGATTCGTCGTCCCAAGAAGACGGCTTCTCCTCCTCTTGTTGCCACGGAATCATGTAGTGCGAAATAAAACTAGGAGTATAAGTCGACATTTGACTATTCGCGTTTGTCGAGTTCCAGGAGGCTGCTGATGCGCTAGATGTATCAGCACTTCTTTGATTTGACATGTTGTGCTGACTGTGCTGAGAACGCGCAGGCGAGTGGAAGGCTGAAGCGGGAGGGTAGGAAGAAGTGGACGAAGATTGTTCCTGATCATCGTTCAGTGATGTTGGTGCATTTCGGAAGAAGCCATCTGTCGTGTTCAAGTACTGGGTTGCAGTCTCCAAGAAATCAAAGTCGCTAGTCAGGGGATCATTCTCCCTACTAGAACTTTCACTGTCAAAGTAGCTGCTGTTCATGGTCTCTTTATAATGGTTTTTGTCGACCTTCGAGAAGGAAAATGATGACAAATCAAAGAGTTTTTGTTGTTCATCGGAGTTGAAAGATGGCGGGCTTTATGTGGGAGACATCCAATCGTGACTAAGAATCATTTTGATTGGTTTATTTCCCCCCACGATTGGACCAGCAACGGGGAACCGGCCCGGTTTTTGGCAACAGTGTAAATACTACTAGGTATGCACTGTGGCGTTTGGCCAACTGAAACGGACAGCTTGCTGTTAGAAGTTGTAAGCAAAGTTGATACATATTCTATTTGAAAACATTTCATAACGGCATCGTGTACTCATGATACTACTTCATGAGTCGTTGGCATTCATTCAAATCCAGTATCTAGCATACATGTGGGGTATAATTTGAAAAGGTAGTAAGTGTGCTATCGAATAGGTACAACTACAAGTACTGGTAATCTGCGTCTATAGTAGAAACTCCTCATATCAGTAGCATAATGACAACATTTTAAACTCTTGCTTCATTCCAAAATATTTCCAAAAGTCAGATCTATGATTATGATCCCGAGTTTGACTCCTGTCGTTTTCCAACCATTGATCGAGAGAAACACGAGGCAACGATCCAAATTACGATTGCAACCGCATTGATAATACCACTCGAAATAACCTTGCAATCCCCAGCATAGCGAATGTCACAAACTGCACCGAAGAGGACGGCATAGGTTGGAACTTGAGAAATTGCCGCAAGCATAAACCCGCAGCTGGCTACTCCTGGGTTCTTGATTTTAAACTTCAAATTGAAAGCACTTGTTCCAATAGCTATAGTCGCTAACGTTCCTGAAATCAATCCCGCAACCAGCGACAGCACAGCAAAACCGTCAATGAAATTCTTAGGTCCAGCAAATGGCGCGGATCCGTCGGTATATTTGCACACGTAGAGTCCTGGCTCTGCCTCAAAAGCGTTACCATTTTCATCAATCCATGCCGCGGAATAGAAGCCACAGGATGCAAATACGACGCAGGTCAAGCAAAAGCCAACAATTCCTGGTGAAAGTAAACAGCAATTTAGTGTCAGAGAGAGGGCACAACAGTGAAAGTATCGAAAATGCCGCCTTTTTAAACATGGATCACCCAAGCTCTCCTCGCTTTACACGATATTTTTGTATCTGTCTTACCAAAGAAGAAACTGACTAATGCAAGTCTTCGTCCAGGTGTCATGATGTATGATTCAAGGGTTGTTTGTTTCTTTGTGTTGTCAACTTCTCAGATTGCAGTCATAAGTTACTCGCCTGTTCTTCACCCGGTTTCGCCCCAAAGGTGCCATGCGCCATCCCATATCGCAATGTTACGAATAAATTACATATTCTAATAACGGTGAAGATTCTAAATATAGAGATGTTTCAAAACTTATTATTAGTAGCTTCATGTAACACGAAGTTCCCACTCCTGTGGTGTGGAGAAAAGGATGCTGGAGTCCAGCTGTTCAGCAGGTTCTGGCGGTGCGTGACACATGCCTAGTACTACACCATGTTCGACAGGTCAAAAACCATCATGCCTAGTCAACTCCAAAGAAGCGACGCTGTTCTGCAGAATCTTCGTCAGATACTTCTTCCTCGACATCAGAGTGACCCAAATCTTTGCTTGGAGAAACTACGTCACGAATCATTTGCTTCAGTTCTTTAGTCTCTGGGAATCCACCATCCGTTTTGCGATCAAACAGAAGATTACCGTCCAAGTGAACAGACTTGAAATGACAGGAATTGAGAAGTGAGCGATGTCTAATAACTAAGGAATGCCAAACACTTTCCCACACAATGTAAAGAATGCTCTGTTTGAACTTACAAACTCGCCCCCTTTCACTGCCTTGGAGGGCACCAACGTCACGGACTTGATTTCTGTATCAAAAGTTGTCAAGAGCTCCTGACCATAGTATGCGGCACGCAGTAGCCATTTACAACCAGTGCAGTAGGTGATGGTAATCGAGGGCGATTCGTCAGCCACGTAGACTGGCGTCGACTCGACCGCCGTGGAAGTATCCACTACAGAGTCGCCATTTTCAGAATCCGAACTTTGACGTTCCTCGGTATCAGAGTGGCCCAAGAACTTGTCTGGTTTTACCAGGTCTCGAACGACTTGCTTGAGTTCTTTTGGCGAAGGAAATCCATCGTTCTCCTTTCTGTCCCATACTAGGCTCTCCCCGTTCAAGCGAACAACAAAGATTCCTTTCGAAGAACTTGGAACTATTGTGATAGAGTCGAGATCTTTCTCAAAGGTAGACAAAAGCTCCTGAGCGTTCCAGAATGCCCGAAGCATCCATCTGCATCCGGTGCAGTACTCGATGGAAATACGTTGGGATGTTGTTTCGGCGTCATCGTTCGCAGTGTGAAGCAAGGTCGTTGAGTGCTTCTTGGGCAAAGCAAAATGGGCTGGTGTCGTTTGAAAGGGTGACACACGGCCCAACAAGAGACTGCATACAAACAAGAGAAGCTTCATGGTTTTATGATTGTATCGGTAGATGGGGCAAATGGCGAAATAATATCTTTCGAATGATGGATCTGGTCGGGAAACTGCCGGAAGAAATCAGAACCCGAAGATCAATCGAACTAGTCGATCCGGAATGATCGATCTAAACATATATATCGATAGCATCGTCGTGTCGTTCTTTGTTTGTTGAAGCGTGTAGGTTGTGGCAGCATTTCAAGCAACATCTCTATTATATATGATTGTTCTAAAGCTCATTCTTTTTGAGCTGGTGAAGTAGTTACGAACTCCATCTTTCATGGATCGAAACAACCTGTCGAAGCGGTGTACTACCATATCCCTTCAGCTTAAAGACAGATCCAGTCATTCGTTGGAGTACTTTTTTCACCATCCTGTCACGCTCTTCCTCCGTTGTATAACATTCAGTGCCATGTCCACATCTCAAGCGCAGAGGAGCGATATCCCTACGAATCTGTTGGTGGTGGAGGTCAGCTTGGTTGAAACAGTTGTCGATTGATCATTCGAGCAGCTCCCAAAGCTTGATCTTCCTCTTTGTCCGCCTCGGGGAACATCTGTCCCCCAATTGATCCCAACATAGCTCTGCTGTTTTTTGCAGTCTCCTTTGTGCAACTCTCAAATCCAGCTCGAAGAGGTCGGCACTGACCGAGGCCTCTTGTCGCTACACAAGTAAGATATATGTCTCCAATGTTCCTACATGGACCTGATAAACTCAGGATAGCTGATGCTGTATCCAGTTCGTCTTGAATATCTAGTTGGTCGTTTTGTGCCATGGTTGGATGCAATGTGGCATCCGTGACGATGATTTCTTGCGGTGTCACGAAGAGAACTCTTTTTGTTGTGTTCTGCATGACGGACAGACTGGACTCCCAAGGAAGCACGCAAACCAACTCTAAAACCTGGCTTACGTCATCGATACACACGTTGAACACAAACGTGAAAATACTGGCGATTCTCCCCATGCTTGACACCGATCATCGCAACATTCTCCGACAAAACTAACATACTCGTGTATACGGAAAATACACGCACACAACCAGATACAATGGGATGCGTAAATTCCAGAGTGAAGAACGGTGTCCTAGATGACCCTGATGGTGACAAGACGGCCTACGATGAGAGATTTGAAGAGATAAGAGTGTTAGGCGAAGGCTCCTTTGGCGTCGTCAGTCTTGTCAATGACAAGAAAAGTGACGGTCTTCTACAGCAATATGCAAGCAAAAATCTACAGAAGGGAGAAGTGTGGAAAGGGGACACGCTGTATCCGCCAATCGCTCCAGAATTACTACGAACGGAGGTGGAAATTCTTAGGACTCTGAGAGGCCAGCATTATTGCCTGAAGTTGATCGGCGTGTACGAGACTGACAAGGAGTTATTACTCGTAAGCGAGTGTTGTTCTGGAGGGGAGATGATAGAATATGTTTCCATGCTGTCTCAAGATTTAAGGACAGAGGATATTTCGCGAATATCGTACCAGCTTTTAGATGCAGTCAATCATTGCCAAAGTCACAATGTGATTCACAGAGATTTGAAACCAGAAAACATCATGTTCTTGACGAATGAACCTGGTGCTGAGCTACGGTTAATTGACTTTGGTCTGTCCACAAATCGATTCGCGGACGGCCTTCACACAACTTATTCTGGAACACCCTTCTACAACTCTCCTGAAATGTTCAAGAACAAGTACACGAGCAAAACTGATGTCTGGTAAGTAGTTGCTGCGAGGTGTCATGCTTATCTTGTGTGGACGTTTCATTATTCATCTGTACCGGACTTTAACAACAGGAGCACTGGAGTGACATTGTATGTCCTAGTCGCTGGATATCCTTCGGAACGCCTCCAAGATGCGTTCAATATCTTGCTGGATCCAAAACGAAAAACTTTGAAGACGTTGCCCAACATGCCAGCCAACATGCCCGACTCCTATTACGATATGCTGGATGGCTTATTGACTCACAACTGGAGAAATCGAAAGACTGCAGGCGAAACACTAAAGTGTGATTTCGTTCTCTTTCATCAAGATTTGGAAGCCGAGCACAAAGATGATACGGCAGAATTGACCATACAACACAAACGACAAGAGAGAATACAGAAAACAACTTCGATGCGTCTACCTGGTACTGTGAAACGTCACACTATCTTTTTGGACTTCAAGAGTTTCGAACGGTCACTGACGACGGTACTAGCAACTATATTGGACCGTACTGAACTCCACTTGCTGATTGCTCTTTTCGACGAAAAGGTCGGGGGGGAGATTGACCCACAGCTACGTGTCATCAAGGTGCAAGCCTTGAAAGACTTGGTCGAGCAGGAACTTGAAAGCCCGAAATGGTATGTAACCGCATGTTTGTTTTAGTGAAGTTGGTGAAATGACTTACCCACATCTTGTGTTTTCAGCGTGGCTGCAATCAACAAGTTGAAGGACGCGCAAAAGTACGACAACTTTGCATATAACACAAGTTTGTGCAAAATTTTTGATGATACCTGCGGCGAAGACCCAGGGATGATTGGAGGTGGCTCGGAAAAGGGGATACAGAGCGATCGACCGCAGAGGATATTCCGAAGAAGTCATTCTGATGTTGAAGACCCTTTTAGCAATAGTGAGAGAGCTAGCAGCGATAGGGGAGTATTCCTACGCAAAAACAAGTCTGTATTTTTATAAATGATACCAATCACGCTCATAAGGGGCAACCATAGATAAACATAAACATTTTCCGATGATATTATTCGCGTAAATAGTATCGTACCATAGTGTACAGTACAGTAGCTCCTTGGATTTGTAGAAAGGAAGGGGTGGAATATAATCAGGGGTACATCCCCAACAATATCAAAGTTCTGGACATCGTCCGTTCCATGGATACTCACCAACGAACCAGATTCTCGGCATTCACTTTTTTTCGTTCCAAAAACAGAAAGTGAACCATGTCCAATTCCAAAGACTACAAAGACTTGCCGCTAGTTCCAGAGTCGTTACTTAAGCGTCGCCATGATCTCGATGATCTGCGACGCAAGAATCAGGCAAATGCTGAGAAAAATGCAAAGAAGAAGAAGCGGGGAATGTATGTCAAGAAGCCAGAGACGGTCTTGGCACAAGCCAAGAACCGTCGCAATGAGCAAATGCGCTACCGCCGTGTAAAGAAGAAGGGAATGATGAAACGGGCCTCCAACAAACCAGTTTTCGAGAAGAAGGAAGTTCAAGGACCTGACGATGAAGTCGATGTCATCTCGTATCAATCAAATTCTGTCGGAGCTTCGTTTGTATTTGCCATTCGAATTCGTGAGGACGTTGGCCCCATCCCAAAGAAGATCTACTTGACTCTAGCTCAATTGGGATTGAAAGAGAATAACACTGGTGTATTTGTAAAATATGATGCTGCCTCGCGCAAGAGGCTCCATCTTGTTGAACCTTGGGTGGTTTACGGAAACCCATCTGAAGGTATTGTGAAGGATTTGCTAGAGCGCAAGTCTTTCGGAAATGTTAATGGAGAAAAGGTTCCACTATCCGACAACACAATCATAGAGAAGGAGTTGGGTGATGAGCATGGGATCATCTGTATGGAAGACTTGGTTCATGAATTGACCAACAGTGGAGAAAATTTCGATGTCGTCACGAAGTTCTTGTGGCCATTTCCCTTGACAGCAACACGATCAAAGTTCGAGAAGGAAAAGCTAAAACAAAAGCAAGGAAAGGATTATGGCGACAAGGGTGCTTTGATTGATGAATACATCAAGAAGATGTTGTAGGAAAATTGAATGACAGGAAATTAAAAATAGTTCACATTTGGAGAAAGAGAGAAATGTTTTTCTATTTGACACGTTGGACCTTTATCCTTGGTTGGACCACATGCAGGGCCAGTGCGCAAACTTCTTGAAGTTGGTTCGAAACAAACAAAACGACGGAATAAGTGGTCGTCGAACAAAGTGGTGAAGAAACATCGACACCTCAGTTGCTTCAGCCGTTCTTGTTAATCTTCTAGCTTTCATAGCTTATGCGACCCGTCGTTAAAAACGAATCTTCTTTCATTTTTCTAGGTCGCTGAATTGAAGGATCATCTGCAAGAAGAGAAATAACCCACCGATACTCCGCTGAATCATCATCTGAAGAGTCATTAAGTTTCACTGTCCAATTCTTATCCTTGACGATACATTAAAATAAAGCAATGGGAACTTGTTTGAGCAGTGCTACCGGTGGTGGCATTTTGATCGAAGATAACGACGGCAATGAGAAAGATTATCACGATCGCTTCCTTGAAGACAGAGTTCTTGGTCAAGGAGAGTTTGGTGTCGTTACCTTGGTTCAGGACATGAGAGCCCCGGACGGTGAAAATTCGCTGGCGTGCAAGGTCTTGAGGAAGGGAGTTGTATTCAAGGAAGGCACGCTCTATACACCACTGAAGCCCGAAATATTACAAGGCGAGATTGGTATGTTGAGAACCTTGGCTGGCAAACATTACATCATGAAGCTTGTAGCAGTCTATGAAACTTCCGCAATGATCCATATGGTCACAGAATATTGTGCTGGAGGTGAAATGATGGAATATGTGTCGAAACAAGAAGAGGATCTCCGAACCGATGATGTTTCCAGAATCGCATTCCAATTGCTTGACGGTATTAATCACTGCGCCAAACATGAGATCATTCACCGTGATCTGAAACCAGAGAACGTCATGTTCGTTTCGCCAACGCCAGGAAGCGATTTGAGAATCATCGATTTTGGTTCGGGTACCCGAAAAGTAGTTGAGGGTGTTCACACAACTTTTGCTGGATCTGCCTTTTACATTTCTCCAGAAATGTTCCAAAGAACGTACACTCAAAAGACTGATATATGGAGCATTGGAGTAACGCTCTATGTGTTGGTTGCAGGATACCCTGCTGATGTTTTGCAGAAGGCTTTCAATCACTTGCAACAGAATGAGAGAGATTTGAGAAAGCTACCTAATTTTCCAGAGGACATGCCTGATTCGTTTGTTGAAATGATGGATGAACTACTCGTTTATCGACACAAATCCCGAAAAACTGCGGACGAGCTTCTGAAACTCGAATTTGTCCAATTTCATAAGGACGCTTTCTCGATTGATCAAATTGCGTTGCAAGCGCAACAAGAAGGGCCAAAAGGATCTTCGTCTTCAAATCAGCGTATGTCCATGTCGATTAAAGGATCTGTCAATCGCCACACTGTCATGTTGGATTATCAAAAGTATCAAATGAGTTTAACGGCTCTGATTGCGACACTATTGGGCACGAAAGAATTGGTCAGTTTTGTTGCAGACGTGGAAGAGAGAGCGAAGGCGAATCAAGAAAAGCCAGCAGAAGGCAACATATCTCTCGGTATGTCACTAGACGTTATCTCGATCAATGTATTGAAGGAAATGCTGAAGGAGCAGAAACATGATCAAGTGTAAGTTTCTCCGTTTGCGGTCTGCGGAAATCTCTGTTTTTCACAGTAACTAATCATTTCTCCCGTTTGACCAGGATACAAATGATTGATAAGTTGCCGCACTCAGCTACATTCGAAAAGTATGCATACGATGTTTCAAAGTTGAGAGAATTCACCAACAAGGATGACGATAAAGACGGTATTACTAGATCAGTTCGTTTGTCCAGTGGTAACAAGAAGCCAAAGATGTCACTGCAAAAATCTGGGTCATTCCGTGGCTCCTTCCGATTTTCCAAGAAAAAGGGCAACAGGAGTGGATCTCTTCACCAGTCAGGATCGTTACGCGGAAAACGCAACAGTACACTTACGTAATGTGTTTGGTGAAGTCATTAAAAATAGATTTCTACCTTGTTGTTGATGGTAAACATTAACATTATTTAAAACGTGTTTTCAAATTTGCCAGTCGAGAATTATCCAAAAGCAGCACCAACGGATGTTTCCTTTGTCGCTTTGAACTTTAGTTTGTTTGCAATTTGGGCCTGCAGACCGCCACCTTTTTCCCACCATGCTACAAATTCACCCATGTCAATCTTTCCGTCACCTTTCGAGTCAATCGTCTCGAAAGCCTTCTTTGCTTTTTGTCGGTCCTTGAATGGCATTCCAAGCATCGTACAGCAATCCATGAATTCTGTCAAGTCAATATATCCCGTACTTCCCAAGTCCATCTTTTCAAACACTTCCCGAACAGTCTTCAATTCTGTCGACAGTTCCAATGCCGCAGCCGCCTTGTCGGGAATTGGACCCCCGAATGTACTGAGCACTTCCAACGCGTCATTGAGTTGTCGCTTTTTCTCCCTCCATGACCAACCAAGTTCCTTGGCCATCAAATCGGCAATCTTGGGTGCAGCCGCAATTGCTGCATCCTTATTCAAGTACGCTACTCTCGTTCGTAGCGTCAACATGTCTGTTAGAGTGCAAACCATTTCGTGTTTGCAAATGTATGGAATTTCGTCCTCGAGGTATGGAAAACCTGCGCATGGTTGAAAAAAAAGTGAGGAGGGTGTTTTCTTTGCCATCAACTTTTGCATCACCCTACCACGTTAGCAGTAAGCGATACTCACCTTCAATCAAGACATTCCCAAATCGAGGCCAACGCTTCGAAGTTGGTGTCGCCATTCTGCAAACATCCAATGCATTCATCCCATAGGTTCGTGCCAAATGCTTGGCACTTTCTTCACTCACTCCAAAGTCTTGAACTAGAGTGATTGGTAGGTTTCGTCGGTACCCCACACCCCCACGAAGAGGTCTGGTTGCCGTAGAGCTTTCCTTGGGTGGATTGAGTTTATGAAGACTGATTACACGATCGATCACATCTTCGGCCATTTCCCGGTAAGTAGTCCACTTTCCACCCGTGATAAATGTCACTCCCGTGTCTGGGTTGACCGAAATAATATGATCCCGACTCACTGGAGCACCTGGAGGTGCATTGGGATCCGACGCCAATGGACGGTATCCTTGCCAAGCACTAAGGACATCGGATCGGCGAACCTTGATATCACCAGCCAAATATTTTTGGACCTCATCCAACAAGTATCTAATTTCTTGTTCGGGTGGACCATAGGACGACTCGGCGGGACCCTTTCGGTCCGTGGTACCAATTAGCGTATGCCCCTCCCATGGCAAAAAGAAAAGAAATCGACCGTCCGAAGTATTGATGTCCAACATTCCAATACCAGCGGGACAAAAGTAGTTGGGCAAAACTATGTGGGTTCCGGCAGCTGCGTTCACTGCTGGTTCAGAGTTTTTATCTTCCATTTTCCTCAAGGAATCAGTAAAGGGTCCACCTGCAAAGACAATAGCCTTGGCGTGAACTTGAAATGTCTTTCCACTAAGATTGTCGCGGCATTTGATACCAGTCGCCTTTCCACTTTTATCTTTGAGAATGTCAATCATTTCGACGTAATTGGCTACCGTTGCCCCTTCTTCAGCAGCCGTCAAGGCGATGCAAGTGTTGGTACGAGAGTCATTGTGCTGTCCCTCGTAAAACACGGAAAAGTATTTGGCATCTTGATCCAATTGTGGAAACTTGCGAGCCGCTCGCTTTTTCCCCATGATGTGGCTTGGTGGACAAGTGAACCCCGACATGCCGTCGTAAAATTTCATGACCAGCGGCATGACCACAGGAGCTGTAGCAAAGATAGGATGACCAAAAGGAGCAGGCCAGGATACCCACGACGTAAATGGAATGGCAATGGGAACCCAGTTGGTCAAGTCTAATACATTTGAAGAAAACGACAAATATATTCATCAGCATGCACTTCATTGCTTACAATTTAGTTTGCAACCTCACTGATCAAACACAGTTTTGTACTCACGCGGATTATTTTCCAGCAGGATTCTTCGTTCTTTATGTGCCCCCATGACCATATTGAATTCGCCCATAAAATCCGAAATGGCATCCAACGGTCTGGTAATGTTATGGAATCGCAACAGTGCCGAAAAGCCAGTGGCAATGTACCGAATCCCGGCCCAGATCAATTTGGTGGATCGTGCCGAGGTTTCGTTCCCAAAGTCTCCTCGTTCAATCATGGCCACGGACAATCCGCGAGTGGCAGCATCCAAGGCGGCACCGGCACCAGTAGCACCTCCTCCAACTACCAAAATGTCAAAGGTTTCGCCCTTTTTTAACTTGGACAATTGCTCATCACGGGTGGGAATCGGAATCGTGGTCGGTCCCAAATCCTTGACTTTGGCTTCCTTGCATTCGGTTGTTGACATGGTCGCAAGACCAAGTGCACTGGGAAACGCAAAAGTGCGGTCAAGACGTTTTCCATGTTTGTCCAACGTTGGCAAGGACGAATTTTCTTCCGAAAAGAAGCTGGCTCCAGTGACAGCTGTGGTTCCGGTTGCTAGCAATAGCTTTCGCCTGTGAGCGAGTATGGCTTTGGAAAGGTTGCTCCCCCGGTTCATTGTTCTCTTGGGTGTTTGCGACAGGGGACGAGTTCTGAACGTTGAAACAAGATTTTCTTCTTTTCAAGAAGAATCAATTGACGTGGTCGATGAAGTCAAAGGAGCGTTTTCAGTACCTTCACTGTTTGGATTTTGGACTCCGCCAAAGAATTTTGAAGTCGACGAGGTCGACCGAAGAGTGGTGATGCGAAACAATAACCAAACAAATGCCAATCCGTTGAGTTGCTGCACCTCATTTTATTGTGACTTGTGGGAACAGCGTGGTTGCCAGAGAACGGATCCAGAATACTCTATAGACAGCATTTCCAACTACAAGCGTCACCGCCTCATTGCAAACTTATCAAAAATTGCAGCAAACAAACAAAAAAATAAATACACAAATAGTAAATAGCATGGATTGGGGAGACTTGAAGAAACAAATCGTGTCCGTAACGGTCTCCAAACCAGAGCAACAAGGAAAGGGACGCAAAAAGTTCACCGACTTTCTAGTGACTTCTTTGTTTGACAATGGAACTGAAGCGCTGAGCAGACGGACCTTTGAGGATTTTGAATGGCTCTATAATCGATTGGTCAATGACTTTTTGGGAATCATTGTTCCCGTCTTGCCCGAACGAACACCTGCCTCGGCGGCCGACAAATTTTCCGATGCCTTTGTGAACGATTGTCAAGCAATATTGCAACGATTCATTGACCGCGTCATTGCACATCCGGATCTCTTGCAAGCTTCCAATCTAGTCAAATTCCTTACATCCAACCCTTCTGACTGGAAGACCCTCAAGGAACAAGTCTTTGAAAAGGAAGAAACCGGCAGTGCGGATGGGAGTCTCCATTCCAATGCTACTTCGGACAGTGTCTTGTTCATTGATGCTGATGCAGCTGCTGCTCCACCAGAGGTTTCCCAAAAGAAACCAGGCATGATGGGCCGGTGGTGGGCCGAACGAACCGAACGCAAGGCATTGAACAACCCCAAATACCGAATGGAAGAAAACCCACAAGAAACCAAAAAATTCAACGAAATTGAAGACTATTGCGATCATTTGCATGAATGTATTGAGGTCATTGAAGAAAATGCCAAAGTCTTCACGGCAGCCTATCAGACACAAGCTGAACGGTTGCAAACCATGGGGTCTGCCTTCCAACAATTGTGGGGCGAACATGAATTGTCCAACACAAGTGCCAGTGTCATGTACCAAACTGTGGGTGACTCATGGGGAGCCTTGCACAAACATGTAGAGGGTCAACATGCCTTTGGTGTGGCGTTTTTCGATATGCCAATGGAGGAATTACGATTGGATGTCATGGCCTTGAAACAAGCCTTGAAGAAACGGAAAAAGGTGGTATATGATTACACCGTCAAGGTGAAGCAATCTCGATCACTTCAAAATCAAATGGACAAGTTAAAGCAAGTGCCAGATCTCAGTGCAATTGCAGAGAAATACTACAAGGTGGAACACTACCTCAAGGCCAAAGACTTGGAAGTGGCCGAAGCCAGGCAACTGAGCGAGACCATGGGCTTGAGATTGACCAGGGACATTGAGCGATTTCGAATTGAATTCCACCATCGAATGCAGGAAGTCCTACACAATTATCACACGGCACAGGCCAGATATCTGAATGGACAGTCCAAGCTATTTCTGGATGCTGTACCCGCAATCACCAATATGAAGAGTGGAAGAACGCACATGCTGAAAGGCAGTCCTACCAAAGCCAATGCACCAGAACTGAAAATATCTACTTCGACAACTGGAACGAATGTTTCCATTGAGTCCCCAGCAGCTGCCGAGCACTATGTGGGTCAAGTGAACTTGCCTCCTCCAGCCACAAAGTCTCCTCCGTCACAACCACTGGCAGTGGTACCACCATCGCCCGAAAAGCAATCCATACCAGTGCCAAACTTTGATGACGACGACGATGCAGCCTTCTCTGGATCAGCCCCCATGGGTGGCATTAGCAGGGATCACTCTTCAAATTCAGAAATGAAAAGTGCTCCTCCACCGGCCGCGGCACCTCCACTCCCACCGCCGCCGCCACAAGAGGAAACACTTCTACCCACACCGTCACCAACCAGGGAGGAAGAAGAAGAAGAAGCAACCCCATCACCTCCTGTAGAAGCATCGAAGGCATCACCCAATGAAGAACCGTCTCTGCTGACACCATCACCCGAAAAGGAATCGGAACTTGTTGAGGAGAACGATAGTGTCTCGAGTTCAGACACTTAAGAAAAAAATTGTTGTCGCCCATCAGTAGCAGATAAAGGCTCAAGATGATCCAAGTTCAATAGTACGTACACGAGTGTAAATTCAATTGCAAACTTGAGGGACGCTATTAATCACGATTATGTATGTTACATGTTCCATTTTATATATATCTTATCTCAAAAGAGCGTGAAGAAAGGTTCGATCAAAAGGCTCTACTGCTGTTCTCCAACCGAGATTGTGTATGATGCGATCCCAAGACCATAGACTCCGGTTGATACAAGAAACTTGTAGGTGACGCCGCCCTGAGCCACAAAGGTGTACGAGGTAGATCTGCCTCGTCCTCCATTACTACCAAGACACTCCAAAGCGCCACATTGGTTTCCAGAAAACACGCGAATGAACGGTAGAGTATAACTTGAAGTTCCGCTGGTGCGTTCGACAAAGACCCTGATACTTCTAGTCTCAAATGGAGTATACGTATACCAGACACCACCAGCAGATGCATCTACACCACAGGTCTGTATGTCAAAATCGGGCAATGCTCCAACGGTTGTATCTGCTAACTGGTAGGGTAGCGAAGCGATGTTTCTCGCATCATCACAAGCGTCATTCTCCAAGTCGTAGTCCTGTACGGTGATCGTATATGATGATATTCCCAGTGTATATGATGCTGTGGACACAAGGATTTTGTATGTGACACCCGCTTGTCCGATAAAGGTCGCGCTTGAATCACCGTTGGAGGTGAAGCCCGAATACACGAGGCATGTGAGGGCATCGCAATCTTCGCCAGAGAATACTCGCATGTATGAACGAGTAGACCCGCTGGTGCGTTCGACAAACACCCTGATACTTCTAGTCTCAGGTGGAGTATACGTGTACCAGACACCACCAGCAGATGCATCGACACCACAGGTCTGTATGTCAAAATCGGGCAACGCTCCAACGGTTGTATCTGCTAGCTGGTAGGGTAGCGAAACGATGTTTCTCGCATCATCACAGGCGTCATTTTCCAAGTCATAGTCCTGTACGGTGATCGTGTATGATGATATTCCAAGAGTATATGATGCTGTGGACACAAGGACTTTGTATGTGACACCCGCTTGTCCAACAAAGGTCGCGCTTGAATCACGGGTGGAGGGGGAGAAGCCAGAATACAAGAGGCATGTGAGGGCATCGCAATCGTCTCCAGAGAATACTCGAATGTATGATCTAGTATACCCGCTGGTGATTTCGACAAACACCCTGATACTTCTAGTCTCAGATGGAGTATACGTGTACCAAACACCACCAGCGGATGCCTCAATACCACAGGTCTCAATGTCAAAATCGGGCAACGCTCCAACGGTTGTATCTGCTAGCTGGTAGGGTAGCGAAACGATGTTTCTCGCATCATCACAGGCGTCATTTTCCAAGTCATAGTCCTGTACGGTGATCGTGTATGATGATATTCCAAGAGTATATGATGCTGTGGACACAAGGACTTTGTATGTGACACCCGCTTGTCCAACAAAGGTCGCGCTTGAATCACGGGTGGAGGGGGAGAAGCCAGAATACAAGAGGCATGTGAGGGCATCGCAATCGTCTCCAGAGAATACTCGAATGTATGATCTAGTATACCCGCTGGTGATTTCGACAAACACCCTGATACTTCTAGTCTCAGATGGAGTATACGTGTACCAAACACCACCAGCGGATGCCTCAATACCACAGGTCTCAATGTCAAAATCGGGCAACGCTCCAACGGTTGTATCTGCTAGCTGGTAGGGTAGCGAAACGATGTTTCTCGCATCATCACAGGCGTCATTTTCCAAGTCATAGTCCTGTACGGTGATCGTGTATGATGATATTCCAAGAGTATATGATGCTGTGGACACAAGGACTTTGTATGTGACACCCGCTTGTCCAACAAAGGTCGCGCTTGAATCACGGGTGGAGGGGGAGAAGCCAGAATACAAGAGGCATGTGAGGGCATCGCAATCGTCTCCAGAGAATACTCGAATGTATGATCTAGTAGACCCGCTGGTGATTTCGACAAAGACTCTGATGCTCCTGGTCTCAGTCGGAGTATAAGTGTACCACACGCCACTAGCTTCTGAACCAATGTTACAGGTCTCGATGGCAAAATCTGGCGTCGAACCAGCGGTTGTATCGGCCATTGAGAACGGAAGCGACATAATATTTAATGCATGGATACAATGGTCATTGGACATGATAACCTGACTTGCAGTGGGTGGGGTAGTTGGGGGTGACGTCTGTGGCAGTCTGGCTGTTGGGCGAGGAGTCACAATAGGATTTACCCAAGCTGTCGGGGGAGGAGTTGGTGCTGGGCTCGTTTGCGTTGGAGGGGGACTTGGGCTGGGAGTCGGGGCTGTGGTGGCCCGAGTTGGAGGAGGAGTTGGACTAGGAGTTGGCCCTGGGCTTGTTTGCGTTGGAGGGGGACTTGGACTGGGAGTTGGGGCTCCGGTGGCCCGAGTTGGAGGAGGAGTTGGACTAGGAGTTGGCCCTGGGCTCGTTTGCGTTGGAGGGGGACTTGGACTGCGAGTCGGGGCTCCGGTGGCCCGAGTTGGAGGAGGAGTTGGAGTTCGACCTTCCTGAGTTGGATGCGGGGTCACTGGTGTAATCTTGAAAGGGGTTGGCTGTGGAGTTGGTGCACGAGTTGGTGATGAAGAGACCGGACTGTATTCTATTGGCGTTGGATCAACAGTGGACGTTCCAGTGGTAATTCCGTCACTTGCAAACGTGCTTTGAGGAATTCCATTGTTAGGTTGACTCAATGGGTCCCCATTAGATATCAATACAACCACAGCGACAATAATCACAAGCACGAGAATAGATGCCGCCCCCACCATCTTCCATTGTTTCATAGTGAATCCAAAACGGACGACTTGGGCTTGGGCTTCCACTTGGGTACTTTCTTGTGGATTTTCTGATGACGGTGATTCAACATCCTGTACGGAACCTACTTTTGCGTCGTTCCCAGTTGCACCATTATGAGGAAAGGAAGCAGCCGGACCCGGGACCCCAATTGCTCCAATTTGAGCAACGTTCGTTCGAACCTCTTCCTCTCCAGGAGCAGAGGCTTGCAACTTTATATTTCGGTATTCGTTGTCCATCTTTAGAATTTTATGGACGTCCAAAGGTCTGTTCTTTTCTGTGGATAGTCCTATCACTGTAATCAGTGAGAAATTTTATGACAGAAATCATCAACGTTTGTACAGTAACAACAGTGAGCTGTAGAATCGCGTTTGGAGGATCTGATTGTTTTTGAGCGCCCGTCCTATCACAATCGCGTCTGACGTTTTCAGTACTAGCCGTGTGTAGAAATCTACGTGTTATTATTTAAAAAGCTTTGGTGTCAGCTTTTGAGCACCCGTGTTTTCAGCACTCGCCGTCTGTAGAAATCTATGGAAGATACAGCCAACTGGCGCCTGCCGCCTGGTTTCTTCCGTGAGGGATTCTTTCTTGGTGTGACTCTGGTGTGAAGCTGGTCTTTTGGATTGAGCGCGAAGCGTGCGGTTCCAAAAGGCCAGTCTAAAGACTTGCTTGCCTACTAGGCCTTGCAGAGACGTAGAATGCGTCGATGTAAGGCCCAACAGGGATGTGGAGGGAGGGAAAGAAAGAAATAAACCTTATTTCTTGACGTATACTCGCACACAAGTTCGATAAACTGATCGGACTTGATGTTGCTGAGCAATGCAATGCTGTTGTGACGGTCATTCGACCGTCGTCAGTATGATGAAAGGAATCCAATGATTCGTTCTTGAGCTTTAGAGTACGCGGTACAATTATTTTAAAGAAAAGAGTCTAGTATGATATATTATTACGTCTACGACGGTAAATACCTCTCCTTCCAGTTTATTCCTTTTGACAATAAAAGAAAAGGTCTATTAGAACAGGACGAATGGACTTTTATGTTCCAACCGTCCTTGAAGAGCAGGATCCAAACCAAAATGGCCAGCAAACTCGAATGAATGAAGAATGCCATGAATCGGCCATTTTGCAATGATGTATCAACATACAACCTCAACGCAGCAGCTACTGAGCTATATGTCGATGATACCAGGAATCTACTCAATATCTACAAAGGTACAGTTGAAACTTTCCCGTTCGAAATCGTATCCTTGTAACTCCAGACCATCCATCAGATTGGCTAGAGCTATCATGCTGTTCGTTTCCTGCAAATACTGAACAAAATTGACCCGCTCTTCAAACGGCTCATTCCGCTTGACACTTGTACAATCTTGTTCAATCGTAGCATCCTGTCTTGCTTCCAGATGTGGCGTCTGTCGATCATTGCTTGAGGCAGAAATGACGGAGCAAGGAGACAGTGTCTTTTTTATCTCCTGAGCTACTTGTGCTGGCGAAAGATGTTTTGTCATTGTGGATATTGGAGCCACTTGCCTTTCTTTATTCGGTTTGCCAGTCCGCATGTCTGCTATTTTCTTGTACTGTGGCTTGCATTTTCCCGTTTCCAAGCTTACCCCAAGCAGTTTTGCCTGGTGAAAAAGATGATAATTTTGGCAATCACAGTACGGGCAGACCCATCCCTTGCACTCGGTACATTTCTTCCACCCAAAGGAAGCCCCATACTTCTTCATAACACCTCTATCACAAAGAATACAGGTATCAGCATGACTACTCCAAAATCTGTTGAGCTGGCGCTGTGACTTTCGTTTCCCGACAAGTTTGTCCATTTCAATTTTTGTGTGAAGAATACCAACGGAATCCAATAGCATGATTTTTGCATAGTCTCGAATGAATCGGCACATCCATAGCCGAAATCGAACATGTTGATTGCATTCAGGTCCTTCAGTGTTTCGTCGGTTGGATTGAAAAGCAAGCGCAATGGGATGTGGAACTAGACTGGAAAGGGCGTTGGTAAAGTCATCTTCGCTTTGGATATCGTATTTTGACAGGACAGTGTGAGCAGATAGAGCTTTATTCCCTTGCGCGATGAGAACTAGCTTTTCAAAGTCCTTGTTGCCTTCGCTTGTAATTGGCGCCATTGCTAGGTGAGGATATTCAGATAGAGTTGTGGAGTGAATTTTGTTCGTTTAATGTTTTTTATCATTGTTTTTGTAACCAGTCGAAAGAGTCAATCCTCTCAACAGTTACATTCATTCTTCGCTTCGTTCTTCACGCGTGAAGACGATGGTCGTGGCCCTTCGTCCATCTTACATGACCATCGTACCAGGTACCGGTAGATTTGAATGAAATCCAGGACAAATTGGTTACAGAGCCTCTAGTTCTCTCAGCTTATAGTACTACCTACAACTAGGCCAGAAGTACTAAGACGATGTGGATGCCTATCAAGCAGTATGCAACGATTCGTTGAACGAGTCAGTCAGTCATTTCTCATCCAGACCTATTGCAAGCTTTCAATCAAGTCAAATTCGTCACGTCCAACCTTGTTCATTGATGTTGATGCGGCTATTTTGTTCCACCAGACGGCTCCAAAATTTTAACCAGCCTATTAGACACAAGCTGAACGGTTGCAAACCATGGGGTCTGCCTTCCAACAATTGTGGGGCGAACATGAATTGTCCAACACAAGTGCCAGTGTCATGTACCAAACTGTGGGTGACTCATGGGGAGCCTTGCACAAACATGTAGAGGGTCAACATGCCTTTGGTGTGGCGTTTTTCGATATGCCAATGGAGGAATTACGATTGGATGTCATGGCCTTGAAACAAGCCTTGAAGAAACGGAAAAAGGTGGTATATGATTACACCGTCAAGGTGAAGCAATCTCGATCACTTCAAAATCAAATGGACAAGTTAAAGCAAGTGCCAGATCTCAGTGCAATTGCAGAGAAATACTACAAGGTGGAACACTACCTCAAGGCCAAAGACTTGGAAGTGGCCGAAGCCAGGCAACTGAGCGAGACCATGGGCTTGAGATTGACCAGGGTCATTGAGCGATACACGATTATCACACGGCACAGGCCAGGTATCTGAATGGACAGTCCAAGCTATTTCTGGATGCTGTACCCGCAATCACCAATATGAAGAGTGGAAGAACGCATATGCTGAAAGGCAGTCCTACCAAAGCCAATGCACCAGGACTGAAAATATCTACTTCGACAACTGGAAGGAATGTTTCCATTGAGTCCCCAGCAGCTGCCGAGCACTATGTGGGTCAAGTGAACTTGCCTCTTACAGGCACAAAGTCTCCTCCGTCACAACCACCGCTAGTGGCAACTACGTGGCCTTACAAGCAATCCGTACCAGTGCCAAACTCTGATGACGACGACGATCATGCTGCATTCTCAAGATCAGCCCGCATGGGTGGCATTAGCGGGGACCACACTTCAAATTCACTCCTACAGCCGCCGCCACAAGAGACACCGCCGCCACCCTCACCTTCACCAACGAAGACGAAGCAAAAGAAGAAGCAACTCAATCACCTTTTGTATAGCCACCTTTCCCCCCACCAACACCGCAAGAAGAACTGAAGTACCGACATGATTACCACATACAGCGGAAGAAAAATCGAAGACATACCGACTGAAAAACTACCTCTGCCGACACCATCACACGAAAAGGAATCGGAACTGGTTGAGGAGAACGATAGTGTCTCGAGTTCAGACAGTTAAAATGCTATATTCTATCGCTAGGAGACAAAGGTTCAAGATGTTCCAAGTTAAATAGTAAGTACACAAAGTATTTTCAACTGCAAACTTGAGGGCTCTGAATCACGATAATATGCAACATATTTTATTACATGTATATATCTCTTTTCTTTTAAAAGAGCGCTGAGAAAGGTGGGATCAAAAGACTCTACTGCTGTTCTCCAACCGAGATTGTGTATGATGGGATCCCAAGACCATAGACTCCGGTTGACACAAGAAACTTGTATGTGACGCCAGACTGAGCCACAAAGGTTGCGGCCGAGTCGCCACTGTAGTAACCACCATCATGTGTAAGGCATGTCAGGGTAGTACCACATTCATTTCCAGAGAAGACTCGAAGATACGATCGATTACTGTATAAAGTCCCGCTGGTGCGTTCGACAAAGACCCTGATTTTCCTAGTCTCGGTTGGAGTATATGTGTACCAGACACCACCGGCAGATTCATCGACACCACAGGAATCATTGTCGAAATCGGGCAATGCTCCGATGGTTGTATCGACTCGTTGGTAGGGAAGAGAAGCGATGTTTCTCGCATCATCACAAGCATCATTCTCCAAGTCATAGTCCCGTACGGTGATCGTGTATGATGGTATCCCAAGTGTATAGAATGCTGTCGACACAAGAAACTTGTAGGTGACACCAGCCTGTCCAACAAAGGTAGCGGCCGAGTCTCCGCTTTTGACACCACCATCATGTCTGAGGCATCTCAGGGTCCCAAATTCATTTCCAGAGAAGACTCGAAGATGCGATTTAGTATTAACAGAAGTTCCGCTGGTGCGTTCGACATAGACCCTGATACTTCTAGTCTCAGATGGAGTATACGTGTACCAGACACCACCAGCAGATGAGTCAACACCACAGGTATCAATGCCGAAATCGGGCACAGCTCCAACGGTTGTATCGGCTCGCTGATAGGGAAGAGAAGTGATGTTTCTTGCATCATCAAATCCATCATTCTCTAAGTCATAGTCCTTCACAGTGATCGTGTATGATGATATCCCAAGTGTATAGGATGCTGTCGACACAAGGAACTTGTAGGTGACTCCAGCCTGTCCGACAAAGGTAGCGGCAGAGTCGCCACTGTTGTAACCACCATCATGTCTGAGGCATCTCAGGGTCCCAAATTCATTTCCAGAGAAGACTCGAAGGTGCGATCGAGTATTAATAGAAGTTCCGCTGGTGCGTTCGACATAGACCCTGATAGTCCTGGTCTCAGATGGAGTACATGTGTACCAGACACCACCGGCAGATTTATCGACACCACAGGTCTCAATGTCGAAATCGGGCACTGCTCCAACGGTTGTATCGGCTCGTTGGTAGGGTAGCGAAGCGATGTTTCTCGCGTCATCAAATTTATCATGCTCTAAGTCATAGTCCTGTACGGTGATGTTATACTCCGAGAGAAAGCTTGACCCACCAGAGCCAGGAGAGACAAGGAATTTATAGGTGACACCCGCTTGTCCAACAAAGGTCGCGCTTGAATCACGGGAGGAGAAGCCACCGGAATACATACGGCATATTAGGGCATCGCAATCGTCTCCGTAGAATACTCGAAGGTACGAACGAGCAGACCCACTGGTTTTGTCGACAAAGACTCTGATGCTCCTGGTCTCAGTCGGAGTATAAGTGTACCACACGCCACTAGCTTCTGAAACAACGCCACAGGTCTTGACGGCAAAATCTGGCGTCGAACCAGCGGTTGTATCGGCCATTGAGAACGGAAGCGACACAATATTCAATGCATGGATACAATGGTCATTGGACATGACGACCTGACTTGCAGTGGGAGGTGTAGTTGGGGGTGACGTCTGTGGTAGTTTGGCTGATGGGCGAGGAGTCACAATAGGATTTACCCAAGCTGTCGGGGGAGGAGTTGGTGCTGGGCTCGTTTGCGTCGGAGGGGGACTTGGACTGGGAGTCGGGGCTGCTGTGGCCCGAGTTGGATAAGGATTTGGAGCTCGATCTCCTTGAGTTGGACGCGGGGTCACTGGTGTAAGCCTGAAAGGAGTTGGTTGTGGAGTCGGTGCACTAGTCGGTGATCGATCGATCGGACTGTATTCCATTGGCGTTGGATCAACTGTGGGCGTCCCCGTGGTAACTCCATCATTTGGAAACCTGATTTGAGGAATTTTATTGATATAGGTTGACTCAATGGCTTCCCATTAGACACCAATGCAATAATCACAACTACAAGAATAGACCCCCCCCAACTATCTTCCATTATTTCATAGTGAATCCAAAACGGACGACTCGGGCTTCTACTGGGGAAGTTTCTTGAGGATTTTCTGATGACGGTGATTCAGCATCCTCCATGACACCTACTTTTGTATCGTTCCCAGTTGCACCATCATCTGGAAAGGAAGCAACATGACCCGGGACCCTAATTGCTCCAATTTGAGCAACGTTCATTCTAACCTCTTCCTCTCCAGGTGCAGAGGCTTGCAACATTATATTTCGGTATTCGTCGTCCATCTCTAGAAGTCTATAGATGTCTCAAATCAAAAGTCTACTCTTTTTTGTGGATAGTCCTATCACTGTAATCAGTGAGTAATTTTATGATACAAATCATCATGGTTTGTGATGATGTTGAGTCAGTCGCGTGTGAAGTCAGAGTCGCAGTCGCGTTTGAAGTCTTTCGCGTGAAGAGTCCGGGGTTCCGCCAAATCGACGAGGTTCAAAAGGCTAATAGAGTATGGTATTACTTCTACTACGAAGAGACTTTCCCATCCAATCAATCCCTTTTGGAAACCAAAGAAAAGGTCTATTAGAACAGGACGAATGTATCAAAATTATTATTCATCTTTCGCCTGTCTTTGAACAGCATGATCCAAACCAAAATCGCGAGCAAAGAACTCGAAGCAACGAATGAAAGAGTCGACCATTTTACAATGTGTCAACCATACAAACTCAAAGCAGCAGCAGTAGTTGCCAGCCTACCTATTCTATACAAAGGTACAGTTGAAAGTTTCGCCTTCGAAATCCTATCCTTGTAACTCCAGACCATCCATTAGATGGGCTAGAGCTATCATAATGCTGTTGGTTTCCAGCAACTACTGGTGGACAAAATCGGCCCTCACTTCAACGGCTAATTATCCTGTTCGCTTTCAGAAGTGGCTTATGTAGATCATCACTTTAGGTGGAAGAAGACAGTGTCTTTTCTATCCTCTCTTCTTGTGTCGGCTATGGAGCAAGGCTTTGCTCTCTCAGCTGTGGAGCTATATAGCGCGAAGACGCGAGATGTGAGTAAAAAAAGGGTCATGGCTATATATACTACTCCTAATGCGGTAGCCGGCAGCAAGAAGTACTAGTATCATGGTACCGCACAGGCCCAACGACGCTTGGCAACAAGTTCCAGAATACGACCGAGGTACATCACCGAGAGACGTTTTACACACGGCGGGCCCTGAAGCAGGAATAGAAGAAAAGGGCCCCGAAGCAGGAATAGAAGAAAAGCGGCGCAGCAGACGAGGTTCGAAAAATGGCAGCAGACGAGTCCGAAAAATGATTGCGAAGAAGTGCGATCTCGACTTGCTGCTTGGAATCATTGAATCAACTTGAAGCAGCTTTGGAAAACAGGCACGATGAGGGATGCAACAGATCAAGACAGTCCATTGCTTTTGCAGCTGCGACGCGTCATCTACCTGGTACTTTAACAGGTGTATGAGATACTTTAACAGGTGTACGACTAACGTACTGTACCGGTACCGGTAAGACTTTCAAAACTATTTTAGACTACAACTGCGCAAGGTATCAGACTTCACCAGGTCGCGTAGGCTTCTCCATCACATACACATGTACCGGTACCGGTACGTGCAGCCGAGTGACCAGCGGCGATGAAGAATGACTTCTCCATGAGGTCAGACAATTTGGACCCCGTAATTAAAAATTCTCATTTCGTCTTCAGTGAGAAAATGGCCCAGGGTAAATCGTTCGGGGTTTCGTTGAACGTTGAACTTGGAATGAAAAGATTAGTCCGTCCGATCAGATGTGCATAAGTGTCAAAAAGTCTTATTGGCCAACAATTATTGAAGGTCATAGAATTTCGTCACGTAAGCTTGAAAGTCTCGTCCAAAACCGAACTCACACATCAATTACCAAGGCCTTCTGAGCACACTTACAAGGTGTCTTCTCCGTCCTTTCAAAATTACATAGCTTTGGTTCGGATTGGTGGGGGGACTTTGATACCATAGCAGTACTTTTCTACTCGGCACTGAAAACGGCACAGCCATCAACATCAGTTTGGTTCCAAATCAAATCATCTCATAATTTTAAAAGCCTCACTCGTACTTTATTTCACCGTGACACATTCATCAACATGCCCCCAAGTGACGATAAAGCCAAATACTGCTACGAAGACCCTGATACCTGGTCATATCTTGCCGACAGAAAGCTGAAAAACGCTGACTTGCTAATCAAGATTCCTCGACGATCCTCCATAAAGCAAAATGGGGCCCCACGAAGGGTGAGCATCTCTCGAGGGGTTGAAATTCAGATCAACCTCCCCGGCAAAGGTGATCCCATCACGCGTCGAAGGTCCATCGAATTTAGCGAAACGAACTCTATTGAAGAGTACAAGTCCTGCGAGGATCCCTTTGACAACATCTGGTTCAACAAGGACGAATACGATGATATTCGCTCGAGCAACAGGAAGATTGTCAAGTGCGTGGAACGGGGCACTGACAAGAATTTTTGTGTCCGAGGCTTGGAGTCCATGATGGACGATGTCCAACAAGTGCGCCGTCGCAACTCGATTGACGCCGTTTTGACCGAGCAGGAGGCTCAACGCGATTCTGGAGTCTATGATGAGGAAAAGCTTTCCGAAAGTTACCGACGCACATCGATGGCAAGCCAAGCACAAGCAGCTGGCCGAGCAGAGACGGACACTGCTGACATTCAATTGTACTTGCAGAGTGCTCTGATGCTGTTGCGACGGATGTCAGTATAAGAGACTGAAGCAGCAACTGTACTGTTTACCATCAAACCCTTCAATTTTTGCTACAGATGTATAAACTAATTGTATAACAATCACAAATCAACTCATGACCTTGCACGGTAGTAGCTTTAAATTAGTTTGCACATGTGCATAACCGTTGCACCTAAAATACGGATACTGGAAGCTGTCTGTCTACTCATCTAATGTGGATTCGGAAGAAGGTGGATAATGAGGAGGAGTGGAATGCGCAGCATTCACATCGCATTAAATGGAAAGTTTTCACCCACGTTGATAGACCTTTAATTGCCTCTACATGAATCTCATGACACTGGTGCGATATGTAACATCAGGTGCGGAGTGAACCACATCCACGTCGCGGTAGATTAGCAGCTCTCTACCAGGCTGATACCTCGGACGCACAATATTATTTTCCTCGAAGCTTCCAGAGAATAGTACAGGTTCCATTCGAGGGTGATTTTCTGGGGCCCAACATTCCTCCTCTAACGGAATCACATGTGAGAAGACACCGCATCCATTGTAGTCATCCTCCCGTGGCCATCCCCACAATACCGTTTGAGTGGTGTTCAGTGGCGACTTGCCAAAATCCATGTGAAAAGAATGGCCAATGGCACGATCTTGTACACCATAAATGTCGATGAAGTGGGTGGAAGGCCTAGAACCGCACAAATCTCCAATGGCCTTCATTAATTCGTCGCCAGTCAGTGCAGATTCTCCCAAGGCTTCCGCCAAGACGGCAGTCGTCTTGTTCATTCTATTCATACTTTCGGGCATTCTCCAAGAACCTTCCAGCGAGGAGTCTGGTAACAGCAACACAGAGGCTGCCTTTTCGGACAAGCTGGCATAAAAGGGAGTGCTATCAAAGATATCTTGTCTGATCGCAATCCGAAGGTCTTCTCGAAATTTAGCTTCAGCATTAAACTTGGTTGAAAGACCAACATCCTTGCCGAACAAGTCGTCCAGTGACATGAATTTGAAGGCTGGAGTCTTGACAGCTTGGTCGAATTGGATTCCCTCCGACATACATTTGATGTTGCCATCGGATATGGCGTCGTGCAGATTTAGTGGAGTGGCACCCTCGTTAGGATCTTGGACTGCAGTCATGGCCTTGCCGTCAAAAGGAGCTGGTTGCTGTGGTCGTTCTCGTCGGGGACGGGAGGCTCTGGGCCCACTAGCAGAATCCGCATCGGCAATTGTCCGTCTAGATGTGCGTCTTCGTCCTGATGCTTTAGGTCCAGTTGATTCGGTTGCCAACAATATGACTTTGGACTCCTGGATATGAAATGTAGGACATGTAAACCCATCAGAGAACAGAGGGAGAGTAGCAAATGCAATGCCAAGCGCGTGTACGTTTCTCATTGTCATTGTTTGAACAGACCCGATCTTTTGATGTTCAAATTTCAATGGATGACGTAATATCGAGGAGTACAGAGCTAGGCCCAATTGGTTGCATGAAATGACAACACCTATCATTAACACCACACAAATTGTAGGGCTGGAAGGATACGATGTTTGCTCGAACACATTCGCAATATTGGAAAATTTGCAGTTCAATACGTCAAAAGAGATATGCTAGTGGAAATCAGACAAATATCATTTTTGGGGCAAACACTGATGTTGGAAAGACTGTCATCACGGCAGGTTTGATTCGGGCGAGTGGGAATACTTCACACTATGTCAAGCCGTTGCAATGTGGGGGGAGTGACCAGCGATTTGTTGAGAAATATGCTACTAACGTCACTTCTGCCACGACCCTGTTCGAATGGGAAACACCAGCGTCGCCACACTACGCCGCCCGAGTGGAGAATAAGCCAATATCCGATGAACAAGTGATTACGTCATTGAAAGATTGTTTGGACAGTTTGAACAGCCCAATGACTTGGGTGGAAACAGCTGGAGGGGTGATGAGTCCGTCATCATCTTCACCTGACAATAATGGTCCGCATCATGCGAGGGATAAGGAGTTGTCGTGGGGATGGGTGCCTCAAGCAGATTTGTATCAAACATTCTCGGATTCCATGTCGGCAGTATTGATTGGTGACGGAAGACTAGGTGGAATCAGGTGAGGAAGAAAGAAGAAAAGGAGGGAGAGTTATTTCACAACCATTCATCTCACCGTTCGAGTTTAGTGCAACCTTGACAGCTTTGGAGTCACTGCTGATTCGTGGATATAATGTGTCGGGTGTGATTGTAATAGAGAAAGGATACGAAAACCAAAAGGCTATTCAGGAATACGCCAGTCGGTAAGAGATACTTTGGTGAATATTGCTTTCTTGTTTGATCAGATCAGTATGTTCTCACTGTGTCGCTTGACAGAGAAGTGGACGGGCGAACTGCAACTAGTACCATTTTTCGATATCCTGAATCATCGATCGTATCACTCCCAGAACTCCCTCCAGAACCAGAACCATTGGATGATTGGTATCACTCAGAAGAAACTACGAAAGCACTAGAATCTTTTGTACAAGTTCATCTGAATCAAGCTTGGGAGGATTGTAAAAGTGCAAACTAGAACAGACACAACACTGAAGACTGGACTATCACTTATGGACAGAAGTTGATTCTATTCGTGGTCTCGCCATCCTTTCCGAGCCCTTGTGACTATAATTTGTAGAGACTGATCATCAGTGCTCGCTATAGTCTGACAATATGATGCTGTACCCTCGGTCGCGTGTAGATGTTCCGAGGGATATCGCCGACAACCTTTTCCTCTTGTCTTGGTTGCTCTGCCATAAGTGCTACTGGAAGATTCTGCTGTTGACCTAGATGTACATATTGAGATGGCAAGCCATGAGTTATACTTTCATATTCCTGTGATGGTGGAGAATCTCGTCTCTTTTGTTTTGATTCTGGCCTTTTTCGAATTGTTTTGAATGCAAAGATTTCTGAAAGATCTGCTTCGCTCTCAAAACTCGATTTCTGCTCCACCGGGCCTCGAGTTTGATTGATAGTATGAAGACCGGACACCATATCGCTAGCTTCATCTGTTATCGAAACGACTCGAGGAATATCATTAGGAGGTTGTTGCGGGCCACTATACGAATTGACGCATAAATCCCACGGCGAGAGGTCAGCCCATGCGTCGTCATCAGTGCCACAGCTAGATCTAAATGCTCTGAGGATTCTCCCAAAAAGGCCTTTGTTATTGTGATTTGCCATTTTCCGCCTGTGATATGATCAATTCGAGGTGATGCCTAGTGGGAGGGAAAAGGAGACAGAAACAAAAGTCCTCCGAGTGCTTGTCATGAGCAAAAAATAATATGACGTCTGAAACGCCACTGTTCTGAACCGTTAGATCATACTTTCGCCGTGTAAAAGGAACGCGTAAAATGAATCGAAGAAACTCCGAAAAGTTCTCAGAACGCGTAAAACGGATCACGGAGTGTTCCTCAAACCCTACATTGAACATGTAGCTATGTCAAGAGTAAAACTATGTATGTGTAAAAGAAAAAGACGAACGAGTTCCAATTTCTCACGATGCTTGCTCACTACCGTTAGAACACAACTCCAACCAAGAGATGTTGATTGAATCCAATCTGGTACTACCAGTTGTGGACGTGACACTAGATGTGTATATATATAAACAAATGTACTAGTAGGGTCTAAATGATTATTATTTTATGTATGTTTCTTTTCCCAGGTTCAAAGACCATGGTCAGTGTTGTATAATATATATGACACCCTAATTGGTCTATTCTTGGGTTTGTTCAGCGGCGTGGTGTAAGACGGTGAAAGAATCGCACGATAGATTCTTGGCCATACCACCTCGTTCATAGTCCTCCACATATGGGCGACCATAGTATGAGTCCAACAAGACATTTCGAAGCTCACTGATCAATGGGAATCTTGGATTCGCTCCAGTGCATTGATCATCAAACGCGTTCACCGCCAATTGATCAACCTTCGCCAAGAACTCAGTCTCGTCTACACCCCATTCCTTGATGGACAATGGAATATCAAGCTCTTGCTTCAACTCATCCAACCATGCAAGCATCGCATTCACACGGTCCATAGTGTGCTCTTGAGTAAACCCGAGATGCATCGCAATCTCTCCATAGCGACGAAGAGCATTTGGACGATCGTATTGAGAGAAGGCAGTTTGCTTGGTAGGCATGTTGGTGGCATTGAATCGAATGGTGTTGCAAATCAACAATGCATTGGCAATACCGTGTGGAATGTGGAACTCTGCTCCAAGCTTGTGGGCCATTGAGTGACATACACCCAAGAACGAGTTGGCAAACGCAATGCCAGCGACTGTCGCGGCGTTGTGCACCTTCTCACGAGCCACGGGATCGTCCGCACCATTCTTGTACGAACGAGGGAGGTAAGCTTTCAATAGCTTCAAAGCTTGCAGCGCTTGACCATCCGAAAATTCGTTGGCCAATACCGATACATAAGCCTCCATGGCGTGAACGACAGCATCAATACCTCCTGCAGCAGTCAAGCCCTTTGGCATCTGCATCACCAAGTTGGCATCGACAATGGCCATGTGAGGTGTTAACTCGTAGTCGGCCAAAGGATACTTCTGGCCTGTGGCATCATCGGTAACAACAGCAAATGGAGTAACCTCAGAGCCTGTTCCAGATGTGGTAGGGATGCAAACGAGCTTAGCCTTGGTTCCCATCTTGGGGAATTTGAAGATTCTCTTTCGGATGTCCATGAAACGAAGAGACAATTCCTTAAAATCTACTTCGGGATGTTCGTATAGGACCCACATCATCTTGGCGGCGTCCATGGGAGATCCTCCTCCAATAGCAATAATCAAATCTGAAATTGTAGAAAGCAGCAAGTCAGATGATGGCTTTACATTTTCGAGAATCATTGTCCAGCGAGAAGCAGTACTTACCAGGTACAAAGTTGTCCAAGACGTCGGTTCCCTTTCGGATGGTAGTCAAAGTAGGATCAGCTTGGACTTCGTAGAAGGTTTGGCACTCAATACCACGGGCCTTCAAGAGCTCCGTCAGCTCATGCACATATGGCGTGTGGTTGTACAAGAACTTGTCCGTCACAATGCAGGCCCTTTTGAAGTCCTTCAAATCTTCCATAGCAACTGCCATTGCTCCACGACGGAAGTATACGGAGTGTGGAAGTTTGTGCCACAACATATTCTCGGCTCTCTTTGCGACTGTCTTTTTGTTCATCAAGTGTTTTGGTCCAACGTTCTCGGAAATCGAGTTACCTCCCCAAGATCCGCAACCCAAAGTCAAAGATGGAGCAAGAGCGAAGTTATAAAGATCCCCAATACCTCCATGCGATGTGGGTGTGTTCAACAAGATACGAGCGGTCTTCATCTTCCTTCCAAAGTGCTCGATACGTTCAGTATTCTTGTCTTGGTTTGTGTACAAACAAGACGTGTGTCCAACTCCACCCATGGCAACTGCCTTGACGGCCATCTCGACTGCTTCGTTAAAGTCAGAAGCTCGGTACATTCCCAAGGTAGGTGACAGCTTCTCATGGGCAAACTCGTCTTGCTCCGATAGTTCGGCTCCTTCTCCGATCAGGATCTTGGTGTAGGGTGGAACCAGGACATCGGCAAGCTCGGCAATCTTGATGGCAGACTGACCAACAATCTGGGCATTCAAGGCACCATTCTTGAACAAAATCTTGCGAACCTTTTCCTTCTCCTCAGTGTTCAAGAAGTACCCTCCGTATCTGGAAAATCGCTCCTTCACTTGTTCGTAGATTTCGTCAACGACAATAACGGCTTGTTCGGAAGCACAAACGACACCATTGTCGAATGTCTTGGACATCAAGATGGACGACACCACTCGCTTGACATCGGCAGTCTCGTCGACGACAACAGGTGTGTTTCCAGCTCCGACACCAATGGCAGGCTTGGCAGAAGAATATGCGGCCTTGACCATGGCTGGTCCGCCAGTGGCCAAAATCAGATCAATTCCATCATGATGCATCAGTGCTTGTGATAGAGGAAGAGTGGGTTCTGCGATGCATCCAATAATATCTGGTGGAGCTCCAGCTTTGACAGCGGCCTCCAATACCAGCTTGGCAGTGTAGGCAGTGGACTTCTTGGTACGTGGATGTGGTGAAAAGACAATACCGTTTCTCGTTTTCAAGCAAATGAGTGCTTTGAAGATGGTCGTTGATGTAGGGTTGGTACATGGGACGACACCGCAGATGGTACCGATAGGTTCCGCAAGGACCATGGTGCCCATCTCATCGTCAGTTTCCAATACTCCACAAGACTTGAAGTCGGCATATCTGTTGTCGTGAAAAGGAAAAAATCGTTAGGTCACAAATAGAAAGCGTCGTCGTCTTATCCAATGCTTGCATAATACTTACTTGTTGTAGATGTATTCAGATGCAAAGTGGTTTTTGATAACCTTGTCTTCAATGACTCCCATGCCAGACTCTTCAGCTGCCATCATGGCGAGTGGGATACGAGCATCGGCGGCCGCCAAAGCGGCTGCACGAAAGATCTTGTCGACTTGTTCTTGAGTGTACGTTGCGAATACTTTTTGAGCCGCTTGGACTCTGTCAACGAGTGCGTTTAGCTCCTCAAATTCGGACATGATGTGTTGTGTTTGTTGCTTTTTGTTGTTGTTGATATTCTCTTTTTGAATTTATGAGAGGATTGTCGTTGTTGAGCGATCTTTTTCTTGGATCGTGTTCTGGTTTGGTTTGGCTACCCGAACCCCCTCTGGATGAAAATATGCAGAGATTCGATTGGTTGTGAGACCAAATTCCGCTGCACATGCGGAAGATTTTGGACCAATGCGAACTGCAACCGTGTTCCCTACCCTCGTTACATACCGTGTAAATTTTGCCTCGCGTTTCACACCACTGTTTCCAACCTACCTTACGTACAATGTGCTATTGTTTTTACAGGTATAATAGTTTTGCTTCGGGTTGGAAGAATAGAACAATTCGCCAAGCAAGTTTCCGCGCGATCAAACTAGCATGCGTAACTTTGGGGAGGGAAGGATTTAGAGGGGGAACATGGATCTTGATGATTGATGGGAAGACGAAATTCAGTCGCACCCATTGACTGGTGCACAATACCGCTACAAGCACAAGGCCACCACCACATCGACTGCGATGGAGGAGGAGGAGCCACAAACTCACAGTCCAATGCTTACCACCGAAGAAATTAACACACTAGATAGAGATCATGTGTGGCATCCTTACGCCGCCATGCCAAATGCTGTACCCTGCTTCCCTGTCGAGAAAGCATCTGGTTGTGAAATCACACTGAATGATGGACGAGTCCTGGTTGATGGAATGAGTTCCTGGTGGGCCGCCATTCATGGATATAATCACCCAATATTGAATGCTGCAGCTTCTGCACAAATGGAGAAGATGTCTCATATGATGTTTGGAGGATTGACGCACGAGCCAGCCGTCACATTGGCGCAAGAATTGGCTCGCATCACACCTGGAAGTGGGGACAACAAGTTGGACAAGATATTTTATTGCGACTCTGGATCCGTAGCCGTAGAAGTGGCTATGAAAATGGCGATACAGTACTGGTTCAACAAGGGAATATCGGCCAAGAGCAAGTTTTTGACGATTCGTGGAGGTTATCATGGCGACACCTTTGAAGCCATGAGCGTCTGTGATCCAGTCGGTGGAATGCACCACTTGTTTAGTTCGACATTGCCCCAACAATTGTTTTGCAATCGACCAGAAACCAAATATCATGAAGAGTGGGACGAATCGGATATTCAGAACTTTCAACAAGCTTTGAACAAGCAAAAGGACGAAATTGCAGCTGTCATATTAGAGCCTATTGTACAAGGAGCTGGTGGGATGCGGTTTTATTCCCCACATTACCTACAAAGAGTCAGAGATTTGTGTGACGAACACGATGTTTTGCTTATTTGTGACGAAATTGCTACTGGGTTTGGACGGACTGGAACCATGTTTGCGGTGGAACATGCCGAAAACGTAGTTCCTGATATTTTGTGTATTGGAAAAGCATTATCTGGTGGCTTTTTGAGTTTTGCAGCTACTATCACATCACCCAAAATCGCCAGAGTCTTTGAACAAGGTCCGGCTGGAGTGCTCATGCATGGACCAACCTTTATGGGAAACCCGTTGGCATGCGCAGTAAGCTTGGCTTCATTGCAGCTGCTGCAATCCTATGACTGGAAGGAGAAGATAAAATTCATCGAAAAGCAGCTAACAACTGAACTTGAGCCGTGCATGGATTCACCTCATGTGGAAGACGTCCGTGTGCTGGGTGCAATTGGGGTGGTGGAGATGAAGGAGCCAATGGATCTCAAAATGATGCAGCCTCGGGTGGTTGAAGAAGGAGTGTGGCTAAGGCCATTTGGAAAGTTGCTATATACCATGCCTCCATTCATAATTCAGAGTCATGAGCTGCGGAAAATCACCCAAGCAATGGTGACTTTAGCAACTCGTAGAAGAGTGTAAACCAAACTTTTGATGCTGACGTCACAGATTCGCCTTTCTCACCAACTCATACCAACGCAACAACAACACAGCAATTTCAATCAACAACACTTTACATATTGGCTAGCTGCAGCACAATAAACTCCTCGAAACGTTAAAATGAATCGTAGTTTGTCCCTCTTTGTGCTTCCTTTGGTGGTCTCTGCGTTCCAGAGTCCTGCAAGCCAAGCTTATTCCTGCCAATCGCCCCTTTCTGCAATCAAAGAGTCGACCTTTGGCATGGGATGCTTTTGGGAGCCCAGTGAAGAACTACTCAAAGTTGACGGCGTCGTTGATACCATTGCTGGATATACTGGGAATCCATCGGCCACAGAAGCTCCAACGTACGATACAGTTTGTTTTGGTCGGCAGTGGGTGGAAGGTGTCAGGGTGAAGTATGACGACGAAAAAATATCCTATGAGCAACTGTTGGAAACCTTTTTCCAAACACAAAAGCCAAAACTGGGTTCCCGACAATATGCTTCCATTATATTTCCACACGACAAGGAACAGGAGAAAATCGCTAGCGCATGGAAGAGTAAAAATGCAAATATTCAACGAGAGGACGGTTTCCTTCCAGAATGGACCGAAATTGAACCCCAGTCCAAATTCTATCAAGCTGAAGGTTACCACCAACGGTATTGGCAAAAGCAACGGCCTCGCTTTGCCCTCATTTTCGGCTTGTTGGCCATCGCCACGGGTGCCCTGAACAATTTTGTGCCTGACGTGTATCATCAATCCATGGTGAACTTTGCCAATGCATCGGTTCTCGCCATTGGCTTGGTTCAAATATTGGAGCGCGTTTTGGATGCCAAGGTGGTAGAATTATAAATCATTACAATATGGTGTTAAGTTTTTATCATGGTACTCAAGTTTCAGCGTAGCTATCTTCTTCTTTCGGGATCGATCTGTTCCAGAAATCGAACTCTTTATCGATTCGTAGTACCATATATAATATTGACCATTTACTTACTGATGTACTGTACTCGTATATACCATTGTTGAAATTAATCATTGTTCATTTGGTTCGATCTTGGAAACGACAAGAGCGAGAAGTATTGAAGTACAACTACTCATTGTTCGGGTCGTCAGCCAATTTGATTCCGTTCATCTTTGATTCTGCCTTGGTTGATTGTTTCGTTTGCTCTCTGGCAATTGGTAGGTAAAACATCGAGGCAGATGGTGACAAGCTAGGCAACGGTCATCTGGTGTAGATGATGATGCGAGGATGTCTCAATGTCAAAAGGGAGTGAATCAATGAATCAATCATTGGTACATCGTCGCAAATGCAAAGTGTCAGGAAACCGGATGCGAAGTAAAGCATACGGAGGCTCCGTCCTGAAATCAATCAAATACAAGATTTTGTACGTAGTTTAAAGAGAGTCCTCATTTCCCATTTCTCCATAGAAAATTGATATTTGATGCACCAACCACCCAACCCAGCAGGATCATTCATTGCTTTGATTGTAGGATTCACTGGGCGTGGTTCCTATTGTAAAGATTTCAAAATGGAGTGGTCTGACGGCATTCAAACTCCGGAGGATATCTTTGTTGAAAGACAACTTGGCGCTGTGCTTCTACTCCCACTTCAAGAGCAACATCTGTCTCCGAAAAATGTGACGGACGGAGTGCACAGGCCAAGCTTTCGCGCACCTCAAACGTGGTGAAAATGTGGTCGCGTTTTGCGAAATTACACACGGCCAAAATGGAAAAAAGAATGATGACACACGGCCAAAAATGTCGCCAATTAACGTTAGCCGTGACATCTTGAAGTTCTTTCTCCCCAATCGTAAAATCGGCGTAGCCTGAATCGCCAATCACAGCGTCGCAATCACCTCACAACGAGGTCGTACAAATCTCATCTCATCCACAAAAACGAACACAGACTATCTGGTTGGAGTGTACACGAATCTACAAAATACACTTTCGGACTTACAAACACAACAATAGCACCATTTTATCCTACTGGAACAATCAAGGAAGATAGTAAACAACATCATGTCAGGCAATAAAGGATTCATGGACGACCAGCTGGCAGCAATGCTTTTGCAGGAACAGAAATTCTATCGCTGTTCTGACTATTTGGGATCATGCTCGTCTTCAACCGAACATCCAGTTCCAATAACTGTGTGCCCTTTGCAAATTCTGAATGAAATGGCAAATCTAGTGACTGACACTCAGCTTGTCCGAATTGACTCATCTTCCAATTTTTCAAAAAGTGACAGCAAATCTGAGGCATCACCGACCACAGTTGTGCACGATATGTATGAGTCTCCTCATCACTCCAGACCACCACTATCAAAACAACAGTCGCAACGAGACAAGTTTGAACTCTCACTGATTGGCGCGTGGCGAAGTCAAATGTTTGATTGGATTTGTCAGGTGGTCCGATTCTCCCAGTTGAACAAGGGTGTTGTGGAAGTATCATTCAATATCTTGGATCGGTTCTTGGTCAGCAAAGTACAGCACGACAACATTTCTCGTGAAGAGTTTCGATTATACTGTTTGGCCTCGCTGCATATTGCCTTCAAGACGAGTGCCTCGGCAGGACGATTGAGCATGAAACAGTCACTGTCCATGTCGGGAGGGTTCTATCAAGTGGAAGAAATCCAGGCCGCCGAGCTAGAGATATTGCAAAACCTACAGTGGCATGTGAATCCACCGACCATAATGGCCTTTTGTGATCTCTACCTAAAACTTCACGAGACCCAGCTTTCCAAGAAAGTATACAGCGCCTGTGAATACATGGCGGAAGTTGCTATTGCCGATGAGTTTTTCATTTCCAAGCCTTGTTCGAGCATTGCCTTGGCGATTACTTTGTTGGTAACAAGGAAGGAAGGAATCCGATTCGCTTGGGCGCAAAAGCTGCTCCAAGAATTGCGGGGACGAGTATTTGTAGAAGGTGACGAGTTTGAATCGATCCTCCAGCAACTGGAGTGTCTAATTTGAACGTGAAAACGAAAAGAATTGCAAATCATCTATATAACTCCAATAGTAATCCCGCTCAATTTTGTTCAGCCTACTACTTTTGTGTCGGCGGTACGTGGAAATATCGCTCTCCATCATAGGTCTCCAATCTCACATTAGCTATCAAATCGTGTTCTCCAAAGGCACCATGAATTTTGTGCATACCATCCAACACCATTTCTCGGGTTCTTTCGGCCTTCCCATAGGCTCTAATATCGACATAGCAATCTTCTTGGAAACTTTCATCCGTCCAATCTTCGCATCGTTGGAGGATCAATTTCGTAGTGTTGGGTTTGGTACCCCAAATGTCACATAGTTTGGATTGCAGGGCGGTAAGTGGAACTGGTTTGCTAAGAGTATTACGAGCAAAAATTTTGACGAGTGGCATGGTTGTATTGTTGGTCGGGAATTGTAGATGCAATTGTGATGATGCTGACTCTGACAGCGGTGGTAATTGGATGATGGATGGATCTTGATGATTTCAATCCAACTAATCATTGGACCGTTTCCCGCCCTCCTTTCCGCGTGGAAACGTACGGTATTCGTACCTATATAAAAGTACCGTTACTCATGGCATACACAGTAGGTCTGCCATCGTCCGTCTCTCAACGTAATCCAGAAACGAAACCTGGTCTTACACTGTTATCATCAGAAGATTCTCAACAGCTCTGCAACCATGGAGGACATGTCAAAACTACAAGACGAGCTTGATGCTCTCAATGCCAAAATTACCAAGCAGGGAGCTGAAGTCCGACAAATGAAAAAGGATGGAGCTGCCGCCGAGAAAATTGGAGAGGCCGTCAACGCTTTGCAAGCGTTGAAACTTGAGGCTGGGACACTAACAGAAAAGCTGAAGGGTGATGAACCAGATTTCAACCGCAAGGCTTTCGATGATTTGATTATCCGAAAAATGTTTGTCGTTCCATCTTTTGAAATTCATGGTGGAGTCAAGGGTCTATTCGATTTGGGACCTCCTGCTTGCGGTTTGAAGGTACGAAATTACGTGAATTCCTGATGATTCTAGGATGATTCGGGTATATTATATTGGAGAAGAATCGTTATGAACCACGAAGATTTTACAGAGTCCACTCACGACGATGTGATTTTTTCCTTATATAAAGGCTGCTATGATTGACTTGTGGAGAAAGCACTTTGTTTTGACAGAAAACATGTTGGAGATGGAATGTACCTGTTTGACTCCCGAAGTCGTTTTGAAAACAAGTGGCCACGTTGATCGTTTCACAGATCTGATGGTCAAGGATCCCGCTACTGGAGAATGTTTCCGTGCCGATAAGTTGCTGGAAGATGCCATTGACGACTTGATAGAGAAGAACCCAACCATGCCTACCGAGGAGAAAGAGGACCATTTGCGAACTCAACGTCAAGCAGATGCTTTCAGTCCTGGGGAATTGGACACCTTGTTGACCAAATATGGATGTAAGGGACCATCTGGTGAAGCTTACAGTCCATCGTTCCCATTCAACCTGATGTTCAAGACTTCTATTGGTCCTGAAGGAACTTCCGTTGGATTTTTGCGTCCCGAAACCGCGCAAGGTCTCTTTGTCAACTTCCGCCGATTGTTGGATGCCAATGCTGGAAAGATGCCTTTTGCTGCTGCTCAAATCGGAAATGGATTCCGTAACGGTAAGTTTTGTCAGGCCATACTAGTGTCTTCGATTTGAATGTTCGTCGTCTAATGTCTTTTGTAGAAATTGCTCCCCGTAGTGGTTTGCTTCGTGTCCGTGAATTCTGCATGGGTGAGATTGAGCACTTTGTTGACCCTAATGACAAGAGCCACGCCAATTTCCCCACCGTTGCCGATAAAGTTCTAGTTTTGTTTGGACGTGACGACCAACTTGGATCCGGAAAGACAAAGAAGATATCCATTGGAGAAGCCGTCAAGAGTGGGCTTGTCAACAATGAAACCCTTGGTTACTTTATGGCTCGAACGCAATTGTACATGGAAAAGATTGGCATGAACCCAGAGTGTCTTCGTTTCCGTCAGCATTTGGCTACCGAAATGGCTCACTATGCTGCCGATTGTTGGGATTTGGAAATCAAGTCCAGCTATGGATGGGTCGAGTGCGTTGGTCACGCCGATCGTGCCTGTTACGATCTGGAAGTCCACTCCAAGGCCACCAACACCCCCATGGTCGCCACTGTTAAGTTTGACAAGCCACAAGAAATGGAGGTTGCCAAGCTAAAGTTTGACCGTAAGGCCCTTGGTATGGTCTTCAAGAAGGACGCCAGAACTGTCTCTGCTGCTTTGGAAGCTCTTGCTGAGTCCTGGAAGGACTTTGAACCCATTGCCACTGCTTTGGAAGCTAGCGGAAAAACCACTGTTGATGGATTCGAAATCACCAAGGAGATGGTATCGTGGGAAAAGACAATGAAGAAGGTCCACGAAGCCAAGTTCACTCCGTCTGTCGTCGAGCCTTCCTTCGGTATGGGACGCATCTTGTACTCTCTCTTGGAGCACTCCTTCTACCAACGTGATATGGACGAGCAGCGTAACGTCATGAAATTCAACCCTCAAGTTGCTCCTCAAAAGTGTGCTGTCCTTCCCATCAGTAGCAACCCCGAATGTAATGCTGCCGTCGATGAGATTGCTGCCGAGTTAATGCAAAGCGACTTGGCCACACGAGTCGACAAGTCTACCGCCGCTCTTGGTCGCCGGTACGCTCGTTCCGATGAAGTTGGTGTTCCATTTGCCGTCACCGTTGACTTTGAGACATTGACCGATGGCACTGTCACCATCCGAGAACGTGATTCGATGGTCCAAGTTCGTGTTCCCAAGAAAGAAGTCTGCAATGTAGTCTTTGACATTGTCCACCAACGGACCACTTGGGAACAAGTGACCAAGAATTATCCTGTCGTTCAAGTGGATGAGGGCGATGGTACGCCAGCGGAGAAGGGTGCCGATGCGAGAGCCAAGACTGTCGTGGAGGCCAATTCGCGTGGCCGATTTTCACGACCTGCTCCCAAGAAGTAGACAATAATCGGGATGCGTGACGAGAATTATGAGCGTCGCCCATTTCTTGAAATAATCTACTGTTTCGTAATTTTGATCGAATTGGTGATTAATTAACTAGATAGAATAAGTTTGCAAGAGAGATGTCAGTAGATTAGCAGTACTGTATAGGAAGAAAGGGAAAAAACATTCCTGAGATGTGGTTCTCATAGTAGCATTTCAAAAAGCAACGGCATCACAACAGCTTACCTTGTCGCTCGTTTTCTTCGCACGCATATGTAGCAGATCTCCTCTCGAGTTGGCATCACTCACTTCTTGTCGCTTAATTCGATACGATCCAGTCTCTGTCTTTTCTCGATACACTAACGCACCGTTGCCAGAGTACAGGTCGAAGGCATGTTGTTGAAGGTCTTGCTTGGCTTCCTTTTGCTTCTTTAAAGCATCCTTCTTTTCTTTGGCCACATCCCGTGGCTTGCGGATATACTGAAAGGAGACGGGATGTTTCAAGCTCTCGCTAAAGGCTGATGAGAGATTCAATGACTGGTCGGACAATCGGATGGTAATGACACGGAGCTCGTCTTGTCCTTTGACATTGCACATAATGGCGTCCCCATTCGATACCTCCTTCATGAATCTAGTGTCGTATCCAGTTACAACTGTTCCCGAAGTTGTGATTTTTCCAGTTCCCTTTTTCACGGTTGGCATCGCTCCAGAATTGGCCTTGGATGATGATGGAATTTCAGGGTTGACAGGAGCAGATAGAGATGGAGCATCAAGGGATTGTGGTTTCTTGCTAGCTACCACAGTCGAAGTTGAGGAATCTTCATCCTTCTTCGAATGCTTCGATTTCCTCTTTTTCTTCTTGCTTTTGTCGCCTTTGAACAAGAGTTGACCTTTTCCCATCGTGCCCAACTGAAAGTTTTGTGTTTGCAACAATTCTCGCTGTGTGGGAAGTGGGAAGCATTCGCGACCAAAAATTTCCCCAAACATGCGAAGTTCAAGGTGAGATGCATGTCTTTCTTGCAGTTTTTAAAAAGTGTACTGTACTGTAGGCATGAGTACTGTAGGTATGTAACGTAAATATTGCACACTTCGTATTTTAAAGTCTATTGTTAAGGCTCCCTGTATTCATCATCATAGCATCATCATAGCATCATCATCAGAGATATCAGAGCTGACAGTATCAAGATTGAAAATAGTCCATGTGACGAAGCCGGAGACGAGGAGTCCGCCAAATCCCCTTTTCCTCCTGGTAAAGAAGAGGGAGCTAGCGTGGGAGAAACTTCAGACGAAACGGGTCGTGTAGTGGGAGCAAATGTAGGAGAAGCTTCAGCCCCAGGTGGTGTAGTAGGAGAAGCTTCAGCCATAGATGGTGTAGTGGGAGCTAGCGTAGGAGAAACCCCAGACACAGGTGGTGTAGTGGGAGCTAGCGTAGGAGAAACTCCAGACACAGGTGGTGTAGTGGGAGCTAGCGTAGGAGAAACTCCAGACACAGGTGGTGTAGTGGGAGCTAGCGTAGGAGAAGCTCCAGACACAGGTGCTGTAGAGGGAGCTAGAGTAGGAAGAACTCCAGACACAGGTGGTGTAGTGGGAGCTAGCGTAGGAGAAGCTCCAGACACAGGTGCTGTAGAGGGAGCTAGAGTAGGAAGAACTCCAGACACAGGTGATGAAGTAGGAGCTGGCGTAGGAGAACTTCCAGATGCGACTTGGCATGCATCCGGAACTTCATGGGCCTTCGACGACTCTTCTCGTCCAGTCTCGACGAACAAGCTAACAACCTTCGTGTGAGCCTCGATCAGTGACTGTCCACAATCGGTGGACGCACTCAGCTCCACTTGAATACCATTGCTCAAGTTGTTAAGCTCGACGGAAGTTTCTTCGTGATGATCAACCATGGAAACGAAAAACGGGTCCCAGCTGCGAACGTACATGTTCGCGTCAACTCGGGCCTTCATCTCGGCCACATGGACTTGTAACCAGCCTGCAACTTGCGCATCGTCTGAAAAGGTCTTTGTTGTGATGGACCCATCGCTGTGATAAATCACCTCTCGATTAACTTTAAAATGGCTGTCGAGGAGCTCTTGAACATAGGCCTCGCTGGCTTGTCCGCCACCGCCACCACCGCCACCATGCCCATTACCATTACCATTTTGTAGAGACCGCCGCACGTAGGGACAGCCTTGGGATGGCGCAATGGTAGCAGCAGCTGCCACAAGGATCAAGAGTGCGGAAAAAATCATGATTGGAGGTCGTTAGTTTGTGAACAAGGCGAAGTATTTGACTTCTATTTTTTATGTGAATCCAAGTAATTGTGTGAGATCAATCTTGTGAAAATGATACAGTAGATGATGATTCCTGGAAGTTCGGATATTGCTGATACTATTACAGGTGTTCGCATATGTTTCACCGATTTGTCGCGATGAACGACTCTTCGGACTTTGTGCATATATAGTGTGTCGGAGAAATGTCTTCTGGAAAAGCCTCTCGCCCATTTTGGCGGTGCAATTGCTGAGCCTACTTTTTATTACCCCGGAAATCTAGTCTTCATCATGATACAGTATGGCTTACGTTTTGGATTGGGACCCTAGAACTGATATCACCAATGAAGCTGCCGAAGAAGCCGCGTGTGCCGGCCTCAAGGAAGAATTTTATCGCACGGGATGCATCTATGACATCTTGGCCACTCAAGATTTGGACATGGCTGGTGCCTACCGGGTAGGTACTAGAAGTAAGCTGTATGGGATTGTGAATCGCTGTTGGTTTTGGCGCGATTCGCTCGCTTGGCACTAACAAGAATCGGACAAATACTGTGTTCCAACATGTTGCATAAGATTATAATAACAGAAAAATTGCGCTGAAGTGGCACTCCTATGCTTTGACTTATCCTCGTCGTGTTGAGCATCTTCTAATTCCTAGCTATTTGCTGTCACGCAGAAGTCGTTCAGCCCGAAGATAGGACTTTCCGTAATGCTCCCATTGATGATTCGAGCAGCGTAGCAACCGACGAATATAGAAATCATAACTTTGTTTTATCCTATGGACTTCTCTCATACTTTATTCCTGTTTCTGTCGTTTGCTAGGAGGCAGTGGAGGACCCTCATCATCGTCATCATCCTCCTCGTCGTCAGTTTCATCATCACCGTCATCATCCTCATCATCATTGCCTCCAATCACCATTTGCTCGCTTTCTGTCTGCAGCTTTGTAGATCCAGCCCATATACCCGCCGCTGGTTTCGCTCCATAGTCATCTTCATCTTCCTTCTCCTCATCGTCAGTTTCATCATCCCCATCGCTGTCATCTTCGGCAGCTTCTTTCGCCGCTTGTTGCTGTCGCAGTTTCTCCAGACGCTCTTCGCGAGCAATTTGGACAGCTGCTAGATATTGTCCATACTTGTTGCCAAAAATGTTGCGTGGAGAAGCACCCTTACCCGAGGCACAACCAATACAACCTGTGGTAGGGTCTTTGGCCGACTTTTGTTGAGTGGAACGATCCCGGAGAGGGACCCGACATAAACTGGTGGTACCAAACTTGTAGTTCGTAGGGTTGATCACATAAGTGGAACAAAGTCGCTCGTATCCAGGCTTTTTCCATTTCGCAATCAGTGCTGCATCGACTAGCTTTTGCTGAATGCAATAATTGTAGACTTGCTTAGAAATTCGATGGTAGGTATAGTACATGTCGTAAATGTACCGAGACTTTTGCCAACTAATCTGATGCACTGGCCATACGCTCTCGATCTTGCGCATCTTTTCGTTCGTGTCCTTGATCTTGTCCCTCAATTCGTGCTCCAAGGCTTCCAAGGTTGGTTCCACGACTTCAAATCCGGCAGGAGGCTTTTTGTTTTTGTGCCATCGTTTTGGTAGCGGCATTGTATTGTTGTATACTTCTTTTTGTTATTGCAGAATGGAAGGTCAGGTAATAGTATTGCAACTTGTTGTTGCTTTGACCTTGTTAAAACAACTTATCATCAATGTGGAAGTGACGAAAATGGCAGCTGACTTGTTGATGGTCGTTGCAGCCGTCGAAGGTCAGACCAAATAGAGCTGAAAGAGCTTTTCTTTTCGACACGTCATCATTTTAACAAAACCCAAAAGATACGGCGCAGTCGAAAATCGTTACAACACATTGTCGACACACCATCATCATGGTAGCAATCCTTACAAGCAATCCTTACAAATCAATCTGTGCATCGTGTTGTAACATGCTTTATCCTATCTGTGAAAGATAATCGCGTGGCCATTTTTCATCGGTGCGCCACCATGTCATCCTATCCCAATCATTGGGCTGGGATTTCGGGAACCATTGAAGCGGGAGAGACTCCTCTCCAGGCCGCTCAACGAGAACTGCAAGAAGAAACCAGTTTGGCCCAAATTGTGGAATCGCAAGGAGGTTTGTTTGTCAATGTACCTTACTTATCCAAGAGAACCCAAGAAACAAGAATCATTCGAGTGTATCCACATGTGGTTCTGGTTCCAGAGACGACAGTCGAGCTAGAATTGAGAGGGACCGAACACGATAGCTTCAAATTCATTACTGTACAAGAACTACTGGACATGAATGAATCTGACTGTGTTCCAGGTTTGGTCCAGGCGTTTCATCATGCGACCCATGGCAAGTTTGACAATCAAATTCCAGAGTCGGTCAAGCAGTGGGCGAGTGACGAGGAACATGGAGCTTCCGTCATGACTCGGAATGCCTTGGCGCTGTTGGAACAAGAAGACGATGATTCCATGATGAAGGTTCGGGCTTTGCAAATTTCGATATTACGACCGTCCATGGTCTCAATTGTCAATGTCATGCAGCACATTGTGGCCAATGGAAAAGAGGCGTCAGTGACAATGGAATCAACACTCGGCAAGGATCTACAAGATTCTGTTGCATTGGGGCAGGCAACAATTCGAGATTTGGTAAGCAATAAAGGAGGTCGACTGCTGAAAATTGCCACGTACAGTCGATCGGGGACACTTGTCAAAATATTGGCCCCATTTGTGGAGGAATGCGAGATTGTCTGCTCGCAGTCGACTCCTGGCAATGAAGGAGAGCTCATGGCACAACAAGATTTGAAAAATCATGATCATCTACGTTGGGTACCGGATGAGGAAATGGAAGAGCTTTTGGCGAATGGTAAATTCGATGCATTGTTGGTTGGATCGGATTGCATTCTACCAGATCAAATGGTGAATAAAGTGGGGACGAAAAGGCTTTGCGAAATAGCACAAAAAGAGGGAACTGTGGTATGTTGTTGTGCTGACAAATGGAAAATATGGGAGGATGTCTTCCCACCGCCTATTGAAGAAGACTTGTTCGAATTGGTACCACTAAAGTTGGTCTCGAAACTTTTGGTTCCTGGTTTGACTTCTTGACTACAAGGAGGAGGACGCAAGCAGGTGTAGTAGTACCTACTGCATGTACACTGTACTGTAGGTGATGACGAAATTTTCCCTCACAATCTCCGTTCGCCCTTTCACTTATTGGTCATTTTTGTCGAACTATGGTCATAACCTCACCAAAAATCGATAAATGAGCGCATGTGGGAAGCTTCCATTACAACTTGAAACTGTGACGACACGACACCTTTTCTCATTAGCTAGAAGCCGCAAACAAGAGCAGTACCATGGCCGACGAAACTTTCCTCAAAGCGGATGCTGATGACGCCCATCCTGATGATGCTGGTGAACCTCCTGCTCGATTTTCCAACATTGACTGGAAAGGCCGAACCTCTGCCTTGTTGAGCACCTTGGGGAACAGCGCCAAATCCGTCAATACAGAAGGAGTTGCAGAAGGCACAACGCATCTGGTGGGTGGTGTCATAACAGCAGGGGGGAATACCGTCAAGAATGGGCACATTCTGCGATTGCGAGCTGGAATTACCGTCTGGGAACGCGATATTTTGCAAATGAAACACAAATTTGGTTTGGAACTCTATGCCATTATGGACAGAAATCGAAATATGGGGGACAAGTCGGGCGGTGAAGCTGAACCGGAGTTGGTAGAAGTCTATACCAGCTGTGCCAACAACATCTCGGCTCTGTTGGAATTGCGGAAACGAAAACATACGGAATTGCTAAAACTCATCAAACCAGAAGTCATTTGTCATCAGCCGACGGGTGATGACACGTCAGAAGACATGGAGAAGTTCACGGGTAGTGGCGGAGAGGAGAAAGAAAAAGAAGAGGCGACTGTGACTGGCATGTTTAGCCGTGTATTCCACAAGGGGGTTGATTGGACTCGAACTGCTTTGGAAAATAATCAAAGGAAGGCGACACTCAAGACGGAGATTGCCGAGCTTGACAAGGATATTGTGGTGAGAAAAGAACAGTTTGGAGTTGACATGTACGATACTATGGAATATCTCGGAGATCAGTACGAGCCACGCGACACTGAGATCAGGGGTTTGTTTGCAAGTATCAAGAAGGGGGTTGACGTCCCATTCCTAAAGATTCTGACAGCTGAAAAAGAGTTGGAGGATGTTCGTGCTACTGGAAGTGTCTTGGTTTCCAAAGAAGAACTCCAAGACTATATTGATGGAAAGCCCCAGCTATGGCTAATATTGGAAGCCAACATTCAAAAGGGGGAGGATCAATGCAAGATGATTTGCATTCGCGTCATTACAGAATTGATTTCTGGTGCATTTGGCAAAGAAGCCAGAGACGCCCTGATACGGAAGCGTGATTTCCTTGTCTTTGAAAGCAAATTCGTGGACAATCCAAAGGGATCACAAGAGTTCATTCATCGTTGTATTTTTGCGTCGTTTGACGCTGATCACAATGGGATTTTGAATGGAAAGGAGACGGCAGATTTCGTCGACGCCTTTTACAAATCGGGAAGTGTCGTTCAAGGAAGTAGTAGGCTACCCGAACAAAAGGATTTGATGATCATGATTCGTAAGCATTACAACGAAGATGGTGATGGCGAGTTCACCTTCAAACAGATTCAAGATATCATTAAAGAAAGTGGGGAGAATGTGGATTCAATCGCATTAGAGGAGATGGAGACAAAACCGAGTGATGATGAAAGCGCTAGTGAATCAAGACCAGACGTATTAATAATGTAATGACAACATGTGCAGGTGTAGGTTTCTTTCCAACATTTACAACCATATTATGAATTTTGGCAAAAGACACGAAAGAAGTTTCTGTGCGACCATAACGGAAAGTGAAAACCACGATATAAACTTGGGAAGTCGACGAAAATCCGGAACCTCTGCCGTCTCGGTCACACGACAGAAACGAGCCTTGCGCTGTGATTGATTGATCGAACTAAACGTTATTGCTGAATATAAAAAAGCATGTCGTCCTTCTATGTCTCTGAATACGACGAGTGGAGACAGCGACAGAATGCAATGATGAATCATGAGGAAGAAACAGAAAGCTCAAACCACCAAGAACCCAAGATAGATCCTCCTAGGCACAATCACAACACACACAACCGTAACCAGCGAAACCAACAATTGGCGACCAGCCAAATCAGCCACTACAATTCCACAGGTGCCAATTCCAGTTTGTACGTCAAGTCCGATGACGCGCCTCCACAACAACAAGAAGAGGAGGAAGATGAAGACTTGGGTTACTTTGATATTCATCTTGGCCCTTCGGCCCGAGTGTCAGCCTTGCATTTGGACGTACGAGACTCCGCTACGTTAATACCGACCCGAGAATCCGATTATGGGACGGACCCCAAGCCTGTCAGTTGGAACGTTCGCAAGTCCAACTCACGCGCTAATAACAAAAAGACGACTCCTGCTAGGTCTAGGCAGAGTAACTTGTATTCGATGGACGAAGTATCAGAGGAGGACGACGAGGCCATTATAGAACATATTGAACGGAGTTTTCGGACGGCACCGCTCCATACGAGTAGCGACACCAAATCCACGGCACCACTGGCGTCATCGCCGAGTAGTGATTCCAAAAATTCGAGGGACTTTACTCGACCGATTGTAGCAAAAAGGAAAGGATCACCAAAACCAACATATCCTGAACCAAATCGAAGGTTCGGACTGAAAGCAGCAATATTTTGTCTGGGAATGGTGGGGCTAATTATTTGGCTGTTGAATTCGCAAGGGCAAATACGCTTTTGGGAACAGACAGAGTCGCCCAAAGGAATGACCACTGGTACTTCTCCTGCTGCAATACCCTTGGCCAGGCCGGCCAAGTCCACCTTTGTCCAAGAATTTGGGACTGGCATTGAGGAATACTTGGATGATCCGGATTCTCCTCAGTTCAAAGCCGCCAAATGGATGGATGAAGTCGACACTCGATTCCAATTGCCATTGGTAAGCGGTGACTCGGCAGCTTTTCGGCAGAGATTTGTCTTAGCGACTTTTTATTTTGCCACTGGTGGTGGAGACGGCTTTTGGTATGACGATTACTCTTTCTTGTCTGCTAGCCATGAATGCAACTGGAACTCAGGATCAAGTGGAATCCAGTGCAACTCTAGCCGCGTTGTGATTGGAATCAAAATGCTCTTGAATGGTCTTCGAGGCTCGTTGCCCCCCGAAATTGGTGCCCTGGAGAATCTTCAAAGCATCACGCTAGATGGAAATAGAATTACTGGGTCAATTCCAGAAGAAATCTACCGACTGACCAACCTTCGATCCCTATCAATGCCATTCAATCAATTTAGCGGGAGCATTAGCCCGTCCATTGGTAATCTTCAGGAGCTGACGACTCTGTGTCTAGAACAAGGATCGCTGGGTGGCACTTTCCCAGCGGAGATGAACTTTTTGACCAACCTGGAAACCGTTGAACTATCCAAGAACTTCTTCGTAGGAAGAATACCTTATGAAATGGCGAACTTTCCTCGTCTACAAAAGCTGGATGTTTCCAACAACAACCTCAGGGGAAGAATACCGCAAGGAAGCTATCGAGGAATGGAAGAATTCATTGTGGATACGAATCAGCTCACGGGTGAATTCCCACGATCTGTACTCAGGCGGAAATTAACAAAGCTAAGTCTACACAACAATCGACTCAGCGGTAAACTTCCCTTGAATGAATGGACAACTGCTACGTCCCTCGAGTCTATTGACATCTCTTACAATGAGTTCCAAGGCCGCATCCCTCCCACGATCGGATCCATTCGTGATTTGAATACCCTTGTTGCCAGGGATGCAGGACTGTCCGGACCACTTCCTCCCGACTTAGATAATACTTCATTGGAGGTGCTGAACGTTGAAGGAAACTCTTTGAGCGGAAGTATTCCGCTGAGTTATGCAAATCTTCCTTTGGGTAAGTAGTCAAGTGAATAGCTTTGGCAGAGTGGTTGGAAGGGGTATTTTCTGACCCTTGCTTCTTGTTCAGTACAATTCGCGATTGGCCGAAACCTTTTAGCTGGAGATATATCATTCCTATGTGCACTATCTACTATTCAGGAATTGTCAGCGGACTGTGCGCGTCAATCTGGTATCTTTTGGTACGTATATTCCACAGTATGAAATGTCAGCTTGGAGGAATCGGTCCCTTCAAACAGTATCTCACTCTTTCGCCCGTCCATCAGTTCTTGCTGCACAACATGTTTCTCAAAGCAACAGCGAGATTCAAAGAACAACATTTTTGATCGGTCAACTGGTTGATTGTCTGTCAACACACTTTTTTTAAATAGAACCATGACTCTATAGCTGTACTCTACATCTAGTCTCTTGCATCTTTTCAGTGACTCCTCAGCGATATTTACGTCGAGATCTTTTTATGGTCTAAAAAACTTGGATCCAATTTGCGAGTACTAAAGTAGACGATAATCCAACGTAGACCGCAGGCACACTGTTCGATTTCTTTGACTACATTGTGTTACAGACGGACAAAGGCCGAACGGCCTTCGACCGTCAAAAGTTGTTGTCGATGCGCCCAGGCAGGCAATGATGCCCAGTTTATCGACTGAGATTGAATTCACCCACTTGTGTCGTGGTAATTCAATTTTTCTCTCCCAAACCTCACCCGCCCTGTTGGGCACCGCCTCCATTTTACCATATCGGCGGTGCCTGGTAGGAAAGCAGATCTCAGTAATACCGCACACGGGATTTCTGAGATTGGTCGAACGAATCGAGTCTATTACTCGATCAGTTCGACCCGCTTCACACCACAACCCACCAGCTACACACCAAGACAAAATACTACGAACACACACACGGAGGACGGCAGTAGGCTATCTTAGATAGCTTCAAAAAGAAACAAGAGAATACTGTAGTAAATGAACGGAACAACAACCATACCGGTAAGAAGGGTATTGGAGACAAAGAGAAGCTGCAAAGCATGGCTATTCCACCGACAAACGAAAATCCTGATGATCCATATGACCTCTTTCCTCAGTTCGTGATAAATCAGAAGAGCGACTTCGAAACAGCTCTTGCAGAAGTTTCGCCAGGGAAAGCAAGATACGGACTGGCAATGGTATATTCTTCCAACGGGACCGCGCTATGTGAACGGCGTTGAAAAGGGTTCAGAGATGACCCGCTACTTGGCTCTACGTAGTGATGAGGCAGTAACGGCATATCTCAAGCTCCCTCCACAGAAGGTCCCGGTCGATGCATGGTCATCGAACTGAAGAGCAGAATTGCACAACAATCGTTACCGTTGATCTACGGGAAAACTATCTAAAAATGACCAAGGAAATCCTTTCGCAACTGCAAGGGGGCAATTCGCTGAGAGAAATTTCCGGCCTTATTGTTGGTCCAAAGGTGAAGGCGTCAATAATACTCTTCCATCATGTTGCTGCTGAAGTTGCGAGATCGCATCGATCTATGGACAGATATTGGAATTCAATCACGACTTCACGGCAATGGGTAGTAGCAGCAACAAAAAGGTCTCCAGTGACGTTCATTCAATCTACGATGTTTGTTTTGATGCCTGTGTGGAAGGGAACGAAAGTCTGCTCGCAGAAATGTTGAAGTTTGATGATGTGAGAGCCAAGATCAATGACCTCCAACGCACCAAATATGGCGATAGAACTATGCTCTATTTCGCGGTTGAACATGCCCGATGGAACTTTTATTCCAATGCTGCTTGAAAATGGTGCTGATCCAAACATCGTATTTGTCCAGAATCGAACTGTTCTGTATCTCGCAGTCGAAAGGGGATATCGAAAGTGTGTTAAAAGCTTGCTTGACATGGGAGCCGACGTTATCCTTAAAGCATCATACGGCGAAACTCCGATTGTTACCGCTTCCAAGAAAGGATCCCAAGAGCTCGAAATTATCAGGCCGATTGGAACAAAGCCGAAATTGATTGATGGCGATACCATCTACAGAAATCCTTTTTTGAGAAGGGCGCTTGTTGAAAAGGGGCCCGACTTTTTCATGGGATGTCTAGTCGACTATTTCGAGCTTTACCAAATCATGGACGAAGCCGAACATTTCTGCGATACAATCAAAGCAAATCTAGTTCGAGACGTGAAAAGCTTGAGGGGTATCTTCGTGAAGCTTTTCGTCAGAGGGAAGGGTCTCAATGATTTTGTTCGAGGGACTGACTCTGTTCTGCGACAGTCTTCCACAATTCGAGTTTGTCGCCCAGAACCTACAGGAGAAGTACAATGTATACCTGAAGCCACCAAAGAAGAAAGCAGGGTCTTGGCCAATCCCAAAATTGTTGGTTTCTAGCAAAACCCGTGATATTGGTGGAAAGTGCACGACCGTGGAGATTCAGTTTTCTACTGTTTACTTTCATCTTGCCTAGAAAGAATCGAATAACCATCTTGTTTATGAATTCTTGAGGGAGTTGACTGGCCATTAGCAGAAAAGAAGAAGGACACTGGGTTCCGAGACTTTTTGGATCATCTAAACAACGATTATTTCGACACCCAAGGATTTGTCAAGGAGGAGCAAAAAGTATTTGGATCCTTTGAAGGACTTTTGACTCTATCAGATGACCAAAACGCGACTACGACAAACGGTTTTCGTACTGGCCTCGTTGTGAGTGGACTGATGGTTGTCGTGATCGAAGATTTAAATTTGGGGCACCCAGTGGAAACATGGCAAAGTTTAGTCCGTCATCATTTGTTGTGGACAATAGCTTGACTTTATTGAGCTATCACTCATACTGGAGCTAGGAATCGTATGAACTGGAAGGAGACGTGGTGGAATTCAACATTCCATTCAAAGATCGTGGGACCGTCGTTATCGGAAGAGAAGAAGAGGATGACGAGGGATCGCATCGCTGCTCAGTAAGCATTAGCCGATCGAATTTTCTGGTTCGCCGGAATGGAAAGAATCGTCAATCAAAGAAGAAGCTATTGCTAGATCAGAAAGAAGCAAGGCTTCGATTTCAGATTTCAGATTTCAGAAGGCATGATGAAGGTCGCATTCACTTCATCAAATGGACCTAGTTCGCAGGATGACGAGACAGCCGAGATCGAGATTCCAACAGATCATCAATTTCACCTGTACATGCGAGCGCCACCAGGAGTACATGACGTCAAATACCACAGTGTAGATATTCTGTAAACGAACTCAATTTCACAGAAGAAAAACAAACCGCCGAGCAATAAATCCAAAGAGAATGGAATCGGCATCACAATGCTGTTGGTGCTAGGTGATGAACAGGATCGGAACGACAAATGAATTTTTCCTTCCTGGCATGCCAATCGCAGCTGAGACGTCAACAAACATAGCGGGGAAAGCAGAACATGCCAATGAGTTCGATAATATGGTCAATATAATCATATTCGATGCATTTTTTGAAGTGGAAGTTCAGATTCGTCTTGAGTTCGAGAATAGGTGACCTGTTTCAGCCGAGCCGCTCCAGGAATACTCAAGTAACACTGAACATTGCACCTGATCTAATACCGTGCCGGCATAACGTACACTATGTAAAACCTACTCAGTAGAAGTGCCTTTTGAAATGTATACAAAAATCTTTTACATAGTATTATTACAAAGTGTATTTTTCACATGATGATTCCAAAGATGATTCCAAAGATCATCAGTATGCGCCTACCATATCCAAGTCTTGAGTGGCAAGGACATCGTACACGCAGCCCTTGCGGCTGAATTCGTCTTCCAGCCCAGCACAAGCGGCTTCGGCTTGATCCTCCGTGATGGTGCTTTCGCCCAAACGACGTCTACGTTCACCTCGGGGGTCTTCAGGTAGCCAACACTTCTCAGGGAACTGTGGTCGAGCTACCTCGTGGAATAGTCTACCATCCGATGGCAAGACTTGCCATTCATTTCCCAGTTCGGTAAAATCATCCAAAACTGTGCTTCCGTCACGAGCATAGGTGTTACCCGTCCGGAAGTCTCCAGTGATACCAACTGAGTTGCCAAAAGAAGACTCGGTTGCACCGATAATCTTGACCCCCACGAACTCTTTGAAGGTCCTGATCTCAAGCTTCTCTCCCCGATATTGACTGCCAAGATCAATTGTGTACTTATTATTGCTGGGGCTGATCGATATCGGGAAGCCAGCAAGATCCTCCAGGTCGCCCCCGTCTTCGTAGTTGATCCAATATTTTGCCTCTTCAAGGTCCAAGGATCCTGAGACCTCCAGAATATCATTTCCGATTCGAATTACAGCATTCTCGATGTAACTCCAGAATCGAACAATCTTCGTGCGGATGTGAATATCAATGCCAAGGCCACCAGCAAAGTCCTTGTTAGAAATCATGACAATGTCGCACTGTCCATGGAATTCAAAATGTTCGTTCTTCCATGTTTTGAAATGAGGATCGCCATTTCCTTCTGTTTCCTTTGTAGGTCCTGATGTAGGTTGCGAAGTTGGTGCTGCAGTAGGTCCGACAGTGGGCGCGCTTGTTGGACTCGATGTAGGCCCAGCAGTCGGCCCAGTAGTTGGTCCCGAAGTAGGTGCCGAAGTGGGCCCGTCTGTTGGTACACTTGTTGGGTTAGATGTAGGTCCAGAAGTGGGTTGAGAGGTTGGTGCTGAAGTAGGTCCATCTGTTGGTGCACTAGTTGGGCTAGATGTGGGGCGAGAAGTAGGACCACTGGTCGGTCCAGCAGTTGGTGCAGAAGTAGGTTGAGAGGTTGGTGCTGAAGTAGGTCCATCCGTAGGTGCACTAGTTGGACTAGATGTGGGGCCAGAAGTCGGACCACTGGATGGTCCAGATGTAGGTTGAGAGGTGGGTGCTGAAGTAGGTCCATCCGTAGGTGCACTAGTTGGACTTGATGTGGGTCCGGAGGTTGGTAGGCTGGTTGGTCCTCCAGTTGGCCCTCCAGTTGGCCCAGATGTAGGTTGTGTTGTTGGTCCGCTTGTAGGTCTGTCTGTCGGTGCACTAGTTGGACTAGATGTGGGACCAGAAGTTGGACCACTGGTCGGTCCGACAGTGGGTCCAGATGTAGGTCCAGATGTCGGCCCACTAGTTGGTAGACTGGTTGGTCCTCCAGTTGGTCCTCCAGTGGGTCTGGAAGTTGGTCCACTGGTCGGTCCACTTGTAGGTTGAGATGTTGGTCCACTTGTCGGTTGAGATGTGGGACCGGATGTCGGCCCACTGGTTGGTCCACTTGTCGGACCAGAAGTCGGTCCTCTGGTTGGTCCACTTGTAGGTTGAGATGTTGGTCCACTTGAAGGTCCATCTGTTGGTGCACTAGTTGGACTAGATGAGGGACCAGAAGTTGGTCCACTGGTTGGTCCGTTCGTCGGTTTACTTGTTGGACCAGACGTTGGACTACTCGTTGGGCGGCTGGTTGGACCGGAAGTAGGCCCACTTGTTGGACCACTCGTTGGACCACTAGTTGGTCCCGAGGTTGGGCCAGACGTAGGTCCACTGGTTGGGCCATCAGTTGGACCACTGGAGGGTCCACTGGTTGGGCCTAATGTAGGACTATTTGTAGGTCCGGAAGTAGGCTTTGAAGTTGGGCCTGATGTAGGACCCGACGTAGGTCTTGATGTAGGTCCAGAGGTTGGCCCGGAAGTTGGACCGCTGGTGGGTTTAGAGGAAGGTCCGCTGGTAGGACCAGATGTAGGTCCAGTAGTTGGACCACTAGTAGGTTCCGACGTGGGCCCAGAAGTTGGACCAGAAGTAGGCAATGACGTTGGACCACTGGTGGGGCCAGAGGTAGGACCGCTGGTAGGTCCCAAAGTAGGACCACTTGTAGGTTCTGAGGTGGGTCCCGAAGTAGGTTGAGATGTTGGTTCACTTGTAGGTCCGTCTGTTGGTGCACTAGTTGGACTAGATGTCGGACCGGAAGTCGGCCCACTGGTTGGTCCAGATGTAGGTTGAGATGTTGGTCCACTCGTAGGTCTATCTGTCGGTGTACTAGTTGGACTAGATGTGGGACCAGAAGTTGGACCACTCGTTGGTCCATCTGTAGGTTGAGATGACGGTCCACTTGTAGGTCCATCTGTAGGTGCACTACTTGGACTAGATGTGGGTCCGGATGTTGGTAGACTGGTTGGTCCTCCGGTTGGTCCCCCAGTGGGTCCGGAAGTTGGTCCACTGGTCGGTCCACTTGTAGGTTGAGATGTTGGTCCACTTGTCGGTTGAGATGTGGGACCGGATGTCGGCCCACTGGTTGGTCCACTTGTAGGTTGAGATGTTGGTCCACTTGAAGGTCCATCTGTTGGTGCACTAGTTGGACTAGATGAGGGACCAGAAGTTGGTCCACTGGTTGGTCCGTTCGTCGGTTTACTTGTTGGACCAGACGTTGGACTACTCGTTGGGCGGCTGGTTGGACCGGAAGTAGGCCCACTTGTTGGACCACTCGTTGGACCACTAGTTGGTCCCGAGGTTGGGCCAGACGTAGGTCCACTGGTTGGGCCATCAGTTGGACCACTGGAGGGTCCACTGGTTGGGCCTAATGTAGGACTATTTGTAGGTCCGGAAGTAGGCTTTGAAGTTGGGCCTGATGTAGGACCCGACGTAGGTCTTGATGTAGGTCCAGAGGTTGGCCCGGAAGTTGGACCGCTGGTGGGTCCAGAGCTAGGTCCCGAAGTTGGTCCGCTGGTAGGCCCGGAGGTGGGTCCAGCAGTTGGACCGGATGTAGGTCCGGAGGTGGGTCCTGAAGTTGGCCCGCTTGTAGGTCCCGAGGTGGGTCCCGAAGTTGGACCACTGGTAGGCCCAGAGGTGGGACGAGAAGTTGGCCCGCTGGTAGGTCCCGAAGTTGGACCACTGGTGGGCCCAGAGGTGGGGCGAGAAGTTGGCCCGCTGGTAGGTCCCGAGGTGGGTCCCGAAGTTGGACCGCTGGTAGGCCCAGAGGTGGGTCCAGAAGTAGGCACAGAGGTAGGTCCCGAAGTTGGCCCGCTGGTAGGTCCAGAGGTTGGACCGGATGTAGGTCCCGAAGTTGGACCGCTGGTAGGCCCAGAGGTTGGTCCAGAAGTAGGCGCAGAGGTAGGTCCCGAAGTTGGCCCGCTGGTAGGTCCAGAGGTTGGCCCTGAAGTTGGGCCGGATGTGGGCCCTCCTGTTGGCCCTCCTGTTGGACTAGAAGTCGGACCAGAAAAGGGACCTGAAGTTGAAGGTCCTGGAGTAGGCCCTCCTGTAGGTCCCCCAGTTGGAGAAGACGTGGGTCCGGATGTCGGTAAACTCGTAGGTCCAGAAGTTGGCCGAGATGTTGGGCTTGAAGTGGGTCCTGACGTGGGCCCAGAAGACGGTCCAGACGTTGGACCGCTAGTCGGTAGAGCTGTTGGTCCAGAGGTTGGGTTTGAAGTCGGTCCAGAAGTTGGTCGTGATGTAGGACCTGAAGTCGGTCCAGACGTTGGACCACTGGATGGTCGAGCTGTTGGTCCAGAAGTTGGGTCTGAGGTCGGCCCAGAAGTTGGACGGCTCGTAGGTCCAGATGTAGGTCCATTGGTCGGTTCGCTAGATGGTCCCGCAGTAGGTCCAGATGTAGGTCCATTGGTCGGTTCGCTAGATGGTCCCGCAGTAGGTCCACTTGTCGGATCCTCAGTTGGACTGGACGTTGGACTGGAAGTTGGTGCACTAGTTGGTCCAGAAGTGGGCCTTGATGTCGGGCCTGAAGTAGGTTTACTCGTTGGACCAGATGTTGGACCATTTGTAGGCTCAGACGTAGGTCCTGCAGTGGGTCCACTTGTTGGTTCTGACGTTGGTCCGGATGTTGGTCCTGAAGTGGGTCCAGATGTTGGTCCTCTGGTTGGATCACTGGTAGGCTCAGATGTTGGACCGCTTGTAGGACCCGTGGTAGGAGACGATGTCGGTCCACTCGTAGGTCCTCTGGTTGGATCACTGGTGGGTCCGGAGGTTGGACCACTTGTAGGTCCCGTGGTAGGAGAAGATGTTGGTCCGCTGGTTGGCCCATCGGTTTTGGGTGAAAATAATTCATCATCACGCCCAAAGAGCCCAGTTGGTGCCTGACTAGGTACGTCACTGGGTGCATCACTCGAAAGGTCCGTAGGTGTCTGACTTGGCACATCACTGGGTGCATCACTCGAAAGATCTGTTGGAGCTTGGCTTGGTACATCACTGGGTGCGTCACTTGAAAGACCTGTTGGTATCTGACTTGGCACATCACTTGGTGCATCACTCGAAAGATCTGTGGGAGTTTGGCTTGGCACGTCACTGGGTGAATCACTAGAAAGGTCTGTAGGTGTTTGACTTGGCACATCACTGGGTACATCACTCGAAAGACCTGTGGGAGTTTGGCTTGGCACGTCACTGGGCGCATCGCTCGAAAGATCTGTTGGTGTCTGACTTGGAACATCGCTGGGTGCATCACTCGAAAGATCTGTTGGAGTTTGACTAGGTACATCACTGGGCGCATCGCTCGAAAGATTTGTTGGTGTCTGACTTGGAACATCGCTGGGTGCATCACTCGAAAGATCTGTTGGAGTTTGGCTTGGAACATCACTAGGTACATCACTCGAAAGGTCTGTTGGTGTCTGACTGGGAACATCACTTGGCATATCACTCACGTATGGACCAGTTGGTGCCTGACTAGGGACGTCACTTGGAGAATCACTCGAAAGGTTGGTAGGAGCCTGACTTGGAACGTCGCTAGGGGCATCACTTGAGGGACGCTGTTCCTCGCCCTCGAAGTCAGGACCGAAACCTGTGGGTTGCTCCGAAGGTTCTGCAGAAACAGAAGGCATCTCAGAGTGGCAGAATTTTCCATTGCTCTTCAACATATTTCCGTAACACATATCCTTCGTAGGAGAACTTGTTGAGAGTGCTCCAGAAGGAGTCTTCGAGACGAAGTGGTGCGGAGCCAAGGTCGTAGGCGCCAGTGTCGGTTCATCATCACTAGTGGTCTCATCATTGCTAGTGGTCTCATCACTTTGCTCAGCACTGACAGCGCACAAGTTGCTTCCATCACACGCCAATTCAAAGGAATAGAGGGCAACAGCTGAACTCCAGTCCAAACAATCGTGAAAATCGCTTGCATGGGCACCGACAAAGGTGCTATCTTGCACATACAGATCAAGTGCGGCCTTGCTTCCAAGACACTCAGCTTTGAATTGCACAGAGAAGCCACCATCCGCAGACGATAGTCGATCTTCGAGATCGCAAGTCTTGCCATCTTTCTTGTACGCAGGCTGGATCCACCCTGCCCTTGAAGACTTCCATAGCTGGGTGATCTTGAAAGTAACTGAGCTGTCCTCGGAGCTGACTACTTCCACTGCGCCAGCAGGTAGTCCAACATTTGCGTCCTCAGATATGAGCTTGATCTTGCCTTCTTGCAAACAACGAGAGACACCAGAATTGCTGCTGGAAGCAACGGTAGCTGCTTGAGCAGCAGGGCGGCTGCCACTGCTGGATATGGAACTGGAATCGTTTCTTGTAAGTTTCCTGCAATCTGGATCGTCAGGATCTTCCAGGCACTTGGAAGGCAATGCTTCGCTGGCATTGCTCATGGGGCCATTGTAAGGCAGATTGGGGTTATGGTTCACAGCAAGCCTCGATCTAACGTTGACTGGGGGGCAGAACTTAATCTTGTTCGGATCATCGTAATCGCAGTGCTGAGCCAAGCTAACTTTCTTTTGCTCTTGCCTTCTTCCAAAGTAGCGGTACAACCAAGCAGTCCTTCTTTCAACACGAGTTTCGAGTTGACAGAAAAAACCCCGAACTCCAGTTTGTTCAGATTCTCCATTACAGAGGCAAGGGAGCCCAAGGAACCCGTTGCATGATGAGGTTGTGTGTTGTGGTGTAAGTTCTTCTGTTAATATCCGACCGTCAATAACATGCGGTCTGCTTTGCTCATTCTGTCCAACTTGTCGTATCTGCTGTAATGTGTTGGAGTCACTCGACGTTGTCGTGTACAACGCTTGGAGGAGCAAGATAAGCCTCAACATGGTATTCATCATTGTTGATGATGATGATCATTCAAAAATGATTCGAAATTGCGCAAGACAAGATATCAGATCCGTCTTACTGCAGATGTGAAGGTTTGCCTTCATTTTTTGTTAAATGGAGTTCACATGCCATTCTGCCTTTAAATCGATTCATTTAAAGATTGAATGTTCATTGATTCACGGACCCTAAATGGCGAGATCTAGTGTAAGCTAATTGTTGGTTCACGGACGAATTGAGATTTATTCAGGAGATTAAACGTTCACCCACCGTGAATGGCCTGGCTACCTGACCATAGTGCCCTAAATATCAACACTAAATGAAAGATCAAGCAGGCTGGGCTACATCACATACTTCCTTCATTTCTTTGGCGTGAGAAACGTGAGAAAATCTCCGCCATGCAGGAAAGGAGATATATATCTATTTTTCTGTTAAGATGATATCAAGAAGCCACTCACTATGCACATGATGTCAATAAACGAAAGCGAAAGCACCGCTAGATCACGGTGCTGACCTGCACATTCATGGTGACAAGCATTATCGTTTGATGGTACTTCTGACCTTGTATTTGATTGCAAACCAGGAGTGGAACGATGTATGTAACACAGTTGAAGGTTATTTCAGAGTAATTTCATCTAAATTATTTTGCGTTATTTGGCCTGACTCCATTATCTAACGAAGCATCGGTTGCTCTGGCATACAATTACAGAATAGAACATTTTTCAACTCACTTTGCTTGGGGCCTTTGTTTTTCCAATAGAATTTGAACCATTTCTTCTAATCCTTTCTCGATGCTGCATATTATAATGGCGAGCATAGAAATGGCGACATGACATTTTTCATGATTATCCATAGTTTGAAACGTTCATTATGTTAGACACGTGCAGTAGAGTGCAATTTGGAACAATCAAACAGTCGAACTAGTCGACTACATCTCCTTTTTTTCATTCTCCAAACCCACGCGATACGAATGAACTTTTACATCATCAACCATCCAAACATTTAAAACTCAACACAACAGCTTGTACCATACATCATCGTCATCATTAAATCCCAGTAAAACTGCATGTTGCACCGAACCCATGGACTCCCATAGTTTCGTTGGATTAGGATATTATGCAACGTCAAACCCAGCGCAGCAATCATATTCAACAGAAAGCAGCAACCCATATCAGCAATACTATGGAAAACAGCAATCGCCAAGCACCCCCAATACCTACGGATATGACGTGTATGGTGACCATTTAAGAACTGGTGAAGTTAACTTTGTTCCTATGACTGATGTGACCGCCAATGAAACCCCATCCGATCACGCAACCTTCGCCATTGGGAAGGAGAGCACAGTTCCTCCTGGACTTCCACCGCTTCCTGTTGGTGTATCAGAACCATCTGGGTCCATGCCTGCATATCTACAACATTCCCAAATGCTTCCATCTTTCCCAAGCCCACTGGTAGATGGTCCTCCTCGTACCATATCCATTCCTCAAACAGAAGTAGTAGACACTTCTGCTTTGCAGCAGCAACAGCAGCAAATAGAAGAAGGACGCAATAAGGCGCTGGAAATCTTGAAACAATTTGGAGCATCGAAGCGAATGGAAGAATCTCAAATTCAAAAGGTAGCTGAAATAGGACGAAGTAAGGCTTTGGCCATTTTGGAGAATCAAAAGTTGCAGATGATGAGCGGCAACGATGGCCATCTCCTGTCGCTAGATGCACTGCCACCGGAAGAATGGGCCCGGCGGAGAAGGGTTTGTTTCGAAAAGTTGCAACGAAAGTACGAAAAAGCGATATTCCGGAACTTTGAATATGTCGCTCGCGTCGGAGAAGAACGATTGAAAGCCCAAGCCAAGCAACTCCAAAACACGGAACGCTATCACTCGGAGATGGAAAGCTATCACGCACAAGTTCTGCAGGATCGCGCCAAAGCCTATGCGACGGTACGCAACAAGGACTACTCCTTTACCGTGGCGGGGATTGGGACCCAACAGCGGCAAAAGGCCGAACGCAAACGCAAACGAACTCAGGGACAACAAGATTCCTCGTCCTCTGTCGCCATTTACGTGTCCAATCTACCAACAGATGGATCAGTGTCCGAAGAACTGATGCGAGCTCTCTTTGGATCCTATGGAAGCTTACGAAAGATTCATTTCTACATGGACAAACGAACTGGACAGCCAAAGGGAGACGCCCTGGTGATTTACAATACCAGTATTAGTAGTGGTATGGACGACGACCGTGGTCCGGCGGATGTCAAGTCATCGATTGTCGAAGCAGTTTGTTCTCAGGTGCGTATGTCTTGAATTATTTCTTGGACTGGACTGTTCAGTCCGAATAGTATTCCTTGTGTCTGCTCTGCTGTCAACATTGTGGTGAGACCTTCCGGTCCTGCGATCGCGTTTGTTCATCGCATTCGTTGCTTGTCGCCATCCTTTGGCAACTTCGGTTTGTATGAATGAATGAATCATTGAATCAATCAATCAACCCATGTATGTATGTATGCGCTTTTTCTTCTTTCGTTTCTAACTTTGAACAACATGACAACAATCCATTTTATAAAAGATGAATGGAGCGGAATTGTCCTGTGGAACTTGCATCAAGGTGGAGCCATCCGATCCATTTTATCAACTGCGAAAAAAGAAAGAGGCACCACCAAACTACTATGGAAAGGCCGGTGCTGAGGATTCACAGACAGCAGCACCAGCAGCACCAGCAGCACCAGCAGCACCAGCAGCACCAGCAGCAGTGGAAGAGAACGCCGAAGAATTGGAAAATAAAGAAGAATCTGCCATGGGGGTAGAAGAAGGAACAAGTAAGCCAGAAACGGGAGATGACAACGGCAAAGATGAAGACGGCAAAGATGAAGACGATTTGGATGATTTCTTTGCTTCGTTATAATAATAAGGTTTAAAATTGCAAATGATATTTGCAAGTGAGATGGGTGCTTTTCAATCATAATGAATAGTCTCTTGCCATTTACGCCTTGCTTGGGGCGATACCATATGATACCATATGATTGATTGACTGCTGTTAGGGTCAGCTGTCATTATCAACCATTTTGTTTGTCAGTAGGACTTTTATCTAGCTGCAGTAGCTCTTCAATCCGCAATTTTCATAAAAAAGTTTGGATCCCTCCTAGATTTGTTTTCGAATCGCTGCCACCACCTCTCAAAGATATTCTTGGGCACTACCATTTGAGACGGTCCCGAGGCACCCGAGTCAAAGGAATTCATAAAGTTCAAGAGATCTTGGGCAATCTTTTGGGCTACCAGTGGTCGTTTGGATCGATTGTGGGTGTCGGTGGTGGTCATTGCTAAGTTTCGAACACTGTCCATGGGCTCGATCGAGAGTCCAATAGTGACTTGGGCTGGCTCATTAGGTCCGACGACCATGAATTGAGAGTGTTCACTCCAACCCGTCCGAAGAATTTCCGAAGGCCGATCGGGAGTCAAGGACCCCAGCAATTCAAATCCCGATTGTTCTTGCGCAAAACTCAGTTGCCAGTATAACAGCACTCCATGATTTGGGGGTAATGATTGTGGATTCGTCAGGAAACAGACTAGTTCATTGACCAAAGTCAGTGGGGAAGGCAATTGGCCAGGACTTGAAAGTGTCATGGCAAACTTTGTCCCCGTCGCATCCATTGGAGCGAATTCAGTCAGAACTGGACCGCCAGGGACGATGAGACCAAAGGATGGAGGATTACCAGCGTTTTGTTGTGAAACCGCTGCTTGATTGGAAAAGAATCCCGGCGTGGTACTTGTATCATCAACCATTGGGGCGATGGTTGATGAAGGTACTGGGAATGCGAATGCGGATGCGGATGATGTTTCAACTTCCATTTTGCGATAATGAGGCTCTATCGATGATTGATTCAATTGCCTTGTATACGTGGATAGAAAAGGGTCAATGTGGTGTTGGGCAGTTGTCTTTTACTCTTTTGTGCAACGGCGGGAAGTGCAGTTGCGTGAATGACAAGAAGTTCTGCTCTGTTGTACACGTATTATGTTCATCATTTTCGATGGAAATCCGCACGAATGAAAATAGCAGTCAATTCCGACGAATAGTTCGATTGCTTTTGGTAAGGTTTGTACATACGCGAAAGGCATGAAAAAAGCTATAATCATGGAGCAATTGAATTATATTGAAGGAAGTCCTGTGGCATAAGTCAAGGTTCCCTTGCTTCTTCAGTTGTTGGTATGTTCAAGCTCTGTTGAACGAATGAGTGCGAAGAATTTTGGTTTTCCGAATCATCGATCGATGCAAACACTGGACAACTTCAAACTACTGTAGACGACGGAACGGACTTGGTGTTTGCATTCTCAGGTTTTGGCGCGCCAATCTTCCATTGAGAATACAAGCTATTTCACCCACCACCACATGTTTATCTTTTTTCAACTTCATATTATCATTTTCCACTCACCTCCAACCACTTTTTTCATCTACATAGGTATTTTGCTTGCTGAAAATATCAGTCATGCATTTCTTCAAGGTCCTTCTTCTCATGACATTGCTTGCTGTGGTTTCAGCAAGAGAGCGAATGCGTTCTTCAGAACAAAACCTGGGCCCAAAAGTAAGCTAGCATACCGAAGTGATCATTGCGATCTACCGCTCGAAAATATGTAGACAAACGTCTCACATTGGCCGCTTTTTGTCATTTTCGTCAATTCCATTCCTACGCCTACTACTATCATCAGCATACAGCTGGCATCAAACAAGTCAAGGAACATCACGAACGGCGAATGACAAAGCTTGAAGAAATGATTGAAGAGCGGCGTCAAATGGTGGAAGATCACGAGCGAGGGCACCGCAAATTGAGTCAAGAAGAATACGAAAGGGCTTCGAGGCAACATGGTAACTTTCAACAAAAGCTGGAGCAAATGCGCAAGACCAACCATCATGTAAGTTTCGGGATCAGAAAAATGGTAGATACAGTATACTGCTATGGTAACTGAGATTTAAGGATGGGGAACGATGTTGTATTAAAATATGAGCTTCTAACTCACATTGTCCTATTCACCAAATTCATAGGAGGCTCATATGGACAGAATGCACGAAATGAAAGAACTACATGAACGGTCTATGAGGATTAAGGAAGACCTTTGATGATTCATTCAAGTAAACCTTGCTTTTTCTTGGCTAGCTTCGAGACTGTCATAATACCTACTGTAAGACAAAAGACTTCTATAGATTAGATCAGAAAGACCTTAGGATCCAAATGAAAGGCGCGTAGTCCAATTTTGGTCGTACAGCTACTTATCACTGGGACACCTCCTTGTTATCTATTTTTTTTATTGATAAAGCCAGATGTTGTAGTCGTACTTGAGTTTACGTAGAAATGCAGATGCAGACGGGAGAACGTGGACAATAGCGGCTTGAATAAATCACTTATGGCCGGTCGCCAGCGGGCACTTTTTCTACGCTGCGTCGCGACTGCAGCAAATCTCGTAGCTCCTGCTTTTCACAAATTGACTGAAGGCAGCTCACGAACTTACCGGTATCAGTAATACCATCAGAAGCTTCTCACAAGTCGCCAGTGAACGATCGACGCGCTACTGGGCACCAATTAAACAAGGATAGACACATTGACAAGGTACGAAGACGGCTTTTCGCAGCCACTTGTGACCCTTGACCTGCAGTCCCGTCGTGTGCAGGATCGGGTTTGCATGCGGAATGACTTGGTCTTGTATGGAAGGTTTTTTCTAACAGATTGCTCTCGTTCTCCTTGTCGAATCCTTCTTCATGATATAGTGAAACCATACGCTGATTGACATGGACAGAAGATTCCCCTTCGACTCACAAGGTCGATCTGGCCAAAATCCAGTAAGTTCACAATTTGGATATCCTCACGATTCCAGTCACGTGATCCATACAGGCCTCTGACAACTGTCTCTGCCCCCTGAAACTCTCCTCGTTCGTCCGTTTCGATAGCTACACAATGCACAAATGAGAGCGGCTCTTGGTCTGGGCCAGGTCGACGAATCACTTTATCTACAACAAGATATCCAACGAGATCTTCGTCTCCGGCAAATGTTGCTTGCTGGGCAGCTCGATCAGCGAACTCGATTGGGAAGTCTATTCCAAGAGCAACAATTAAAGGCAATGGATCAGTTCCCCGAGCTACAGCACTACCAGCGGCTCTTGATGAATGACCCGTATCAACAATTACATGGGGAACAAGCGAGTTTGCATCATTTGCAACAAGAAGAACTACGAAGGAGGGCACTGGCACAGGGAGCCACTCAGCTTGCGAATGCGTCAGCGATAGGTGCAGTTGCAACCCAACCAAACCTTGCAATGAGTCCTCCAGCAGCTTCGAAGATACCAGCTGGGTCGATAAAAGATATCGCAGCCGAGCCTCTTGCTGGCAACGCAGTGAAGAAGGATGAAGGCGACACACGCGTGTATGCACAGTCTGATATTGAAGACAGCAAGAAGCGGCCTCGTTCCAATACAGCGGAGAGCACCGAGTCAAATGGGAATAGCAAAAGGACTAAGAATGAGAGTGAATCAGCCGAACATGGAGAAAACGATGGAAAGCCTCCTTCAACGTCACAAGCGAGCTTTGAGGATAGATCGCAGCCATCAGCCGAAGCGTTACTACAAATAGCAGCAGCTGCGTCAAGGATGCCTCAGTATGGTCATCCGGGGTATCCCTTTACTCAGTTCTCCCCTACGCCAATTGTATCTCCACCGCCAGTGAGTCAAACACCCAAATTGGGCACACTAGGAGATCTTCTCGATGCGGGGCAAAATGTGAAGAAAACCGATGAAGCAGCTACAGCTTTGGTGGGAATTAAGGCCTTAACCCAGTGGCCTGATTCTGATTCGGAACACGAACATGACGGCGGATGGGAGGAACGGCAGGCAAAACGAAAGGGGGATACGATCGAGTTACCAAACTTCAATTCCGTATTACCCCAATTGCCAGAAGAACCTAAGGTCAGCGTATTAAAAGACTCGTCTAAGAAACACAAGGGAATACTTACTGAAGATTCAGTGGATTCGAAGCCGAGAACAAAGGCCAGATCGAACAGTCGAACACAAGAGCACGGGAACTTGGAGGCTGATTCTGGAGTTGTTGAGTATCGATTTCCGATTGATACATGGTGGCCATCTGCCAGCAGTGTTCAACGCGAACGAAAAACGACAGGCGAGCTGCCACCATCTACGAGATGTGAAGGTTCGGATGAGGTCCTCGGGAAGGACTCTCCATTCCGCATTGATGTCGACAGGTGCCGAGATGTTCTTACGCAAGCAGTGACACCTGGAGTTCTCGAGAAGATTCCTCATTGTAGAATCCATCGGATGAATATGATGAAAAAGAAGAATCCAATGGCCCCTGAGTTGTGTCACTGCTTTCAAGTCACGGAATTATATCCCAATGAACACATGCTCTGTTGTTCGGTGTGTGGGACATGGAGACATGCTGCTTGTGGGGGACACCACAAACCGGTCTCAATCCGCGAATGCATGGATAAAGTCTTTGTCCCGACTTGTGATCGATGCCATGCAGAGGAGAAACTACTGAAGGATTATCCACTAGCTCGCAAGCGAATAGACAAACAACGTACGGAACAAATACGGCGTGGTTTGGCAACATCAGCTGCAATGCGACAGGCGTCTTTCTCAAAGCACGGGGGAACCTACAAGTGGCCGCTTGGGAGCGTTTCGGCGACACATATCGGAGGTCACACACGCAGTGTTCATTCTCGTCATGACAAGGCTGAAAAGCAATGGATGGATATGGCCACGAGACTCGGGAGTGACGCTGGGGGGCGACCGAATCACAGAGTTAAACATCGAACAAAGGAATTGGAGCGATTGCTGGTTTCGGTGGAAGATGCAGGTAAATGCTTTGAAGTTGGAACGATTGGTGAATTTGTCACGTTGAAAATTGAGCTCACACTGTCATATGCTATTTTGCGATACAGAGGGTCACATGGATCGACATAACATGATGTTATTTCTACTCCAAGACACACTACGGGCGGATCCAGTTGGTTTTGAAAAACACAAACGAAATATTTTTGATCCAGCTGACGATGAGGTTTCTCAAAGTTACATGAAAAATAAGCTATCGAATGACGACGAGAACCTGGCGTCAGAAGAAAGCAACAAAGTTACCGATGACGATGAGACCGATGGAGACGAGAATAGCGAAGACACCGACAATGGTGTTTGCGCTCGAAATGGTTGCAAAACGAAACGAAGATTCGATTCACTATTCTGTTCTGACAGCTGTGGCGTTTCTGCCCTGGAGAAAGATCTCCTGAGAACATTCCAGTATGCAAGTGATTTCCACCCCTCACTGCTCCGCAGCTAGATTGAAAATCAAACGCCATTTGAAGATGCGTTGATCACTGCCTTTGATTTTCCACAAGCGTTTGGTTAAGGGTTAAGGGTATTTTACTATAACACGCAAGTTTGAAGACAACTTCACGCAAGTTTGAAGACAACTTTTAAAAAGAGATAGAATTACGGCTCAATTTCCATTTCACGTTGCAGAAATCTTGCTGGTTAGAAATGCAGTTGAACTCTACAACATGGATGGCGACCTTCTCAAAACAATTAGAGCCAAAGGGAAGGGTTTGGTGAAGCCAAATGATACAATCAAACGAAAAAGAAAATAGGTGGTATTTCAAGAATGCTTGCGTTAGCTGGTGACAACAAATGGACGATAGTTCTTCGTCTTATTGGCAAGGAGCTATTGGATTTTTCATTCTAGTGTTTGCCAGTGTACACAAATAGCTTGACCTGGCAACTGATATCGTGTTAGCTTGACAATAGCATGGCCATTCTTCATACATACGGGTGTGAATGATTTTTGTTTCATGTGTGAAGAGGGAAAAGCTATTTCAGATCCAATTATGTTTACCGCTTACTTCGAAAAAACAATCGAACTAGTCCATTCCTCTTTTATCCCAACGAAATCGGCATCGAGGAATATTTGAAGCAGCAAGGTGTGTAGGCCATGACGATGATGGGACGACAATTGCTCGAGAAATCGTAGAATTGTCGTGACATATAGCTTTAGAGGTTGCGTAAATCGTTGCGAGCAGTATTCTCACTCTTTTGTTTTCTCTTTGCACAGAAATAAACGGGACAAAATGGTGAAAGCATATGAATTGAGATCAATGAACAAGGACGAGCTCCTCAAGCAATTGGAAGAGCACCGCAAGGAACTTTCTGAATTGCACGTCGCTAAGGTCACTGATGGTGCCGCTTCCAAAATTGCCAAGATTAAGTCTGTCCGCAAGTCTATCGCACGCATCTTGACTGTGCACAATCAACAACAAAAGGAGGGACTTCGCAAGGCTTCCGCCGGAGCCAAGTATGTGCCAAAGGACTTGAGATCCAAGAAGACACGTGCCATGCGTCGTGCTTTGAGCAAGGCTGAGCGATCCAAGAAGACACAGAAGCAAAAGAGAATGGCAGCCGCTTTCCCACCAGTCAAGTTCGCTGTTAAGGCCTAAATAAAGAAACACAAAATCAATATTTCCCTTGTTCAGAAATCGTCGATATGATGCACCTGACACGTAGCCTTGATAACCGTGGAGTTGTAAACTGTTGGATCAAGGAAAGTGCATTATTGGCAATTCGATGGAATTTTTTTGTTCTTGGAGATTGAGGCCCTGAATGCTAACTACGTCCCGGACATTGAGGGTTGGGCATATTGGCACAGTTGCACTTCATTCCATTCCGTACAGTGGGTCTTTCGTTTATATACTACAAAAAGTATATCTCTATGGTGCTGTTTTACCATGGTCATTCTTTGGAGAAAAGGTCGAATGTGTTGGGGGTACTACCGAGAATCCTTCAGCTACCTGGAATTGTGTACGCAGTGCCACATCTTTCCCATACTACCTTTAGAAGGATTCACTAGAGTGCGATACCCTGAACACATTACTTTCCTACTCTCTTTCACCGTGTCGGCATGATACGATTACAGTACTACGATATGATACTCCTGGTACTCCCCCAACGTTTTCTCCCCTCCTTCTCTTTCTCCGCGACCAAAAAGTAATCGAGTGATTCGCAACCAACAACTACAGTAACTATACCGGTACCCATCAAAATCTTTCTTCGACGCCTCTTCGACCAAACCATAACAACAACAACAAACATCATGACCCTTTCCCTCAAGTACCTTTCCTCATTGCTGCTACTTATACAGCTTGAATTACGAAGTGTAAACTCCTGGGGTGTTGTCCCTGTTCAAAGATATCCAAAACAAACAAGTCAAATTTTTCAAGCTGGAGGGAACGACGAGGACGACGGCGAATGGGTCGACTATGACGATTTGGAAGTCTTGCAGGGCGACGAAACAGAATATGGAGACAGAGAAGAAGATTGGATTCCTGATGCTGCACGTGCAAAGAAAAAGCCAAAACATTTGACTCCAGCTAACGAGGTCATCAAACCGAAGGAACCAAAAAAGAAAGGAGAAAAGACAAATGCTATGATGGAGGACTCGAGACCGACTCCGTACACTGAGGACGAAGAAGAAATAATTGCAGCAATGGGAGGTAAACAACGGAAGAGTAAAAAGAGAGAAGATGGATTTTTGGGTGATTGTACCCTTGCCGAAATTGCGTTGGACTATTCGGTTCCGATTTGCTACCTTGCAGACGTCTTGTGTATGTGGGGAGTACCTGTGCCCATCGATATCAACTCTCGTCTAGGAGATATGGTTACGGGGGAACAAGCGTTCGCTCTTGTCGAAGCGGTAAACTCTTTGGATATTGGAGCTTTGCAAGACAGATATGCGAATCAAGACATGGTGAAAATGTGTCACGAATGGGAAATAGACATCAGAGACGCTTTTGCTTTCGCAATGAAAGAAGGCTGGAGCTTACCATTCGGGGTACGAACTGTCCTTAGACAGGAACAAGAAGATGAATTGCTCCGGGTCTACTCTAAACTGTACACTGAATAGAGATCTATATTTACGGTTCGTCTGCCTGTCTTATTGCCATTCGGGGTAGGAACTGTCCAGGACAGGAACAAGAAGATGAATTGCTCCGAGTCTACTCTAAATTGTACACTGAATAGAGATCTATATTTATGGTTTGTCTGCCTGTCGTGTAGCGCTGTGTAGCAAGTGAAGAGCAGAGAGTTCCCTTAGAACCCTTTGCTAGCCTCAATTGCTGCCTTTCTCGCACCACTCACAAAGTCCTTCACCTTGTCGTGATCCTTCTTTCCTGGGCTCGCTTCAACGCCCGAGCTAACATCAACGCCCCAAGGACGGGTTGAAGTTACAGCTTCTTCAATGTTAGCGGGAGTAAGACCACCGGCAATGATCACCGGTAGACCAGCATTTTGAATCTTTTCTGCAATGCCCCAGTCGAATGTGACGCCAGTGCCGCCGCCATCTTTCTTTCCCTTGATTGAAGTGTCCAACAAAATGGCAATTGGGTCTGAAGTAATGGCATCCAAGAGAGTTTGTGCAGCTCCTTCTGCTGCTTTTCCAGTTTCCGGGTCGGTTTCGATATCAACTACTCGAATGGCTGGTACGATGCAAATCTCTTCATTGGCAGCCGCCATTCCTTCGGTACCATGTAGTTGTATCATGTCTAGACCGCATTCCTTCACCATTTCACGAATGAATTCAGGAGATTGATTTTGGAAAACTCCCACCACCATCGGTCTTCGAGAGGCATCCTCTAATGATCGTGTGTTGACAAGGAGTTGGTTCAGAGCCGATTCTTGCTTGGTCTTGGAAACCTTCATTTGTGCCGTTCGTTCTCCAAAGACACGGACGGCTTCGACTACTGACTTGGCCTGCTCCTTAGTAACACATCGCTTACTTTTTGGAACGAAGATGACACCGATCAGATTGGCGCTCGCACGGCAAGCCACAACTGCGTCTTCGGCATTGGTCACACCACAGACCTTCACAATCTTGGTGCCTTTGGTGTAGGCTCCGCCCACCAGACTGGATGCTTTCTCGAATTCTTTGGGATCCAAACAGAGGTTGGCAATGGCAATTTTGGGATCTGCAGCTCTCATGAGAGATTCTCCAATCAAACACATGCCAACATTGATCTTTCGGTAACGATCGACATCAAAGGCTGTTGACATACCCGAAAGGGAGCAAATGCTATATTCCGCCGAAGCATCATTGTGGTCAAAGACGCATCCCTGTTTCTTCAAAATGTCAGCAACATGCTCGGTCGTGTGTAGATCCATTTGGAATGTATGCAAATTGCGATTGTTAACACCAATAACCTTTGCACCTGCCTGAAGTGCTACTTCGACTTCATTGTCCGAATGTACCTCTACCAATGGTTCCATACCAAACGATCGCGCATGATCAATCAAATCCTTGAGCAAATGTTGTGGAAGGACGGCTACAATCAACAAAATCGTATCGGCACCTGCTGCCAGAGCCTCCGTGATTTGATACTTGCTAGTGGTAAATTCCTTCCGCAAAATGGCGGGACGAGGAAAGGATTGGTTGGTCGTCTGCAGTCTCACTGAAGTCATATCACCTAATCCCCCCTTGAACCATCGTGGTTCCGTCAACACACTGATAATATTGGCACCTGCACTAGCATACTTTTGAGCCTGTTCTCCAGCGTCCAAATGGACGCCAATGTCTCCCTTACTTGGAGATGCTCTCTTAAATTCGGCAGCCAGTGCCATTCTAGGACTCTGGCCCTTGATTACCTTTTGTAGATTCAAAATTTCGCCGTTTGCTTTCCAGAATGCAGGAATCTTGGCTTTCAATTCCTCTTCTGATGGTGACGTATTGTCGGCCTGTATCCCGACAAAGTTTCGTTGTTAGATGCCAGGAATGGAATTCCATCGTCGTCCTTCACTTCATTCAACTTACAATATAGTTTTGATAGTCTAAAATGCGAGTGGCGGTAATGCTTTGCAACTTGCTCAGCTGATGATTGGCGTCCTTGTAGCCAAACAAGTGTCGTCCATCGAAATCTGGATTGGAGGAACCCTCTAGTAGACTGTTGAGGGCTTCCTTGAGTTGTTCCTTGGTGTACTCGGGGTAGGAGGAGGATTGTTCTGCCATGGCTGGGTTGTTGAAAATAGTCAGAAAGCAATGAAAGATAAACTGGAGTGCAAAGAGCCGAGTGTTGTCACTGTTTCTTGGCAGATGAGGTTTCGTGGATGTGAGATGAAGTTTCATGCGTTTGTAAAGCGTAAATGGAGAGATAGAGAAATAGAAAACACTTTCTAGTCGCGACTTTTGTGCTTAACCTGGCACTGGTACTCGTGCAGTAAACTTCAGGAACAATGAACAATAAAAGCATCTTGAAGTGCGTTCAAATAACCATATCCAAAGTATTTATTAATTACACTTCCAACAAGTTCCGCAGCTGTTTCTTCAGCTTGGATCCCAGTTTGGTCCCTTGCTTTTGCCCCCTTGACCATTTCCAAACCACCTCGCATATTTTGTCACTTTCCTCCTCTGTGACTAGCTGATCCAAAGCCAAGATTGTATTGAAATCGCACAACTCCTCCAATAGTTTGCTGTCCTTGCCATCCTCCAACAGTTTCAACAGAGTCTTCTTGGTCTTATTGGTCAAGTTTCCATTCTTCTTGACGGCACCAGCTGCGGTCTTGCCTGAAAAGGTTCCCGTATGACTCAACATGGCAGTATTGACCAAACAAAGGACAGAATCAACTTGTGTGGTTTCCCGGCCATCCACTACCACTGGGTGATGGGTAGTAATTTGTTTCTTGCTGGTACCAGGTTTCGTCACAATCATGCTTTCGTGGACCATTTGGACACATATGTCACTCAATTGAAAGGCTTCGGTAGCACCAATGTTCGCGTCCATGGAGAGCGTCACAAACTTGGAACCATCTTCGCTGTCATTCCTCATTTTAGAAATTTGCAGCTGGGATCCACATGACAGGTCCATATCATACACCGGCAAAGAATCTTCATCGTCCCCATGTCTATCGTCGACATGACTAAAAATCCAACCCACTGGTTGCAAACCCAATTTCTCGGCAATGGCCAGGACTCGTGAATTCTTAGATAGCATTGAAGACGCAATGGAGTCGTCATATATTTTCCCACTGCTAGTAGTTTGTCCGCTCGGTTCCCAAACGGCCTGCACCTTGGCAACGGTACAAAACTCAGCATCCGAAGTCTGACTCGACAAGGAAGTCCGGGCCTTTCGCGGTTTTTTGTCGACTCGCTCTTTTTGAATGGTCCCAAGAAGTAAACCAACTCGACATTGGACACCACCCGTCTTTTTCAATAGGCCATTGGCATGGAAGCGTTCCGCTGAACGTGCGCACATGTAGACCCGCTTCAGTTTGCCTTCTGGTTGTGGTTCCACCACGTGCAACGACGATTGCAGTCGGGAAATGTCATCGTAGGACATGCCATTACTGGAGGCTCGACGTGTCTTTACTTTTAATAGAGCAGTGCCATGGTCTCTAGCGAGGTCTGGGAAGGGGTCCCATTCACGCTTCGCCGGCTTCATCTTGGCAAATCTGGACTCGGTCGGTTTTGGTTTGCTGTTAGTGGATTGAATGGTAATCATGGATCCGTGTTTGGCGCCCAATTCACTCAGAGTCTTTTTAGGATCAATTTTGTCGCTTCCAAACTGTACTGTAGAGGATTCTTCGTCCACCTGAAACGGATTCAACAAATCGCTGAGTGTCATGGATTCTTCGGCGCCTCGTGGAACTTGGACTTTTTCCATGGAACCGTCCGATAATCGAATTCGAAGGATCATTCCCTTGTCGGGCGAGACAGCTGCTGCCAAAGTGATGGCTAGCAGTATCAATATTGAGGGTAGCTGAGTAGAGGAAATCATGATGAACTTTTGTGATGGTGGTGTTTGTTCTTGTGACTGATGTTGTGATGTTGCCAAAGATCTTGGAAGCGTTCGGATCGGATGATGTCACCACGTGGCGCGCGGCAATGCGCTTGCGTTGCAAATAGTGAACAAGTCGATTGATTCGACCACGAGGTTGCACTTTTCAAAAACCAACACGGAAGAAACCAGGCGGTACAGTACTGTAGGAGCCAGTTTCAAGTTGGCTATCTACGAGTATAGGGACACACGGACACAACGACACAACAAACCATGACTGAAGCCAGCGAAGAACGCTATCAAAAAGTTTTGGACGGAGGCTGGAAGGCCGACTACATTATCAGGGGTCTTAATGAAGATGAAATCGCAAGCTGGGCTCAATTTTGCGCCAGCATTTTCGCCTACAAAGTCAATCCGCCACCAGCGTCCTACTTTGAGCGACACTACTACAATGATCCCAATCGTGGCCAAGCTTCCTTAATTCGAGTGGCCTGTTACAATGGAGAAATTGTTGCGTCGTGTCGTCTCTTTTTGAAGAACATTTCAACGGGAGGCAAGACGATTGTTGGAGGTGCAACCCATCTTAAGGGAGGCGGGATTGGTGAAGTTTGCACGAAAGAAACTCATCGAAAACGTGGCCTTTCCAAAGTTTTGCTGCAAAATGTCATGGAAATCATGAAGGAACGACAACTTCAAGTATCCTTATTACATGCGGCACCATCATTTTTTCCCGTCTACGAAAAGGCTGGAAACTACCAATGCACACTTTCCAAGTGGTCTGTGGCACCGTTGACCAAAGCAACAAGTGCAAAAACAACAACCAATGACGACGGTTCCTTTTCCATTCGCAATGCCGCATTTCCCAATGATACTGATCAATTATGCAAACTACATAAAGCATACTCGGAAGATACATTTGCTGGATGTATCGTACGATCTCCCGAATACTGGAATGACTATCTATCCAAAGAATTGGGAACCTCCTTGTGGGTGCTCACTTCTTCTTCTATTTCTTCCAGTGACAACAACATTGTGGGATGGTTGTCCCTAAGGCTTAGAGGTGATCGAGTCCAATTGCGCGAATTTGGTGTCGATAGCACTGCCATTGGTGTCGCCAAGGTTCTCAACTTGTTACTGCCACATGCCATGAAGGAATTGAATGGAGTGAGTGACAACGAGTGTTTGCTAGTTATACCGACGGAAGTCTTGGATCAAGCCAAAGCCGAATACCAACAAAACAGTGAGCAACTGTTATTGTTAAAGAATCTAGAGTGGGACTCGGTGGTGCAAGATAATGATCAAGGTTGGATGTACAAGATATTAGACGATCAAGTTCCGTTTGATGCCATTAGTGGGGAAACGACACCACATTTGATTTGGCCAGCGGATTCGTTTTAATTTTCTAGAGTCAAGACAGCCAGTATATAGTATAGCATGCTTTGTCGCATTTTGTCCCGTCCTTTTGTTTTCCAGTTTTGCAGTCTTGAAGTTGTAATGGTCTCCCTTACTTCTTTTGTCTTGTGTCTCATACTCTTGTCATTTGGGGCTAATGTACTGTAGTATAGTTGTCAGTCTTCCACATTCATGAATCCATCTTGCATCTTGCAGTACTCGTACGATACCTCTGCATTGGAGACTTGGGCTCTTTTTTTCAAAATGCCGCCACACCACTAACTCTTTTCTTTACCAATGATCCACTTGGCACGATTCGACCGCATTTTTTCCTTGACTTCTCGTTCGACTCGATCTCGCACCGGATCAAAAAAGGGATGCTTCATGGCTTGTTTGGCTGTCAATCGTTGTTGATGGTCATACACTAGCAACTTGGACAACAAATCCAATCCACTCTTGCTGGGCATGGGTATTGGTACCTGTTGTTCTTTGTTTCCATTATTATTCTCATCGTTGTTGTTTGGTCGCGTCGTCACAAAACTGCTCCACTCCTTCTTGGTGCCACCCTCTTGTAGCGTGTACTTGGCAATGATCTCCCGAATCTCCGGTGTCATGGGAATTTTGTATCGCTTCATGTAAAGATGCAAATCGGCAGTTCCCAAGACAGCTACAATGGTCCCTAATTGGTCCAAATTGTCCTTTCCTCGAAAGAAGGGCTCCCTCCGCAACAACAATCCTGCCAGAATGCAACCCACTCCCCACAAATCCAATGCATAATCATACAACTCATATCCCAGTAACAATTCGGGCGATTTGTAATGTCTCGACGCCACCCGCACGTTGTATTTCGTATCGGGCAAATAAAAGTCGGCCAACCCCAAATCAATGAGCATGAGCGTCCAATTGGTCCGATCAATCAAAACGTTTCGAGGCTTGACGTCCCGATGCATGATTCCCTTGCTGTGCAAATGATCCAGGGCTACCAACAAATGACACAAAAAGTATTGAATCTCATATTCTGGCAGAAAATGATCCTTAGAGTGACAGAACCATTGCGAATTGCATCCTGCATGCTCGAGTACCAGACTGGGCATTTCTTGGACGCGGTATTTGAAATCGACATGGTTGTAACTGGCAGGAATGACCACCCCCAAGATGCGAGCCAAGTTTGGCAATTGGGATACATGACTCAAGACGAGCAATTCGCGCTTGATCTTGCGTTCAGCCACTGGTTTCAAACACTTTAATACCACCAAGGTCCGTGGATCAATCGTCGTGGCAGGACCGCCTCCTTTGGGAGACAATAATTTCGTTTCCAATTGGACGTCGACTGCTTCAAAGACATCACTGAATTTTCCAGATCCCAAACGACGAGTGAGCATGTAATCATCAGTCGTCTTGATGGGGAAATCGGGTGGAGGAAAGGGATAGTTTTCAAAGTCGTAGTAGGTGCGATCTTGTTGCGAACATCCCAACGGATAGGCTCGTTCTGCAGAGACTACTGCAATGATTATTGAGAGCGTCTGTGCCATTAGGAGAATGACTGTTGGCGATGCAAGGTTTCTTTTTAATATTCTCATGATTTCTGTGTGTTGTGTGCACTGTCAGGTACCGGTATTGTATGCATCAGCTTTTGGGTAGGCGCAGTTCTTGTTGTTGAGACGAGTTGAAAATGAGGTTGTGAGGCTCTAGATTTGATTTGGTATGGTATGGTGTCATTCATTCGTCGACCAAGCCGACTGGGGTAGCATGTTTCGACTAAGCCGACTTCGATGCAACATATCACATACTGTATCTTTCTTTCATTATCACTGAACCATACTGTATTGTCCATCATTGTCATCATTATCGAACCTCACTAGCGATCTCCACCTACTGTACAGCATTCGTACCCATCCATTCATCATGAGCAGAATAAGCTACTTTCTATTGTTAAATGCATTTTCCTTCTATGTCTCGTCCTGTCAAGGATGGACGCCCAAACCCAATCCGACAATTCATCATTCAATGACGTCACAAGATCCATCGTTAGAAAACAACAATGATATGGAATGGAGATCTATTACACAACGGAGAAAATTCCTGCAAAGTTCGTCGGCAGCTATATTAGCAACAACAACTGCTGCTTCCACTTTTCTCCCATCTCCCTCTCATGCCGCCGCACCTCAAGATGCCGGAGAAGCCATTCGACGATCGGCAGCTAAGATTCCCGGCTATGGTCCCACCGACGTCTTTTTTTCGGACGCCGTTCAAGGAAGTTGGAAGGCGACTCGACAAGTGGAATTCCCCGGTCGGTCCGAACCTTTGACACTCCAATATCCATTTCGATTTGTCCAATCCATTGAAAACAATGCCGTCGTGGCCGATCGGGGAATCAATCAAGCCGAGTTGGAAAAGGCACTGGTCGAAGCAGTATCAAAGAGTAATGGTGGTAATGCCGTCCGACCATCCTATGACTGGACCATGACCAACCCCAATGATTTGCGCCTGATATTAGCAGACGGATCCAAAAAGGAAATCAAAGTGACCAAACGGGCCACGGAAAATACGGAAAACACGGTTACTTCGTCCGAGTTTCAACGCATTACACTCGAAGAGAGTAGTGATGAAAAAGGTTTCAGTGTGCCTTCCGTTTCGGCTCGCAGGGTCTTGACCAAGTGGAAGATTCTTCTGGATGAGAATAATTCGACTACGATTGAAGCTTTGGAAGTAGTGTACAATGTGCCGACGGGAGGGGATCCAATGGCGGCAGGTTCCTCCAATGCCCAACCGTCCGTACTGTCCAAGTCACGGATACTACTCACGCGCTAGAAATGAATGTCCAGTAGATATTTTCATAAAACGATTGACTATATTTCGGCTTTTTGAGGGTAGAAAATAGAACTCTTATCCCGCAACAGATTCTCCATATCTTCAGAGATGCCTGGCACAAAGCCAAAACGGGTGAAAAATCTCGAATATGGCATGGTTTCCTCTTCTTCCGATCGGTATTGATTGAAGAGTTCCGTACCAGTTGGAATGTCACATCTCGCTCGAACTTCAACAGTCCCATCAGCCTTGCGCATGGCGTGCCGAACATTGGGAGTGTCAGAGTGTTGCAACATGTCCAAGAGTGGGACTAGCTTTTCTTCGTCGTCGTTTCCATCCTCCTTCTCATCCTGAAAGGCTCGCGTTAGCAAACAAACAAAGGCTCCTTTCATTGCTTCGGGAAAACCCTCTGGTGGTTCTTCCGGAGTGGGTGGTTTAGCCATCCATGGAAGCATTCGGTTGATGTTGAAACCACCTTCGTCCACGTCTTCTCCTCGAGCCACCCGAATGCTGGGACCCAAGACCTTGTTCATGATACTGGTAGCTAATCCCACTTCGTCTCGCAAACTCTTCGCCTCGACATAGCACGTACTACCTGTCAGGAGCTCTTCAATCTTTTCTTCTTGCCAAAACAAGACGTGCTCTTGATTGTTAATACCCCGTTCCCATGGAAGAGTATCGAAATATGCACTCCAGGCACTAGTGCCAGTCGCATCTTTCTTGCCCAGTAAACGTTCCTTGGCCATGTATCCGGCCATGACCACAGTATTACCACCTGGTCCAGCCTTTTCTATCAAATTCTTGAAAGCCTTGCCAAACTTGTCGTCGTTGAGAGCGGCCTCCAAGGTGAAACAGGCCTTGCGGGGAATTTCAAAAATGATTTCGCCTTCCTTCACTTCGCCATTGGTAAAGGCGCCGTACCCAGAACCTTGGGATGACTTTTGAATGGTAATCTTGTTATTGATTTCACCTCCATTGGACTTTACCCAGTCAAGCAAGACTTCGTATTTGGCACCGTCAATGCTTTTTTCAGGAACTGCATATTGTCGAGAAAGTTGTTGTCGGTGTCGATGACTCTTGACAGTAGCACTGTGTTGAAAACCTCTGACTGGCTCTTGTTGTAACAGGACCAATACGACGATTAGTAGTGCCAAGTTCCAATACATGGTACACTGTTGCCTTTGCTTTGAGGAGCAGTATGCCGATTATGTTTTCTGTTGGCAGACGACTTGATGATGACTTGAGCGACTTCAACGTGGAAGGACGAAATTTCATTACTATCTATTACTACGTTATGGTTGTGTCTACTTGCATTTCAACACCTTCGTATGATGGCCCTTTTCGCCGGGAGCATACACCTCCTCGCATGCTAGTGACAATCATAATGGCCCCTGCTATTCCAGATAGAAATGCAAAGGCAAAGGCAACGTGATCGGGCTGTATCACGCCCGCATGATGCGCTGGAGTGGGTCCATTTCCGAATTCATCCATGTTGGGAGTGGCGAAGATATCTCGACAGAAGGATGTCAACTTCCAACAGGATTCGGTTTCAAAGGACGGTTCAAATAGAATTGATTCCACGCATTCCACATAATTCCATCCCCTGGGAAAGCAAAAATATGATGAGGTGAGTTGTTTTTGGCATGAAAGAGTCAATGACGACCAAATCCAATAACGTACCATCCATCATTGTTCAAAGTCAGATCATTCGAATGATGAATTTTCGTACAATCATGCCAGCAAACCTCTCCTGACATTCCAAGCTCAGTGTCACAACCACTTTGTGTCCACAAGTTGCAAGCCGCCTCACAGGCTCCTGTGTAGTCGGAATCGGTTTGGATGGTAATCGAATCTGAACACATTGCATTGCTTCCATCTGCTCGACAGTCTGTATGAGCGCCAACGCCAATCTTGAATCGCATACCGTCCTGCAGTATGTAGTGACTGTTGTCATGAGGACCAATAAATCGCAAGTCGTCCATAGAAATGGAGAGCTTGATGTCCATGGATTGACCAGGTTCTAGGAAAACTTTTCCAAAGCCGCGAAGACGTTTGTATTCCGGGGTTGTGGATCGGAATTCGTCAAAGCTGAAAAACAAGACAGTTTCGGCACCTGCCACGGAACCAGAGTTCTTCACGTTTACGGAAACAGTCAGGCTCGCCATATCCTTTTCATTCATGCTGAATTGCAATTGCTTGGAATCAATAGACAGATTCGAGTACTCAAATTGGCTGTAACTATGACCATGACCAAAGGGCCATTGAACCTCACATGGCTCGTTGTCCCAGTGCGGAAGAGGACCTTCTTCGTCTTTCGTACACATATCCGATACAGCATGCAAATACGGAATACCTCCACCATCTTCATATTTTGGGTAAGTGATCGGCAGCTTCCCACTTGGATTAGCTTCACCAATAATAATATCTCGCATGGCTTCTCCTGCATAAGGACCAGGGAGAAATCCCAAGAGGATGGCATCGGCATTTTCCTATTGATGAACAGGAATGGAAACGTCAACAGGAATGGAAGCGATGAGGACCGTAGATTCATTATACCTTCTAAATCCCATAAAACTTACCACAATATCACCGAGCAAACGTGCTCGGCCGCTAAAGTACTGTCGCACGAGATTGGATGTTGCGAGGAGTGAGTAAGCAGTAAATGGGATATCGTGGTCATCACAAAACGATACTCACAATAACAATAATCCTGGCATCTGGTGCCCTCTTCCTCAAGTTCGATACAAGCTCAACTTGACCGGGTGGCAAATGTAAGTTCCGAATGTCTCCGGGTTTTTCTGCATTATTCTCTTCTCCAACACCAACAATAATGACGTCCATATTCGCGGCAACATCGAGAGCTCCATCGGATGAAGCATCCGCTGCATCGTCACTGCAGTCTTTCCCAAGGATATTGACTCCACATTTGTACACAACATCCCAACTTGAAACATTCTGGACAGCGTCAAAGACGTTTGATCCATAAGTGAACCACGCATCTTCTTTTTTCAATTCCACACCTTGCCATTGAAAGGTCCATCCTCCAGTTTGATACGATTGCGATCTACTTGTGGGGCCAGTGACCAGGATTTTAAGGGGATCATCTGCGTTTAGTGGTAATTTGTCGCCTTTATTCTGAGCCAAGATGATGGACTCAGTAGTCATATGCAAAGCCTCTCGCAAGTCATCCACACTGGGTCCATCATCATCGACAGTGTCGTCCATATTGAAGGCTTCTTCGAACATGTTTAGCTTCTCTTTGAGCTTCAGAATACGGCGAGCGCTTTCCTCGACCCGAGCCTTATACTTTGTGTCCTTCAATTCTTTTGTGGCCTTGAAGTATTCGTCGGGCTCCCTTGCAATCATACTCATGTCGACGGATCCCTCCTCCAATGCTTGTTTCATTGCATCGGTTCTATCACTGGCAGTGTGATGCCAGTCGTTTAGGTTGAAAATCTCGTGATAATCAGTGACGAGCATACCCTCAAACCCAAGTTTACCTCGGAGCAAGCGATTCAATGTGTAACGGTTGGCGACATTTGGAACTCCATCAACTTCGGTGTAGCTCTCCATTATCGTATCCACATCATCGACAACCATTTTCCACGGAAGCAAGAAATATTGATACAAGTGCCGAATTGGAATCCAGCTGGGGGCTCTATCATGACCATTGTGCGGCATGGAATAGCTTTTGAGGGAGAAAAAAGTTAGCAAAGAGGATCGTACTTTAGTCATTGAATCATAACCAACTCACCCCACCCAGTGTTTACCACACGCTGCAGCCCGTGATGGGACCAAAGATGAGTCTTCATCGATGTTTTGTATACCTTCGATCATCGCTTTGGCCATATTGCCAACGACCACCGGATCTTCCCCAAAAGTTTCGAAAACACGTGACCAATGCGGTTCCCAACTTAGACCTAAGAGTGGGCTAAATAACCACGATATACCAGCTCGTCGAGTGTCCACACTTGCCCATTTTCCAGCTACAAATGATGCAGTAGTCTGTGAATGATCGTGGGTGTTAGGTTCGTCACAAGAGGAGAAAAATGACTTGTTCTTGATACTCACATTGAAGGTTGCTGCTATGTTGATTGCCTGTGGAGTTGTGATTGTATTGTACAGATAGTTCGCCCCATGCACGCTGTCTAATCCCCAAATGACAGGTGGTCGTTTATACTTCGGATAGAAACGTTAGATTCACTTTTCCCCTGCAATCACGCCAATATGATCGACAAAAGAAGCCTACCTTTTGTGCAGTCTGTTGAATTTGTACCGCCGCGGCTCGAAAATCGGCAATCGTCCAGATTTTTTCTCCTTTCGCAACATTATTCAACACACTTCCAACCCCAAGTTTCCCAATGTAATGGTCTAATTGATCTTGTACAAGTGCTGTGCCGTCCTCATTCAATAGAACCGCGAGATCAATTTGAGCCATCTGTCCAACCATGTCGTCCCAGCTCATCCCAGCCAGCGTTTTTTCCACAAGGGCAGAATCTTTTGCATTGACGATACTCCCAGCTAGCGCTAGAAGGAAGAATTGTATTGCCAGCCATAACATTATGGTGTCCATATCGATATCTTATCAACGACTCGTTCACTCCTTGTTTTGTTTCGGTTCTTATTTGGGTTGGGTACTTACTTAGTGGTGCAGAAAAAGCACAATCGCTACATTTTAATAGACGATCACCTCCGCTTCAATGATGTTGATTGATGAATTCTAGCGTTATACCCCTACCACAATGAACTTCGTCATCATATTTCTCACTCATCCCTATTATTACTACGTCAGTTCTGATGTAAAATAGACACGTTTATACAATATTCCAGTGATGTTCAATTCCCCCACAAACCCGTGAAAGAGCCGACGCCCCACTTAGTGGGTATGAACTAATGCTCACCATCTTTTCGATATATGGGTGATCTTCAATGGTAATATGCCCCGTACTCATGGCACCAATTACGAGACAAGTAGGTGGCGCGTTGTCGGATGGCTCAAGGGGGACCAATGCCTTGGCAAGTTGAATGGGACTGTACAGTGTGCCCTGACAGGAAAATCCATAACAGCGGGTTCCAGCGGGCAAATGTTGGGAAAAGGGATTCTTGATTACCTTCAACAAAGCGGTAGATTCGTTGGCGGCCTTAATTTTCATCTTGTGCAAGAGTTGGACCATCAACCCGGCAAATCGCTTGTACGTACGGGGAATCCGAATGGAAGGATTGACTTCAATCAAAACTTTCGTGGCGGTATGGATGTATATCTTCAACATGCCCGCTTTGTTCAGAGGCGAGTCCAACAAGGCCAACAATTCTTGGTGCAAAATATCTGGACGGAAATCGTTAGGATTCTTTTTCAGTTTCTTTTTGCAGATTTCGCGGTGGTCGTCGCAATTGAGCAATTCGTAAATGCCCCGGCGGTTTTTTACTGTCTCCAAAGTCGCTTGATCAAGCAAGACAATGATAGGTTGTTTGCCATGCTTTATCTTGGATGTGTCGACAGTTTGTTGTGTGGCGGCTTCCAAAGGTTGACTAGCGAGGAAGCTTGTCTTGGCCTTTTTATTGGGAGGCTGTTGAGTGGTTTCTTCTTCGGACCCTGATTCTTCGGAGCTAGACGACATGTTGACGATTTGTGTGGATTGTTGGTACAGTACGAGAAATGGACGAATGAATGTTTGCTGCGTGATTTTGTTCGAACTATGATGTGAAGTCAGTTTTGGTTGGCTTTCGAGTTGACGGACGACGACCAGGTTTTGCGAACAATGGTCACTGTGCTGTTGCAATCAAATGAGAAGAATCGCCATAAAATCGACCTTTGGAGCCCAATTGATGTCCCAAGTGGCGAGCTAAGCTGGCTCAGGAACAGCTCTAATCAAATCTTTGCCATTGCGATGGGCAAACAACTCTTGCAAAGGAAGCTGAAAAATACCAAGCAATTGAAACCGAATCTCATTCATGACCAAGGTGAAATTGCCAAGCGATTTCTGACGCTGTATAGTGAGTCAAGAGGAGCAACAGTTCATAACGCAAACGTAATGCTATGATTGCATATGACTCTGACTATGTTCGTATCAGTGAAGAGATCGTTGCCCACTAAAATATGAAGGTTCCACTTAGGCAAACACAATCGTATTCGCTCCACACCAGTCAGCAGACAATCTTTGCCACAACAAGCAGACACACCCTAACGTTGCCTACATGTCGCTAATAAGCGGAGTGTAAGCGCCACCTTTGTCTTTTAAAATATGTTTGCACCAAGGGATATGCCAACTTGCACAGGGAAGCAAAATATGGAGTTTCAATGCCATTCTGCAACTGACCAAGTGCGTCAATCGATTGTGGTCATATTGCTCTTGTAGTACTAGATCATGTGTGCTTGATTCGAATTTGTTCGGGATTTGACAACGTCAAGAAATCATACAATCGGAATCATGGGACCTTGGTCGTTCCTTCCGTCTCTTCGTAGTTTTCCCCTCCTTACTCGCCGATTCGCTCGTTTGATCTTCGGCATCCTCCTGTCGCATCCATTCCATAAGCTCCTTGGTCTTTACTGTAGACGGATGATGCGGTCCAAGAGTTCTACAGTAGATAGAAAACGCCCTTTGGAAGAGTGCCTTGGCTTTCTCGCCTTTCCCTTGTTTCGCATATGCTCGTGCCATGTTGTAGTAAATTTCCGCCGTTTCGGCCGAGGTGTCTATTTGATCAGGTCCAAGTGCTGTTGATTGAATCTTCAGCGCCTTTTTGTACACCGCTATTGCTTGGTCCGGCTTGTCTTGTTCCACAAAAGCAAGAGCAATGTTGTGGTAAGCATGCACTGTCGTGGATGCCTGATCAGGTCCATCATCGTCGAGCTGGTCATTGCCTAACGAATTTTCTTCGTCAACTTTAAAATCGAACTCTGACAAAGACAGCTCGTCATCAGATAAAGACAGATAATCTAGAAAGGAAGATGAGAACCCGTGAGAAAGCAGTCCTAAAGACGAATACTGTTCATTCCTTGCTGCCCGTCGACCATGCGTGTTTGTCACTTACCCGACGCGTACGATACTTTCCGACCCTCTCCGTCGTCTTCTTTCGGTGGATGCATCTTTATATTGGTGCCTAGAGAAATGACACCGCTTTGATTACAACATCAATGAATAATATCTTTCCTTGTTGTTGTTATTTTCGGTTTTCCATTTTCAGGAGTCATTTCTTCGATTCGAAGAGGTCGAAAGCTCGACTCCGACGAGCCCGCTCACAACAGGCACCGGACGCACGCAGTGCAGGCGAATCCAAACAAAGAACCTTGCAAGTTGATGGAAACTGAGAACCCAAACCGAACACAACAACAGCAAAACCAGATCCCTGACACTTGACAGCAGGTACCTGGTGCACGTCAGTAAATCAAGAAAAGAAAAAAATATTACTATCAGATAGAAGAGACCGATAGCTGTACCATCATGTTTTCCGGAACTTTAGTAGTGAGAAGAATACGGAATGGCTGGCCGAGTCGCTACTTTTCAACAACCAAAGGTGGTGAATCTTTGCGGATTGCCATTGTGGGTGGCGGAGTCGCAGGCTTGTCTTCGGCCTTGCATTTGGCTCCACTCGTAGCTTCTGGTCACATTGAAGGCCCCATTGACATCTTTGATGGTGGTTCTAGTAGTCAAACTGGCCGCGAAATTGGAGTTGGTATTTGGAGTACGGCCATGGATCCCTTTGTGGAATCCAAAGAAGAGTCCCATCAACTGTTAATTGACGAGTTGGAAAAGAATGGATCTTATTTGCGGGATGTGGGATACCGAACACCCAAGGGGCATTGGTTGGCAAAGAGTCGGCTGGGTGGAAGCCAGCCAGATTTGTTGTTTATTCGGGAAATGGACTTGCTGGGATCCTTGAGAAAGGCCCTGGACGTGGAACAAGCGAAAAATACCATTCGCTTGCTTTCAGGTCCAGATTACAAAGTGAAATCCATCGCCGAAGATAGTCCGGAACCCTGGTCAGCAACTTTGAAACTAGGAGACAAATCTGTAGACTCGGAAAGGGACTATCACTTGGTAATTGCTGCGGATGGTATGAATTCGACCATTCGACAGAAATACGGAGGACATCTCTGCGAACGATCCCGATTGATGGGTACCAATGCCTTGAAAGGCCCTCTGGATTTGCCTCAACACGGCGAACTAGTGAAGGAAAATTGGCATACCACGGGTCATGTTGTTGCCACCGAGACCCAAGACCGTGAATACACTGTCTTTCGGGGGAATGCCAACGTTAGTGGGATGGACGTTGACCTTGAGACATCCTTTCAGACGTGGGGAGAAGGACAAAGTATGCGATTTGCAACGGTGCCAATGTCCTATCCCGATCCAGACAATCCAGACAAACGAGAGGAGCGGGATGTTTGGTTCATTACAATTGAAAACAAAGAAATCAATTCGGAAAGTGATCCTGTCAAGAGAAAGGAGCTACTGTTGGAGGAATTCAAAGGATGGCACGAACCCATTGGGACTCTAGTCAGGGCTACTCCCGCGGACGAAATTCTCATGGAACGGGCATTGGCCCATCGCCACAGTATGTCGCCCCTGGCCAACTTCAATGAAATTGTCACGCGGATACTAGGCAAGGCGGTTCCCTCTCGTGGTAATGGACCCGCTATAATCTTTATTGGGGACGCGTTTATGTGTGTGGATCCCATTTTAGCGCAAGGATTCACCGTTGGAATGGAAGGTGCAGCTGCCCTGAAGACTTGTTTGGAATCATCTCTTCTATCGGGTTCGGATCACCCCTATCAACCGCTTGCCTTTGATCCCATTTTGTTGCGGCAAGAACTGAAAGAACGACACGACAATCGCTTGCACCGATTGATTTGTCTGTTGCGTGCGACAGAAATGGTCCAAGCCTTGGGACAACCCATGACGGGTACCTTGGCTGGGTTTATTTCGAGAGATGTCATTCGACCACTAATGCGATTGACGCCGGGATTCATCAAAACTCCAATTTTCAACGCGGTGGCCAAGTACTCGTTGGGGCTGCCACAAAGTTTTGATGGTAACAAATCCAGGAATTCATAGTAGTGTAGCAGAAATAGTATAGTTGCTAGAATGAATTGTACAATTTTGGTTCTTGGACTATGCAACTTTTTTAGATTAGAAGATGTTAGCACTATCTAGACTTGATTCTGATGAGTTGAAGTACCTTGCACCAATGCCAAGTGTTCGGAAAGCAATTCTTCTACCAAGGGCTGCCAAGGATCGTCGTTCTGAATCTTTTCGTTTCCACAATTGAGAACTTCGTGAAGGAGCGATGCAATATGATCTTGGGCATTGGAACCAGACCGATGGTACACCTGAGAAAGTGTGGTAGCTTGCAACGCGCGACGAAGAGAGACCTTGTAGGGAGTGCTGGAGACTTGTCCGCTCAACCACTCTTTGGTTTGGAGAGTCCAAAATGTCTCAGGATATTGAAGCATTCGCAGAATAGTCACCACCACCATGGAACTGGAACTCTCCTCCAAAGCAACAATGTCGTTGCTAGTCGCCATGTACGTTAGTTGCCACAGCGCTTCGGTAGCTGCAAGTTGCATCTGAAGGCGAACCGGATCTTGCTGGGCATTGTCGCTAGTGGGAATTACCACGCTCTCCAGCTTCTGTACCACAAAGCACGTGAGAGCCTGCCATAGAGAGGTCAAGATGCCACCAAAGGACATTGCCAACAAGGGCGGATTTCCGTCGTCTCGTGGCATGCACAATTGTACACAGTCCGTGGCCACGGTCGAGTATTGAAGCGTCATCATGACAGTATTGATATCCATCTGATTGCTATTATTTTCGTCAGAACCGAAATCTCCGTGAGCACTTTGTTCTAGCAAATGCAAGGACGATTCGAACAAGAAAACACCGAACTGTTCCAAAAGTTCCAGGTATTCTCCCACAACTTGTTTTGCCTCCATAGGCGATGCATTTTCGTGCTGCAACACTACTTGCGATTGAATCCAGTCTGGTAAGGTTATCTTTTGTGGTGGAAGAACATTGGATGCCAAGTGATTCAGTAGGGTCACTATAAAAATGGAAAGCGATAGAAAGGACGTTGGTTCCGAACGATGTTTCTGCTGATGACTGAGGACGGTCTGAAGAGTGATCCAACAATCTAGATCACTGCCGTCAAAGATTTCTTGCAAGCGTGGTGGTGATAGGTGCTGGTTCAACAATTGCAGGAGGGAATGGACTACTTCATCCGTGTTGGAAGTTTGTAACAGGCAGAGGACTCGCGGCAAGAGCTCTTGAATCTGTTGCGTCGACAGCTCACGACCGTAGTAAGCGATCAATTCTGCGGCCCGTTGAGTTATGATGTTCACCATCTCCAAAATCATGGGATCTGCGTACTCGTCATTGAGAATCAAGAGTGTCATCAAAACTTGGGTCACTTCGTCATTGTCACTTTGGTCATATAGGATATCTCCTTGTTCAGAAAGCAAGCATGCCTGAATTTGTCGAAGGCAGTGTCGAATATCGTAATTTCTGACGTTGTTGGAAGATGCCGCTGCTGTCAGTAGAGCCTGAAAGTTGTCAATTTGCTGACGAAGGCTGGAGAAGGAGGATGCCATATGTGACTGAACTTTATCTTGAGTGTTGGTCTCGATTCGATTTCAATGAAATCTGTGAGGTAAAGGGAATGTCGTCTGGTGGTAATGTGTGAATTAATAATGTACGGATGATTAGTGATATTGGGAGTAAATTGCCTTTTTGTTGTGCTGTTTGAAAATTGTGAGAGCTTTTCTGGTGTCATCTATGTTCTTGGCGCGCCAAATCGTGCAGCGTCACTGGAATTTATGCTTCTTCACAAAAGTGGCCTCAACAATGCCATGCTATTCCACTCAGGAAACAGAAAATATGATAGTGCAACCTTCATAAAAAAGGATGGACCTTTTGTATGAAGCGGTGAGATGTGAATCTTTAAAAGGACCCTTGGCCTGATTGCATCTGACCGTGGTGGTGACAAGAACGACTCCTCGCTCCTGTCCCAGCGCAAAATCATGCTCGATTTGAAGAGAGGAATTCGGCTCTGTTATAGTTGGTGAATATTCGTTTCGCTTTTGGGCATGGTGACCTATTCATCATTCCATCATTCTCATCAGAGAGTGTATGTATGGTGCAACCTGCAAGATGGAAAGGATCTGGGATTTCGATTTTTAATAAAAAAGAGATTGGGCGGTCGAATGAATCAAACATACGACCGGGCCGGAGACCGCGCGCAATCTCGTTTTACGAAAAACCCACGTGAAATATGGTCTGTTGTATTTTTCTAGTCGCACAGTTGTCGGGCCCGCGATTGAATACTGAGGTCTACATGCGTAATCCAGCCGAGCTCAAAATTCAGACATCGATCCCAAACGTCTAAAATCGCGGAAAATTGTTTGTCAAATACCATCACTCACATTCATCAATCAAGAACCTCTTTCCTTACTCCCTGCTTTCGAGAGAAAAATGGTTACCAAACAGCAATATCAAAGCGGACAATATGTTGCAGCCGCAAGTCCAAAGTACCAACAGACTACCAGAGAACCTCAACCTACAAACAACGTGTATGTTGAGGGTAGAGAAGATATCGAAAGTCGAGATGGGACGACAGCCTTGATGGCAAGCGATCACTCTACTATTCGAACAAGAGATGACATTTCACTCCCCATTCGTCACACTCCCGGTAATCTTCCAGGCTGGGCCCCAGCCTTGGCCGCACAGAAGCCGCCAGTTGTGATCGAAGCCACTGCTGCCCGTGGGTCCTCGCAGAAGACACCACGAAGAAATGCTGAACCCATGGATTTCATGCAGAGCGACAACTCTTTTCAAATTGTCGCTAGTCTGATTGTAGACAAATTCGAAGAAGCTCTCAAGAACAGAGCAGATCACATCATTGTTACCCAGGACATGAAGGATGAAATCGAACGTGTCATGCCAGAAGATGCCAAAGAGAATTTTGTGGCTGCCCTTCGATTCCGTCTTGCGGAAGCGCCCGAATTTTCCAGACTCCCAATGCACACCGTGACCCGAAACTGCCACAAGCTTGGTATGACTCGATTGGATGAGCAAAACATTCTTTTCGCTCCAATTGGAACCACCATTAAGCTCGATGTAAGTTGACAACGCAATATATGAATGACACGGGTTTTCTCAACAAACAACGACGCTGATCAACCATTTTCTTTCTACTTCTACAGATTCCACCAGATACAACAAAAAGCACGGCTTCCGTTCGCAGCTCTCGCAGCACTCGCAGCACTCCTCGTGGTGTTGACAACAGTGACGTCAGGAGTGTTACGTCTCGTGCAACTACTGCAGTTGAAGAAGAGAGTCCTGAAAGCATGGCCAGACAACAACTCTTGGCCGAACTTCAAGAGGCATCCGCTTTAATGGCAGAATCTGTGACACCAGAAGCGGCTCAATTCTGGAAGAAGCAAGTTGTTGAGCTCCAAAACAAGTTGAAGGCACTGCAACAATCTGAGGCAGAAGAAAGAAGTGTTGCTTCCAAGAGCGTCCATACAGCTAACACTGCTAATACTGCACAGCTCTTGAAGGAGAACGAACGCCTCATTGCAAGCTTGAAACAAGGAAAGGGATATGTCGAACCAACAATGGCAGACTACGTCCCGCCATTCACTCCCACTGGTCATATTTCGGAAACACCCAAGGTTAACCCAAACACTTTTCCTACAGTCGAAGTTGTTGCCCCAGCTGATCTTCCAGGGGGCTACATGTTCGAAGCTGAGATTCATAACAAGCGTTTCTTGGCAACTGTACCTGACGGTGGTGTCAAGAGTGGCCAAACATTCACAAGTACCATGCAGGATATCAAGAAAAAGACTGTTGGAATTCCTTCCGGAAGATGGCGTGATGGCCTTATGGATATCTTCAAGCACGGCAAGACCCATCCATTGGTTGTATACTCCTTCTTGTGCCCTCCTATTGCCTTGGCTCAAATCATGACCCGAATGGGATTTGACTTCCGAGGTAAACCAGCAAACGTCCCTGAGAAGGGATTTTACTCCACCTGGGGAACCATTCTCTCCATTTTGTTCATGTGGGGCTTCACAAATTACATTGTTCTTGACCAGCTGTCCGCAAAGGCTGCCACTGGAGCTGTTCTATCATTCTTCGATAGTTTCTCTCTGTATGTTGTGAATGGTGGACTGATTGCCTACGTTGTTTACGCAACTGCCAACTGTAGAGCGAGTATTCGCGAGTACTCTGGAATCGAAGAAAACCCTCTTTATGTGGGTCCCCGCAAATTCACCCGGGGTCAGGACTACCTCTTGTCAGCCTTTGCCATGCCATTTGTGATTGCCCAAATGGGAAGACACACAGCGTCATATGACAACTTTGAGGGATCCTTTTGCTCTCATCACGGCCTTTCTAGAAAGATGTCAGTTGCAGATGTGCTGACTTGCAACAATCCCACGATGCTCGGTTGCGACAATCCCTACACAGAAATCGGGGCCGTTGTATAGTTTTCAACCACTCAAACCTACACATACACCACACCATCACTCTCATCAAATGTGCGCCTTCGAGGCGGCCGAAATCAAGTTGCAGCGAATGTAACGTGTAAAAGAATAATGCAAATATCAACACTTACAATAGTATTAAAGGAAGAAGACAAAGGTCGACCCCTCAAAGACCATCCCTAGTTTTAGGCTACTGCAGTGAGCCACCACGCTTCATCTCTGACGTCAGCAGTACTTCATAGCATCATAATCGAAAGCCCCGGCGAAGCGTATGATACATCCATTCAAGCCATCATTAAAAAATTTCTGATTTTCTAGAGTTTACGAGTAGTATAGTAAAATCCCCACATCGATATATTATCGAATTCAATGCATGTTTACAGTAGTTTATTTTCGTTTCAAAAAGTATCTTTTGTAGCATAGCGTCCCAATTTCCCCGTTCCAATAAAAGCTCGTGCCCCCAACCCAGACTTGATTACACACACTGTCTTCATTTAGATTTATCACATGCAAAGCAACTCTCGCTGATTCCCACTGATAGTTGTACATAGAAATCAATGTCTGCTCCCTCCCCTTTTCCCTCTTAGCCCTTGTCACAACCTAGTTCGACACTGAACATAGGGGACTAGATGGTGGGATGTACTCTCGGAGGGGCTCTGGGTTGGAGAAACCGTCAAGTTGCAATGAGCTTACGGGTTGGGCGTCAGCCGCGTTTCTTAGCTTGAAGTCAATGCGAATTCTAGCTCGGCACCGAGCATGATCAGAAGTATCAGGAAAGAAAGAACGACGCCGTTGACGACCACTACTCTTGGCACTAAGTACATTGCCCTTTGATACTGACGTTTGAACAGGTGATAGGTGCAGATTTTTGGGAGTCTTCAAGGGGGTCGGAATGTTCCCACCACCACTCTCCGCGCTTGGTTTCTCATAGTATTGATCGGTATTTTCGAAAACTCCTTCTCTCTCCAGCGTGCTTTCTCTCCACATGGATTGCAATTCCGGACTAAAGATAGTACGGACTTTCTTCGCCAGTTCACCGACGGGAGTTGCATTTTCAAGTTCTTCATCTTGATGGAGATACATGTTGGCGTTGCGAAGGTCAATGGATTCCAGAAATGCTTCTCTTTCTGTCGAAGTAAAGATGGTTGCGTTGATTGCATCTCTCACAGAAAGTTCCTCTTCTTCATGCTTGTAGATTAGTGCATTGGCAACCGCAGAGAAAATGTCGTCGTTGTCAAAGATGGTTGATGTGACCAATTTTGATGGACGATAACAATGCCCGCCTCTCTTGCTTATTCTCGAGTTTGCGGAAGCTTCGTCCCGTTTACGTCCTACAAACTTTTTAACAACGTTCATTGCTGGAAGATAATGCTAGAAGAGACCAATGAAGGGTTGCTTGAGGAGGTGGGGCACAGTATGTCGACAGCTTGCAGTTTGCGTGGCGCCAATTTTTCAGTCGCAAATAATTCGCTGAAATCAATACAAACCTCATGAATGAATAAAATATAATATATTTAATTGCTCGCCGCTATTTCTGGTGTCGTTTGGATGTCGCACGAAGAATCAATCAGATCATCACATTTCTTGACAACACGCAATGACGAAGAAACCGACGATGCGTTCACAACAGAAGGATTGGTACTACAAGGAAGAAACGGAAAATCCCACCAGCTCGAGAAATCGAGAATGATCCACGATGCTTCAATCTTAGTTTTACTTTCGAAGACAGTCACTTTTCCTTGAATGGAGAAATAGCTAATTGTAGTGAGAAAACGAACGAGATTGACACAATGAACAAAGCAACAAAGAAGGCCATGGGATTTCTTCTAAATCCCTTGCACAGTTTGCATCTCAGAGGAGGAGCAGTTCGTGTCGAAGGAATGATAATGAGTAACACACCAAAGAAGAGTTTTACCATAAGACTCGGCGGCATCTTCCGTTCGTGTCGTAAAGGTTGCCAAGTGGAAGTATGCGACTCTCCAAGCGCTGACGAAACCAGCACCTTGAAATTGGAAGGACTGGAGATTCTCAGAAATATTGCTCTATTGAAGGATGGGATGGATAAAATGACCGATGCAGAATGCGACAGCCATGTCGCCATCGTTTATCAATCGTGGGCGAGACTGCAAATTCAAGCACTTTACAAACGTCTCGACGAGATCAAAGAAGAAGTTGAGCAGGAAGTAATATACCGGTAGTCTAGAACCTTACTGTAGATGGCTCAAGATTTGAAAGAAACTGCAGTTCGATCTTGACTAAAATTACGCAAATATAATGATAAGAGTCGAAAACAATCACTACCAGTAACCGATAGTCTTGCGAGAGAGCGATTTCTCTTGCAAGGTTGAAAGTGTATAGCAGTAATCACCTTGAACTACATTATTGCTTTTTAAGTAAAAGAAACAATATAAGTCTAAACCACTAATATTTCCGACCTCCCAGCGAAAGTAAAGCTTCCAGCATCTCCTCCTCGCTCTTTCTTCATAGTTGCACAGTAATTTAGGGAATGCTGGGCTGTAATTTCCAGAGCTGAGACTGCATATGGAGTAGGCTAAGAATAGTCAAGCAACAAAGGAGAAGAGGTGAAAGATCAGAGACACAGTCGAGTTCGAAGAAGTTCAAAAGATCATAACAAGAAAAGCACTAGTACTGGTTTAGTCTCTCTAAACTGCACGGGTAAGAAAACGTGGTGCGAGCGATCGTTCTTTGTTTCTTTCAACGATGATCTCACACAAGTCCATCGCAGCAGTTCATGAAGCAAGAGTTTGAGATTGAACAATTGATCCCTTCCAGTGACCAACAAACCAGAAACAATCCTCTTAAGAAAATGGTGTACCCACTAGCTGCTCTTGGAGGACTCTTCCTTGTGTCTACGGCACTCATGGCCGGAGTTGTCGAAGCTCGAGTCCCGTGCGAACCTCCGTGTGTTCCAGGTACCGAAGCAATCATGAGCAAGAAGGAGCACGGAACTTCCCACACACCTGTCCAAGAAAAGTTACGATGGGATTGTGATCGAGACACAGCGGATCGCATTTGCAATTTCAATCGAGTAAGCAGCAGTTGATTATGCTTAGCAACAATCGCCAATTTCAAATTGTCGACTCAACATCCTTGTAAAAAATTGCAATCTTAGCACTATGCCGAATATGCTGGATACTGGAAATCTACAACTTTTTTGGATGAGATTGACCAAAGTGGCGACGAAGAAGTGACGTTCTTTGATTCGAATACTGGCAAACCCTTGTTCAATGCTCCCAAGGGACGTAATTGGCAACAATGGATCAAGGAAAGTACCCTTCATGGCTGGCCATCTTTTCGCGACGACGAAGTCAACTGGGATGTTGTGCGTGTGTTGTCAGATGGCGAGACTGTGTCGGTAGATGGAACTCACCTTGGACACAATATTCCCGATAAGTAAGCTTTTTGTATTACCTGTTGCGCATTGATTGGTATTGATGAATCATTTACCTCAGAGCTCACGATCAATGTTCATCAACTCTCCCTTTCTTAGAAATGGCAACCGATACTGTATCAATCTAGTTTCTGTTGCAGGATACCCTAAGGGAAGTGCCAACAACGGCGAAGAAGAGGGGACTCGGAGGTAAGGACTGCATGAAGGACATTATACTTCACTTTCATGTTAGACACCTGTCATTCATTCATCGATGATGATACATTAGTGATTTATAGCAAAAAATAAGAAACATTAAAAAGGAGATTTGTAGTTTACAGTAGGAGATTCTTGAAAATCAACCTAGACAGGCATGAAGGAATTTCTTCCCTTACTGCCATCATCACCATCGTGGTCCATGCTATCTACTATTCGTTGAATCTCATGTTGCAGTTTGGTGCGAAACTCAGGGAGATCCTTTTGCCATTGTTGCAAGACTGCAATGACACGGACTTTGTTTTCCTCCGTATCCGCCAGAATCCGATAGGCCAAGGCTAGGGTCTCCGAGGTGGCAACCTGCTTCAGCTCTAGAACTCGTTGGGCATCCTCCAAGGCTTTGCCTGGCTCTCCAGATTGGAGATGTAAGTCAGCCCTTACCACCAGTGCTCGCGCCATGGCAGGTGATGCCTTATATTCCGATGCTTCCAATTTGGAAATGACGCTATTCAGATATCTCAATCCTTCTGCCGAATCTTTAGATCAATAAAAATGAAAAGACAAAAACAGGTGAGAAATACATCTCTTTTTGCATTTTGAAAATGTAGTAGATCCAGAAGCTCTAAACGACACAGCTCCAACAAGTTGGATTCACCGCCAGCCCTTCCCTTGACGTTCCTCTTGGCTACAATTAGCACCATCTTAGAAACGGTGTACATTCTAGATGGCGACTCTATATATTGTAGCCGTTATTGCAAGTTGTTGCAATGGGTTCCCGACATAAACTATATCATTGATGACTCACCTAGAGAGGGTACCTGCTCCAGAATTTTGGAAGCGGCAAGAAGAATCTTGGGAACACTCATTTCCGTATTCTGTTCGAGCAAAATAGCGGCAGTCGTGACATCTTGGATTCCATTCAATATGGTGGCATGACCTCCACTTTCCACTTCGATGTTGGGGCCGTCGTTACACTGGGAGAGACAACCCGACGACTCGACTTTGGCCTCAGGAAGGAGTTGCGAGACACATTGTTTCAGGTTCGCATAACGCTTTTTGCAATATTTGTTCTGGCAGACCCTTACTTTGACTGGTTGGGACAAAGACTGCACGATACGCACATTATTACTCAACAAGAGGAGCAGCACCCATGAGAGTGAGCTGTGGGCCATCTGTGGACTAGCTAGTACTGGAGCAAAGAGGTGTACCTGTACCGGTAGGTCGGCAGGCAGTCGAAGATGATGTGGTTGACATAGACACATCAGCACTTGGATTCATTCTTCGTACGAGCAAACGGGCAGACATTATGCACATGGACAGACGCCGATCTTTCTCCAAAATTTACAGGTTGAAGTTTCAACGTGGAAGCGACGACGAAACCGTATTCGTTGGCATTTTCGATCCCTGTCATCTGCACCTTGTTTCTCTTGCAGCCAAGGTCTCTTTGGGAGAAAACGATCAATCCACAGGGGGAAAAAATACAATCTACAAGAATGGGAAGGTTTGAAAAATACACGATTGGCTGCTTGATGGTCGCATGTTTGGTCGGAGAAGCCATTGCCTTTTCAACGCCACAACAAACGATTGTTTCTAGCACACAACTCAATGTTATTGGTCAACAAGCCGAAAGTTTTGGGCCTGCACAAGCCATTCGAAAATTCAAGGATGCCCTTCCCCAAATCGATTGGCTCGCCGAAGGACATGGAAGCCCCGACAACAAGGTCAATATGCCCAACTACGTCAAGAAAGTCTTGGCCCAACCCACAGCACCCAAACGCGAAAACGAGAGCGAGGACAGAACTCACCGTATTAGGAGTCGTTACCAAGAGGCAGCTGCGGATGCTGCTGCTTTGAAAGGTATGTGCGTGGGGGAAAAGGACGAACAAGCTTGGTGGAGACAACCCATAGATATTCCTGCTGGTGGTCGTGCTGTCACCAAGGAGGAACCCCTCCGTGTCTTGGTAGCTGGAGGTGGTCTTGCTGGTTTGGTCACTGCCGCTGCCTGTCACGCCAAGGGGATGAAAGTGGCCATTTTCGAGCAAGCATCTTCTTATGCCCCCTATGGAGGACCCATTCAAATTCAATCCAACGCACTTCGTGCCATTCAACGAATCTCGCCCAAGTGTTACGAAGAGTTGGTTGAAGCCGGAACTGTCACTGCCGATCGTGTTTCTGGACTCAAGATTGGATACCGCAAGGGAAACAAGCTGGCAGGACTTTATGATGCAGGTGATTGGTTGGTTCGATTCGATACCATTGGACCTGCTTTGGAAGCTGGTCTTCCGGCCACTGTCGTGGTCGATCGTCCTGTCATTCAACAGATCATGGTCAAGCATGGCCTTCCTGAAGGAACTGTTCGCATCAAATCCCGTATCCAAAGCTACGAAGACTTGGGTGATGGCAGAGGGATTGTCGCCACTTTGGAAGATGGCACCAAGGCCTACGCTGATGTGCTTGTCGGTGCCGATGGAATTTGGTCGCAAATACGCAAGATTCTTCATGGTTTGGGAGAAGGGGCTGGTGGATTTGCTGCTTCTGGTGCTGCTGGTGGTGCCATTGACGACAAAGAGGCCCGCAAATTGGCCCGAGATACTGTCAAGATTGCCGCCCAAGCCGATCGTCGATTCTCTGGTTTCACTTGTTATGCCGCTCTGGCACCCCACCGCGCGTCCAACATTGAAGATGTTTCGTATCAGATTTTGCTTGGAGAAAAGAAGTACTTCGTCAGTACCGATGGAGGTGGTGAACGTCAACAGTGGTTTGCACTGATCCGAGAACCAGCCGGAGGTGTCGACCCCGAACCAACCCCAGAAGATCCTACTCCCAAGCTTACACGGCTTCGGAAGGAGTTTGCTGCTATTGGAAGTGGCGGGGATGCTGATGGAAATGAATGGGACCCCTTTGCCTTGGAATTGATCAACGCTTCTTCCGAAGAAGACATTAAGCGCCGAGATTTGTATGATGGAGCCCCACTATTGGCTACCCCCGATGTCCAGCGTTTGTGGAGTCCATGGGCCAAGGGACCAGTCGCGCTTTGTGGAGATGCCGCTCATCCCATGATGCCAAACCTTGGTCAAGGTGGTTGCCAAGCCACCGAAGATAGTTTCCGTCTTGGAGAGGAACTTGGTGAGGTTACTCATACCAAGAACATTCCAGGAGCCTTGGGCAAGTATTCCCGAGTCCGCGTGATTCGAACAGCCATTATCCAAGGCTTTGCTCAATTGGGAAGCGATTTGCTAGTGGATTTTGACTTGATGATGACCATTCCGTTACTGGGACCCTTCTTCCTAAAAATGACACAACTTTCCATGCCATGGATCTTGCGATTCTTGTACACTTCCGAATTTTAAAAATTACATTACTATTATTATAATGCCTGTTAAGTATTCAACCAAAAGTACCGACGGGTAGGTACCAGGTACCAGGTACCAGTACTCGTACTCTACAGTATGGTTGCATGTTCGCTTTTGATCAGAAGTTCGGTGCAGCAGACCTGAACTACCATGGCACAATTGCTGTACTTGTATCACAAAATCCCTTCCCGACTTGGAGAACTGCTGCCGCCTTAAAATCGGATGTTTACTTAAAGTACACCTATGACGACGAGATATTGATCGCGCAATTGCATAAATACAGAAGCACAAAAGGCATTTATTGTTCGACTTCATCGGTGAAAACTGTTAACACGTGTTTTCCACTTATATGTCTAAGAACATAAAACTCTCGCTGACCAGATAAAAATTCCGGTAGATTTCCTAATCGTAAGCACATGACCACATTTTCTTCCTGCCTCCGTTCTTGACCTTTGGTGACAACAACATCATAAATTTGAAAACAAGGAAACACAAAAAGTCCCAGAAGATGAAACTACTCAGCCGAGCCCGTTCCCAAAAGATTGCCTTTCTCTCAGCGAGCAAAGAGCGCTCTTCAGATACAGAACCCGAGGAAGCATCCTCATCTTCATCGAGTTATGGCGAGGAGAGAGAGCTGTGCCACGCACAGGTAAGAGAATTCTGCCGAAAGGAGGGAATCACTCTTTCCAGACAGCAAATGATTCGGTTTGAACACTTCCATTCATTCAATGCCATCGCCACTCGCGAGGCGATAAAGAATAAGCATGACGATGCCTATTTGAAGCTGCGAATGGAAGGAGACCTAGTTTCTCAATTTAAGAAGAAGATGCTGTTCCCTTTGGAACTACGAACCAAGAAGGAGAAAGCACAAGTGCTCTACATCCGACCTTCAAGATACATCCCTTCGCCAACTGGGAGCGACGCATTCATTGAAAACTTTTGTTATGTAATGAACGACATGAGCCAAACAGAGGAGCAATGCCAGAAAGGTCTTGCAATCATCGTCAATCTGATTGGCTACAGCAGTAAAAACATTCACCGTGAGAACTCGAAGCGAGTATTGCAACTTTTACAGGGAGAGATGGTCCCAACCAAGGTTGCACTTGTCCTTTTTGTGGACGCTCCCAAGGTCTTTCGGCAATTCTGGCAAATGTTGAAGCCCCTTGTATCCGATGCATTGTCTAAGAAAGTTCACTTTATTACCAGTGATACTATCGGTAAATACTTTGATGAAGGGTACCAGGCCCATCTACCACGCGACATGGCCTCTGGGTGGGCTAGCTCGTCAGAATTGGTGGAGGATTACATTGATTTGAAGTTGTTTGAGGACAATCAGAGCTAAACGGCTCCCAATTTTGCCGAATTTTTTGTTGTATATGCCTACAAATGAAAGTAGGTCCTAATTTTGTAATATTCAAATTTTCCATTTTATTTCTCGCTTCTACAGCATGGCAGCCGGGTTGCCTACAGCATCCAAATTCCAGTCTGAAGTAATCGCTTCAGTCGAATAGGTACTGTTCCAGCTTTGTGTATTTTGCAGGTTTTCGATCCCTCCGATCCAAAAGAACCTCGATGATCCAGAACGAAGCTGGGTCGAAACGGTCGGATCATCGACAGTGCCTTCCTTTCATCACCTGAAGCCTGAAGCAGTGCTTGATCCTTCTGTTTGGCAAAGAGCACGAACAAGAAACATAATCTAATTGGAAATGAGCGACACCAACGAAGATGAAACGCGGCAACAACGCGAACAGTCGGAGCGAGAACAGGTTCTAGAACAATACCGATCCAAGATCCGAGAGCATCGGGAAGTCGAAGCTCGTTTGAAGCGCATGAGGGAAGATGTGAAAGGCTTGGCGGCTCGTTATCAGAAAACCGAGGACGATTTGAATGCCTTACAAAGTGTGGGTCAAATCATTGGGGATGTATTGAAGCGCCTGGACAGTGAGAGATTCATTGTCAAGGCTTCCAGTGGACCTCGTTATGTTGTTGGATGTCGATCTCGATTGAGTCACGAAAAATTGAAGCCTGGAACTCGAGTTGCTTTGGATATGACCACATTGACAATCATGAGAGTGCTTCCTAGAGAGGTCGATCCTACTGTCTTTCATATGCAAGCTGGTGAGGAAGATGGCGGTGTCTCCTTTGCTGATGTTGGAGGTTTGAATGAACAAATTCGAGAGCTCAGAGAAGTAATTGAATTGCCTCTTACCAACCCTGAGCTATTCATTCGCGTTGGAATTAAGGTTAGTATCTTATTGTGAGAAACGTGTTGTCATTGAAATGGCTATCTGATCTGATAGACTAACCAATGCACTTTCTGCTCTCTTCTTCAACGTTATGCAACAGGCTCCAAAGGGTGTCTTGCTATATGGACCACCAGGAACGGGAAAGACTCTACTTGCTCGGGCTTTGGCAAGCAATATCAACGCAACATTTTTGAAGGTTGTCGCTTCCGCTATTGTCGACAAGTACATTGGAGAATCCGCACGTATCATTCGTGAAATGTTTGGCTTTGCCAGAGACCACGAACCATGTGTCATTTTCATGGATGAGATTGATGCCATTGGTGGATCGCGTTTCAGTGAAGGTACTTCCGCCGATCGTGAGATTCAACGCACCCTGATGGAACTTTTGAATCAAATGGACGGTTTCGAAGAACAAGGAGCCGTCAAGATGGTCATGGCAACCAACAGACCCGATATTTTGGATCCTGCCCTGCTACGACCAGGTAGATTGGATCGTAAGATTGAAATCCCAGAACCCAACGAGACACAACGCATGGAAATTCTCAAGATTCACGCGCAAAACATTACCAAAAAGGGTGACATTGACTACGAAAGCGTTGTCAAGCTTGCTGATGGTTTGAATGGGGCCGATATGAGAAATGTTTGCACAGAAGCAGGTCTTTTCGCCATTCGATCAGATCGCGACTACGTTCTAGAAGAGGACTTTATGAAGGCAGCTCGTAAGATTCTCGACAATAAGAAGCTGGAATCGAAATTGGATTACAGCAAGGTATAATCACACACCATCTGAAGACTCTGTCCGTAAAATCATCGATAAACAAGTTACTCTCAAACCTCTAGCAACATTCTTCGATGAATACGTGATAGTTAGATTTGTTTGTGCACTATTCGTTTATCATTGTGTCTCTCTAGATACGTGGTTGTGCTTGGCACTGTTATTTTCCAAGCACAGTGCTTCAACAGTTTTTTTTTAAAATATAGTTGCCGTTCGTTGCTTGTCACTTCAAACGCGTGTTTGACTGCTTCGACTGCTTTCGAAGAACAATTCGGAACGAACCAGTTTTCATTCTTGCCGAGAAGTCACATTTTTTTTCACTCCAACAAGAACTCCGACATACCAACCCAAAGTCTTTTTCATAGTTGCCACTGTATTGCATAACAACAACGACTATTGACCACCAGTATGCCAATCCTTAGAGGAAGTCTATTTCAACGTCGGAACCGCAATTGGTTTGGAAGAGGCAAACAAGAAAGAACCAAGAAACACGAAAGAACAAAACCAGACGCGTTCACCCTATCGACCATCACTGAAACTGAAGATGACGATATAAATTCCACCACGACTGAAAACTACAATGATCGCCTTCCAACATGTATTTCCTTCTTATCCAATGATGATACCGACCACCATCGCGAGGGCCTCAACCAACTTCTAGAAATTGTCCGAGATAAAAAACAGCTTTCACAAGATGCCTCCATGTCACTGATATATGGAGAGAGTGACGTAGGAAAGAAGCTGCAGCTTGTTTTTCTACCATTTCTCACTGCTAAAGATAACGATGATGATGACGACGATGATGAAATTGAGCTAAACGACGAGGTCAATGCTAATGATTATGAATCGCCGTCTCTGTACTTTTCGGAAAGCTCTGAAGAGTTTGTCTATGAAGATGAAGATGACTTGATTCCACGCGGATTAGGATCGGGGAGGCATCATGAAGCAGCACTTTTGATTCTCCTCTATGCTCTCGGAACAGTATCCATACTGTCTGACGCGAAGAAGAAGAGATCCATTGATTTTGCATCTCCATTCTGGCAACCGATGATACAGACGGTTATTGACAATATGGAGTCAAATTACACCGAAGGGATCACAACAATGACCCTATCTTGCTTACGAATATTATATACACTGGAACCAGCTGTTGTGGGGCCATTCCTGAAGCACCTCCTACTACCATACATATCATCTCTTCGAGAGTATGGACATCGACACGAACTTCCAATCATGCAGCGCGAAGCGTCAAGCTTACTATCGTTAACAGCTTCAAACTTCTCACCGCAATAGCTAGGAACGGGATAAGAATTGCAACGAAAGAAGGGAAAAGCGTTTGCAGTATAATAGTAATAGTGCTGTCTTTGTAGAACAATCAGATCAATCAATCAATCATCAATCAGTCGCACCATCATTTCGCGCGTCAAAAAAAATGTTGAAGACTCACTCTGGCGTGGGAAATCCATCTGTCAATTGGAAACACCAATCGATCCGCATCATGCTTCTTCATTTCAGTAATAGAAAGAACACACATCCAAAAAATAATGAAAAGAAAGGCTGACGATAGCCCTTCTTTGTGGCGTGCCAAATGTATCGAAAGGTTTCAGCTAAAGCCCGTCCCAGAGGGATGGAAGGATGCCGTTGCCGGTGGCACTGAAACTGCATGGAAAAGATACTTCGAGTATAGAAGCCAAGAGGAAGAAAAACTTTCAGTGTACGATCCTGACCATGATGATTATTGTTATGACGAGCCAAAGTGTGATTTCATGAAAGAGTGGAAGGCCAAAATGCGTTCGGTAACGTGCCGTGAGCCATGGTTTTCGTGGACACCAAAATTTGGAAGATTGGTTTGGGTAGATGAAGACGAATATCGAACTGCAGAGTATTACAGTCATATTTGGTCTCCATATGCTATCCCACACGCACTAGGGCTGGAGCATTATTATCACCACAAGTAAGTTGATGAGTATGGAACACATGGCTGTCGCTTTGAACGTTTGAAAAAAATGCTCACTTATATGAACAACTTTAATCTTCACAATGTCCCACTGCAGAGTCACTTCTTTCATAGAATTCCGATCCATTTGGAGCTACCGTATGATCGATTTTGAAATCGATAGCTCGCCGACTGTCGAGTGTACCGAATTGTGTTCAAATCACAATGACGACGTTGACACGTCGAATTTGAAAATGGCAACCGTCAACAAGCTTCGTCGATTCTTGTTTGGAAGTGACAGTGAGGAATCCAAGATCATACTCTGTGATAATCATAGATTCCTGGGAATCCTTTTCGGATCGATGGGTACCATGAAACTGGTATCAGACACCATGGGAGACATGGGAAATGTGTACTTGGGGTACGTGTGGTCCCCAGATGAAGAGCTCCGTAAGAAGCTTTTTGAAGAAGGAGTTTCCGCTGATGACTGTCCAGATGATGATGATGAACCACCAGAATCCTTTGACTACTACAATCCACGTGAGATTTCTTGGCTTGAGCATCGCGTCATGGAAATCACTGGCACGCTGGGTCCAGTGTCAACACACTACGAACATCCAAAAAAGAAGAAGGAGCCTTCACGTACATTGACTCCCCAGCAATTTCAACAACAAGCAGGTGGCCTTATTGACATGATGGAGATGATAACCAATGAAGGGAAATCTGAAGAAGAAAGAAATGATAAAGAGTCCAGCAAAAGATTCGAAGAAGCAAGAGCAGTTTTGAAAAGTTATGCAGCCAATGGGGATGCGGTTGCGGCGCTGCAAACTCTTGAAGATTTGAAAAAAAAATAGAAAATAAATGTCCTAAATGATATATTGGAGTTCAGGTGCCATAATATCGGCTTCATTGTATGGGGCTTTGGGATGGAGACTGGATGTGAATGAATCATGGACGAGTACAATACAGTAGTAGTGTCTGATATGCCAACGGCAGTCACAATAACAAAGTCTTCCATTTGTTATCCATTTTGCAATAATGCAGCGCGAAGTGTTGAGCTTACTACAGTTAGCAGCTCCAATTTCTCATCACAATAGCTAGGAAAGGGATAACAAATGATATTGTGATCGGTGCTTTTGTGTGAGATTATGGGGATGGTGAAGAAGACGACGAGAACGAGGAGGGGCCATGTAGGCGTCTTTGTAGAAGTGATGATGGGTCTGATGAAAGGTCTGGTGAAGAAGATGGGGACGACAAGGAGGGCGATTTTGAGCATCTGTTTAGAGTCCTTCCCAAATCAGTTCGACCAAAATTAATAAGGTTGCGCAAGAGACTCGAGGAGGCCGAGAAGCTCGCCAGGGAACGGCAATCTCAAGAGAATGAAGCTGCATGTGGAGAAGGAAAGAACCATGCCTGTGATGTGGGAGAAAGAAAGGATAATGAATCTAGCAATAAAGATTCGGACAAGTGAGGAAATTGGAAACAAATATCAAATACAATAAGTGATGAGTGCTTTTTTTTAAAAGTTGTACTTCTAATGCTAATAAAGTTCATTGTGTCATAAAATAGTGAACTCTCCTTCATGCAGGGAGCTTGAGTAAAGCCGGGTTCAGCGTGATTATCTTGGTATACCTCGGTCATCCCCGCATCAGACGTAGACTACGAGGACGACAGTCCATCTGAGGGAGATTTTCAAGAAGAGGAGGACGAACAAGACGATTAACAAGACGACGACAACGAAGATCCATATGATCGTTTTTTTAGATTGGCAGACGACCCGGAAGCTCGAAAACGTTTAGAAAGAGTTCGCATAGCATGCGGGTATCGCTCCAAGGTAAATCCATCTCTTCCGAACGACGCTACAGTTGGAGAAGGAGAGAACCACGGCGATAGAATGAAAAAAGGATAATAAATCCAGCAAGATTGGATTCTCTTTTGAACGATTTTGGAGCAAATGGGGCTACATGCAAAATGCTGACCGTTTGTAGTGTTTCCTCTTGCTGCTTCAGATTCGAATATGAAGAGTTAGGAAATTAAATCTCAAACAAGGTACTTGTTAACTTGTGATGTTCAGTGTATATATGCCCTTCAACGCCTTGTAGATGGAGAAAAGAGGAGTCAAGAGTATCGGAGAAACAAATGCTATGTCTGGCATGCGTACGTGTACGTGTCAATACGTGTACATGTTTCAACTCTTCCCCGTCTCAAACAACTGCTGTTGCTCAAACACAACAACCACATTGTCAAAACAATAACAAAGAGAAAGAGATGTTCAGGTCCAGAACTCCACCATCATCCTCAAGATCTCGATCTTCTCGTAGTACGAGATCCGCAAGAGGCTCCACCAAAAGTCGACGGGCTGGAAGTCGAGGAGGCTTTGCAGACCGCATACGCCGTGCAGCGGAATCAGGACCGACCCGCAAATGGGTCAAAGTAATGCGATCTCCGGCTCCAAGGATTCGATTTCAAGTCACCAAATGGATTCCTATTAATGAGTTGACGGAAGAAGAGCGTATTGAGTACGACAGGGAGCAAGCAGCGATCCAAGAGGAAAAGCAAAAGCAACAAATGCAGTTGCAGCAAGAGCAGCAGCAGCAGCCACAAGGGGACGAGCACCAGGACCAGAAGGAGAACGAAGTCAAAGAAGTAGCATCCACTCCAGAGAGTTGTAAGAATGGGGCTCCATCATTTGAGGCTAGAAATGTGGACAGCAGCGTTACAAACCCCCAGCTCTCAGAGGAGCAAACTTCAGCGGAAAAAGGTGAGTTTCCACACTCGTCTACTGCGCCAGCTGACGAACCCCCCACCAAAAGAACAAAGTTCGACGAGCAAGTCCAAGTGGAAGAATTCCCATTGTTTTAAGCTGCCGAACATGCATCTTGGTCCGATTTTGCAAAGGAATTAGCGGAAGGTGAAGGCAGACCATCACTCAGCTGATGCTGTTGTATTCAGGTCGGAAAGAACGAAATTGCGAAGTTTTTTGCCACCGTGAGCTACATTACTTGTCGAATATGATGTTAAAGATACCCGGAAATGTATGAAAACGGACGTTCTGATGTTGAATGATCAGAACAAGCTACGTCCGAGTCTTGAAAGCAAGCTGCGTACTGCACGAGTCTTGGACGGTATTTTAATAACACTCTCCACAGTTATCAACTCTTGGATCAAGTAATGCAATCCCACGATTGCAGCGGAGACGTGTCATTTATTCGATTATCAACCAGATATTATAATAACAAAAAAATCTCATTTTATAAATTCAAACTAGAAAGTAGTTTCTGGTTTGCTGCATGGCTGGTGGGACAAGCAATGGGATGACCGTTGCCTCTCCTTATTCGAAAAATCTAGTAGCAATCGAAGGTTGCACATCCCACTCCGCTTGTTTCCGACGGTTTGAATCCTGCATGTGGGATCGGTCAGCGAGGTGAGCGAAACCTTGACAGTTGGAGTCTAACCAGTTTTGTCGACGTCGTGTTTACAATTCGACGTCATGTACAATTACTTATGTACTCACGATTGATGCGAAAAACCTCGTGACGCATCGGGGACTTACAATGCGAATCTTCCATCACAAAGCTGGGAACAAACCCATCACAAATTCTTTTTAAAACTGAAACGAAACCCATCCACACTCCAAACAATGCGGCCAAAGCTGTTGCTATTGCTCATTTATGCCATTCTCGTTTGTCAAGCAAGCGCATTTCTCAGATGCAAAGAACAGCGCCCAGTTCAAAGCATTCAATCGCGATCGGGTACCCATCCTCAACTTGGGATGATGGAGGATATTACGGCTGTCCACTCCGCGTTGCACGATTTGAATCCCGAAGTAAGGGTGGAAATGATGACCGATGTTTCACATGTAGCATTGGATCTCACCGCATTTTTTACGCCATCGCGACTGCACATTCTGTCCTTTGCCATTCTCGGACGAATTCTCGTGCTTTACACGGACTGTTGTGTGCCTGGACACAGCAGCGTACCTCCTGAGGAACTTGCCGTCCAAGCATTCTTGCTGGCGACCAACCTTAAAGATCTGGTCAAAGCAATAGCCGAGAGTCGGTAATCGATCGGTGATCGAATGAGAGCATTGCTCATTTCCACAAACAAATCCAAGAGTTGCCCTTCATCAATGCAACATAGATAGACATACATAGATCACATATAGACATACATGAACACTTCATAGATCACATAGACATAAACATAATCATATATGCCAGAGGAACTTTGCAATGGTCGCAGTATGTGCTAGTGGTAGACTTGCAGCTTCACTCTACCTTTGACTTGTTCTCCTTATTCTCCGAATCCTTTGCACGATCCAAGTACTTGCTCTGCTTGTACGGCGTACACAAGAAATTTCCACCAATGTCTGTGGTCCTGACTTCATGGAAATATGGCATGCCGTTCATGGTTGCCTCGTTCTCTTCCAAGTAAAAATTATGTTGGAGAGAGTAAGGGACGGGAAGGTGAATCAAGTTGGATGCCTTTCTTGCGTCGGAGGTGCATTCTTGCGGCCCAAAACAGTACAGTCGTCCAGACTGCTTTTCGGCTCTCTCACTGGTGAACAATACGCCTAGTTCAAAATTGGCATACTTTATGGTTTCGTCCGGTGTCCCTTCTTTCTCCACCTTCCCTTGTGCCCCCAAGGAGAGACATGCGCTGGTCAGTAGAAACCAGGAAAACGTTTCCTTCCGGAGTTCACTTTTGCAAACAGTTGGATCCTTGCATATTCGAGTGATTGATTTGAAATGCGGAGTCAATGGTTCACTCGAAAATTGACAAGGATGGCTTGTCCGAAAGTGGGCCAGCCGATGTACGCATTCCATATCCAAGGAATTGAATGTCGCTGCGGAAAGAAACACAAAACAATCAAAGTCTTCCACCTCTCCTTTCTCGTATAGTATTTCGCTTTGGTTCCTCCTGGGCTCTCGTTTTGGGGGTCGTTTGTCGGCTACTTTCTCCGTGAACGTGGCCAAAAACTCCCACGAAGGCCAAATTATGGACATGCGGCCCAGCACATCATTGTTCACCTCACTTTTAGAACAATTCAAATAGGATTTCCCGATATGAGCTAGTGGGCCGATTTGCATGTTTTGGCCAATACTGGTGGGCTGCATAACGAGACAATCTTTTGGTGTGCTGTGCAAATCTTTCTCCAATTTGCTCAAGATGCTCTGTACGCGATGCCTTTTGATTTCACAGGCAGCAAATATAGTTGAATGGTTGTGAGGACTGGTACTACAGTACGTATGCAGAACGAAACGCTGAAAGAATAAACAATAAAAGCTTACCTTCCGTACTTTTGCGCAGAGCCATCCTTGGTGCGAAACTGACCTGGAAGGGTGGGAACCAAACAAACACTGGATTTTTCAAAGTGATAGAGCCCAAAGAATTCCCCTAGTCTGATGTTCATATATTGGTTCAAAAAAGCATCAATCCTCATTCCACCTTCCTCACTGGCCTTGCCCAATTGATGCAAAAAGTCTGCCAACGAAAATCCAAAGTTGTTTGCTGGAGAAAATCGTTTCCTATTCCGCGGTTTCCCCTTGTACCTTTTGAATCGCTGAATCCAAGACCCTTCCAAAGTAGCACTAGGAACTAGATTGGCCGTAGACACGACCACAATAATGTCCCCCGTCGTTTCAAACAGCAAGAGGAATTTTGGGTGGTGCACACCCGCTTGCCATTTTCGATTATTCTTCCCTTTGACATTTTTCCTTTCTTCCGTAACACCTTTGATAGAGCCATCACTTGTTGGTAGTACTTGAGTGGCATGAAAACTCTTGCCAAGGTGCAAGGATGTAAAAGGGGAGGGCTCGTCTCTGTGGTTTGGAGACTCTGGATCCCAGGATTCGTTTGAATTGGCCTCTTCTTCTTGTAGCAGCGGAGATGGAAAAGTACCGGACTCATTGTTTGTTCCGTTGATGTATTTCAGACCCTTTTGACCATGCAAAACCAACGTTGGAATGTTAGCGTTTGGCCCCACCAACTGAGGATACTCGTCCCGCAAAAATTGTAGACTAAAAGTAAAGGTACCCATGACAGCAGCTTTCAGCTCATTTCTCTCTATCATTTCTTTGAGTAGCTGGTCTCGATCAAAAAGAGGTGGTGGATGACATGACTGAGCGCCACATTGACAGAATGGATTAGGAGACGCGTCATTGCTGGGCGTTTCGGGTGTGGTTTCTCCCTTGGGGGGGGGTCCGGCATTCAAGTAAAATCGATCACTCTTGTAGGAAATTCCTCCGATGATAACCTCTGAGACTTTATTGCTGCTATGATTGTGAGGCTGTCGTGGGGACGTCTCGTCCCGTCGTCGTTTCATTCCTGCTTGAGCCATGGCTTGAGGGGTTTGAAGTTTCAGTCTGTGTTTTGGTGTTCGTTTTGTTACAAAAGGAAAGACTAAACAAGTACCTAAGGAACTTGTCTAGTCACAATGAATGGTCCGGCGTGCGAACCTCAAATATAAAAAACAACACACTTTGAACTTCCGTTTTCAAACCGTACTCACAAACCTCGTCTCTATTATAGCACGTCTGAGAGTGGCCAATCCAGTTCCAAACCCATCAAATCTATCTTTGAGAGGATATTCCTTGCCTAGAGACGACAATAAAAGCGAGCTATAGTTGAAAATGGCGACTGCAACCGGTTATGTGGCAGATAGCGACGATGAGAATCGGGTCGCATATACTCTGGCTTACAATGAAGTTTCAATGGGAAGTGATGGGCAAGTTCTGACCGATGATAAGAAAAAGAAACAACGAGAGAAAAGAGGCTACTGCTTGGAATGTCGAGGACCCCCAATTATGCTGTACACCATTAAAAAGAGCCGGATGAATCCTCTATTCACGACTAAGAAACCTCTGTTTGTGGATGGACTCTGTGGAAATGGGTTCTGCTTTCTATGTCACCCAGATAAGGATCCCGAGAAGGACAAGACAAGCAAGAACAAGTATATGAGAGGGAAAATGTCACCAGTACCGATCGGAGGTCGACGCAGTATCCCAGTTATTGGCAGTCAAACCTTGAACCAAGTCTTTCAAAGATCTCCAAAGCCTTCTCCTCAATCCACACCGCTTTCATCTCCTAATGCGCTTCGACGAACCTCGGATTCAGTAGTCAGCCAACGACGAGTATCTGATCCAGCCAATAATCGATTGAGTAGTCCAATCTCGCTAGGTCGCAAGAGTGTTCCAGCAATACCAACATTGCCCAACCTATCTGCACCCGTGTCCGACGATGACGACGAAGATCCTGCGGACAGCAAACCACGAGCACCCTCGAAACAAGAATTGGAGGTGCCCGCCCGACAGGTACCTCCCTCGGAGGTGGATGGAAGAGCCCGGCAGTATTGTAGTGACAGCGTATTACCTCGTATGTCCGTCATGGACGAACCGTCTCGACGACCAAGCAAAAACAGTGAGGGTGAATCGTCTCAAGGTGGTGAATCGCCACGGCAGAACCAACGCTTGGGTGAATCCATTCGCAGCAGTGATTTTTCGTTGAATGATCGCATTGCAGATACTAGTTCTCCTATGCCATTTCAGGAGTCATTTCCAAGTATGGGAGGTTCGGCATTTGCGGAGTCCATAACAGAGGAGGACGTCCAACTCATAATAACCGAGTTGGATTCCTTATTGTCCGAGTTGATGGAGGTACCCGGGGCTGAGGAAATTGTGGCTCAGAGTGTGGTGGGCGCCATGCGAGAGCATCGGACAAAGGAAGATGTCTTGATTTATTGTTTACGAACCATTTGGGAATCTTGCAAGGACAGTGACAACATGAAGCGGGAAGTCATGAAATTGGGCGTCTCGGAGGACATTGCGAATGCCATGACGAAATTCTCCAAGTCGGCTGTATTGCAAGAAGTGGGATGTGGTGCAACCTGGTCATTGGCCATCAAGGCTGAGAATCGACAAGCCTTTATCAGAAGAGGATCTTGTGCCCTTATTATGGCGGCGATTGAACGATTCAAGACGAAAGAAAATGTGGTTTGTTCGGCAGTGGGTGCAGCACGGACCTTATCTCCCGAAGATGACGCCCGGGAACCTCTACGGGTAGCAGAGGGTTCCAAGATGGTGGCCAAGGCCATGCAAGCACACCCAACCTCGAGTATCATTCAACGGGATGGTTGTGCCTTTTTGTCCAATGCGGCAGTCGACATGAAGCAACAATACGTGACGGTTGTGTCGAAAGAAGAGCTGGAAACCGTGCTCCAAGCGATGCACCATCATCGCAACGATCCTGCAGTGGTAGCAGGGGCATGCTTTGCGCTAAAGAATTATACCGTCGACGAGAACAATTGCCGTACTCTGCGCAAGATTGGGACTTCTATGGAACTTATTCAGCATGCAGCTGGATTCATGGCATCTCCCTCGTGCATGGAAGATGCCGAAGATATTTTGGAATCCATGCAATTTGCCCAGACTTTGGACAATTCCATTGAAGATGAAGCCTATGTGACATTTTCTAGCACTGTGGAACAGCAAATTAGCTTGCCGGGCTTTGTGAATCGAATTTTAGATTTTATGGAGGAAAACGACTGGTCTGCGAGACTGACAGCACTTGGGCTCCAAACCTATGGAAGTCTTGCCTTGAGTGATTCCAGTCACAGCGATCGTGTGTACAACCAAACAAATTTGTCCCGAATCGTTCAATTTGCCAAGAACCTCAAGGAAGAACAATCCGTGTGCATGGAAGCTTGCAATCTCTTTACCATTTTGGCTGCGGAAGAGAGCAAGCGGCCTATACTAACATCCGTCGGTGCATGCGATGTTCTATTTCACAGCCTCACTTTTCAACGCAACGAGGCCTTGATTCGAAATTGTTTGCAAGCTCTCGAATTACTTGCCTCTTCGAATGCAGGTAATTGTATTGCCAAGATCAAGCCGCAGAAAAAAGCCATTCGCGAAGCTTTGGAAGCCAATCAAACGAGCGATTCTATCATGATGAGTGCCATGACGATATTGTCACTGGTGGACTAGCTTTACGCTTGATATCCAAAACAGGCACTCATAGCTTCACTTTTCAGCCAATCTTCTCTGGACAATACAATAGATTTGTTAGAACAAGAGCAACTTGAAACCACATAGCACCACCACTAAAAGCTCCAACTTGGTAAAGGTATCTGGTGACATGCTAAGCATGATTGGTTTGGCACAATATACACCAATAATAGCAACCAATCCTAAACCAAACGCCAATGGCATCATGGGCCATCCCAGAGTCCCCCCAACGAATCGCATTGGAAGTTTCCCAACGTTCAAAAAGCAAAAGAACATGGCCCTTGACCCAATATAGGATTCTGGCGGCAACTTGCGAACACTAAGCAAATAAACATTAAGAATTGGACCCATTGAATTTGTCAACATGGTAGCTGCTCCTCCAAACAACCCCACGATACAAGCCCAGACTAGTGTTGATCCTTGTTGTGACGGATTGGACCCTGTTGGTGTTTCATGTCGCATCAGGGGAAGGCTTCCTTCCACCTTTTCCTTCTTGCCAAAGACAGAGGGGACTTTTGAGGCAAGCGAAGAAGGTATCATATCCTTGATGCGCAATATTAAAATGGACAGCAAAATGGACCCCACAATGATTCTCGCCGACCGATCCGACAAGTATTGGTCCAACTTCTGCCCCAAAAACATTCCCACAAACGACAATGGCAGTAGTTGCCAAATGGACGACCAGTCCAGACACTTGCGGTGCAACCAGGCCGCATAAACATCAATCATGGTCAGAATAGGCACCATTAATGCCACAGAATACCCCAAGCCACCTTGAACGTCTCGAGGGGCTGTGGCAACCACCAAGGCTGTGGCAACCGTGGCAAAGCCTGGGACACCGCCTTTTCCCAAGCCCATGATTGCCGAAAGGCAGATCAAAATCATAATTTTTCCTTGGAAATCAGTGGCCTGTTGCACAAAGTTTGCCATGGAGTCTTCCTTGTTGAAAGCCATGGTGGTGTTGGTTGAATGAAATTGAGGGTGGCTTTTGGGCTTTTGTTTCTTTTTGAAAGTAAGTTTTCAAAAAAGTGTGCTTTTTGGACACATTTTTAAAAAACGGGGGTGGTCTGATGGTCCCCAACAAAGGAGGAAGTACTGGAACAGTCCCAACGTTTGTAAGCCACACCACATGTGGACATCGCAATATGTATTGCATATCCAAACGCTATACGCAGTACCAACCCATCTTTGCGGCTTCGTTAGGGTGTCGATATGGTAGCAATGACTAGCAGTAGTAATAGCCAAGAGAGAAGGGCTGCTGAAGATGGTGAAATAGAAGATGACGCCCAAGCCCTTGGCATTCAAGGCCAAAAGGAAATATTGAAGCGTCCTCTTCTCAATCCTGGAGTCTACATGCCTCCCGCCAAACGCAGGATGCTTCAGCAACAGCAAATGGAAGAAGAGGAGCAAGGAGAAGTTTCTGCGGCTTCTTCACTCCAGAAACAAAAAGAAAGTTGGCAAGCACAAAAACGTGTCATTCATGGAACCATCAATCGTTTGAATGCGGGCACGATCAAACCGTTGATTCAAGAACTCTTTCAACAGGTCAATTTGGTGCGATTGCGGGGCGTCCTCTGCAAGAACATACTGCACGCTGCTGTGACTTCTCCAAAATTTTCCAATGTCTATGCGGCCGTCGTGTCTGTCGTCAATACGAAATTACCAGAGGTTGGAGAGTTGGTCATCAAGCGATCCATCTTGGCCTTTCGGCGCTACTACAAGCGTCGTGAAAGAGCCTCGTGTCAAGCCATTTGCATTTTTTTGGCGCATCTCTTTCATCAAGCAGTCGTGCATGAGCTCATTGTATTGCAACTCTTGAGTGTCTTGTTGGACGGAGAGCCTACGGACGATTCTGTGGAAGTGGCCATTCAATTGTTGCAAGTAACGGGACAAGCTTTGTTGGAAGTCAGTCCGGCTGGAGTGCGAGCGTGTATCGAACGACTTCGAGCATTACTTCATGAAGGCAATCTCAACAAGAGAGTCGAATACAAAATGGAGCAGCTCTTGAAACAGCGCAAGAATGGCTTCAAGGAGTTTCCACCAGTCATTGATGAACTCGATTTGGTGGAACGAGACGATCAAATCACGCACGAAATTGAACTTGACGACGAAGATATTAAAAAGGAGGAATCATTGGATATCTTTTCCTTTGACAATAACTTTGAAGAATCCACGAACGAGTGGAATGCCATTCGGGCCGAAATTCTTGGGGAAGGGGACAGTAGTGATGACGATTCAGACGATGATTCGGATGATAATAATGATGATGATTCTGACGACGACAGTAGCAAGAGCGATTCTAGTGCAAGCGAGGTGGAAGATCAAGCGATACCAGAAACACCCTCGCAAAAAATGCAACAACCCATTCAAGATCTCACAGAAGCCGATCTGGTGCATCTAAGACGAACCATCTACTTGACCATCATGTCTAGTGCCACCTTTGAAGAATGTGCTCACAAGCTTGCTAAAATCGAAATTCCACCGGGTCGCGAGTCGGAGCTCATTAACATGTTGATTGAATGTTGTTCTCAGGAGAGAACCTTTTTGCGGTACTATGGATTGATTGCAGCTCGATTCTGTTTACTGGATGATCGCTGGAAGGATGCATTCATGGTTTCGTTTGGGGAACAGTACACAACGATTCATCGCTTGGAAACAAACAAATTGCGAAATGTTGCCAAGCTATACGCTCATTTGTTGCACACGGACTCGATGCCATGGAGTGTGTTGTCCAATGTCCATTTGAACGAGGACGAAACAACATCTTCGTCTCGTATCTTTCTCAAGATTGTGGTCCAGGAGATGGCAGAAGCCATGGGTATTTCCAAATTGAAGAAGAGATTCGAAGTAGAAGATGCCGAGTACCAAGAATGGTATGCTGGAATGTTTCCAAAAGACAATGTTCGGAATACGCGCTATGCCATCAACTTTTTCACGTCGATTGGTTTGGGTCCTTTGACCGACGACCTACGCGAGTTCTTGAAGAATGCACCCAAGCTTCTCATGCAAAAGGCCAAGGAAGCTGCGTTGGCCAAGAAAACAGACGATTCCGACTCTGACTCCAGTTCGTCGTCATCGTCCTCTTCTTCCTCCTCGTCGACTTCCAGTAGTTCCTCCAGTGGCTCTTTTTCATCCAGTTCGAGAAGTTATTCCAGCACGAGCTCGTATTCCTCGGCATCACGGCGTAAGCGATCCTCGCGGCGCAGAAGAAGGTACTCTAGTTCTTCTCGCAGCTCTAGCTCTGGAAGCTCCAGTTCAAGATCGGATTCTCCGAGTCGCAAACGTGGATCTCGCAGCAAACGAAAGGTCAGTCGCTCACGATCTGTTTCGCCACCGAAGGAGATTGTACGAGCCGAAATTTCTGGCGACAAATCCAAGCGTGATGACAAGGGAAACAATCGCGATCGATCGCCTTCTCCACTTCGAGATGAAGTGGGTCGAAGTGGCAAGCTCAATAATCGAGACTCTCCCAGAAAAGGACGCAGCCGTAAGGACCGATCTGTTTCCTCATCGCGGAGCCGTGATGGCAATAGACAAAGCCGAAAACGCCGTTCTCCTTCAGAAAATTCGAAATCGTCGGAACCAAAGGAATCTAAGGGGGACAAACGAAGTCGAAGAAAGCGTTATTCCTCATCCCGGTCTCGCTCTTACTCCCGTTCCAGGTCTCGATCTAGGAACTAAGTTTCAACCTGCAAATTATTCAACAAGGAAATGATTTCGATGATATTCCAGCAACTTCAAACTACAGTAATTAAATGATAAATTTGTCAAGCTACGTCACGCATGTATTTCATAAGAATCACTTTCTCAAAGCTTCGTCTACCATCTTCAAGGAACCTATGGCATCGTGCTCTCCAGTAATGCCCGCAAGTTTGTCTACGGAGATGGAGGTGGCAGCATTCCAAAATCGTTTCACTTGCTCGATATTGTACACAGCTTCTGCAACTGGATCCGATCGTTGTGGGAAAGTATCGAAATAAAAGTGACCATCAAAGTCACTTCGGTAAAGCTGATACATGATCTCAAGAGCCATGGATGGATGAACTGATCCAAACATCATGCCATCTTCAGCGGCTAGCCTTGTGTAACCATCGTTGAGCTGGACCCCAAACAACTTCTTTCGCTTTCCTACCATTGCAATGGATTGTCCCGGATTCTCACCGGACATAAGCATATGGCCTACGTCCAAAGTTAAGCCCATGTTTGGTCGGTCGATGTCTTGCACCAACAAGAGGGCTGCAGCAGTGCTTGGGACAGTGAAGAAACGTGTGTTCTCATCCGTTGGCTTGTATTCCAACGAAAATTTGATTCCTGGGAATGCGTCGCAGATTTCTTGAAAGGCATCGACTAGTTGTTGCCACTTTTCATCGTAATCTACTGTGAATGGATAATCGTAGCCATCGTATGCAGACCAAACAACAACTTCCGAACATCCCAAATCGATGGCGGTTCGAGCAGCCTCTTTGGTTAATTCAATTGCTTCCTTTCTCAAATCTACATCTGGGTGATTCATTGCACCTCGGGCAAATTTACTTGGATACCTTAAGCATACCGCACCAGCAACCAAACCTGCCTCGTCTAACGCAGCCTTTGCCTCTTTGTTGCTCCATGAGTGAAAGTGTTGCGGATAGTTGAAGTCGACACATGTGAGACCAGGAATAGTTACCTGGCGCTTCACATAGTCACGTGGATTCTCTAGACTGTGTGCCCACAATTCCGGGCGGTCCTTCATTGAATTCAGCCGTGACCCGATGAGGAATGGAAAGTCATCATTTTTGTAGCCACCTCTTGGAACCACTAGGACCCGCTTTGTTTGCTTGCCCTTGGTAACACAGTAATCTACCTCGTCACGTGTGGGCGTCGATGGGACAGCCTTTGGGTTATTTGAAAATAAAAAGTATGAAAAGATTTATTCAGTCGATCCCACACTTGGATACATCTACAGATTGACTTACTCCATTTACTTGGACGGAACAGGCACCCGCAGCGCTTGCAAACTTCATACATGCCTGCAAGCTTTGACCTTCCAAAAGAGCTACAGCAAACGCTGCACGGTAGCAATCTCCAGCTCCAGTTTCGTCAATTACATCGACGGCTGAAACAGCAATCGCTGGCTGGTATATCAAAGCGCCATCTTCCATTACCAACGTCGAGCCCTTGGATCCTCGTGTGACTAGAACATTTTTGGCTCCCCTCTTCTGCAGTAGCCTTGCGCATGAAATGTAATTGTCAGCGGTAGCTGATGGATCAGGAAAAGATGCCGCTAGTCTATGCAATTCACTTTCATTCGGCATCAAATAGTCGCAGTGTTGCAACATCTCATCCGAGATAGGTCTATCTTCACCACCGACATCTTGTATTACTGTGATACCCCCCTTCTGTTTGGCACGTGATGCAATTAGTAGATTCACATACTCGGGTACCTCACGTTGAAGCATTATACAAGTAACACCTTCCAACAGGCTGTCGATCTCTTCTTGGGATATTGGCTCTTTCGAATCCTCAGTCCATTCTGACCAACCTTCGATGTTACTCCCTCCGCTCACAACAGCGCTGACTGAACCGCTTTCTGTCAAGAAGACATACCCACGCCCAGTAGGCAGGTGCCTGTGACGGCGACAGCCCTCAGTATCGACCCCGGCGTCCTGTAGAGCCTTGATCAACACACTACCCGCATCATCCATCCCGAGCTGTCCAACAAACTTGCAACTCTTATCCGTGAGCTTGGATACAGCGACAGCCTGTGTGCACCCTTTGCCACCAGGAAGATCGATTTGAGGGTGTTTGCCTGGAAGCAGCGTCAGATTTTCACCCTCAGTTGGAAGTCTAGCAATTGGAAGGAATGTGTCAGCATTTGCAGAGCCGATGACTAGAATATTCGAGTGGGCAGGGCAAAGAAGAAGATTTAGCAGAAGGCATGGGAATAGTTTCCAATTCATGTTGAGAAGTCGTTTTTGTTGTTGATGATCGATTCTTACAGATCTTGATCTTGTTTAGTCTTTAAAATATACAGCCTGTCAGTCGGCGGTCTTGCCTCGCAAAGGATATTTTTAAAAATACCGGTATCGTACACGTGTACACGTCATCGGAAATGTCAGGGCATCATTTATTGCCAGAATTCATGATGGTTTTATTCTTCTTCCAAAACGGCGAAAACACCATTATGATGCGGTGTATTGCAATTCAGAATGATTTCATGAAGCAAGCAACAAAAGATTTCCCTTTCGATTTCGAGTGCGATAGCTTCGGTTCAGTTGTCGACGCCGATCAGATTTTAGCGCTTGCAACGAGAAGAATTCAGAACCCGAGACAGTTTTCTGTAGATAACTTATCGACAACGAAATCGGTTTCTGGCGCTATTGTTCGCGTATTTGATCATTTTTCGAGACATGGCATCTTGTGGGAAACATTAGCAGTCACGATCGACCGCGAAGATTCTTCTGCAGAGCCTTATGAATTCACCCACAGTGTTATCAGGAAGGCAAATTCGTCAAGTCTGTTCAAGTGCTTGGAACTGACTGCTGAATCCGTTACGGCTAAGACTGGACCAAGGGGAACAATCCTATTTCCGGACATCACGAAAAACGAACGACTTCAATCGATTTCCGTCCACTTCTGCGACGGAGCGTTGGCACTTGGGGACTCTCTTGCGCTGAAAGAAATGATGGCGACGTCACAAACACTCAAAGAATTGCGTCTTTGGGATATGACAGAGTTCGACCAAGATTTGTTTTGCGAAGGTCTCACTGTAAACAAGTCGCTTGAACAATTGACGCTGGGCCTCGATAGGTGCAATATCTCAGATAAGGTCATCGCTGATATCATATCAACTGTGGCAGGACATCCGGCGTTGACAAGCTTTAGTCTTTTTGTTCGGGGTCAGTTTGGACCGTTATCATCACAGTCCATGGAGGAACTGCTTTCAAGGAAATCGAATCTACTTTGCCTTAAACTGCATGATCGTGGAAGGGACGAGACAAGAAAGCTGTGTCTAGGCCGTTTTGCCAAGGGTCTTCGGAAATGTGATTCCCTGAAGAAACTTGATGTACACAATGTATTTCATTCTGATGAGTCCTTATCCAGACTATTTGTCGCGTTAGCTGAAAGTTCAGGAATTGAAGACCTCTGGTTTTGGGAAAAGACATCGCAAAAGGAGTTTGAAAAAGTGATTGCTATGGATCGACTCCCAAAACCCATTCGCCTCTACTTGGATCACAAAATCATTAAGGACTTTCCGAAGCACTTAGAAAAGATGTTGCATGTGCACCCTGAAGTACGACCATTTCCTTTCTTTGGGAAGAAAAATGCTAGTATGGAACGTATATGCGATCTGAACTGGCATGGGAGGTATTTGTTGATGCGGCACGACAACCATGTGCCGTTGGGCATTTGGGCGCCAGTGCTCGAGAAAGCAAACAGGAATCCGTGCGTAATACATCAATTCTTGAAGGCTGGTATTTTGTTTGAAAGCTGGGTCTGAGAGTCGGAGGTGTCTGCCGCAATCCTTTGGGTAGTAATATTGATACTAATAGTACTACGACATGATACGATTGACAAGTTATCCTCATCCCCCATTTAGAATTTGTTCCCCGTATTTTGTGATCTGACTAGTCATTTCCAATTTTCGCTTGGCTTCTCTGCCGATCGCCACGGGCGATGGTGTGAAAACAAGAAGGTCTCACCTGTGAAAAGATTAAGCAAAATGGCGTCAGCAGCAGTTTTACCAGCGGCAAGCAATGCAATGGTACGTTGATAATCATACGTTAAGAAGTCCGTTTGCCAAAGAACTGCTGGGCCTTGACATTAGGCTGGTGACATTGAAATATGGAGAATCAATTCTTTTGCTTCCTGTGTCTGACCTCATTTCTCTCTTTGTTTGGATATTAGGCTGTCGATGAAGCGGCAAAAGCTGCTGTAGAAGAAGAGCCTCTTAATATGTATCAGGAAGTGAAGGGCTTGGAGAAGCAACTAGAGTTTGTAGAGCTACAGGAGGAGTACCTGAAAGATGAAATGAGACACCTTCAACGTGAACTACTCCGTGCGAAGGAAGAGATTCGTCGTATTCAATCAGTGCCTCTCGTTATCGGTCAATTCAACGAAATGATTGATGCGAACTATGGGATCGTCTCCAGTACTGCTGGATCCAACTACTACGTCCGAATTTTAAGTACTCTTGACAGAGAGCAGCTCAAGCCAAACACGAGCATTGCTCTTCATAGACACTCTCACTCGCTTGTGGATATATTGCCGCCAGAGAGTGATTCGACTGTAAAGCTTATGGCTGAGAAGCCTGACGTTTCATACAAAGATATTGGTGGTATGGATGTGCAAAAGCAAGAAGTTCGAGAGGCAATTGAGCTTCCCCTCATTCAGCACCATCTATACCAACAAATTGGAATCGATCCTCCTCGTGGAGTTTTGCTGTATGGTCCACCTGGTACAGGTAAAACAATGATGGCAAAAGCAGTTGCGAATGCCACGGAAGCAACATACATTGCCATGGTGGGATCAGAATTTGTCCAGAAGTACCTAGGTGAAGGACCCCGGATGGTTCGTGATGTGTTCCGCCTAGCAAGAGAAAACTCTCCATGCATCGTTTTTATCGATGAAATTGATGCCATCGCGACCAAGCGTTTCGATGCTCAAACTGGTGCTGATCGAGAAGTTCAGCGTATCCTTCTTGAACTTCTAAATCAAATGGATGGTTTCGATCAAACAACGAACATCAAGGTGATCATGGCTACTAACCGAGCTGATACCCTTGATCCTGCTCTATTGCGACCAGGACGATTGGACAGAAAGATTGAATTCCCGACGCCAGATCGTCGACAAAAGCGTATGGTCTTCCAAGCGGCGACCTCCAAGATGAACCTAAGTGACGAGCTCGACCTTGAGGATTATGTGAACAGATCCGAGAAGGTCTCTTCTGCTGACATTAGTTCCATCTGTGCAGAGGCTGGTCTTCAGGCAGTGAGAGAAAATAGATATGTGGTCCTTCCTAAGGACTTTGATGCTGCATACAAGAAGGCTGTGAGCAATCGTGAAAGGGAGCTTGCCTTTTACACGATGTAAATTCGCATCATTGAAGCTGCTTTGGGCACTGGGAAGAATCATCATACCGTAATACAATTGACGAGTAGTCATAAACTTACTCCACGGTTCACTAACAACATCGGCAAAGCACACATAAGTTCTCATAGATGGCAAAAAAAAAGAATAACGTAAAATATCACCTACCACAATCAAGAAAGGTCCCTACTGGTATTAATATGCCTATTTTCTACTCCACACATCACAAATGGTAAAATCTTCTCATGTAGAGTTCAAAATGTGTCTTGTGAGGGGCTGGAAGCAAAATTGAAATCAGAGCAAGTTCGATCTGAAAAGTAAAAAGTTTATTCCGCCACGGGGACTCGAACCCCGGTATCCTGCGTGAGAGGCAAGTATGCTAACCACCTACATCATGGCGGAATGCTTCACAGAAGCGGCAACAAAAGAAAAATTTTGGATTACAATAGGTAAGAAATAATTTTTTACTTCTTTTAAAATCCTATCATACTGTAGTATTACAATTTTTCTCCCCAAGGCAAGATCTCTTAGATTGATCTCCGAAGGGTACTCATAGACTACAAGTACATCCCTCAGGCTTACCTGGAAGCAGCTCGTACGGATGATTCCGCTTATACCTCATCAATACGATACTATAAATCAATACATCAGATCAGCTATGAAAGAAGTCACAATGATTTGTAGTATCAATTGTCTAGTCAAGTTTAGGCTTTGTCAAAATTGTCAGGAGTATTATGCCAGCCATCCCCCAAAATACTCCGAATGTGCACACTATCATGCCAGTCATGATCGGTGACATTCCACTGAGAGATTGTACCCATCTGAAAGTATCTACAAACATGTGCCCCAAATGAACTAGAAGCTGCTGTAGCTGACCCATCGGCCCCATAGGTGATACGATGAACGGAATAGCCTCTTCTTTCTTGTATCCGCCACGAACAAAGTTCATCAGGTTTGCTTCACTTCGCTTCCCATTGAATTCATAGACTGAATATCCATCCACCACAAACAATGTCGGAAAACCAGTGACATGGAATCGATTCATGAGAGACTTTTCTTCGCTACAATCAACCTTTCCGACCCGAATCTTTTCCTCAGGAGAAGAATGAAAAGCCGACGCTATATTTGCATATGGTTTGGAAAACTCTTGACAATGGGTGCACCTGAAAATGTGTTTGATCAAATGAGTTGACATAATAAAATGCGCCCTTTATTCGAAGCAAATACCACTTACCACGGTGTGTAGAATTCGATCAGCCATACATTGCCATCTCCAGTATATTTTGAAAAGTCTCGCGAGGTCAGCTGAATCGGTCTTCGACCCACAGCGTTTGCATTTCCTGAAGTGCCACCTTCATTCGTAGTCTTTACACTTTCAGTAGAGACAGTGAATATCCTTGATAGCAAGAGCAGGGAGACTGTTACCAATGATGCAAAATTAAAGCGGCAGGCTACTAGCATGTTCGTTCAAATGCTCAGGGTTTTGTGAAGGCTTAACTGCGTTTTGTGTTTGAGTCGTCGCAAAATTATGCACGTGCAAGCATCCACACAAATTCCAAAAAGCCTAAAGAAACAGTGGACTATGGCCCCGAAACGAACGAATGCCGCTGATAATCAAAGCAGTAAAAAACAGCGAAAGACCAAAAAGAAAATAAAAGCACCACCTTCTTTTTTAGATGCGACCACACTTTTGCAGGTGGTGGACTTTCCTTTACAACAACAGCAAGAACAACAACAAGCGCTGCCAGAACATGATACAGTAAAATCTGATGTTGTCAGTGATGTTATTAAGGAAGTCTTCCTCGATCGCTTTGTCAAGGAAATAGTAAAACCATTTGCTCCAGATAGGAATAGCAACAGTCAGTTTGTAGTGCGAAACTGCAAGCTGCGGAAGTCGAATCAGAATCAAGCAGGCAAGAAGACCGAAACAAATTCCATCTGGAATCAACGAATAAGAATAGGAACGAACCAATGCCTACGGATACTCGACGCCGCCATGAATGGATCGGCGAATCCGAAACCTCTCCTTTGCGTTTGCGCTCGAGATGTGTATCCTCCTACAATGTTGACCCAAGTCCCCGTCGTTGCGAAAAAATTGAAAATTCCGCTTGTCATTCTCGGAGGGAAGGCAACTACAGAACTTGGTGAAGCAATCGGTCTCTGCAAGGCTTCAATAGTAATCATCTTGGAATCATCAATTGGAACTGACGAATCTCACGGTGCAATTGATTCGTTCTGTTCATACGCTCGGACATTAGTAGACTCTTGAACTTTTAATGATTCTTCATTTTTTAGTTTTACGGATGTATGTTAGCCTATGTGAACAGGGTATGACAACGCATGAAAAGGTATTACCAAATACCTGTGGATAGACACGCTGAAGCATTCCTGCACCATCCAAATCATAAATAGTTGTCGAACCAAAAGTGCCACTTCAATGGGCCTTCCAAGTTCGATATACTTGGTGAAGAGTTGCTATCACTAAGACTCGTCCAACCAGGACTGCTCCACAATTTCTCGAACGCGACGATTGTATTCACGTCTATTCTCATTGTACAGTCGACTTGCTTCTGAGTTAGCTGGAGACGCTGGATTCGGGTCACACAGTAACGATTGAATACTCGTCAAAATCGCAGATATATCGTAAATTGGGGACCACTGGTTCTGTAAAATGTCCAAACAGATCTGACCATCGTTGTAGATATTAGGGTGGAACATTTTAGTGAGGAACTTCACTTGTGGAGCCTTGTTTGGATAATCCTCTGAGAATTCCAAAACAAGCTTGAATGTGCCACCCTCCCATGGTGTGTCGTCTGGCCCAAAAATGACTGCTTGCCACACCATAATGTTGGTGTCCATCGGAGCACCGGTTACACCAGAAGGAGGATCATTTTGAAGTCTTTATAAAAAGAGATATATATTGCGTTGAGACAAGGTTGAAAAACCCAAGAATTGCTTCATCACCGAAGTCTCTGTACACCCTGTACAGAAACTATCCGTTGAATCGGCCTTGTATGCAGAGGGAAGAATGCAAAAATCATGGGGCGTAGTCTATTAATCTTCGCTCTATATGATGCAAACAAGAACTATGACCTACCTCTTGAAGTCTCTTAATAGCCGACGCCTTGCACTGGTACTCATGATACAACGCAACACAAATTCTTGGAAGGCAAGGTGTTTCCACTATTTACGCTTTCACGCTCTTTCTTGTTCCGAAAGCCGTACGTAGAAATCCTACCGATATTTGAGCCGTTGAGAGTTTCGTACCGACGAACGAACGTTGACATCATCCAAGTCAGGAAAAAAGGCAATCGTACGAGTATGGGACTGTTGTGGGCTGAGAGATAGAGGTTACCTACTGAAAGCATAATTTGAAAAGTATAAGTAGCCTAGGCCTCCAATAATTCCTGCAGGCCAAGTAAGCCACTGTAGAGTGTGCTTGCTTTCCCCCTCTGATTGCAGTCCATACATGCACTTTCCCACACAGGAGAGAACCCAGAATAGTTTTTGGGGGTGAGGGGAAAAGGAGACACGAAACGGAAGCTAACTATACTTTCGAACTTCTTGTGGTTTTGTCGTGAGGAGATGGCTGTACCGCATTTTCCTCCCGCCCGCCAATTTCCTAATGTACAGTACAATTCAGTAGAAGGAATATACCACGTAGAAAGAAAATATCACGTTATACTCATATTTTTTAAAAGTCTCATTGAAAACTACAACATTCACTATCTCTTAAACTCGACCTGCCTTATTGCTGTCCAACGAATGAGACAATGGGGCAGCCCTACTTTTTACTGCTTCTTCGCGTCGTACATTTTCATGCGACCTGCTACTAGTACTAGCAGAAGTGAAAGTTCCAGAAGCCAAGTATCCCTGGAAATTGCAAACTTCATCTTTCGAAACGTAGTACATCTTTTGTCATCTAGAATTTGGAGACGTAAGATGAAGATCAACCGTTAGCCCAGGCATTTTTCAAGCCAATACAGATGATTCTTGAACATCCACAGAAGATTCTTCGGGAAGTTCCTTGCTAACATGTAACATATGGGTGATTTCATCGTTTGCACTGTAAAAAATAAAGAGAAAGAGGTTTAGCTTTTTGCCATTGGAAACCAGCAAGTAAATGCAAGTAAAAATAACTTACTTTGTCAATGGATAGGAGCAAATGAAGTCGACGAACTCCCGTCCTTCCTTGTCGAAGTGAAGCCTTGTGGCGCACGTGCATTGACCTTGGCTTACATCATCCAATTCATATGGAACATTGCTCAGCTCTCCAGCATCTGCTTCCAAGTCTCCTTCAAGGATTTTGAAGAGTTCTTTTCCTTCTGCTTCCATCTGTGTGTACCGTGTCAGTTTGGTCCAGCTCTCGTTGACATTGACGATTTTGTATGGCTTCTGAGCCAAAGTGATGACTCGGGCTTCTTGAGCGTTGGGTGAAAGAGCCATTTCCAAACTCCCTGGAATGATTTGAGCTGTCGTCTCATTACCACTTGCCCTCTCAAGCTGCTGCATGAAGCCCATGGCGTCATAAATCAGCTCGATGCTCTTCAACTTGCTAGTATTCGAAAAGTGAGCACGAAGCATGCCAGTCATGACGCATTCGGCGAGAGCACCACACTGCACAGCATCTTGAGTCCTCATGACATAAGGAGCCATGAGTATGTCGTCCATCAAAATAATGTTGTCTTCATTGATATGAAAACAAGCACGAGTATGAGGACGGTTACTAGAAGAATTGCTCGAAGATGTCTCAACATCACCAGATATGATGATTGCTGGTCCATTATGAGTTCCAGCCGCGCTACCACTAGCAGAAGCTGCAACAGAAGCATCTGCGTTTGGAATTGGCGGCAACATTTCTCTGGCTTGTGAACCCTCTATCGAAGTAGGTGACTTCTTTCCAATCCCGGCGAATGGCGGAAGCGCAATCGCTGGAGAATTGGATTGTAGAGGATTCTCGGTGGACACTGATGGCACTCCACTTGAAAACATTGCGCGGACATTGTGAGAAATACCACCTGTCTTCGCAATGTTGTGTGGCAAATGAGACTTCAGAGCAATCGACGTGAGAGTCGCGCTGTTTGTTGGGAACTGGGTTTGTTGCGGCACATGCTTTCTTCGTTTAGGAGGTCGAGGATCTTTGATTGCTGCAGTAGAATCATCGCCTGAGGAAGAATCGGTGCTCACACGCTTGGTGTCATCAGCACTTCCATTGGAGTCTTCTGCTGGAGAGTCCTCTGATGTTTCATTGCTACTGCTGCGTTCCGAATCGGCAAGCTTCGGATCTGGCAGCGGCTTCGCGTGATAGTCATGAAATTCACCAGCGTGATTTCCTTGCTGTCCGCCACTGTCACTACTCCCGCTCGAGTTGCTGACCTTCTTGACCCCGTTCGAAGGGTTCGGAAAACCTTTTTTGCTTGCCTCTTCACAACTTGATCCAGTATTGGAAGAGTTTGAACTGGAAGCTGATAGACTAGATACAGCATGTTGAAATTTTCCATTTTGGATGCTACGAGGCATTCGTTTTCTCCCTGTTCTTTCTTCTTCTCGAAGAAAGAACTCACGGCGTTTGAAATTCATCCATCTTGTGCTTCTGGATCCAACACCTTCGATCATAACAGCTACACTTGCGGCATCAGCAACGATTGCATCAAGACCTCTAGATATTCGACTCTCCTATAGTTGGGAATGATGCGAAGAAGTCGGGTGTGAGCAATCGATATCGTCCAAGAATATACAGTAGAGAAACATTCAATTGCACGTACCTTTTCGATTTCACTGCGTCGGAAACACCGGTATGGAGTCACAGGTTGTTTCAACCAAAAGTCATCTTCAAGAATTGTTGACCACTTTCTTTTGTCTCTCTCAGAATTACAAAGAAAGCGAAGAAAGTTATGGATTACCTGGCGGCGCACGTTTTGCATATCAGCTAGTCGTTGAATTGCGACTCTTCGCTGCCTCACTTCTTCTGTCCGCTCAGCTTGCATTCCTTCCACAAGCTCCTTCAACTCTTGGATGTAAGCTTTTTTCCGTAGTCTTGTCGATTTTGCATGCTCTCGATTTCGATCACGATTCCGTCTCGCTCGTTCTGCAGGACTGAAATCCCTTTTCCTCTTCCCCTTTTTCGAATCTCCTGTACCGTTTGACTCGCCGCTGCTGGCTGCATGATTCGGAGGAGCAGCCATCATGGCCATTTGTCCACCCATACCAGCTTGTAATTGATATCCGCCAGAGCTCAGAGCTTGCATTTGCGCGGCTTGTTGGCCAAGCTGATATTGATAAAACTGTTGATTTGACATGGGAACACCAGTCTGAGCATTTAAATGTTGAAGAGGTATTCCACTGGTGGCACCTCGAGGCGTCAAACCTGCACTAGAAGTGAAGACATCAGGCATAGTGTACACAGCCCCAGGGTTGGTCATCATTGCAGCTGGGGGAAGCAATGGTGATGCCGCTGCTGCGGCTGCAAGACTTGGGTTCGTCATGAGCTCCAGCAAATGCTGTGGTGTCAATCCTTGAGCACCCATGGTATCCATTTGTTGCGGGTTTGTTGCGTTTGGGTTTGGTGCTATTGGAGCTGGAGCTCGGCCGCCATGTTGGCTTTGTTGTTGGTCCATCGTTTGTTTGTTATCTGGTTCTTGTTAGTTGTGTTGCAGTTTTGCAACAAAGCTCGGTTGATGCCAGCTTTTCTTTAATTGTGCATCCTGACGATGAAGACGTCAGAAGAGGTCAGACTTAATCCAATAAGTATTTCGGTTTTTCTGCAATGAGCTAAAAACTGTACAGGTGGGACGAAACCAAAACGTACTCTAAAAACCACTAAAACACCACTACGCACGCGCATTAATTAAGCAAACTGATGTCACAAGTTACATTGGGCAGTTCGATCGAGTTTTCAAACTGCTTTGCCACTTTGATTTTTGTTTTTGCTTGCAGATACTACATTTTGGTTTTCTAGTGTAGCTAGTCAATCTCATCTATTACGTCTTTGTTGAAATCTTGACCTCTCTCAGGTCGTCAAACCCATCAATACCGAACACCTAACAGTACAGTACAGTTTTTAAAAAGAAACTCAAACGTGGCACGACGAACTGTAGTACGCACCTGAAAATGATGTCATTTTTGCACGAGTGATGTCAGTAGAGAAGTGAAATCACAACCAAACGAGTTCTCATTGTCCAAAAACAGTTACTTATCCTCCAAGACTCAAACCTCAACATCTGTCGGTTTTGCCATCTCTATTTTTCTTGGTCTTCGTCCGAGTTGTGAAATCACCCCGAACCAGTTATTATTGTCTAAAAACAGTTACACGTACTTGCTTGTCAAAGCTTCAAGCGCCTTAAGTACTTAGCCCGACCAAGTGCGTGTATGCTTCAATCGCCTTAAGTATTTGGCCCATCCAAGTACGCATCGTCTTTCGGCTTGCAGTCGAAAGACAGGAAAGGAACGAACCCCAGTAAACAGGATGATTCCCAACTCTCAAGTTGACTTTTGAAACAATCAAATGATAAAACTATAAAACGATAATGGCGCAAGAACATCAGCAAAACAACAACGCAGCAACAAGAAATATATTTTCCCAATCACAAACTCAGACTGCATCAGTGTTCAACCACCATTCACACCTACAGCATCTCCCTCCTGGTGTCGTGCTGCAACAACAGGCACCAGCGAACGCATCGACAATGAGTGTGCCAAACCACATGAACGGGATCACCGTTCTAAACAGTGCTGGTGAATCAATGCAACCGCATCAAGTCATCATGACTTCTTTACCACCTCCTGGGGCCACGAACAATGTCCAAAGGATACCAGGGTGGGTTTCGAATCATCATATCCTTCCTGGACAGCAACCTTCTGCTTCCTATCAGTATTCTACACAAGCCGTTGATCCACAAAGCCAACTCTCATCAAGCGTGGTCAGCAGTAATCAAGCACAGGTTTCATTCGTTTCAGATACGCCTCAAGGGCAAGGAAATACTGGCAAACCCCAAAAGAAGTCTGGCAAGAAGAAGAAGAAGAAGGGGTTCTCACAAGAGTCAAAGGAACAACATAATCGTGAGCGGAATCGAGAACATGCAAGGTCCACAAGAATGCGAAAGAAGGCATATGTACAAGAGTTGAAAGAGATGGCTGATGGGCTTCGAGAAATTCAAACAACAGAGATTCGTCAGAAGAGGAAGACTGTTCAGAAGATGATGGATGTCAAAAAGTCCCGAAGGAGATTAATTCAAAGAGTCCTCGGGTTCCATGCAGAATATGAGAGCGATCCCAATAAGTGGAGGGCGGTCGTGGAAGAATCCTTTTGGTTCAAGCAACCAGTCACACCATTTCGATCCTTTCGTCGCTCCGAAGTTGAGAAAGTGAGTACTCGTATTCTCCCCGCTCTGCTGTCCTGTAACTTTCCTGCCATTGTTTCTCACTTTGTTATTGTACCACCATAGGATTGTCGCATTGTTCGTGGTATTGACGCAATGATATGTGATGCTGCCAGTCTTTCAGTAATGGTGGAGCGAATCGGTTTCCGCAGTGCTCGTTGGCATCAGATCAAACGCCGGAAGGTTGCTGATAAGTTGACGCAGACATCACACATACATATTAATAACGATGTCTCTAGAGAGACCGAGTCCAGTCTTTCTGGTGAGTCGAGTACGGATGGATCAAACGCAGGCTCTTGGAGTGACAATGTCAAGCGAAAGCGTTCATCGAATGAGCCCAATCGCTGGACCAATCCACAAACTGATTCCGCAAGAGTCATCTCGTCTAGTGACAGTGGTGGTGAAATGAAGACAACCATGTCGTTTGGCAAAGAAGCATCCTCTTCCGAGGAATCGAAAACAGCCGAAGCAAGTCAGTATGCCGGAGATTATCAAGCCCAGAAGCGTCAAAGAACCACCACCAACACACCTGGAACTGCGAACCAAGCTCAACAAGAACTGAATCCTCCTCTCCCTGGAGGTGTAGTCCATCAAGTGAGAGCGAACAACGACGCCCTCCGATTTGAAGGCGATAGGGCCATACCACTCCTCGATGGGAGGACGCCATCCTATTTACCACATGCAAATGGCTCTCTTTTTGGTATTGACAATGAAATTGGATGTTATTATGCTGTCAACGAGGACGATATGGAGGCCGTTGAGGATTGCCTAATGTGTCCCTTCACTTTTCGCTCCAAGAATGCAGTCCTCTGTGGAGCTCTTGCCGACTGTGTCATGCCTGGAATGCTACGTGCCACTTTTTCCCCTAGCAATAAGGTCCAAAGTATTGAGATCATCTTTGATGCGATGGGATTTATGCAACAACTAGATGGAGCCAATGGCGGCGATGTCAATGCACAAGTCATACCGGGAAGTTTGGAAATGGCACTGATGCATTGTGCCTATGAAGCTCGAGTGCTTACGGAAGCTAGACCACCTTATGCAATTGTCCATGTCAATGAAGCGTGGACCAACTTGACAAAATATTCGCAGATGGAAGTGGAAGGACAGAGTCTGCTTCCTTTGATTGAAGGAGGCGATACTGACCCAAATGCTGGGATACGGGAGGGACGGCCTATTCATCGACTGGAGTCTGTGGCACAGGGAAGAGCTGCTTGTTCCACCAATGTTCACTACGACAAGAACGGAAACTCCTTTATCGATTTCATGTCATCTTATCCGCTGACAAAGTAAGTTTATATCACGGCGCACAGAAACAAGTTCTTGCTGATGAATGTATGGTATCCTCACCTTGTTCTATCCTCCTTTTTTGTAGTGCTTCGGATGAAATCAGTCATATCTTGCACATTAGTAACGAGCTTCCCAAGATATCTCCAATACTTTCATAAATGCTGACCAGTTGTTGTAAAGATGAACTGCTGTTTGCGATGAAGAGCTGGTGCGAGAGGACAAGAGGACAGCCAGTGCGGTACTGTTGATGAAGAAGATACTGTATGAATTACTGCCATGTCGGCGATGATGAGCTGACAAGGATACTGTAGATATAAAGATCGCTTGTATAGACTACAAATATACCGGTAATACCTTTCATACCGTATTTCAATAGTAAGAGCTTCATAAAAGGGTGTGTGGTGTACTGTTTCGAAAGCATCAAGGTGGCGCCAACATGATTGATTGTCAGGCTTAATAGTAAAAACGGTTCGTACGTTTCGTACGTCATTTTCGGGAAAAATTTCACTTCTCTTCTTCCCTTTTCCAAGTAAATTGAACCAATGGGTACACGACTTCGTTTTCTATTTAACGTGTTTGGTGCCAGCCAACTGTCCAACCAAAATTCAGGCACCCACGATCGACGACCTTCGCGTGAGAGAAAAACATCACATCAATTTTATTTGTGTGCATTTGCGCTTCGTAGATACCAAATCAGAAAAACACTGACAGTAACAAGCAAACCAAGTTCTCACTCCAGCAGCTACATAACCAAGGACTTTGACATCACAACCAGTCCAACTGGAGGAGAAGAAGGACTTGCGCGTCATTTTGCTTGTGCTCCCTCAAACTTCGATTGCATTCTGCAACGTACAAATTGTAGTACAATGGTACGTATCGAATGGTCCTTGTTTTCAACACGATGCCGAAAAGACTCACCGTGGTTTGTCCGTTTTCGTTGCAATTTACCAAAAGACCAAGAACATGGCCAATATGTCCAAGCATGGGATTACCTTGCCGGAAAAGTCAGCGGCACGGCCTGAAACTACAAACATGGAACCATCATTCTTTGGTGGAGCATCCTCCTCATCACATTCGTCATCGAACGACGACACTGATTTGGATTCTCAACAATGTGAATTCAACAACTTTATGACTACCCAATTGTCAGGCAAGAAGCATACACCTGGAGAACGACTACAACGAAGGTGAGTTTTCGTACATCCATCATTTTAACATTCCGTGGACAGCTGCCATCGTGTGCAAGTTTCCAATTTCTTCGCTTCCACCAACCAGAAGGGCCAAATTTGACTGTTGTGACCACTTTTCGTCAATTTCATTGGCGCTTTTTGTTCCCTGCGTTGTTCCAATTTTGTGCCAACTGCTTCGGCTCTGGCAGCTGGCTCGAGCGAAAATTCTAGTCACTGATGACCAATCAACGTCGAGTTGAACTGCGCGTCACATGGTTCTTTTGGTCCGTCAAAGTACTATTTCTACTTACCCAGCATTGGGCCTTCTCTCGTACCATTCGTTCGTACAAAGTTGAAGAAAGAATCGAATCGGAAATCGGAAGCCATTCTTCGTCATACTTCACAGCATTGATTGATACCTTTTTTCTCCTTGTGTCACACCCACCCACCCATACTCATCAATATCTTTCCCTTTCCATTCTACAACGACCACAACCACCAAATGCCACGACAATACCAATCATCGACCTTTAGCCGGGAGCGCAATCGAATTCATGCACGAAAGACTCGCCAGCGAAAGAAAGAACAAATGCAAAGTTTGCAACAACGAGCTGGTGAACTCAAACAAGAGCAGATTCGACTCAAACAATCCATCAACGAGAAGGCTACTGCTAGCATTTTGGTCGGACTCTTCTCGAAGGACGCTTCTTCGGAGCAGATGGAAGATCCTCGAGTGGAAGAACTCTTACGAAGACCCATTGAAGCCATCCCAGACGCTTCCAAGTTGCCAGAACTCCCGGCATTGATTCTTCCAGGACAACACAACTCAAAGAAGCACAAGCCAACTTCCACCGAACCCCTCCCTGGCAAAGACGATTTGCCGAACGATGGCATTGACTATGATTTGCTTGGCAAAGATAGATCCAAGTGCACTCCCACCGAATTGGACCAAATTCGAAGGGAGAGAAATCGCATGCATGCCAAGCGAACTCGAGATCGGAAGCGACTCTTTATGGAAGAAATGGCAGAAATGTGCAGCAAATTGGAGCAAGAAAACGAGCTCTTGTGCAACCATCTCGGAGGAATCAGTGGACTCAATCAATCTCCTGCTGGAACCCCTGAACTATCTTCGCAAACTCCAAACGTGACTCCTCTCCATATGGGCGAGACCATGTCTTCGCCCTGCATGACTACGTCCAAATCTGATAAATTGAGTGATCATGGAGTCACTTTGGATCAAATCAAGACCCTTTTGGAAGCTGCTGGTACTTTTACCACTTCGAGATCATCCAAATCACCCGCATCTGCATCCACTAGCGCTTCCGAAGGAGGCAGCTTCTCGGACGATCAAGAGGATGGTGATAGTAGCAGCTACTCGTCTCGCAAGCGACGAAAGCTGGACACTACCGTCCCACAATCCATCACGGCAACGAGTCCACCAACTGCTGTTGGTGTTTGAATTCCCTGTTTATGACGCATGTCACATATCATGACGAACAGGTGCCATTTGTATGTCTCTTATTATCACCGCACACATCATCACATCACCGCACACACTTTAGACAATAGTACACCCCACTGCCATTTGCAAAAAAACATAATCACTTTGGGAAGAGATTTATTTTGGAATACTCCAACTGGATTCATGCATTCGAGAAACACACTGTGTTTTACGCAAACGCAAGAGCACCAGATCGTCGAGAGGGTATCATCATGGCTGCACTGTACTAGTAGTACATACCACAACACACACGCAAACGCACACACACACACAAGAGTCTTTAGACCTTGGTGGCATTCCTTTGGATTTTTTTTGCCCAGTAACACTCATGTCGCCTTTACAAAATTTTAGCTTTCATATTTATTGATCACAATATTCATACCAGCTTGACTCTAACCGGTATTACTGTAGATTTCTATTTTCGAAGTGTTGTATCATGTTTTGGTCTGTTTTGATATTCTGGCAAAGATTTTCATGATGGCGGATGCCATTGTTATGCAATCGTATAGAGCGGCTGCCAAAACAAGTTGCTTTCTCTCTTTTCATAAAAGAGCTACAGTACTAATATTTTCCGGTCTTTCTCTAACGATACTACTCCCCACCCACGCCTCACAAGGGACTGACTCAATCTGAATCGTGCATTTTTCCAAGTCCTACGAATCAATCATACCAAACCTGATGGCAAGGTTTCAACATATTGATCCACGTGGAAAGCACATCAAGTACGAAAACTACGTTCGAAGCGTTGGTTGGTTATCCATCCACGGTCTTGTGGAATTCAACCGAAAACAAAACTTGTCGACACGTACTGCTGTAGCGACGACAATATACAACCATATAGGCAACCACCCCCAACACCACTATGTTGCAGTACGATAACAATGCGTTTTATTTTGTTGCATTAAGCTTTATCACCATTTATTTGGTGCCTTGTAAGTCGGACCAAGCAAAAGAGAGAGAGAGAGAGATGCGACAGAGTCTCCCTTTTTTGCAAATCTTCTAACAGGCGCATTTCAACCCATTTTTTGTTTCCCTCTTTTGTAGCTTGGATTCACATTCTGACCCGTGCCCAGTCGGTTCTATTCGCAAAAGATGAAGCCATCGGTGCCATTTCCAGAACTTCGGCGGAAAAGCAAAAGGCTGAAGAGTTGAAGAAAGAATCCAAGGGACTTGCTACTTTGAAAAGGTCCAAGCCGTTCATGATCAACTTTTGGATTACCATCTTTTTTACAATTATTTTCATGTGGTTGGCTGTTAGTGTTTCTACTGATGGAGAAGTCAACTCGTTTGACCCTTTCCACATCTTGCAGATTGATTCCGCTAGTGATGCCAAAGCCATCAAGAAGGCATTCCGTTCGCTTTCCCTAAAGTACCATCCAGATAAAAATCCTGGAGATCGCGCCGCCGAGGCCAAGTTCATGATGGTTTCCAAAGCCTACGAAGCACTTACAGATGCAGAGTCCCGTGAGAACTGGGAAAAGTTCGGAAACCCTGATGGAAAGCAATCCTTGGAAGTCAGTATTGGTCTTCCCAATTTTTTGTTGGAAACTGGAAACCGCAACTTAGTTTTGATGGTTTACTTGATCATTATGGTGGGAGTCATTCCTTTCTGTGTCTGGACTTATTACTCAGATTCGTCGAAATTTGGAGAAAAGGATGTCATGTACGATACATACTCTTGGTACCATCATGTATTGAGTGAGCACACTTTGATCAAAGCCCTTCCAGAGTGTTTGGCTGGAGCTGCTGAATTCCGAAAGCGCAATGTTCCAAAGTCCGCATCAGACAAGCAAGCCATTGGTGAACTCATGGCCGCTGTCAAAACGCAAATGCAAAAACCAAAGTACAACCACCCTGTTTGCGTCAAGGGCAACGTCCTTATGCATGCCCACCTGCTTCGTGCCTCGGAAAAGATTTCTGATACCCAACTCAATGAAGATCTCAAATATATGCTTCGACGATCCACTGCTTTGATTGATGCCATGATTAGTGTCTGCCAACATCAAGATAGCTTGCAAACCGCCACCAACTGCATTGAATTCGGACAGCTCATGACCCAAGCCATGTGGGTCAAGGACTCTTCGCTGCTGCAGCTACCGCATTTCACCGAAGAAGAAGTGAAGCACTGTTCGATTGGAAAAGGAAAGGCAACCTCAATTCTCGAATACCGTGAGGTTCCAGATGACCAGAAGAAGGGAATGGCCAATTTTACAGCAGAACAAAAGGAAGATGTTTCGAAATACTTGAAAATGCTACCTGATATCTCTGTCGAATCCAAGGTGTTTGTGGATGATGACGAGGATGATAAGGTGTACGAAGGAGATCTGTGCACAATCCGCGTAATCATTACTCGCAACAACTTGGAGAAGGGTGAAAAGGCTGGTCTTATCCATGCTCCACGATTCCCATACCCCAAGCAAGAGGCATGGTGGATCATTATGGGCACAAAAGAAGGAAAGATTGTTCACATTGAAAAGGTCGGAAATCCCAACAGAATCTTCAGTCATGAAATCAAGTTTTTGGCTCCTCGTGTTGGAACATATGAATTCGACCTTTACATTAAGTCCAATGCCTACGTCGGTTTGGACCAAGAGCAAAAGGTCACCCTCACTACTCTTGACAATTCTGTGTTGCCAGAGTACAAGATCCACCCTGATGATGCTGAGCTAGATGACGAACCAACTCTCTTTGAAGAGATCTTGAATGCTAATATCGAACAAGATGATTCTGATTCCGACGACAGTGATGACGAAAGTGACGGACCAGCAATAGCGGAGAAGTCGGATGCCGAGATGAAGAAGGAGAGACTGAAGAAGGCAAGACAACAGACAGATGATGATTCTGATAGTGATGACGACGCCGAAGAAGTCTACACTGACAAATAAGCCTTTAGGGGAAATATATTCATTTTCACATTCCTAGTTTTGTTTCTTTGTTTTCTTGCTTCCTTGCGAGAGTAGGGGGATGAAATCTGGCACGAGGCTGGCGAAGAAAGTAATATGACGACCTGCAATACCCTGCCAAGAACCATCTTTTAATTTCCAAAACTGTACTGTAGAATCTTATTTTCTATCCAGATCAAAAAGAGTCAGATATTACCGGTCCTGGCGTATTGGTACCGGTACAGCACATTGAACATATATTAAAGCAGAAAGCCGGTCTCACAGACTTTTAAAGTAATGGTCTAATCTAGTACGTTCCTCCGTACGTTTGTTGTACGCAAGACATTACTTGTACACTTTCATTTGGGTGTTGGGACAAATGGCTAACCTAAAGACCTTGAACAGACCAATCCATTGCCTTTGAAAGAAAATCAACAGTACCAAGCTATTTCAAAGCCTTGGGTTAGACGGAATATTGATATCTTTGGCAAAATTTTAAAAATCAGCACAATGCCAACTTTCAAGGTCTCCGTCCCCGCGAAAGGGAAGTTGGGCATCAAACTGAAAGATGGCCCTGAAATGGGGAATGTAGTTAGACTCTACAAGATTCTGGACGAGTCGGTGATGGAGGGTAAGATAGTTGAACCAGGTTGATTCGATATGTTGGGGTCGCTCATTGGTATCTCATTTTGCGATAACTGTTCCGTTTTCATAACATTGGCAGGGAAACTGTGCGTGGATGATGTAATATTGAGTATGGGGGGCACAAAAGTGTCAAGAATAGAAGAGCTCCTTCCCTTGGTCAAAACGTTAGAAGGCGAGTCTCGGTACTTTATGGTGGAGAGGGAAGTTGAGCAAGAAGATGAAAGGGACGCCGAGCCTGAAGTTGCGACCGAACCTGAGAAAGATCTTGAACCTCAGGTTGATCCGGATATGATTCGCCTTGACGAAGAAACAGGGGTCGAAAAATTGAAGATACCACAAGGGTCACTCGGGATTCGTCTCGACAAACGGCACAAAATATTGGGGGTTCTGCCAAACTCAGCATTAATGGACATGGTTTTTAAAGATGATCGCATCGTCAGCCTCAATGATACTGATGTGTCAAGCATGTCGACAAAAGAGTTTGTGAAGTTTCTTTCCGAACACAACGTCGAAACTAGAGTGCTAGGTATCAAAAGGGCTCCCAACTCACCACGACAAGTACCGGTCCCTCCTGTAGCACAAGTTGGGCTTGTACTAAAGAATAATTCACGTGGTTGGATTAAGTGCCTTGATCTCCTTGACAGTTCCCCTCTAAAGGGAATAGTTTTTCCAGGTGACAGAGTCGTTGGTGCTAATTGTCGCAAGGTGACAACAATAGAGGAACTAATGCCGTTGATGAAAGATAAGCAACATCGTGTCCTTACAGTTGTCACTCCAAAACAACCGGCAACCGGAAATGGTAGCAACAAAAAAAGGAGTCATCATAGGACGTTAACTACAAGACATCCGAAGAGTTCATTAAAGGCCAAATCTGTCTCAGAAGAATCTGCTATGATTACTTCCTATAAGACTGTAGGTCAAGAGGTGTTTGTCAATGTGGTTGCTCCGAAAGGGAAACTAGGACTCAAGCTCGGCAAAAATCACGAAGTGGTGGATCTGTTACCAATGTCGCCACTTGCTGGAAAGATTTTTAAAGATGATCGTGTCGTCAGTATTGATGAGGTCGACATTCGTGGAAAGGATGCTTCAAGCCTTGCGGTCCTGCTGATGGCCTCTCAACATAGAGCACGGGCACTCGGTGTTCGAAGGAAGTCAGGGAAGACCATTAAAATCGCGGTGCAAGAAACAAGAACGCGATCAATCGAAGAAATTCACAGAGAAGAATTTGAGCAACGATTTCCGACTTTGTGTGAGTTTGATATGCCTATGGGGGGAGGGGCAACAGATACATCCACCAGGTGCAAAATCTTGTCTGAACTACTGGCCTTTCATGAATCTATTGGATTGCCAAACGACATTGAAACAGAAAATGGCTCATTTTGCCACGTCATCAAGATACCAAAAAAAGGACTCAGCAGAAAGGGGGAGCTGATGAACAGTCTCGATGACGTGATGGCAAGTTTGGATTCCATATGTGGTAGTGATAACGATGCATCTGATTTACTCCTGGAATTCTTGGCCAACAGAAGCCCCAACTCATTTCTGAAACACAAGAGCATTGCCGAATCGCGACCTACGAAGCGAAGGAAAATTGAAGAGTCAAAAATAGACCCCGATCTTCCCTTTGATGATTCGCGAAAACGGGCTTCAGGTGATGATGCAACAGATTCCCTGGCACGAATAAAAAATGGACACCAGCCAGTTGCCCAAGTTGGAGAGGGTGTAGCAGGAGTAGAAAACTCCGCTGAGTCACTGACCGCCAGAAGTGGCGAGGGTGAACCAGATCCAAACCCAACAATAGAAAATGACACCGGCTCAGGTATAACAGATTCCACAGCGATGGAGAATGACAGCGAGGCAACAAACCCACTGAAAAGGACGGAGAAAAGTGCCGAACTAGGTGTAGGAAAGGGTGGAAGAGTGCCAGATCCACTGGAAAGGATAGATAAGGGATCCGTAGCCAATCCGTTGAAAAGAATAGAAAAGAGCACCGCATCGGGGGCTACAGGAGGTGAAGGTACGAATGGTACCATCGAGTCAAATGCTGCGAGAAATACCAATGAGCCACAATCAAAAAACGTGGACATGGTTGATGAAGCGACGGATCCAATTACTGCATCCAGCAGTCCGCAACAAATGATAACAAATTAAAGTGCCATTCTGAACTTGTACAGTACCAATCATCCAGAACTCCAACTTCAAACCTCCCTCGCCCGCCTCCCGACTAGAAACCTCAAACGTACCGCACGGATTCTGCGCGAACGCCGAATCTTTCGACTGGTCTCATCCAGAAATGAAGTTTGGTGGTGTCAATTTGAAACGTTGTATCGAGAAACAATGGCAAACTATGACGAAGTCAACAAGCTGCGACCTGGCGATCCCGAATCATTGAGCTACGGGGCTACATCTAGTGTCAGATTTGAAGAAGAGGGGTCACCCGAAGAAAAAAGATTGTTGAATAAAATAAATTTGTCACGGGGAAAGACAAATCACAAGGGCGTTCAACACTATGCTTACTGTGTTGTTTATGCACTCGTGAACGTTATCATTGGTGCTCCCGCACTGTATGGATATGCAGCAGTCATTTTCAACAACCCAATTTTCGATGGCCACATGAATGCATTGTCAAAGTTGGTCATATTTTCATCGCTCATGCATCAGCTAGGATTCACCCTTTTCTCGAATCTCGAGTATGCCATTGGAATGGTTCAGGATGCTGGCTTGATTTTTCTATCTCATATGGCGAATACAATCGCTGATCGTATGGTTGATGATGGTCACAGTGAAGAAGAGATTTTGTCAACGACTCTGGTGTTGTTATGCTTAGGTACGGCTGCGTTGGGTGTTGTACTGATCCTGATGGGGAAATTCAGACTCGCCGATGCGGTAGCATACCTCCCCATGCCAGTTGTGGTACGTCTCCTGTTATTTACGGTTGTCGAATTTATTCAATTTCATCAGAATGACAAACATGATATCTCACAATCCTTCCTACTACAATCGTAGGGAGGCTACCTTGCTTTTATCGGATACTTTTGTCTGCAGGCGGGGGTTGCCTTATGCATTTCCACACCAATGATGAATCTCTTGGATTGGGGGCATATATTCGACAAAGGCAATTTTGTGTTGGCTGTGCCAGGCTTGCTTGCTGGCTTGGTATTAACGATGACATCTAGGCTTGCAAAAAGTAGTGGGGCGTTACCAATGGTCATGATTGTGATTCCTGCCTTGTTTTACTTGATAACCTTTTTGCTGGGCTTTTCTTTGGATGACCTACGATCAGCTGGTTGGGTTGGAGCACACGCACCTTCAGTTCCGGTTAGCGATCTCTTCCGATTGGTTGACTTCGGAATGGTACGGTGGGACTTGGTTCCCGAAATTCTGCCGACCTGGGTAGGGATGGTGTTTGTTGTTTCATTTTCCAGCTGTCTCGATGTTGCTGCAATCGGTATCGATAGGGGAGAAGCTCTGGACACAAACAAAGAATTGGCAACCGTTGGAATTTGCAACCGTGAGTGCTGGCTGCAATAGAAACGTCATATCCTCGCATCATCTCATCATGTGTACTTCTATATGCGGACTACAGTCATGTCAGGGGTAACTTTTGGTTTTACTGGCAGTTATATTTTCTCGCAAACTATCTTCACTTATCGCACTGGAGTTCACGACAGAACCATTGGTGTTTTGATCATGGTTGCTTTTCTCTACATTGTTGTTTCCCCGGTGAATGTGCTGGAAATCTCTCCCTTGTTCTTCCTTGGTTCTACGCTGATTTTTATCGGTTATGATCTAATGCTGGAGTGGCTCTGGGAAGTACGCCACCAGGTCTTCCTCACGGAATATTTAATCGTATGTTTCACATTTTGTGCGATCCAGGTTGTGGGGATCAATTTTGTAAGTGATGCGTGTCAAAGAGGATTACTCGCTTGTTCGAAGTGTACCTAATCCAATATACCGGTAGGGTGTCGTGGTTGGTGTTCTGGTTGCGATTGTGGAGCACATATTTTCAACAGCACATAATACAGTTGTCAACAGAGTTGAGAAGCGATCGAACGCAGTGTGGTCCCCTTCAGATTTAAAAATCCTGAATGACGGAGCTTATAGTGGCGGCTCTCCAAGAATTGTGACACTAGAGGTGATCGGCCCGGTGTTTTTCGGTTCTGCTCTGCATCTACTGAATCTGATAACAGATGAAATTGGGCTCGATCAGAGTGATGGAGATTTTGCTGGGTCAATGTCGCCTGGGACGCCCCACTCATCATCCGTCATCTTGACAAAAAATCAATCGTTTTATATGAAAAGCGGGAAGAAGCCTCATATCCGCCCACCGTCTTATCTTGTTTTGGATTTAGCAGGAATGACCAATTTAGATGCATCAGCAGCGCGTGGCTGCTTTTTGCAGCTGGCTAAAATGTGTGCCAAGAAACGGATCATGGTATGTGCAGCTGGTGCTTCTAACAAGACCGAGTGGATGCTCCGGAGCCACGATGTTTCGCTTGTCGATGTCGAAGACGAACAATTGGTTAAGGAACGGTTGCTCGACCCTGAGCTTCGGAAAGGTGCAAAATCGTCACTTGAAAAGATTCTTCTATTTTTAACGGCCCAAGAGGCGCTTGAGTTTTGCGAAACACCAATTGTCCAGTCCTCAAACAAATCGAAAAGATCATTATCCTCCTCTAAGCTCGTCGGTTCTGAGGAGCAATCCATTTCATTTGTGCTCGCTTACATTCTTGGGTCCTCAAACGAAGAAGCGAAGGTGCTAGGTCGTCTGGAAGACAAACGCTTCCATGAGAAAATTGTGTTAAAGTCAAATGAAAAAGTGTTCTACAAGAATACATATCCGGACGCATTCTATGTTGTACTAAGTGGGTGTGTTGCACGGCAAACCACTTCGCTAATTCCCCCAGACCCGCGATCAAAGCTTGTGCTTACTGGCGCAGGTCGCGTTGAGCAGAAAAATATGAATAGTGCAATTGACCTGTTTGATGACAAGTTTATAGCAGAGCAAAAAGATGCACTTAAAAAAGGTGTTGTAGCGGTCTGGCGCATTGGTGGCATCTTCGGTTACTTGGATTATTTGATGGAGAGACAGAGAGTATTTCAAGCTGCAGCAACGCAAGAAGGAACTATGATTGCGAAGGTCACCCGCTCCCATATGGATGTTTTGAAATCAGAAGATCCAGAACTACATGCTTTAGTACAGAAGGCTCTCTTATATGCATGCACGATGGATCTCGCTTACAGATCGTAATGTTTCAAGCCGATGATAGCGTCATACTAATCGATAAAGGAATATCATGGCTTCGCCGAAAATGGGTAGCACGAACATCATCGCTTTGTCGAAAATGGATAGCACGAATCCAAGTATGTGTTTGCGAAATCAAAGTCAACCTGCTGTTTTTCTATCTGCCGCCTTGACCAGTGCCCTCCAATGCCGCTCACGAAATCGGGCCGCACTATTTTGAACTTGTGTTTCAACCATGAGTGCGAGTCGTTGCCCTGGGTGATGTTGTCACCATCAATTCGCAGGACGATTCCTTCCACCGTGCCACCATCCAAACGAAACTCAGATTTGGTTTCAAGCAGCGCCAGAAGCTCTTTGCGAAATTGATCCGCTGTCTGACCGTCTGATTTGGATGGATGGTAAGTTCTTGCGGCAATTATTGGAACAGCTGGTATTTGCGTGTCTTGCAAAGCAGAGTGAAAACGTTCTCGTGAAAAGAACTTTCCAGTCGCTTTGCAATATATGTCAAAGGCAACAAAGTAGCCTGGGAGCTTTTGATATGGGATACTGTGTCTCGCCGCCAGCCATTCCCCGTAAACGATGAGGTCTCCTTCGCCCAATACGCTTATAAGCGCTTCTCGATGCTCCCCTATCCACACAGGTATCATTGAGAATTGTGCATGTTCTCCTTGTGTGATGTAGTGGCTACGATTCTGCACCATTATTTGACCAGAAAAAGGACACAGGGATAGACCAAGGTTGGCGCCGTCCACCTTCTCCTCGACTATGACCGTCGATTTTCCATCGCAAAATGTTGGAATGATACAGTCCAAATCTGGGAGTACGAGGTCATCGACTGTCGTGGCTGTTCCGCCAGAGTCAAAAAGATGGGTGGTTCTTGGATATTTCACCAGCTTTGGAAGTGGAGGTGCTTTCCCGAGACGTCGATAACACGTTTTCAAACATGCATCTACCATTTTTCTTTCCGATCTTCGTTGGTCATTTTGATGAATTGGCGATGACAAATTGTCTCTATGAAGCTTCGACTGTTCTAAGCAGTCTAATGCCTCCGAGTAGAGCCCCTGTTTTGCCAGCGCAAAGCCTTTGTAACCAAGAACTGTAGCCATTTGATTATTTCTTCGTTTGGACATTGCCTTTTCTCCTTGTATTCTCTCGCAAAATGCATCTGCAACTTTGACAACTACTAGGCCTTGTTGTTAGAATCCTTCGACCTTGCGATCTAACGATTGTCGTCCATCGCCGACATACCTTGATGAAGATCTCCTTTCTTGCCAGCACTTCGACATTGCCGAATCATGCTGGTTGGGTCTGTACACACACTTTGATCCGACATAGGCATTTGTCTTTTGACTTAAAGTGATTTTGTGAGACTGCATATTGATTTTGGATTTCAGATTTTGCACGCACGTTTCGAGACAAAGGTGTAGTCACTAAACCCTTCTCTGTGCGCTTATTGCACTCGCGCAGCGTTCGCAAATTTGAAAATTTATATTTCGCGAGCCGACTGGATATTCGGAACGGGAGTAACGACAAAGGCTGCACCGAGATTCATTCTTCTTTGTTGCATCTGTTTGATCTTTGAGAGGCCAACAACACCAAGAAACTCAAGAAATATGGGAAACAGTCCGTCAGTCTTACCGACTGCGGATCCAGCAGTGTTGAACGACGACTATGAGTGGCCTGAGAACCTGTATCTCGAACTGAGGGATATGGCGAACATTTCCTTCCTCGTGTACACATTTGCCTATCTGACGGATGTCGCTCGTGAATTCGGTCTAGAGGGGATGGTCATCAATGATGAAGGTCGTATTGGAATGCCGACTCGTGATCTCCCTCGAAGTTTCAGCCCAGCTGAGATCATCGAGATCATCGAAAACAACTTGGACACACTAAAGTCTCGGTATCAAACATATTTTGAAGGGTACCGCTATGAATTGCTCATCGAGAAATTGAAAGTTCTGCAAGGTAAGAATATTTTTGCTCCGCCGCTTTGATTTTCGAAACGACATTCTTTGGTGATGTATCATTCTCACTATAAATATTTGCAGAAAGAGAAGAACTGTCTGGTCTTGAAAGACCGTTGACGCTGGAAGAGTATGACGACAGGCACCAAAAACATGACTTGGTCTATGGGGTTACAAAGGACGATATCAATAAAAGACTGACACTCGTCTTTCGAGGGACGGAAAACGAGCTAGCATTTCGATCGAACTGGTTGTCAAATGCGGCCTTCGTGAAGAAGGAGTATGATCTGCCGCCCGTCCTTCAAGCGAACGACGTCGTCGATTCGATGCGGTTGCATAGTGGGTTTGGAAAATACATTTTTGATTATACCTTTGATGAAGATGATCCAGTGACATGGAGAAAATATGATGAAATTTTGGAGGACGTCAAGCTTCTCCTGCAAGAATATCCCGACTACAAAATGTGTGTATGAGCCGAATTTCGCCGATTTTGCAATGCTGCTGATGTGTGCTGACTTTGTCCTCCACATTTATCATTATAGCTACGTTACAGGCCACAGTCTCGGGGGTGCGCTGTCAACTATTGTTGGGTTATATCTTGCATGTGACCCAGAAATTCCAAAACCTGTTTCCGTCATCAATTTTGCAGCGCCAAGGGTTGGTGGTCGACACTTTCTTCATGCAGCGAGATGGCTAGAGCGAAAGAAGTGGTTGCGGGTATTGCGAGTTGTGTAAGAAGGGCTGTTTATACTTCAGATCTTATTTATTGTGTGAATTGGACTCACGTACTCTTCACAATCCCCAAAACCCTGTAGCAATGACGGTGACACCATTGCTGCAATGCCAATGACAAATTATCACCACATCGGAATTCAGCTTCGTTTGTTTTCAGATATTGGTAAAGAGCCCCGATTTTCCTATCCGAGCCCAGAGGAAACGTACAGGAAGTATATGGGAAGATTGTGGCAAAATTCATTGGGAAAGAGCTTCAACTTAAGTTACGATCACGGGGACTATCGGGAACGCGTCGACAAGGATAAACTATTTCTCCTCAAATATGATTTGAACAAACTTTACGATGACAACGAGTTGACTGGACTCAACACTCAAGATAGTACGCAGGTCATCCATCAACGAGTCTAATAGGCAAGAAGTCGAATCCATCTGAATCGATGACAGTACCATAGTTTTACTGGTCCGCTACATCGATAGAAGCGTGATTTGTACACAACAAGACTCGGATTTTAGAATCTCTTACTAATTTCAGTATTCGCCCGGTAAAGGAACAAATGCTACATTGTTTCACCATCTGTTTTTTGTGGACTTTGTCCATTGTTTTTGAACGAAGGTGGAGCATTCTTCATCTCTTCCTTCGCTTGCTTCATCAACTCCTGTTGATCTTCCTCAGTCATTTCTTGTCCCTGTGCCTTTGCCATCGTTGCCATGGCTGCAACGGACATTTTTGCTTTGATCTCATCAGCGTCCATGGTATTCTTGTTTAGTCTTGCAAAAGCATATCCAACCTTTCGGAATTCCTTACCCAACAGACGAACACCTTCTGCTCGTCGAAGACGGATTTCTTTTGGAACTGTAGCATCATCGAACAACTTCTTGCACACCTCAACTAGCGTGCTTTGAATATCACGTTTGTTGATAGCCCAGACAAATTCGAGAAATACTGGAAGAGACCCATCAATTTGCATCTGCATCTGTGCGGCAGCCTGTTGCTCGTCCAAAAGCCCAGACTCTTCAACATCCCTATTAAGGGACTCCGCCTGATTCATTGCTCGCGCCCCTGCTGTGGCCGCCCGAATGCCAGCACCAAGAAGCTTCATATTCCCTCCAATGGCACTTGTATTCTGCTTGGTCCTCGCCCAGTGACCACCGAGGCCCAAAACACTGCCTTCAAATCCCAAATATGCTTCCGCGTTAACCTCCAATGAGAATCCAATCGCTTGAAGATACATGGCTCCTTGAGCTCCCTTTGCAATTTCGACAGCTTCTTCGTTGCATCCCTTGACATATTCTTCGACCTTTCCCATGTTAATTATTTTGCTGTAGTCAATGTCTTCAAATTCTTGCACCCGAGTTCTCAAGTGTTTGGCACACTGAACTTGTCGTTTTGCACTTTTAAAATCAGTCTCTTCTCTCATTTTGGACATTCGTTCCTCCATTTTTTTCTCGCGATCTTCGGCTGACATTTTCTCATAAGTTTCCATGTCCATTGCGTCTGATCCGTCTTTCATGTCGTCCTTCAACATGGAATCGGCAGTTCCGGCAATCCAAAGTTCCCCAATATATTTCTCCACGAGTGTTGATCCAAACATGACATTGAAGAAGACCATTGGGTCCATTTCAGCATTTTCATTCCCATTGCCTTCCATCGGACCATGTTTGTCATAGCTTGCTCTCATCTAGTTGCGAGACAGACAAATGGCGATGACATTGTAAGTGAAATGAAACATAGCAGAACAATCATTTCCATACCGTATTCTTACTTCTTCGTTGCTCAAGATATTGTAAGCATGACCCAACTCTTGAAACTTCTTGGCAGCTTCTGGATCATCTGGATTTTTATCGGGGTGACAGGTTCTTGCTTTCTTGTAGTATGCCTTTTTCATTTCTCCACTCGTGGCATTGGTGGATACTCCCAACAAATCATAGTACGCTCGATCCTTGACTTCTCGTTCGTCCTCTCCACCGGCGCTGATAGTAGAGCCACCTGGATTCAATTTCTTTTGCTTTTCCATAAGTTCCTCCCATTCCTTATCCAAAAAGTAGAATACCCAAGCCTTCTTTTCTCTATCCCAAACCTTTCCAAATTCCCTGGCTTCACGGGCCTGTCTGATTTCCTCTTGCCTATTTACAACTCCCTTCTTAACGGCTCCAAAAAAGGATCCAACACCCTTGGCGAAGCTGCCAAAGACCTCGCCATTTTGTTGTTCAGTCATGGTTTCGATTGCTGATTGATTCAATCAGAGTTCCGATTGGTATCTTGCGGGTTTCTTTCGTTTGCCTGTAACGAAAGGCTCTGCTATATACGAGGTGTGCCGGTTAATCTTTGCTTGTGACTGTGTTTCTAGGGTAGGGTTTTCTTTCTTACTCGCTCGTCATTGACCCAAGCAAATTCATCCACGGCCATAAAAAAAGTTCTCCTGATCCATTCGAACAACCAGAAAATAAACCTAAGGCAGTACCTATGCTTTTATTGTCGTACGTCCGCCAGCCCCAAAGTTGTGGTTTTCATTTGCGTCACTCTAGCGATTGACCAAGCCGACCCTACCACAATAGTCATAACATCGCTTTTTCAACTGTTGAGATAGACATCAGCACTGCACCATTCGGACCCATTCCACCCGATTTGCGTATACTGTTCCTATTTCTACATCGTCTATAGGAACCCCTCTTCTAAATTTCATTGGCGCCATCCTTCCTATAACAAACGAATCGTCAACGGAAGGTGTCTCCTCCTCTTCCTCCTCCTCTGTGGTGGCGAGAATGAGCACCTATCTCAACACCGGTCCGCCTCGGTCCAAAAGCTCTCCCAGGTTGGCAAAAGCAGATAGCCTTGACGAGAAGTACACCAAACGGAGAAAGCAAGAATTTGTGGCAGAATATAGACAACAGCAATTGCAGCAAAGACAGCTTCTGACATTTGGTGGAGTCATCACCTTTCTCTTTCTGTTTGTCCTGGTTTTCTATTGGGAGCTTCCATCCAGTACTGATATTCCTGGTCGTACACCAGCGGATATTAGTCGAAACATTAAAAGGCGCCGGAATCATCTCCGAGACGGAAGTGGTGACAGTGCTGACCGCCGGAACCCATTGGGGGCTTCCATGGATGACGACTCAGACGATGATGACATTGCAGTTGTAGCAGCAAAACCAATCGACAATGAAAACCTGAACAAGAGGATGGCGCAAACGATAGAGGATTTGAAACGATTCCAACAAGAAAAGGATCTCTTGCATCAGCAGCAACTACAACAACACGAAAAGAACAACCCAAATGTCCACAATTCCAACCAAGGATAAAGGACATAGATAGAATGGGAGAAAAAAAACAATCCGATGGAAGAATATCGATTCTCAGCAATACAACGCAAATATGCAATCGATCGGAGGATTTACACTGACCGAACATCGTGAATCAGCTCACCGATTGTGCAGTTTTCACAATGTCTGGAACGACAAGCACATAGTTAGAATTCGAAGCATCATTTGAGACACAACTGAATTGGACCGAAGACTACTACTGGCCACTGCAACGACATGAAAGCGCCAGCACGAACAGAAATCATATCAGTTGAAGCACTAACTCTATTGCTACACAAAATCGGAGTCGCGACTGGCATTTTTCATCAGCAGCTGCCCGTGCCACCACTCTAAATCACTGGATCACAGCGTTCAGAAACATCGGCTTGGCCCCCAAAGACCGAGTCGCCTTCGAAATCTACGCCGCTGCGAACATTGCACTGAGCACTCTTTTGTAGACTGCTGATGTAATGGAACCAATGAGAAGGGATATACAAAACCTCACCAGCTTTCAGAACAGTTTCGAGGGACATGGCATTCCCAGATTCTTCCAACCAACTCCTTTCATCCTCGGGCATGTCCAGGTCGTGCATCAAGTTCATGTGACCGAAGTTGAGCATGGATTGTCGGTACATCGGATGCTCTCGCGTTGTAACAATACCAAGCTTGGAACACTCCGTTGGCGGGCTCAAAATGTACCGCTTGGCACCACTGATCATCGCAACCATGTTGCGTCCGGCGTCGAAATGAGTGGCCGCTGTAACTCCACGCTCTCCGAATCGACATTGAATCCCCTAAATATCGCAACAATGGAAGATGCTATAAGGTCTTTCTTCACAATGGCAGAGACACTGGTCAGTACTATAGTATGTTACGCACCTTTTGAGCTTCGGGTTTGAAGACGAAGAATGTTTCGGTAGGCGATGAGAAAGAAGGCAGATCTTTGCTGATGAAGGACCATTCTGGCTCTGGTGCCATGCGTTCTTCTTTGCGGACACCTGTTTGCCAGTAGAAGTGAGGTTTGTTTGGGTTCAAACCCGTTTCATCAGCGTACCTCGCATGCTCGGCCCACTTGTCAAATCTATGGCGTTATCATTGAAAGGCAAACAATCGTTAGTTGGAATTTCTTGAAAGAGTCTTCAGATTTAAGACATGCGGTGACACTCACGTCCAGTCATTATATCTGCTTGGTGCCAGTCCGAAGGACTCAACATCCCATGCATCGCCGTTGAAATAGGGAAAGAAGTTGTTAATTGACTCTTGGCACTTTCCAGACAATGGCTTTGCACCAACGACAGATCCATTGAAGTTCTCGCTGAGGTACCCATCGGTCCATTTCTTTCCTGCAGCAACAACTTCAGGGACATTGATTAACTTAAATGGGAGCCTTGCTTCTCGGAATTCTCTTGCTGCGACGACATCATTGGGATCGGTGTAGTCAAAATGGACAAGCACTTCTTCGAAAGGGGTTGGCGGGTGATCAATATCATCTTGGGGCCAGTCTTCTATTAGGGTTCTCAGAGGTCTAAGTTTTGGATAATTACCTAGCTGTTCTGATTGTACACTCATTTTTGCAGGATACTTGTACGAATGCTTTGTAAAATCCATCTTTGGGCCACTGCTTTTGTCTGAAACTGCAGAGTCCTCCCAGGCAAACTTTTCTTCATGCCGCTTGGCCTTGAAGAATTTTCGAGGACTGACAATGGCACCATTTGGTTTCCTTTTCAGAATTTTTGTCATTGACTCCAATAGTGGTCTGCCTTTGGTTAAGGAGGGTAAAAACTCAGAGTTCATCCATTGTGTTCCAGAGTCTTCATTCATTCGGATTGCAGTGTCCAATATCGCTAGTCTTTGTTCGTGTTTTTCCATCACATAATTCATTTCACTGGAGGAGCGGAGAAACTTGATGACTCCTCTCTTCCAAGCTTCCTCGTCGACTTTTATCACCAGCCCTTCCTGCAATGCCGCTTTAATCTTTTCTTGGAGGCTCTCTTTTGTGCGCTTCAATTTCTCCATCTTCTCGTGAGAAAGCTGCTCAGGCTTGTCGTTGGCGAATCGGTTGATACTGACAGTCAACATCCGATGTGTGAATGCTAGCACTGCTGATGACAGTACCAGTAGGACGAGTACCTTGATTTTCTTCAGATGCTTTTGTTTCCAATATTTTCCATGCTGAATTGTCGAAAGAAAAAGTCATTGAGTAAATAGGAACACAAGGCAACGACGGGGGGATGGTGTTATCCAACAGTAGTTTCACCTTTGTTTCATCGGGGAAATACCCAGAAGTGAAAGACTTTGTCACTGATGATAACATTGCACGTTATAAGATATAATTTCCCGTTCTATTTTGGCTCGGGGGATGAGATGTCTATGGGAAAAAGGTGTAACTAGCTTTGATGATAATGACTTGAAAGCTTTTGTTGTCTCTGAAAATGTGATCGTTTCAAGTTGTTCTTGCGCGTTTCAACCGCGCAATAGGATGGAGGCAGGACTGTAGGTATTATCAAAAGCTACAGTATCCTCTACGGACGTAAACTCATAAAACAAGTGGTCGAGATAAAGAGGCGCCCCTTGAGTTTCTAAGCAGAGCAGAGTGTGATCAAAACCGAAGAATCTGACTACCAATCAGCGACAACAAGTAATGAAAATCCAACTATCAACCGACAAAGTTCTAATTTCGTCTTTTCACTAGTCATATCATACATATCATTCTGCCATCTGCACGAGTGCAAATTAAGTCTAAATCCCTGGCTCACAGAGATCCGTTACATCAGCTTGCCCCCCAAAGATTGCATCACCTTCGATATCAACCCCACTTCGCACATTGCACTGAGCACTCTTTTGTAGACTATTGATGTAATGGAACCAATGAGAGGGAATATACAATACTTCACCAGCTTTCAGAACAGTCTCAAGAGACATAGCATCACCGGATTCTTCCAGCCAGTCTCGTTCATCCTGGGGCATATCTGGTTCGTGCATCAAGTTGATGTGGCCAAAGTTGAGCATGGAATGTCGGAACATTGCATTCCCTCTAGTTGGAACGATGCCAAGCTTCGAGCATTCTTTCGGCGGACTCAAAATGTAGCGCTTTGCTCCAGTGACCATCGCAATCATGTTTCTACCAGCGTCGAAGTGTGTGGCGGCGGTGACTCCTCGCTCTCCAAACCGGCATTGAATACCCTGAGTTGAAAGCAGAATATGTGATTAGATCAGTGTTGTGAAAGGGCACCATCAACGTATGATCTCGTTGCTGTACGAACCTTTTGCGCTTCAGGATTAAAGACGAAAAACGTTTCAGTTGGCGAGGAAAACGATGGTAGATCCTTACTGATGAAGGTCCATTTTGACTTCGGCAAATTTCGTTCTTCTTTGTCAACTCCTGCTTGCCAATAAAAGTGAGGCTGGTTTGGGCTAAGACGCGCAGAATCTGCGTACTTAGCGTGTCTAGCCCACTTTGCAAATCTGTGTGGATTCAAAGGGAGAGTGTTGAGATTGGGACCTAGAAGACTGAATCAATCACTCCTTCGCACTCAAAGAAAAGCAGTCACTTACGTCCAGTCGTTATTCCGCGTGGGTGCAAGTCCATATGTTTCGATATCCCAGCCATCGTGATTGAAAAAGGCAAAGAAGTTGTTAATTGACTCTTGGCACTTTCCACTAGCGGGAGCTGCGTCGGTCGGATGTCCACTAAAATGCTCGTTGACATATTCATCGGTCCATTTCTTCCCTGCAGCAACAACTTCAGGAACGTTGACGAACTTGAATGGGAGTTTTGCTTCTCGGAATTCCTTCGCCGCCGCGACATCGTCGGAGTTGGTGTAGTCAAAGTGGATCAGCGCTTCTTCGAATGGAGTTGGCGGATGATCAATGTCATCCTGAGGCCAGTCTTCCATGAGGGTTCTGAGCGGTTTAAGCTTTGGATAATCGCCGATCTTTTCTGGTGGAGCACTCAATTTTTCAGGATACTTGTACGAATGCTTTGTAAAATCCACTTTTGGGCCTTTGTCTGCGATTGGCGCTGCCAAATCCTCCCATTTAAATTTTGTGTTTTGTCGTTTGACCTTGAAGAATTTGCGAGGACTGATGAATGCCCCACCTGACTTCTGTCTCAAGACTTTCTTGATTGCGTTCAACAAGGGCTTTTCCTTAGTCAAGGAGGGTAAAAACTCAGGGTTCATCCATTGTGTCCCAGAGTCTTCGTTCATTAGGATTGCAGCATCATATGCCGCCAGACTATGTTCGTGTTCTTCCATCGAAGTGTATTTTGGATTATCGTTGTGACGGAGAAAATTACTTGCGCCTGTCTTCCAAGCTCCAGTGTCAAATCTACCCGTCAATCCTTGCTTCAGCCCCATTCTGATATCTTCTTGCAAGAGCTGCTTGGCCTGCTTCAATTTCTCCATCTTCTCCTTTGAAAATCTCTGAATCCTTTCTTGGGGGCTTCCTTCGTCTTCCTTCAACACCCACCGAGTAAACACCAACACAGTCAGAGCAATGCTAAACAACAACAAAGTCTTGTTCTTCTTCATTTGCCGTTGTTTCTGACGTTTTGCATACTATTGCATCCGGATAAATTTAAATTGTTAGGCAAGGATTGTTCGGCAATGACATCGTCTGACGGGAGAATTTAATTTCAAACAATTTACCTTTGAATCATCAGCAGGACAACAATCTCCACTACAGGACTTTTTCATAGACGGAACCATGACCACTTTATTGTCTGTCTCGTTATATTCTTCACTTCGAGATTTGAATTGTATTAATATCTGACAGCAGTGTTGAGTAAAACTAAAAATTTACGAATTAGTTTGAAATGGTGCAAAAATCAAGCCTAAATCCGAACCCTGATTCATCGCCAATAGTTGGAATGGATTCTTATGCACGAGATCAACAGCTACGTAGTCTAAATGCAATAGCAGAGATGAAATAGGTTTCGCAATACACTAACTACTGTCTTATCTGTCCTGCAAGATTAGAACAAAATTAAACTCTAGGCACGAAGCATGGATTCCAAAGCAGCCTTAGCAAGAGGAGCATAAGCGGCCTTTTCAGTCTTGAGGCAGATCTTTGTGGCATTGACTCCTTGCTTGAAAGTAAGCTCAGCCAAGAACTCCATGTTTGTAACAGTCCGCATTGAAAAATACACAACTTCTTGTCCTTCGGCATTGGGAACTGGTCGACGAGCAATGAAGAAACAGTTGTAACCCTTGAACTTGTTAATGACACTTTCGATATCCACATTCGAGGGCGGCAAATCACTGACGGTTCCATAGAGTTCATTGCGATCATCAATGGACTTCCAGGTTTCGATGAATGCGGATCGTTCCATGGTTCCATCTTGAGAGAATAGTGCATCGAGGTTGAAGATGACTGCAAAGTAAAACACATTTCCAGTAGCCATGTTCTTGATGGCTACTTGAACTTGTGGATTTGCGGGTTGTCCTGGCGGCATCGGAGCCAACATAGAAGGGGTGACAACCAACTCAACAGCAGCCGAACCAGATCCTCCAGTTGGAATGGGCGGATTGCACACAATCTGTTGGCTAGCTGGACTTAATCCAAATGAGTTCTTGTTCAATTGGATCGCAAGGCCATGCACGCTTGCTTGAGAGCTAATGTTTTGGATATCCATTTCTAGACGAATGGTTCCATTCAATTGACGGAAACCAGCATGGACTTCGATACCATTTGACTTTTCGGGACCCACGACCTTGTTCATTGGAGCCTTTGGTTCGTACTGAATGAATAGAAAAAAGTTATAAGATGATAATATCAGCGGAAAAGAAATGGGGAACTCCAGAGAATACTTTGCCTACAGGCACTTACCAGTCCACCATCGCTGATTCCCATGCCACCAATGTCCAACAAGTCTTCACCTCCAACATCATTCTCGGCTTCATAGTCATCTTCGTCGTCGTCCTCGTCTCCTCCAAGTCCTGTACCAGCAGCACGTCGGACCACAAAGGCATCTGGAGGCTTATGGTAGACACTCGACAAAGTTGCAATTTGACCAATCAAGCTGTTCAACAAGGAAGGATCCAATTTGAAAATATCGTCCTCAATGACAGGCTTGTCACCCAAGACGACCATCTTGGCAGCTTCAGGATCGGTACTGAGCAATCTCCAGTAGATGAAACCACGGTCACGCAAGTCTGGGTTATCAGATTCTTCTGTGGCCAAATCCAAGACACGTTGGACCATATCTTGTGTATCTTCGGGGTTCTTCAAGAAGCATTTGACAGTTGCAGTCAAGAGTTGTAGCTGGACAGCTGGATCTTCTTCCTCGAAAGTTTCCAAGAATGTGTCAAGGAGCTCATCAGCATTATCAATACGTTCGGCATACTCTCCAATGATCCAAATCATCGAAGCCCGAGCCAACGGTTCGTCCAGAGTATCCAAGTTGTCGCAAAGCGTAGCAATGATAGATTCGTAACGGTTGGGGTATCGACGGAAGATATCCTTGATCACAATCACGGATTCTTGAACAACGTAGTTAACCTTGGTTTGGATCAACTCCAACAAAACACCGATACAGCGCTCAGCAGCACGTTCCAATTTGACAGCACAACGGCCAATTGCCGAAACAGCCTTTCGGACAAAGTCAACATCAACCTCGGTGGAGTATTCCTTGAGTTCCAAAAGAACTTGATCGATGTTCTTTTCGCTGACAAGCTTGATGATGATTTCAAGTTTTTCCATTTTGACATAAATGGGATCATTGTACTTGCAGAAGAAAACCTTGATTTCGTTTTCCAAGATATGTGGTCGCTTTTGGACAATCAAGTTGATGTTTCGCAAGGCAACATATTGAATTTCGGGTTCGCTGTTGAGCAAAGTGACAAGAGGAGGGGCCAACTTTCTCGTCAATGCCCGAATGGCATCGCTGTTGGAGGATCCCATCAATTCCATGTAACTGAGAATGACCTTGACAGCAGACATGACCACAGCCGAGTTGGCGTGTTGCAGACGAGGAGTGACACGTTCAATGATACCTTCGGCTTCACGTCCATCGGCAGGAGTGTACTTGGCCAAGGAATCCAAGATGAAGACTTGTCCCCATTCGGTACATTCGTTCAAAGCAGCAAGTAGCTTTTGCAAAACGGCGGCAGAAATCTTCATGACATCCTTTCCAGAAGCTTCGGCAATTTCAGACAGGGCGGCGACAGCATTGGCAACAACGGAAGGGTTGGAATCACTAATTAGATCGTGCAAAGTCTCCAAGAATCCACGCTCTGCCACAAGATCGGGGGCAATATCGTATAGCTTGGCAACACAAACAGCGGCAGTTTTTCGAACATATGGATCTTCATCTCGCAAAGCCCGACCCAATGGTTCGCAAAGGTATTCGGTGATGCGGTCGACACGGATGCATCCCATGGTACGAACGGCCAAGGCACGGATAAGAGGATTGGGATCATTGGAATCCTTGACAAAGGTATTGACAGCCAAAAGGGTAAGCTCTGGTTGTGTCTTGGCATAGTTGATGAGATACAAGTAGACCAACTTTTTCAATTCAATATTTCCCGTTTGGACGCAATTTAGGACGTCAGTGAACAGACTGGAGACATCCTTTCCAACAGTCATAGATGCAATGACTTTCTTGACGGCATCAACCTTGACTTGCTTTTCTGTGGCGTGCAACTCCATTCTCAATTCGTGTAATTCTCCCTTCTTTTGGGTCGTAAAGAACCGACTGTCGTTGGCATTGCTGCTATCTTTTCCCTTTGGCATTTTGGAAACTTTGTTTTAAATCAGATGATGGGCTGAAGAGAGGGAAAGAGGAGCGTATCGTGGGAGGAAAGACAACACTGTGAGCTTGGTCATTTCTATTTAACGTCGTATGCGAAAGGTTGTAAACGAGCAACCAAAATACTCGTCATTCTGCAGTCAAAAACGACAAAACCTTCAAGCTGAAGACAATAACAAAAACTCTATATTGGTCTGTTGCACTTACTTTTGTTCAACTTCACAGCTCTGTTTGTTGCTAGTCTTGTTGTTGCTACTACTGTACCGGTAGTTAGAGGATGATCTTCGAGTTTTTGTCTCATGTCCGTTCCACAATGGTGGTCGTCCGTTTTGCGTGCGCCGGCCTACCAAACATTGTTGAATGAAATGTACGGCATCCTACTTACGGGGATTTTGGGACTATTTTATGTTGCTTCAAACCACTGAAAAACTTTTTGACTCCATTCTTATTGTCGTTGTACGAACTGGACTGGACTGGACTGGACTGGACTGGACTGGATTAGACTGCAGGGTCTCGACAACATGTCTTACAACTATAGCCAACAAGGCGACCATTTTGATGATCTCTATGATGACCTACAGCATCGGAATCAGTACCAGCAACAGGCGGATGTAGATCAAACGAGAAACCAACTTTGGTATCCTCAAAACCGCCAACATGAAATGCAACAGGATCAGCAGCAAGGTCAATTTACATACCAAGCCCACCAGCCGCAGCAGTATTCGTATCAACAACTTGCTCACCAAACCTTTCAACAGCATCAGCAGTTGTCAGCCTCGTCACCGTATACAGATTTGGGAAAACAACCAAACCAACATCATCCACAACAACCTCCCCCACTACCAATACTGATGCCATTGCCAACACCCCCACTACCAATACCGGTGTCACTGCCAACACCTCCCCCACCAATTCCGTACCATCAAAACCAGAAAGACCCACAGCAGCAATTACCAATGCCGACTGACCCACGCAATGGAAGTGCTAGCTCGCATGCGGGACAGAAGAAGAAAAAGAACAAGAAGAAAAACAACAACAACAACAACAACAACAACAACAACAACAACAACACGAGCCACGACAAAAGGAAGGAGGAGAAGAAGAGGAAAAGAACGGAGAAGAACGCCAAGAGAAAGCTGCTGAGGAAAAAGTGGAAAGCGGAGAATGCACATCGAACTCGGGCCATTAATCTCAACGTGGACAGTGGCCTTGCCGAATTTACGAAGGCCTTCAAAATCGCGGAATACAACCGAGTTTCGAGAAAGTGCAACATACGCTTTCCAATGATTGATAAATATCATGACACGAACGACGTTACGCAGATGGGAAAGATATGTCTAGCGTATCATTGTTTCGGAGCATGCAGCCATAGTCATAGAAATGAATCACATCGGGATTTGAGTCCGTCCGAACGGCAACGATTCTATGATTACTTGAATGAAGTAAAAGCTAAGATTATGGAGGAAAAAAGTGTTGGTACGAAAAAGAAAGCCAAAAGTAATGGGTACGACCCTGAAATCATATTGCCATCCACTGCAAAAACGACGATGGGCAGAATGACGCGCTCCAAAACAAAAGCAATACGGGAAATAGAAGCATCAATCGAGAGTGACAAACGTAAAGCAGATGACTCGGGTATGGACAGCAAACAATCCGACAGCAACAAGAGGCAACGACTCGATCTTGATGATGATGGTATATTCGCTGACTGTCCTGATGACGATGAGATACAAGTTTTGGGAACAATAGGGACTCCTGCTACCAATACGCTATCTCCTCTTGATAACGATGGAACAGCAGTGAATCCTGTTGACTTGACGGATTCCATCACTCCCATGACCAGAGAGTTGCACACTGGATTAACTCCCGGGAGCAAGTCTCAAACTGATTCAAACAATGAAAACTTGAACTCGATAATGGTATCTTTGTCTAGCTCCCTTGACTTGGATCAAGGTTCCAACACCACGGCACTGTCGGTTCCAACGGCATCATCCGATGATGGAATTAGTGCTGCGCAGACTCATCAGCAACTTCCAACAGATACGTTTGATGCTACGACGGTCGAGGAAGTAACATCACCATCTGTTGATCAAAATGTTGGCAACAGATTCAATACAAAATTACCAAAGAAACCCACCAATCCAAGTCAAATCGATCGAACAACAGCCCCACAAGAAGAGTCCCAAAAGGAGGTATTGTCACCCAATTCAAAATCGCGACGGTTGAAGAAACTGAAAGCGCAACTTGAACTCGCTAAAAAGCAGCATGAATTGGCAAAACTCAAGGAAGGTCTACGAAAGAGGGATCATGAGCTCCAAAAGCAGAGGAACAAGGACTGCATTCGTGCAAAGCCTCTTGCCCCGATTTCAGCCTTGTCTGCAAGCTTAATCATTGAGAATATCAACGAGACAGGCCCTGAACACATGGTATATTTCCCAAATTCTCAACTTGATAACGATTTGCAGTTGACGCAATACAAAGCAATTTTGTACGGGGACAAGGAGGAGGAGGAGGCAACTGAAGCACTATCGACCCGTAAGAAGCAGATTGAACGAGACTTGGCCGTTCTCAAGGAACGATTGGAGTCATCCTTTCCAACAGTCGAGGCTGCATCAATGAGCAGAGAAGACCTGCAAAGGAAACTAGAAGAAGCTCAAGCAAACAAAGATATATCTTACTGGAAGTTGTTTGTATCAAAACAGGAACATATTTTGTCTAATGTGGAGAATCAGATTAAAGAGAATTCAGCTTCTTTAAAGCAGTGCACAGAGGAGATGGAAAACGTGGAACGGGATTCAAGACATGCTCTGAAAACAATGAAGGTATTGGAAATACGAGAAGCTACACTCACAGAGATGGCGGCAAAGTCGAGCTTGAAGATTCTACAGATGAGGCAGAGACTACACCAGGGACACACAAAGGATGATAGATGAAAATTGGAGACCAATAAGGTTGGACACAATTGGCGTTTTGTGGCATTATGAATTTGGCTTTCTGACGGCTGGCTCTGGTCATACCTCACATGTTCTGTGAGCTCCTCGACCTCAACTAAGGTAACATGCGTGTAAAGTATAATCACTGCTACAGGTAAGTGATTGAAAAGCATCAATCATCCTTGCGAAAAAAACAAGCCCTGAAGAGTACTAAATTGGTAAAGATCATGATTGGCAGAGGATGCCTGTACAAAGGATTGTTTAGAGTTTGCATTCTTGCCTCTCCTTTGAAAGGAGAATGTCGTAAAAGACATCGATGTGTCTTTTGCTATTTTGAAATTATCTAGAACTATCAGAGCTATACAGTAGTCATATCGGATAACCACTGATGTAATAGTTGACGAGTGGGTATGGAACTGTTATTCCATCGCTCTGGCTTAGCTTCACACTGGAGTAAGCAACTGCCGATATCATAATAGCAGCCGCAATGAAGCGGGACACGACGCTCCTGCATGTTGAACTAGATCGTTTTCTCTTGCCAAAGAAGGAAAGTGGCAAAGGCTGCAGGATGCAATATCCGATGAGAGACCCATAAAAAACGCCTCCCAAGTGAGCAAAATTGTCAATCATGGGAATGAGGCCGAAAGCCATATTTCCGATCACTTCAAGAAAGATGAAACAGGCGCGCTTTAGCTTCAAATAGCGCTTGGACACGCCAGGGTGGTCCTTAAATACAAGGAACATCAACTTCCAATTCACAACAATGTCAGCCAGGCAAGCTCCATATAGGCCAAACAAAGCCCCTGAAGCACCAAGCGAAACACCTGATGGGTGGAAAAGTGCCGACAATACATTGGCAGCAACGGCTGGGATAAAATAAACTAGGGCCAGCCAAATTTTTCCATGATTTGCTTCAAAAATACTTCCAAGGTGACAAATACCAAGGTCATTTGCAATGTAGTGAATCAACCCAGCGTGACAGAAAGTTGCCGTCAAAAGTCGGTACCAATTTCCATTCTGAATCATGTCGAAAGCACGCATAGACCCAGCTCGGAACATAACATCGCTTGATGGTCCAAAGCTTTTATTTGTCTTCATTGGTTCTGCGGTCCAATCACTCAAATAGAACTCGTATACCATCATGGCGAAATGTGAAATTATAATGGTATAGGTCAGGTAGGAGCGTTTCCATCTCATTTGCTTCCTCTTTTTTTCAGAGTCTTCCCAGCTGACACATGTTTCATGATTTTCTCTTCGTCGAGCCGCATCTTCAGCCCATCGAATGTCGGCTCGAATGTCACCTAGGTGACCAAAGATTTCAATGGTCGAAACTACGAGAAGCGGTCGCCCTGTGCGAGCTCGTTCCGATTGGGCAAAGGCAAAGTCACAGGCAATGCGCCTCAAGCGAGGATCCATCTCGTTATTGGCACCAAGAGTAGCGAGAAGGGCGACTCTGAAAGCCTCGACTTCAATTTCAAGCGCAGTCAGGTCGTCATCAGAAGCATCAGTTTCGACATCCGATTTCTCGGTGAGTTCGTCGCCATCATCGTCCAGGTTGACATCAACGAGGTCGTCGCCGGGTTCAGAGGCAACCAAATCGTTGCCAGAGAGACAAGTTTCAATATCAGATTCCTCTGTCATTTCGTCCACATCGTCGTCCAGGTTGACATCAACGAGGTCATCGCCGAGCTCATGGACGACCAAGTCGTCGTCAGATGAACCAGTTTCAATGTCAGATATCTCGGTCAGTTCGTCCATACCATCGTTAAGATTGACACCAAAGAGGTCATCGCCATCGATCCACTTGTGGTCATTCGGTGCCGCGACTTCGATGTCGACGGTGGTGGAGGTGGCTTCGTGGTTGGATGACTTCATGTTCATGAGTTTGTTGTTGGATGTACGGAATAATCAAGTTGCGTTTCTTGCGAAAGAAAAAGTGAGACAAGGTTGACGAAAAGCGAAAACCAAATCATCCTGGTGCATCTCTACGTCGATCCATAGTACACCAATGTATTGCCATCGTGGAAAGTTTCGATCTGGTTGTCATTCATTCATTATAGCAACTTGACGGTTTTCGCATCGGACTGAGGTGTGTAGTCGTGTTATTCGATAACGTCTGTACACGTACGACGACCTACCTATTGTCAGGAAGACCATGATCACACATCATCAACCAATTTCGTTGAGTGTATGATCCTGTCTTCCGAACTACTGCTGCAGAGAAAAAGTTATACAGAAGGCATAAAGAAAGACAAAAATGATTCGAGCAGCTTCCAAATGCGGTACTTCGGTCCATCGCGCCATATATGCCTTTAGTCGAACGCCGCAAGCATCCTCCACCACACTTTCTTCAATATCCTTCAGTTCGGCGGCTCCTCAAACGGGTGAGAATGATTCAATGGCCCTGCCACCCAATCTTTCCTTTGATAGAAAGTCTTCATTTGCTCCCAAGGCTCGGCCAGTGCTGGTGGCGCCACCACAACCAGTGGATGAGGAGGGTGAGGAAGAAGTTTCTGCAGAAGACAGTGGTTACGAAAGCGGGGAGGAAGACTTGTCAGCAGCCGTGGCCCAACTTGAAGAAGACGAAGCTCCAAGGTTTGTAATTCCACTTCCCGACCGTCTCAAGGCAACTGTTCATGGCGCTGACGGCAGCGTCAATGGCACTCTCTGGTTGGATGAAACTGTCTTTGGAGCCGATCCCATCCGAGTGGACCTTATTAAGCAATCTGTTGATTACATTCGGAATAAGATTCGAGGTGTCCGCAAGGCCAAGAGTAAGACAATCTCGGAAGTGAGTGGAAGTGGCCGCAAGGTCCGCAATCAAAAGGGTACTGGTATGGCTCGAGCTGGACACTCCCGACCAGCCCATTGGAGAGGTGGAGCCAAGGCCCATGGTCCAAAGAATACCGTCGACTATGGAAATGTGAAAATGAATAAGAAAGCGCGTCGACTGGCGATGGTATCGACTTTGTCGCAAAAGCTGAAGGAAGGAAATTTGATTGTAGTGGACAATTTCAATTTGCTATCCCACAAGACCAAGGATTTGGCTACCATGTTGGAGGAATCCTACGGAATTGGTAAGGGTGGACACTCGGCACTAATATTGGATCACTATTTGGAAGATGAGGATGCAAAAGACGATTCGTACGACGCGTCTTTTCACGGAGTCCCCATCAATCTATGGGTGGCTTCGAGTAACATCTACAAGATCAAGGTGGCAAGCCAACGTTACACCAATGTATATGATATTTTGAAAAAGGACAAGCTTATCGTTACACTGGGGGCACTGGAACAAATGGAATCACGATGGAAGGATTAGAATGTAAAAAAAATAGGTTTAATCAAATCAATATGCTACTTTTTTATGTTTTTTTTTAGTTTGTTCGAAATGATTGAATTGTAATTGTGAGAGAGTGAAATGTTGGCTGTTGTTCGTTTGCCTTTCGGCCTAGTGGTGCTGCGAATGAATGAATCAATCAATCATTGTCTGTGAATGGTGCGGTCAAAATCGGGTGTGACTGGTACAACTCCTTCGGAGAAAGAGTCAATAGGGTCTAATTTCGCTTTCCCAAAGAACCGAGCCACTTGTTACTGGGTTTGGCGAAAACGGCTCGCTTTGACTTCTTGATCAGTGGTAGTTCTGAGGGGAGGGTGACAGCCATTGCCTGAGCTTGCTGGACAAGGTTCGAATTCTTTTGGCTGGCGGAAGTGATGGTGGGTGGTACATCGTCGTCGTCGTCCACCAAAGGACACAAAGGAATGTCAGAGACCAATCGAGAATAGGCATCAGCCGAGGATGATTTGGCAGAAGTTTGGGAAGTAGGAGAATTCAGGTCGGGTTGATGGGAAGGTCGACGAGTGGGAATCTTGGGAGCTTGTGGATTCAAATCGTCCGCTCCCAGAAGAGTCTTGGAAAGGCTTCGATTGAGTTCAAGGGCACTGGGGGGAGGAATGGGCGACTCCTCCTCCTCTCGCTTGGGAGAAAGCTTTCGAGACGGCTTGATGAGGTTCAATGATATCGATGTATTAGATCGGGAGGGAGTAGGAGAGGGTTCAGGAGTATTGGGAGCAGTTGTGGGTTCTACCAGAGTAAAAATATCGTTCATCGTGTTGTGACAGTTCTTGCTTGCATCCCAAGACTTTCTTTGGTTGGAAGGCGAAAAAATAACATCAAGATTGGATGTAGAAGAGACTGAAGGTCGGCTCAAACGCAAGCTCCAGCTATTATTTCCAAGATATTTGTGTACACGCTTTTCTGCCTTGTGCGAGGAAATATCCAAAGACTCATAAGGACGGACTTGATCCCCTTGAGGAGGGTCGTTGGAAGGCTTGCGAATGGGAGCTGTTGGTACTGAAGAAGTTTGATTGAGGGTGGAAGTGCTGTTGCCAACTTCCGTCGAGTGATTGGATCCATCCATATCCCAACGAGTGGTGGAATGGTTGCTTGAGGAGGGGAGACTACTCGAATGCAAGCTGTTTTTCAGCTGCAAGGATGCACTATTTCTTTCTGTGGTAATTCTTGCGTTATCATTGATAATCTGAACTTCTCCAGTGTGGTTCTGGAGCAGTTGCTTCATAAATTGGCCGAGAGGCGACATGATGGTGTTGGATTCTTGTTTTTGTGATTTGTGGGATTTTCTGGGATTTTAGACTTTGCAAACTTTGAGAGTGACACGTCACGCACTCCCAGTTGGGCGGCCAAATATCTCGATTCACGATCAGATAGGGGGTGATCAGTCTTGGACCACAAAGAGCTAATCCTACTTTTCTACCTTAAAACCTTCCATGTGCACTCGACCCTTACGGCTAACCTCTTGTAGAATTTACCATCCCATTAGAACTAGTTTTATTCCATTCAACCTTGTCTTTGCACGAAACTCCATAGCTCGTTTTTCTGCACTATGATATATTGAGATAACAGTTTGGAATTATCTGTGGGCGAGCACTTTTTTGTCCTTCCTCAGAAGCATTTTTATTTTCCTATAGGAGTCACTTCAGGTTCACCGCCCTTGACATCTTTGACGTTAAATCCCAATTCCGTAATCCGTGACCGCAAGGAATCTGCTAGATCCCAATCTTTGCTGTCCTTCGCTTCGGTACGTTGGACAACCAATTCCATCACTTCCTCGGGGACAGTCATGGCTTCGGCAGAGGCCTCTTCGGCCGCCTCCTCTTCCGTCATTGGAACTTGGTAAAAGATTCCAAACACCTTGTCCATTTGATCCAGGGCATTCCAAACGGCGGAAAGGCCGGGCTTATCCAAAGGGACAGAGTCGTCCTTGGACACCCGCTTGAATTCCCTCTCCGCTTCCTTGACCAATCCAAAGAGGGCAGCTGATGCCCGTGGCATGCTCATGTCATCCTTTAACGCTGCTTCAAAATTTCCAAGAGCCTTGGGCACTTGTTCCGTGGCCAAGGAACTGTCACCAGCGTCGACATTTTTCTCCTCTCCCAGCGCTTCCGAAATTTGATTTCTCACTTTATCAATTCGCTTCAAGGCACTCTTGGCGGCATCCATGGCCTGTGGCGTAAAGTTCAATGAACTTCTATACAAGGAAGACATGACCAAGTACCGATACGCCCGCACATCGGCTGGAGCCGCACAAGCCGTTCGAAGCGTCAAAAAGTTGCCCAGACTCTTAGACATTTTTTCGTTGTCAATGTTGACGAAACCATTGTGGATCCAGCAATTGCAAAATGGCTCCCCAGAAGCACCTTCAGATTGAGCAATTTCATTTTCGTGGTGTGGGAACTTCAAATCGACGCCGCCACCATGAATGTCGATGGTGTCACCAAAGTATTTCTTGGACATTGCCGAACATTCCAAGTGCCAGCCAGGTCTGCCCTTCTTGATTCGATCCGATTCCCAGGCTGCATCATCTCTATCGATCCCAGGTTTGAAGGCTTTCCACAAACAAAAATCTTGTGGTGTACGCTTCAAGTCAGATTCCCCACGTTCGGTGGTTTCCATTTCGTCCCAGTTGAGATTGACAAGTTGTTCTCCGTATCCCTCTTTCTTATCGGTGGCAAACCACCATGATCCATCTTCTGATTCGTACGCCAGTCCTTTTTCTTCTAGTTTCAAAATCATTTCCATCATTTCCGGGATGTGCTCCGTTGCCCGAGGGTATTTGACAGCCGGAATAATGTTGAGGGCTTGTAAATCCTTCATGAACAAGTCTTCGTATTTCGACGTCAAGTCCAGGACATTGTCAATCCCCTGTTCGTTGGCCCGATTGATAATCTTATCATCAACGTCTGTTAGATTGCAAACGTGGTTAACATCGTAGCCAAAATACATCAAAACCCGCTTGAGCAAGTCGTACGTCAAAAAGGCTCGAAAGTTGCCCACGTGGGCAAAATCGTAGACAGTGGGTCCACAAGTATATATGGAAAATTTTCCTGGTTCTAGCGGTTTCAATGTTTCTTTGTTGCGAGAAAGGGAATTGAAGAGCTTGATTTCAGGAAGTGTATCAGTAGTTGCTTTGAGTGGTGTGATTGCTGTCAATTGTGTTCTTTCGTGAAGTATCGGTGATGTGAATGCCTCTATCGATGTGGAACACGCCCAAACTAGAAGGGCTATTGATGTGTAAAACTTCATTCTGTATTGGATGGGAAAACTAGCTCGTTATCAATAGGCTAAGTGTCTTTTTGTGAATGCATGGACCATCGCATCGATTGATGTTCTACCCAACAGAAATGTGATATATTTGGGAGATGACGTTTACTGAATGGATGGATGGACGGACGCGACGGTCAAAGCAAAGATCTTGCTTTCACTTGATCTCAGATCTCCGACAACTCCGACTTGAAAGAAATCTTTGTCATGGATTGATGAAGGATGCAAGCGACTGTCCCGTAATCATTGATTCACAAGGGCGTTATTGTAACAATGCTCTGGAGACTGAGACCCAACAGAAAACTTCCGGTCAGAGCTTCTTCACGAGCAACTTCTTCATTTTCATCACTTGCAATTTGCTGCATCCTCGCAACGCCTTTGCCACCAAAGTGTCACGCCGCCTTTGCCAGCAACATCATCGAGACAGCTCCAATTCGCCGTAGCTTCTCTTCTTCCTCCTCGATTTGTCAAAGTATGGATAGTTCCAGTAGCAAACACCAATTGTGGAAAGATCACAAAGAAGAGGCCATTTCCAAATGCATTCCTTCCCTTTCCGACCAATCACACAAGGGCAGTTCAGGACGAGTAGGAGTCTTGGGTGGATCCGCTAGATTCACGGGTGCTCCTTACTATGCAGCCATGGCATCCTTGCATGTGGGATCGGATTTGAGTTTCGTATTTTGTGCCGAAGAAGCAGCCATTCCAATCAAAACCTACTCGCCCGAACTCATGGTGGCCAGTGTGTATTCTGCAAAAGAGTTTGACGAGTTGGCAACAAACCCTGATAAAGATGCTGAAGGTCCTGTGAACCAAATGGTACAGGAAGTCACTTCGTTGATGGAAAAAATGCACTGCTTGGTGATTGGACCTGGACTGGGACGTTGTCCAATAGTACTTCAAGCGACGGCCAAGATCATACAAGAGGCTCAAGCGAGAAAGCTCCCACTAGTGTTGGATGCAGATGCACTCTTTCTCTTGACACAGGAACCCTACCATGACCTGTTGCAATCGACAAGTCCAGTCATTTTGACTCCAAATACCATGGAACGAAAGCGGTTACAGGGACTCGAAGAAAGTCTCCAACACTGCATTGTGGTGGAGAAGGGGCAATACGATGATGTTCGATACCAAGACTCAACCTTGAGCTGTGGAGAGGTTGGGGGCACGAAGCGATCGGGTGGACTCGGAGATATTTTAGCAGGTACTTTGGGAACCCTCACTGCCTGGAATTCAATACTGACCAGCCAAGGGGTGTCCTCCGAAATGGATTTGCAACTCGCTTGTTGGACTGCATGTTGCTTTGTGAAACGAGCCACCAACCATGCCTTTGCACAAAAGAGACGGAGTATGACGGCGCCTGATGTACTGTCACAATTGGGTGGTGCCGTCGACGAAATGACCACTCCGTAAGTTCAAATGTAAAAAAAAAACGTGACATTTATTGGATGAGTCTATATTTTGAAAATGTCGTATTCTATTTGTTGTTGCTTTTTGCCCAATAGGTCCTCCAAGATATAGGACAATATAGAATGAGGCGATGTAACTCCAGCATTTCTATTAAGGCGACAATCAAGATAGCTGTTCAACCTGGTGAAGGTCTGACAAGTCGTCCTTCGTCGGCCTCTTTGAAGGTTGAAGCATCTCCACTGGATACAAAAATTTATTTTTGCTTATTCTGTGCAACCAAGCCTCTTCCCAATTTGCCATCTAGAGACCTGGCGACACCGAGAAGGAAGTTCCGTTTGCAAAACTACAGCAAATTTTTTCCCGTTGATTCTCTGGTGGTCCCATGAAGGCTTCCTAGTGGGAATGATGGTAGGAACACTAGCGGGTACTCTGGTGGGATATAAAATGTGTTCGATCGTTGCAGTCACAGTTGGGAGAGGTGATCTTGCTGGCATTGGAGCTTCACTTGGTGGCGGCAACGTCGATAGCTCTGTTGGCGATGGTGTCGTGGCCGCAATCGGTCCCACTGTGAGGCGTGCAGTCGGAAATGGAAACGGAGAGGGAATTGGAATTATTTTGTATTTCTTCTGCCTATCCTTTTCCTGTTCATCCTTGTGCTCCTTGTCCTCCTGTTGCTTCTCAGTATAAGCCGATTTCTTGAGACCCAATGATACCCAGTCCACACATGGGCCTCCTTGTTCCAATGACTCCAGGCTAAGGCTATAATTTCCTTGACTAAGATTGAATTTTGCCTTTTCGATCTTCCACTTGCTCCATCTTTTGGTCGAGCGGCAACGGAATGTGCTCAAAAGCATACCACCGGAGATTACTTGCAGCTGTGCGTCGTCAATTGATCTGTATTTGATTGTAAGCTTATATTCTCCAGTTGCTGGTGCGTAAACCTCCCATGTAGCACGTGTGTCTTCGCTACTGAAGTCATATCGAGATCCTGAAAAGCCTCCATGTTCCGTGCTCAGTCGGCTGCTGCTGGAAATCAAACTGGCTTGTTTAGGTTCGTAGACCGTTGCTTCACTGTGTTTGCGCAATAGAAGTACTAGTCCGAGGATTGCGAGGTATAAAACGACGTGCATAGTCTAGTGCACCATTTTTGACATCAATTGGAATGGAAAATGAGACGGATCCTGACGATAGATTTTATGCTTCTGGTTTCGTCCTTTTGTGCATATCCTCCTTTTTGCTGCCATCATGCGTTGTAAAGAACTATACTAACTTGGTATGAATGCTGCATTCGTTGGTCGCATTAGTTTGAGTTTTGTGACTGTTACTGTGGAGAAATTTTACTCGTGGGGGAATGGCATGCTAGCGAGGTACAAAATCATTGAGGTCGAGTATGACGAGAGTACCGGTACCTACCGTATACCCGGGGGTACTGGTAGGAGTACCGAAGTTGTATGTCTGTCTGTCACCACCTATTCCCGAGCCTCCAGTCCCCCATTGCCTACCTCCACGTACATGAGACCGACACACTCAATAATATCAGCATCATCTATTTCTTTGACTCTTCCACAAATTGTTCCAAATCACTACTGTCAAACTTGTATCTGATCATGGCTAAGTTCCACATATTCTTGCTGGCAATTGCATCAGCTTCGGTAGAGGCCTTCTCTCCTACTACAATCTCTTCTTCCCCTGTGAGAACAGGGACCGAACTATACATGAACAAGAAGTCGACGAAGAAGAAAGGCAAGTCTTCTGGACAAGGTTTTGGTGGAGCCATGGGAATGACAACAAAATCATCCTTCCCATACGCCGGAAGTATTGTTCCTGGAGTCATTTCGGAGCAGAGAATAGTAGTAGATGAGAAGATTGTCTCACCAAGCTACGCACGGGATGGAATTCCAAAGGAGAAGTCGTCTGCACTTTTGCCTTGGATTATTGAAGTCAAGACCGCCGATGAAATCGAGAAAATGAGAGCTGCAGGAAAATTAGCCAGGGAGGTCCTCGATCTTGCAGGGCGTGCTGTCGCTCCAGGAATTACAACTGATGAGATTGACACCATTGTCCACGAAGCAGTAGTTAAGGTGAGTCTACACAAGAAGTATTCAAAACATTGTCTCCCAACCACAACGTTTTCTGACGATTTTTAAAAAATCAGGCTGGAGCTTATCCCTCTCCACTAAACTACCATGGGTTTCCCAAATCCTGTTGTACCAGTGTGAATGAGGTCATTTGTCACGGTATCCCGGACTCGCGTAAATTGGAGGAAGGCGACGTCATCAATATTGACATTACGACCTACCTAGACGGTTACCATGGGGACTGCAGCGAAATGTTTATTGTCGGTGAAGCATCACCAAGGACCAAGAAATTGCTTCAGAGTACTTACGATTGCTGGATTAAGGCATGCAACTTTGTGAAACCAGGAAGGGACTACAAGGAGATCGGTGCAATTATTGAGGACCATGTTACTGCCGACGGTTTTACAACTGTGCGAAACTTCTGTGGGCATGGAATCGGTAGCGTATTTCACACAACGCCCAATATTTTGCATTATCGCAACAATGAGCCCAATGGTCAAATGGCTGCTGGACACACATTTACTATTGAACCAATGATTTGTGAAGGATCGGCAAAGGTTCTTAACTGGCCCGATGACTGGACAGCCACAACTGTTGATGGAAAGAAATCTGCCCAATTCGAACATACATTGTTGATAAGTGAAGATGGTGTCGAGGCACTCACTGCCAAAAACGAGAACTCCAAGCTTCAATTTTGGGAAAAGGAATCAGAAGTTCACCAAGGATTTTGGGTTGGCACTTCTGAAGCTGCAAAGAAACGTGCTGCTGAAATCAACGGCGCACTTGCACTATAGAACGTTGTTATTAATCGATTATGGCATGGTCCCTTGTTATTCCTTCACGTTAAACTTGTTGATTAGGTGTTGTAGCAGAAATCTATGCGTATGAACCCTCAAATCGTGAAAGTTGATCCACAGAGAAGTAACTCTATATTGGTTACAAGGCCCATAGTGTTTCAAGTATTTGTACCAAAGCCATAAGGAATCTGATTTTGCGTGCCTACCTTTGGCGTTCGCACATTAATGTAGCATGAAGAAATTGGGCTCTGACAGGTGCCCAAACTGTACAAAAAGTCAGAGGCTACTGTATGGTCCAGAAGTTTCAAAGGAGCCTACTTTGCACCAACATCGTTGATATACCTTGCCAGAGATGAAATAAGGTCTCGCATTGTGGCTTCCTCGGCTTTCTTTTTGCTTTGTCCTCTAATGATTCTCTCAATACTCTTGGATGCTGTAGATGTAAAGCCAAGCCACCCACCTGATTCACTTTCACTGATAGTGACCGGACTCAAATGGGTACCTCTCAATCGACAGTACTTCACATTCGTTGAATTGGTATTGTGTAACGTTTGTGCCAATTTGGCACTCTGGTCGATTTCGTCGTCGTCGAATTGGACTACAAGGGTTTCTGGTATGTCATACCGCTTGTCGTCAAGTGCTTTCCATAAGTTGTCGGGGGTCGGAAAGAATTCTAAATCATCCGATCTAGGCGTTAATGCTGTCTTGACTTTGGATGCCGAGTTTTGCATTATCCCTCCTAGTTCGTCCACTAGTTCATCCCATTCTTCATCGATTTCATCATCGAACTCGTCGTCCATCCACCTTGTGTCACGGCTTCGACGGGCTGAGCGCTGACGCTTTCTGCTTTCGCTGACCTCAGCCTTCCTTTCTTGAATCTTGCTTTCGCGTGAAAGCGCATATATGCCAGGTACTCCAGCTGAGGCTCCATAGTTTGTAAAGCTGATCAGGGCAAACGATCGAAAAGGCGGCACGTCTACTGGTTGGTTTCGTGTTAGTGTTGTCAAAACAACCATCAATCTAGCACCAAGGGAGTGTCCAAGTCCGCATACTGGAATGTCATCAATGTCACCATATTCATCCTCAAGAACATCTCTCCACGCCATGCAGAAGGACCTTCGCAACTTCTTACCCAGATTGACGTGATTCAACGGACTTTTGAGTAGTGTTACAGGAATTGGGGTCACCACCACAGCACTCTGCGTGTTTCGAGCAACACCTTCCAGAAGTGTTCGATACCAAAGTTTAGGAGCGCTACCAAAGAAAGTACCTCCGACAAAATGAATGATTGATGTTGGGCGCTCAACGGAAGGTGGAGGCAAAAGGACAAGAGCTTCAGTGTCTCCATCAGAACAGGTTTCCCAATCAAGATGTGTCTCAGCGGCATCAACTTCTCCATCAAAGTAAACCTTATATACTCCCCCTCTTCCGTCATTTTCTTTGGGCTCGTCCCAGTAATCACCTTCAGATTCCCGTCGGGGTGCATCGTACCGATCATAATACTCTTCCTCTAGACGACGGGCTTGATAGACTCTGGTCTCGAAGCAATCGGCAGCAGATGATAGCAGTGAAACTGTACATTGAATGCAAAGCAAACCAAGAAGCATTATCAGATTCATTGCCGCTGTATTTGTTGCAGAAGGCATGATGAAGAGTAATTACATAGATGGTTGATGGCTGTTTGAGGAGGAACTTCAACACTTCCAGCCAGGGAGTGGTTAGTCAGTCTAATGGGTCGAAATAACATCGCGATGTTGAAAGTTTGACAGTACTATGACATTCGCGCATAAGCAGCGCGCAATAGTTCGTTCGTGAATGACATGAAGAATGAATGAATCAATCGATCAATCAATGATCATCAATCATTGCAATAATCAATAATCGTGAATGGATCAATGAATGAATGAATGAATGAGTCGAATGATATCTACTGATACCATAGAGTACATGATTAGTGGTGAAAAGTTGTGGATTTCAATCTATTCTTAATTGCTGAATATCGTGATCAGTGATTTTCTATCAACGTTCAGAGCACCCGTCCTGCAGCAAGAACATGTACAAGCCTTGCTGACTAGAACTCCATAGTCTCGTCCTGTATTTTTCGATTTGTCCTCCATCGAGACGGGCGACTGCGATAAGCAGTAGGAAGCGGTAGGAAAGCGAATACACATAGATATCAACCAATTGCTCTGTATGGCTCATCATGTTTGGTTCGTCTTCGCCTATTCCAACTTTTATCTTTCGTTTCGATCAGGTAATGCGAGATTTTTTCGCTGCCAGCAACCGGGTAGAGAACGATGTGCACATCACGGTTGGGAACAATGTCATGAAGTGCCTTTTTCAAACTACGTGTTTTGGGGATGCTGGAAGAGGTCTGCCGCGCAGACCAACGCTGGATGCTGGAAGCAGTACCAATTACAGTCTGTGTAAATGCTGCGTTTGCATGGACTACCCTGTATGGGCTCTCGCCCTCGATTAACACCCTGAAAAAATAGCATCGAATTGTGAAAAATATGATAATGGCCGCGAATGAATTAGCGACAATGCTCAACGTACCTTGGAGTCTTTGTGAGAGCAAGGCCTTCTTCAAGACGGCGTTGCCGCTTGGAAACTGTGGCTGTCATTCGTTCGCATGGAATAATCGTAGATTTTTGTTGCAGTTCACTGGGGATTGGGCTTTGCTGACTAGGTAAATATGTTGCTGGACCCGCATCCGCTGTTGCTGTTGGAATGGGCAACTGCTGCATGAGCGATGACAAAGTCTTGGTGCGCTTCAAATCCGATTGAGAATCAACATCAGTCATGTCTCCCGCAACCGGATAATCCCTGCTGTAAACAAGTTTTGTCATGTGGTAATTAATATCTGGATGAATTGGTGATTCGATGGTCCCTTTCACTAACATCAATCCAGGTGCTCGACGTTTCCTTGAATACTTTCTGGAAGAGTGTTTATACTGATTTCCCGTTGCTTCGATCGTGGAACGTTTCGCCCTCCTCACTATACTTCGAACATCTTGAGATGATTCGTCGTCGCTCCCACTGACATCAGCCAAATACCCGTTCATTGTTAAGCAAGATTTCAAACAGACGGAGGTGAAGGAGACTGTAATTATGTATGTGTCTGTAGTGCTGTGTTGTGTGTGTTGCTACCGTAGCGCGCAATGGTGAAAAGCTACAGTATGCTGTAGGCAACGGTGACGGTGACGTGCCTGTCGTCAGAAATAGTCATTTCGACGGCAACACGTGTTTGACGGGTCCTACTTATGGTTGCGTACAAAAAATCGTTGGTCCCACCACGTCATTTCACAAAAGAAACAAAACCCAAAATCAATCACACGGGGATATTATTGTGGTGGGCCACTATTTACTTAGGGGCAAAAGATATTCATGCGCGCATTATAAATAAAATTAGCCATACATTTTCTCGTAGTATCGACCATCGGGTTAAATATGGAGACGTCGCATGAAATCCAGCAAATTCGCCATGCCCCATCGTGCCTCTTCCCTCAAAAGCAGCACTTGCTCCCTCATTGTGAAGTTCAATCAGTCAACACAACATTCCATCGCATCACAAAAACATTGCTCACTCTTGTTAGATAAGGGTACCGGCAAAATTGCTTCACAAATTGAGGCGAAGCTTCGACAGTTTCAGCCTAATCAAGGCGGCACAACAAGGAACAACAAGACCACCTCTCTAAGATGCAACAAACGTGTCACAAATCCGTATTGTCGTCCCGCGCAACGAAGTGTTGAAATGAAGCCGACGGCTATCTCAACTGACAATTTGCTTGGCTCCAAACCCGAGCTCTCCACATTCAAACATGGGCTTTCCGCGTTCAAGAGCAACCGCCCTGAGTACTGCAATGTTGGAGTGGCGATGAGTTTGCAAATGCGCCACTACACAGGGGATGGGCGCGGTATAATGCTACTACACGAAAACTACATGAGGAAACGGTCGGCCTACCAACTTGAAAAACCTCGAGGATGGGACTTCCGCTCTATTGACTGCTAAGGCCAGTGAAGATGCAGGCACACCTACCAAGTCGTGGTTTTCAATCCTTTGAATACTGCTATGTATTCCCTCCTTATCAGTGCAATGATATCCAAAACTACGTCAAGGGCAGACAAGCTGGCGAGATGGTATGTGGGAGACCAACACAAAATGACAATGTCCCACTAAGTCAATCATGTTGAAGGGCTGGGCTCCAGTTGATTGACTTTGTTCTTTCCAGTTATTCTTTGAAAAGTAAAACATAGTAATATTCCTCGTAGTATTTGGTTCTCAATTTTGCCTCAATATCTTTTGCGAAAAAATCACACCATGAAACATGCAGAGAATATTTTGGTCACCATGTAAAAAAAAATGTCTGTCGTGCGTTTCAGGAAATACACCATAAAATCGCGAAATTCAACACTGAACTCCCAACTGTAAATATGGTTCAGAAAAGACCAGGAAATAAAAATAGTGCAGAAATCAATCATCGGATTCAATCTTACCGCACTCTTGATTCAAAAGGTGACTTACAGCGTACAGACAGTGAGGACTCCAAGAAAGACGGTCCTGCTGGCGCAAAATCAAGGCAAAAGCCTAATCCTACGGATTACCAGGCGCCGCCTCCACTTCATGACTCGATGTTTAGCGTGATTGGCCTAGGATGATTGCATACTACGAATTGTACCAAACGGGATTATGCCAGTCCTCCATACGGTACGTAAGTAAGAGGTGTGGGTTTGGCATCGTAAGCTTGGTAACTAGAATTAGGGACCGGATTTGAAACGGGAATCGAAGATTCGACTCAATGGACTCAGTCGTGACACAAATTTGGGACCGTAATGGTACCGAGCATTTGGTGCAGAAGAGATAAATCAGGAACCGGGTGGGATGGTGGGAAAAAAAGATATAATCATTCTGAATTGCTTCAGAAGATCATGGTTCCTTAGCTCTTCATCGTCTCATCTTGCACTTGGCAGAAAGAATGTTTCTGCCACGCCTTCGTTTGCCATGCCGATCGTCCCCGAAATTTCGTCCAATAATTACCGTTACTTCGCTTAAGCGACTGACAACATGACTGTTGGCGTGAAGACAGATATCTTCTCGTGCCAGTCCGTCTACCGTCTTGCCTGATCATAATCCTACGGATTACCAGGCGCCGCCTCCACTTCATGACTCGATGTTTAGCGTGATTGGCCTAGGATGATTGCATACTACGAATTGTACCAAACGGGATTATGCCAGTCCTCCATACGGTACGTAAGTAAGAGGTGTGGGTTTGGCATCGTAAGCTTGGTAACTAGAATTAGGGACCGGATTTGAAACGGGAATCGAAGATTCGACTCAATGGACTCAGTCGTGACACAAATTTGGGACCGTAATGGTACCGAGCATTTGGTGCAGAAGAGATAAATCAGGAACCGGGTGGGATGGTGGGAAAAAAAGATATAATCATTCTGAATTGCTTCAGAAGATCATGGTTCCTTAGCTCTTCATCGTCTCATCTTGCACTTGGCAAAAAGAATGTTTCTGCCACGCCTTCGTTTGCCATGCCGATCGTCCCCGAAATTTCGTCCAATAATTACCGTTACTTCGCTTAAGCGACTGACAACATGACTGTTGGCGTGAAGACAGATATCTTCTCGTGCCAGTCCGTCTACCGTCTTGCCTGATCATAATCCTACGGATTACCAGGCGCCGCCTCCACTTCATGACTCGATGTTTAGCGTGATTGGCCTAGGATGATTGCATACTACGAATTGTACCAAACGGGATTATGCCAGTCCTCCATACGGTACGTAAGTAAGAGGTGTGGGTTTGGCATCGTAAGCTTGGTAACTAGAATTAGGGACCGGATTTGAAACGGGAATCGAAGATTCGACTCAATGGACTCAGTCGTGACACAAATTTGGGACCGTAATGGTACCGAGCATTTGGTGCAGAAGAGATAAATCAGGCCAAGGAATGGTATGCAATCGCTTCCGGAGGAAACGGAAGAAAGGGCCAATACACAGGCGAGTGCATGGAGTGGGAAAAAGAAAAAAGAAGGAGGGAGAAGGAAAAGTTGTCGATGGTCAGAGCATCAGACTAGAGGAATAGAGAGGTAATGTTGCATAAAGGTAGCAAGTTGAGTTATATAAGAAATGTGGTTGCATCAATCATGGTGATTGCATCATTTTGTTGCATGCAGAGGTGGGCGACGTTGCGCAGGTATGCCATGAAAGCGTCGGATTTCCATCGGAGGAGGAATTTGATCTGGTCAGTTGTCGCTCCTGATGTGTGGAGGAGGACGCAAGCTCCAACTCGGATGGAGTGGGAAGAATACTTTATCTTGTCTTGTTGCGGGTCTAGGTTGTAGAGCGAACAAGCGACGTGGCGCATGACGCGGGTGATTTCGGCATCATGGAGGAAGAGGACGCGGGCGCCATCTTGGTAAACTGCAAGTGGGACATTGGTAGTTTTGATACCAATCAAACGGTCAAAGCGGGAAAGGATGGAGTGCATCCGGCGGATATAACAACGGAGTGGAGACTTTTCGCTGCGGATGAAAAGTTTTTCTTCGCCATGGTTGCCATTCTTCTGGTGGGAAAAACGCATTTTGATGCGCCAAACACGGTCCGGATTCTGAAGGAATTCTTCAATGGATACTTTACGTTTGAATTTGTCAAAGCAAGTGACATCTTCAACACAGAATGCAATGGAAATGCCGTCGAATGTAGCTTGGTCACCGATATTCTTGTTAGTGGAGGTTTGGGCGTACTCAGATAAACGGTGGCCATCGAGAAGGCCGATACTGTTCCAATCTTCGCAGGTTTTCCAAATGCCGTCGTGGTGGGCTTTGGTGTCAAGGTTGTGTTGCTCGAGGTGTTGTTGCATGTCGAGGGTGTAAGGCTCGAGTTTGTTTGGGACCTTTTCGTGGCGTTCGACTTCAGCAAGGGTGGCGTGGATATCTGGGGACATTTTGGTATCGCTTGGGTTGTTGTAGCGGGGATCACGACCAGTGAAAAGGCAGATAAAGGAGGCAGCTGCATGGAGGTATTGTTTGATAGTTGCAGATTTGATGTATTGGCCTTGGAGGGTGCGGCCGGTGGCGAGAGCCACTGTATAAAGGGCAAAGGTAGCGACACGGCGTTCGTGGGGGAAATCGGGGCCATTCATCAGGTAGTCGTCGCGAAGATTCATATCATAGCAAAACTTGAGGAAATGGAGTCGGCGGGAACGAAGTGTCCCAAATTTGCGGGGATCATCGGCGGCGCCTGCTTTGGATTGGAGAATAGACAGGAGCGCAGGACGGAGCAGAGTTCGGGACTTGGCTGGAAATAATCGAAGTTTCTCATCCAAGGTAAAGTGTGAAATGTCTGTGAAAGTAAGTGATGGTGAGAGAGTTTTGTGTCGGGGCGTGAAATAAAATCAGCAGCAAAGTTGTCTTCACCGGGTACATGGTCGGATAGTGAAGTCAGAGGGGAGCGCTTGAGCAGTTGACCGTGCAAGTCGACCAAAAGGCGTGCGAAGGGACTGTTGGTCCGGGCGTCATTCATCCATTTCTCAGTAGGGGTGTTGTCGGTTCGATTGAGTAGAACTGGAAAGTGTGGAAATCCATTGGGAAATTGGTGGACCAGGCCTGCATGGGCGTGGGAAGTGCCTTCAAGGCGGACAACCGTTGCAACCTCTTGGAGGAAAGCAACCAAGAACTCAAGGCTGTTGATGTGGACATAGTTCGGGTTGCTGGATTTTAATTTGGTACCAGCAACAATATCGGGGCTCCAAACAATGCGGAACCAGAAGAGAAGTTCCTCCGAATAGGCTCCTCCTCCAATAAAGCTAGCATCACCAAAGGAAGTGAAATGCGGGTCGCGAGGGATCATTTGGGGAATGTAGATTTTCCATGTTTCAGTTTTGAGGCTGTGTTGGATCGCTCGTAATTCGCGGGTGACAGAGGCATCGAGATGGAATCGCTTGTTGGCGTTCCAAAGAAATGTTGCTGCTTCTTTTCCGATGAGGGAAGCGAGGCGGTAGCTGAGGGCTGGAGGAAGTTGGTCGGAAATTATTTGGACTTTGTCATTGCGCTTCATG